ACGCTATTATATATCGGAAATTTAGTTATTATATATAATTTTTTTAAATATATCGATAAATTAAAAGCATAAAAATTTAAATATTATTAGAAAGGGCCGTATTTAATTAAGTTTATTTTTAATAAATTTTTATACGTATTAGAAAAAGTCGACGGTACGGAATTAAAAAGATCCTTTTTTAGTCGATTACTAAAAAAATTCTATAAAAATAAAAAAGGATTTTAAAAGGCCGATAACCTTAAATAAAACTATTAGATAATAGCTATAACTAAAAGTTTCTTTCGGATAACGGCAAATTATAAGGCTAAATTATTATTACGAAATATTCCGGTTATTTGATTATAAACTAAATAAATAATGTAACGTGCCGGGGAAAAAATATTAAATTAAAGGAAAATTATTAACGATATATCGGATATAAATATTAATATTTAAATTCCTTAATTAAATATTTAATAATATTTAGGTTAAATATAAAATTATTTTTTTTAATACTTTTTATTATATTTTTTTTTATATTGCTTTATTTATATTTTTTATTTACGAAGTTTTATTTTATTTTAATATAATAAAATACCGAGATTATAAGCTAAAATTAATACGCGAAACCTTTTTCCCTTATTATATAATCGTTTTAATTATTATTAAATATATACGACTTTTATTATAACTTTTTTTTTTAACTTTTTATATTATATTTAGTTCCTTTTTCCGTATATTTTATTTATAGCTTTTTGCAATTTTTAAAACTATTTTCCCTTAAACCGAATTAATATTAAATTATTCGAATTATTTAAATTGCTTTTTTTGCGACGAAAAAACAAAATACGTAAAGCGTTAAATTAATTATATTAAAACTCGTAATTATATATTATAATATTTATAATATAATTGCTATATTAATTTTTTAAAAATCTTAATATAAATCGATAACCTAAAAACGGATATATTCCTATACGAGCTTTTTTACGATTATATTAAAATTTTGCTAATTAAAAATAGGTTTTATACGCGGAGCAAAAAACTATTTTTTTTTTCCGTATATTTATATAAAAAAACCAAATATTTTTATAGGTTTTCGAAAAATTTAATAAAGGATACGACCGTATAACGAGCTATTATTAATTTTTGCGAATAACGGATATACGCGATAATTTTTTTTAAATTTGCTACGATTTAGAAATTTTATTATAATAATATTTATATATATAATTATTTAAAATTTTTAATTAATAATCTTTTAACGAAAATAGCGGTTTTTAATAAAACCTTTATAAATTAAAATTATTAAGTATTTAAATATTTAAATAAATTAGCCGAATATTGCTTTTTATAATTAGGCTTATACCGGAATATTTACTTCGTAAATTATTAAATCCCGCTTTAGGTTTTTATTTTCGGTTTCGTTAATTTATAGCGATATAATTTTTTTTAAAAAAATAAAATACTAAAAAATATTAAAATTTTTTTTTCCGAATATAATATATTCGGTAATAAAAAAGATTTTAAATTAAAAAATTAATATAAAAGCTACCGACGATTAAATTCGGCTAAAAGCATATATAAATTCGATAATAGGTATATAAAAAATTATAAAAAAAAAGCGGGTAACTGCTTAATATTTAAAAAAAATTAATTAAAATTATAATCGCAATTTTTTTATTTAGCTAGGAAATAATTCGATATTTAAGGATTATTACGGAGGCTAATATATTTAGGGTTTTCGGGATATTTAAATAAAAAGCGACTAAATAAGATAAAATTAAAATTAAAAAATAGCTAAACGTTATATATAAAATTACGGTTTTCGAAAGGCTTTTTTAATTTAAAAGGCTCCGAATTTCGATATAAACCGTTATATTTTAATAAACTGCTAATATTAGGATAACCGGCAAAAACGTTAATATAGCTCCGGTCGCGATAAAAAATAAAAGCTTCGAAGCCCTTAATAAAATCGGCCTAATTAGGCTTTTTAATATAATAAATGCGAAAATAAATAATATAATCGCAAAAAAAAAAAGAAATAGCTTTTCGAGCTTTTTGCCTTTCCTTTTTTTTTTAGAGTTTTTTAATAATATTTTAAATAAAAAGAAAAAAATAAATTAATTTAATTAAATAAATAGGAAAATAATATTAATTTTGCTATTCGGGTTATAATTATAATAATAAATAAAAAAAAAAAAGTATATATAAATATAATATTTTATAATTAATTAAAGGGGGGCCCGAGCTCTATTTATAAATAAATAATTTGCGTATTTTCTAAAAGCAGGTTATAATTTATTTACGGTAATTACGGTAAAAAGTATATAAATTAGATTTATTATTATACTATAAATTATTTATTATAAAAATCTTTTTCTTTTTTTTTTTTTTTTGCCTACTTATTTTTTTTTTAACCTTTATTTCTAGATTTCGCCCTTCCTTTTTTTATTTAAGCTAATATTATTTTTATTATTTTAAGCTTAATTAATATATTCCGCGATTATTAGCTATAGCACTTATTTATTTTCTAAATACCTTTTATTTTTTAAATACCTCCGTAAGCTTACGACCTGCTAATTATATTTTTTTTCGGCTAAAACCTTAAATACCTAATATAAATAAATATAAAGCCGATAATTATTTAAAAGCTAAAAAATTTAAATAACTATTTAAATCGGATTTTTTATATTTTATTTAAATATTAGCGGTTTATTAGGCAAACGAAAAAGAATTGCATAATTTATTTAAAATAATTTATTTATTTTATATTAATTAAAGCGAAAATAGCTTACCTAATAAGCTTAATAACTTTAAATTATTTATATATTTAATACCCGCTTATTCGAATATAATAAATTTTATTAAATATAAAAATAATTCGATAACGGCTATTAATTTATTAATTAAATAATATGCTAAACCTCCGGAATAAATTCCTAAGCGCGATTAAAGATTTATTATTAAAAATCTAGTATTATTAATTAAAAAAATAAGCGAATATATATAAGCTAATAATAACGAAATAATTATTATTTTTAAATTACTTATATATTATTATTAGGACCTATATAATAAAATCGTAATAAAGCTTATAATTAAAATAATCGCTTATTTTCCCGAAAATATTATAATAAATCGCTTATTTATATAATATTAATAAAATATTAAAAATATAAATACAAAATATTTTTTTTTAATTAGCAATATACCGTATATATAAAAAGCTGCTAATTAAAATATTAATAATTATTAAATTAGCGGATTAGTTAATTTTAGTTACCGACGTTTATATATTATCGATAATAATAATTCTAGCTTTTATAAAGGAAAAGCGAAAGTCCTTTTTAACTAAATTTAGAAATAATAAAAAAAATTTAAATTTATTAAATCCGGCTTTTATCCTGCCCGCGCTAATTTAATTAAAATTTTTCGATAACCTAATTCCTAATTTTATAGCCTAAAAGTAATAAATTGGTTTTCCCGACTTTTATATAACCCGTTATCCGTATTAAAAAAAAACTAATATTTTATACCTAATATTAAACGGCTATAAATAAATTTATATATTCGATATTTAGGGATTAATTAAAATTTTATACGCTTAAAATATTATAATTATTCGGAAATAATATACAATTTATATAATACGATTACCGGTCCTATTTACGATATTATATATAAATATATCTAACCTTAATACCGAGCTGCTTTTAACCTAATAAAAGCTTAAAACCGCAAACCTCCTTTTTTTTTTAAAAATACCGTCTTTTAATTTAAAAAAAAGCTAAAAAAATATTTAAAAAAGTTTATTAAAAAAAAGGGTTAATTTTGCTTATTATTTTTTATTTATTTTTTTAATTAGGCTTAAAATTAAATCCTTTACCTCCGAGCCTTTTTTTTTTGCCTTTATTTAATTTATAATTTTGCCGGCTATAAATATAAATTAAAAAAAAGGAAAAAAATCGTTATCGATACTTTAATTATAATATTTAATTTTTATCTTTTTAAATACCTTCCTCCTTGCCTCCGAAATATTAACGGTAAGCATTAATCGACTTTATATATATAAAAAAGGGATATTAATTAAAATATTACGTATCGATTATTATTATATTATATATAAAGATAAAATAAATAAAAAAAATTTAAAAAATATATAGCGGTTATAAATAAAAAAATAAGCAAATAGCCTATTACCGATACGGAATAACAAGCGATAAAAAATGCTTAAAAAATTAATAATAATTAAATTATAGCATTTAATATAAATAAAAAAAAATAAATAATATAATACCGCTATTATTAATTTATAATATTATTATTAAAAGGCTTAATAAATAGCCTTAAAAAAGATTTAATATAAAAGTGCTAAAAATACTTATTAAAAATAGCTATAAAGGCTTAGCTTAAAATAGCTTTATAAGTCCTTTCGGGACTTATAAACCTTTATTTTTCGTTACGTTTAATATATAGGACTATAACCTATCGTTTTCTTAATCAAAACTATTTCCATATATTTTAAAATTTTATATGCTATTTAATCAAAAACCATATAAAGGCTATAGCCTTACGGCTATCCGTCTTAGGTGGGGGTTGGTTTGGTTTGGTTTTTGTTCCCCATCTCATGATTCGCTGGACAAATGTGGCATATGACTTGCCGCATGTGGCCACGGACTATGATCCCACTGGAAATATATCTCGCCTGGATGTCTTCTATGCTACCCTGCTGAAAGCTGCTGCTCCAAACAGGGACGAATGGATCAATAATCATTTGAGCAAATGGAGAGACTTTTGCACATCCGAGCCGCGATTCCACGAGGTCGGTGGCGCACGTTATACGATGATTGGACCAAATCATGTTGTAGACTTTTTAGCAACTTTGCGATCGGCGTTGCAAGACAGAGGCGTGTAAACAGTGACTTGGCGAAGTCTTGGTACATAGTTGCAAAGCTTTTGTCTTACAGTCCGTGACGATGCGCTTTGTTGCATATTTCCAATTCTTCCTGATTCTCTTGTCAAAACCAGGGGTGCCGGGTCTGGTGAATTCTTTTAGCAACGTCAACATCATAAGACTCCTCGGCGCCGAAACTTGTTGTCCGTAGAATTGCCGTCTCAAGCCGTGGATAGCTATCGTACGTGATATGCTTCGGGTCGCCTGATTCCTTGGAGGGCGATTGCGAGCCAGGTCTGTTTATGTGCTGGAACTCATGGGAGCTGGGCCACAATGTCTGCGGGTCCTCCTTGCTGCGTTGCAGGCGCGTGATGGGTGACCACGACCTGATTGAGACGATTATCTGGGCAGCGTTCATGGCACCAAAGAGCTTGGGAAGCGCTGGCAAGCATAATACCAGGATTCCGCAGAGGCCTTCGACGAGACCACAGACAACAACTGGAGAAAAGCTATACGTAATGTCGCCCACAGGCTTGGAAGTGGCGGTCTTGATAGTCATGATTAGGCGGCCGGCTGCGGCGCCGCATGCGAACAAACCGATAGCAAACACAGTGGAGGTGCCCAACTTCATTCTGGCGGGCAGATTCAGCGACCAAATGGTCTTCTGCGGTATAATAAAGATGGCGACATCGATAACTAGGTTGAAAGTGCCGTTAATCATGAAGAGTGTTGGGGTGTCAATACGGTTGCATGAGCCAGGCAAGAGTATGTTCCACTTCCGCTCATACGGGGTGCAGGCAATGTTATCCAAAATCGTGGTGATGACACAAAGGATCGCATTAACCCATAATACGAGCCAGCTGGCCCAGAACACAAAGTTGTGATGCCCTGTAGGGCAGAATAGATGAAGCCATTCCAAGCAGATTGCCGTTTTAATCATTGAAGAAAATGCAATGAATAGCTCGGTGGCCAGGAAGGATAACTGGTACGTGAACTCAGTACAACTGATGCGCCAGAGCTGGTTGCCATGAGAGGGTGTGAACCTACATGCAAGAAATCCGGGAGATCGCGGACTCGTATATCCCACTGGTGAACAAAAAGGCCAGGTTTCTCACCTACTTTGTAGATAAAGCCGATTTCTGTTAGATATAACGCCTGGTTTTCTATACTTAGTGCCGTGCCCTTTAAGGCAGTTGTGCTTGATACGAACCCAAGCTATAACGAGGACATCTAGTTTCGGTTAGGATCTAGCGTGATTGCATTTCGACAAATCATGGATACATACAGTCTCCAAGATGTGGACTCTTGAGGAGGAAGAATCGTGTGTAAATGCGAAGAGCAACCACGATGCTGGAAAGAGACGCACATATCCAAAGGGTCGCAAATGCATAATCATTCATGTTTGGTGGATTTGAAAAGTTGGGTATAACTCCATCTGGAGGCGTAAGAGCCGGCGAGTCGAGGAACCCGGCGGCAGTCACGTTAGCCATTTTGTTGTCGTGATGAAGGAATCCCTTGGCGTTATGATATAGAAATATGATACATAAGATAGAAAGAGTCTGAAACTAGGGAAATCGTCGAATGGCCGACACAATGTCCCTGTGTTCACTGCCTGACGAAAATTCACTTGTGTATGAGTGTGAGTAAGCGAGCCTAAGACATCAGCACGGAATACGCGTGAGACCTGGAGCCCGAAATAGAACTAGGAGCAAGAGGGGTTGATTGCCTGCGGCCCCCAAACCGCCCGCTGCGCCGTTTGAGGGAAGAACTTTCGAAGAGCAGCACGCGGAATGCGGGTGGTAAGGCATGGTATCATGCAGGCACTACACACCCAGCTTAGGAGCAGGTGTTGATTGGCAAATTGCTGATGTGTTACCGATACCAAGTCTTGTGGCTGTGGCAAAGCTGCCACAGAAAGCCTCGATCGTTTCTTCATTCGTCACACTCATGCTGACGTGCACAGAGCCTTGCATTGAATCTATGTATTACAGTCTTGGCGGTTAGCTTGGCACCAATGTCGTGTCTTTATCCTTTTTTTTTTTCCTTCCTCACAGCGAACTTGGTTTGGGGGTCATACAGGCAGACATCCTTGGAGGAAAGAATGACATGTGTTCGCTTCCTTCAACGAGCGGCGTCACAAAGAAACTCTTGGCGCCACACGCGTCAAATTTAGCACCAAGCCCTCGGCACGCGCCGAAATCCAGGTACCCGTCAACATCGATCAGAAGACAAATCACATGACTCCAAGCCCAGCAGTACTTGTTTCTTTGGTGTTTTTTCTTCCTTTAGGTTCATAATCCTAATCAATATTGATGATTGCCAAGTGAGAACCCATGCCTGCGATGGCTCTGCCTTTGAGAAGCCCCGGGCTGCGTGCCAAGATTCAGCTGCCCCCGTCGGTCATTACACGCGTTGGCAGGGCGTCGCGGTCAGCCGCCTTTTACCAATCAACAGCGCGCTTACGGCATCGCCAGGAGAGACGTCCCGAAATACTCCGATTGGCGCGAACGAGATGTTCATTCCACTCTTTGACGTATCGCAGAGACTCAGCAAAGGTCCAAAGTGCTACAAATCCACAAAATACCGGTGAGCTCTCAACGGAGGGCATGGTCCAGTGGCTTCTGGACAATCATGGCGACGCGAAATGGGGCTGGGTCATTTACAGGTGCACCTACAAGCCGGAATTAGAGGACCGCTGGCAGCAATTCAAGCGTCTTCTGGAAGAAAACATACGGGAGGATATAGCCGCGTCTGATGCGCCTCAAATTGCCGACAGTCTCGATTGGCCCATTATCGAGGACCCCGAGCTCGAGGGCGCCTCGCACGAAGCGCTGAGACGCAGGTGGAGGGAGTGGGTGCGAAAGGAAAAGCCCAATGTCAACACTGAAGACTATGCCTGGGACCGAAGCTCACGCCACACGTATTTCATCCAGGTGGATGATGAAGGACTCCGCAGCGTCCTATATGATCCCCACGATCCGGGGGACCCAAATAATCAAATGCGTCTCAACAGCGGCTACGTGAGCCTGGTCAAGGGCTGGAAGAATCCCCTCTCGCCCGAGGAGGCGACTAATGAGTTTGGGGACATTGAGGACAATGAGGACTGGATGCACATTTGTGCAGACATGGTTGCGCCTTACTTTTACGTAGAGGTGGATGACCCCGAGTCGTGGTATACATTTTACAGTCCGCCGCCAGGCGGCGTCTGTATTTGGTAGTACTAACCTACTGGGACAGTCGACCCCGGATAGAAGGTAAGCAGTAATGCACTCAGGCAACGCGACGACCTGGAAATGTCTTGAATGCAAGATCGAGTTGTATAAATAGTAATATGTACGATATGAAGATATAAATGTAGTCTGAGGTATCTTGAAAAAAAAAAAAAAAAAGCAAAAGAGATAACAAAAGGGCTCATATCGATAGCTGAACATAATCGTGCATCTGGCCAGGGCTGTAAGAAAAAGCATAGCCAACTACCAATGCGACAAGAAGAAATCAAATCAGATCGAAATCATCAAGACCCCCTGGGCCATACGCTCAACGCCACATGAAATGAAAAAGGCGGCATCAAGTCCAACAACTGAGATACAACGCCCGAAAAAAGCATGCTTACCCCTACAAAGCCTTCTTAGACCATACCAGCCTTGATGTTGTCGTACTGGCTGTCCGGGTAGCTCAGCAGGTTCTGAGTGTTCTTGATGGACCCGAGGCTGGAGTAGCTGGTCCCAATCAGACTGTCGGAGCCATTCTTGTCCGAGCTGGCCTCCCAAAACATGCTGCCGCCGAGTCCCTTGCCCTGCAGGTAGCTAACCTTGCGCTGGATCATCTCGGGGGTGTCGTAGGTGATGAGCTCCTGCGTGGCGCTATTGTACGAGTAGGTGGCGCCGGCGACGGCGTCGTAGATTTCCGTCGCCCCCGCCTTGGGCAGCGCCTTGTAGTCCCAGATGCCATTCTCCCAGGACCCGGAGCCGACGCCCGTGTAGGGCTCGCCCACGCCGCTCGTGGCCTCAAAGGCGCGGCCGTAGATGGGCATGCCCAGAATGATCTTGTCCGACGGCACGCCCGCGGCCAGGTAGTCGGTGATGGCGGCGTCGGTGGAGAATTTGGTGGCCGTCGGGTTGCTGGCGTCGTAGTACAGGTTGGCTTGGTGGCCCGACGTGTTGTCCCAGGACCCGGCGTAGTCGTACGCCATGAGGTTGAAGTAGTCGAGCACGGCGGCCATGCTGCTTAGCTGCAGCTGGCTGTAGTGAGCGGGTCCTGCTGGGGAGGCGACGGTGAGGAGAAAGTGGTAGCCGGGCGCGTACTGGGCGGCATAGTCATCCAAGGCGGAGCGTACGGTCTGCAGCAATGACACAAAGTTGGCGGCTTCGGTCTCACTTGCCGGGTACTCCCAGTCGATATCGATCCCGTCGAAACCCCAGTCCTTCATCAGGGTAATAGCCGTGGATGTGAACGTGGCGCGGCTAGCAGCGGTGCTGGTAGCAGCAGCAAAGTTCGTGCTGTATGTCCAGCCACCAATACTGAGAAGAGTCTTCAAGTTGCGATTCGCCTTCTTGAGGAGGTATAGTTGTTTGACGCAACCATATGCATTGTTGCCCACATCGTTCCATGCTGTGTCTAGTGTTAGTCTATGTTACAGGCCAAGGAATCAGGTCAAGGGATGATAGTATCGTTATGGGTAGTGGTATGATTGGTGCTGCTGTGGTGAAAGTCCTAGGGGAATGAGATGGATACACCAGTGAAGGTAAAAGAGCTGTGTGAAACTTACAATCTCCGGCCCAGTGGATCTGGTAATCAGCATAAGAGTCCGACGAGTAGCTGTTATAGATATAGTTAGCCTTGAGAGACCCACTAGATCCCAACAGAATTACCACTTACACGGTGCCATCCTGTTGAATGTTAGCAAATGCATATAGTACATGCGTTATCTCTCCAGCTGGTAACATTTGTGGCGTATAGGCTCGACCATAGATACCCCTAGATCATTATAAGTATATACTACGAGCATAGGTATGCAGTATACCTTGATGTATACTTGAGCTTACCAGTTTACGAAATAAACCGAATTCTCATAGGAAGAAGCCCGTTGCTGAATAGCATTGATGGGACTTGACATACCAAAACTGGCATGTAGCGCAATGGCGCTTGCCAACGCCTTCAAAGCTGTGGTGAACATTGTAGGGAATGAATCGAGAACAGAACCAAGACAAAGCAATAGTGGTATGGGAGCTGAGAGTCGGCGCTGGAAGAGTTGTTGCGATTGAAGAACAAAGCAAGCCAGTGGTTAGTTCATCAACGACTATACTTATACATGAACTCGCTTCGACAAAGATAAGCGATGGGTGTGTTGGTGCCGTTTGATGCCTTTACTTGGCCACCGATAATTTCCAAAAGTGGTGGCACGCGATGACTCCTCTCTCCTTCACCTCTAGAGCCCAGTCCGACGGACTGTGATCCATGATATGGCGGGCAACGTTGCCCTTTGTCATGTGCCCCCCCAGCAAAGCGCAGGAATATGGATACTCAACCACGATAGGGATATTCACTTGCATTCCAGTGTGGTCTGTTGTTCCCGTAGGAGAGGCCGGAGCTATCTTGGACGGTGCATTTTTGCCAACAAAAACATGGGTCCATGCCCACCACCAGGAATGCTAGAGACCTGATAATCTGCCCGCGATGTTTCATTTCGCCCATACGACAGGCCCAAATGACATGGCCCGACTACGGACAGAGAAGGTGACTTGCGACTATTGATATGTCAGGAGGGGAGGCTCAAATCTAGCGCGTTCGCCGGGGCTTCCAACGGACCGAGATTAGCAGCCTTGGGATGGGGAGCGTTGGAAGGTTCTATTGGATTATGTACAACAGGGTCGTGGGGTCATAAATGGAGAGAACTGTGGCCTTGGGGGCACGCGGTACCTGTGTTGGAGTTGCCTTATCGCAGCGTCGCATTCACCGCATTATAACCCACTCCAGTGTCAGTCGCTCACCGGCCCTTGTGATACCCGGCAATTGCCTGCTAACGGCGCGGCGCGCCTGCACATGGCAGCCTCCTGACTCAGAAGAATGCAGAGCGGTTGGGATTCTCTTCTCTTTTTCCAAGACTTGGTGGCAGGTAGTCGGTCGGGTCGTGCTAATCGTGCAAATGCGCATTCCAGTAGATAGCAAGCTGGTGGCACAACTTACATAATCAAGCCACTGTCTCAACGCCAGAACCGCTTGAAAAAGATTATCTAGACTGCAGGATCCTCGAGCTTGGCGAACCCCTTGCATCACTAAAGAAGCACTTGCATATAGGATTTGACGATCAAGGGCGTCTATCGGCGCCAGATGCACGTAACCTAATATTGTCGCCATGGGACGAACCTCGAATTCTAAATGGACGCATACATGCTTGCATGATCGACCCTGGGTAGGCAGTATGCAGGAGTCAGGAGGACGAGGTAAAATTACGCGGGGGAGGAGCACTCGGTCGCAATAATGATAAGATGACGGGGGTTTTTTTCTTCTCGGATGGTCCCGCCGAACAGGCGATGGGGACGCAGAATGAGGAGGGATTGTGGAGGGGTGGGTGAGTGCTGGGCGATGAAAGAAAAGCATGTGTCAAGAGATCAAATTCCATATGGGGAAATGTCCAATGAATATACTCGGCCTAGACTTGCGGTCAACCCTGTCCAGCGTGGTACAAAAAGGCCCAAAGCAGCCGTCGAGGATGTGGCAGGATGGCAAGACATCTTGCAACGTTGCTATAGACAGGCCAAGAGAGAATTACCTTGAGGCTCTGGCGGTTGAAAAGTGAACCGACTGGATTTCAACAGTTTTGTTGTGAAATACAACATTGAAACTCGATCAATATTCATTTCCGGTATACCAAATTCCTACAGATGTCGCCCAATGAGTCCCGACTCCCATGTCCATGTTCAACAGCGGGGCCCGCGACTTAAGTGCTGGTGCCCCGCATTGGATTCGCCTATTCCGAGCTCTTTTATGCACATCACACGAGCAGCTCCAACGAGTCAGGATTCTTGTTCTGATAGGCCACAATGCTGCCCACTAGTCGAGATGGAATACACCGTCTAATCTCTCTTGCAAGAGGAGGGAGGGAGAGAAAGCGTTTAGGAAAATGAAAGAAGAAGAGAAAGAACAAAAAGGGAGTCCGATGGTAGGCTCAAAGATCTTCCGATGCGCAGAGGATGGTTGCGTGGCACCTGCGCTTTTTGATGCGCAGGCGCCACAAATACTAATGAGGTAAATGTCAAGAAGCCCAAGCCTGGATTTCCATCTCTAGGCATTTTGGATTGCCTTCTGGCGTCAACGGTGCAAGCACTTTTTACTGCATTGCTAATGTAGGGATGGATGCGCTTCCAGCCAACTCTCAGTGAGTGTCGCAACTACGATTGCTATTGGTCTCAACTCTCGAACTAGCGTCTTTGATGTTAGCGCTCGGCACTTCAAAGCTTGTTTGCCCGAGTGCCGCTTGAGAGCCTTTGTAACACAGGCCACTCAGCTGCCTGTGCCCTTCAATATAATCACGAAAGAAGAGAATCATCACACTCAAGAAGGAGCGAAATTAACGCGTCCATTACAACATGACTTCAAGCTTGTTCTGTAATGGTGGCTAGTATCTGGCATTCAGATTGGGCATATTCTCTCGCCTGCAATGTGGCCATGTGCAGGATCAAACCTTGAACGTTGCATTAGATGTCTGATCAGTAGAATGAATAAAATGTAAGAATTCATAGAAATTAAAGAAGCACATGCATCAACGTCTGGTTAAATGATAGAATCAAGATCATCGCTCATCGACTTCTTCCAAGAGCTGTTCTCTCTCTGATTTGACATTTATAGCTGAGACTGATACAAAATACGTGTAGACATGATTTATTATGATCTTCCACTTCAAGACCATAGCTACAGGTTCCTTTATGAGCAAGCAGAGCTATTTCGTGATTTGAAGCATGGGTCTCAGATCTGGGAGTGTAAAAGGACATTATCGTTGTACTTCAAGCATGTCAAACGACAAATATCGATTTCATCTCTTCGCAGTTGCAGAGGTCGGTACTAAATATCAACTTGATGACGTACAAAACAATCAACCCCCAAACAAGCAGCAGGCATCTTGGGTTGTGATAGCCCATATTATAATGCCTCATGAGCCGTGATGGTTTGTGTTGGATTGCTTTTCTTCTTCTTCTTTCATTTATTTCCATTTTCCTCATTAATTTGGCTGTTATTTTTATTTACAAAATACAAGCTCTTTCAGTTTAACCGGGCTTTTCCCCATTATCATTACATTCCCTTCTTCATCTCGAAGTTCTCGACCATAACGTATCAAGAATTGTTCGGGTTGCTCATTCTCGGAATAATCAGCCAAGTGACAAATGCCGCTGGTCCACGTCGTCGGCGGTGTCGTGTCGCTGTAAAGAAATAATACCAAAGCAACCAACTCAGGGCACAGCCCTTTTATAAACATGTGAATTGCTCGACCAGCTCCTGGATAAGCAATCCAGCGTGTACTAATGGCCAAGCGTCGGAGCCCTACGCCAGATGGGTCACGATGACGCATATCCGATAATAGAAGCGTCATTCGATGAAAGTCCATGTCGCCAAGTACCACAATCGTGTCCTCGTCGGGACAAAAGTACAGTACACGATCAAGTTCCGTCCCATCCCCTGCGTTGGAATAGGGCACATCTCGCGTAAGCGGCAACTTGATGTATTGTTTCAAAGCTACAGCTCTGGCTTCCGCATTTACAGATAAAAGCGACGGGTTCGTGCATCGGCTCTGCCACTTGGGAACGTTGGGGCCATAGCGGAAAGCATCAGCGTAATGAGGCCTACAGGCATGGATCTCGACTGTGCGGGGCGAAAATGATGAGAACCATATCTTTTGGCGGAGTTCGGCTGGTAATTTGGGAAAGTAGGAAAATTCCCCGGCGAGCCCTGAAGGCGGACTGTCGGACATTTGCGCTGCAGCGCAATTTATATGAAAGCAGAGAAGCGAGAGATGCAAAAGGGGGTGGAACGATATAAAATACCTTAGGTGCAAAGCGCTTTTCGATGTGATAAATACGAGGATAGCACCGGGCAGCCAGCTGGCATACAGACCTTTACCAGCGTGGGGTTTGGAAGGGGGCGGGGTGTCATTCGTGCCCGACCAGCTCAAGCTTTTTAGAACTGCCAGCTGCATATCAGATTGTCAAGTGGCTAGCTCAACACATGCATTGGGGTATGCTGGCAATCGCAGCATGGCCTTTCTGGCTCATCGAGGCCACAATGCAGGCCAGAAAATATAGTCGAGCCGGCTATAATCTACCTCGATAGGGAAAAGGGGAAAGGAATAGACTCCATGGAAGTTGGGCCGTGTATGTATAGCCGCGATACGCCATAAGTGGCGATGCATGGCACCATCCGTGTACAGCCTCACAGAGGCTGTTGATGGCATGGAGAGTTGGTTTACTTCTCCTTCATGCTATTACTTTCAATTCCGATGGGCAAATCCGAATTATGCGGTTAACCTTTTATACTGGTCGTGCCATGACGTCATTGAGGCTGTCAGACTTGTACAGATATTGGTGGATATGGTACAGATGTATCGCAATGTTGAATCTCAATTTAGCTTCGCTATGTCGGCATACTCGCGTTTGACGCCGTGGTTCACTTCAATGAGAGTGGCTACTAGTCACGACATTCGTGATGTCTGCCCACTTCGCAGGCACCGAAGCCACCGAAGCCGCCGAGACCCCCGAGGCTACCGAGGTAACCGACGTGGCCGAAGCGGTTCACATTATAAGTGAATATCTCGCAGCCACCTCATCTATCGAGTTACGGATAACAACAACTACATTTAATCTGTGAACATCTGCATGAGAACATTCATTTCACTTCTTACACGACTACATACTTTAGCAATATGTTCTACAGACCCAACGAAGACGACCACGGACTTGCACATGATCCATTCAAGGCATGTCGATAGCTTCACCCGCAAGCATCAGACACTGACTAGAAACCACAGGCTTGTGTTGTTCCAAGAGCAATTGGATGGATCTCAACCGTATCCAAAGATGGTCGAGCAAATCTCGCGCCTTATAGCCAGTTCACCAACTTGACATTCGATCCTCCATACGTTGTTTTTTCTTCCAATCAGACTCAAGAAGGAAATCGAAAGGATACCGTCATCAATGCTGAAGAATACGGACATTTCTGCTGGAATCTCGTCACCTGGGACCTGCGCGAGGCCATGAACATTACTGCTGAGCAGGTTCCGTATGGTGTCGACGAGTTTGAGCGCGCCAGCCTCGAGAAAGAAATGGCAAAGCTATCAAATGTGCCCATGGTAAAGCAAAGCCCGGTCAAGTTTGAGTGTAAATACCACACTACTATCCGGTTACCGGGCAATTCTCCGACTGGAACCGTTGATATCATTATCGGTAAAGTTGAGGCAATTCATATCGCAGACGAGGTTCTCACAGACGGTATTCTCGATATTCGCAAGACATTGCCCATTGCGAGGTGTGGGTATTATCAATACACGGTCGTCAAAGACACGTTTGAAATGAAGATCCCAGGGAATTCCGAGGCTACGTTGAACGGATTAGAGGGAAATCCAAAGAAGGTTGCAGCTTTCGAGGCGGCTCAAAAGGCGAAAAAGGACAATGTATAAACCCTTTTGAGTTGAGCTGACATTTCGCCTAGACGGAACTTACAGGAAGATCGTAATAGCCCCATACCTGAGTTGTTGGCACGCGGATTAGCAAGCGAGCGCCAGAAAAGTAAGGGGTGTCGATATGTTAGCATTATGGATATTTCAATGTGACTCAGTATACCTGTCTTGGCCTAGGATTGACAAGACCGAGATACTTACCAAATTGAAGAACATGATGGTTCTACTGAATTAAGGGAATCTTGTACATCACAAAGCTCACAGGAAATTGATGAAGCTCGAATGCCATTTCCGGACACATATTGAAGAAAGTATGCCCCAGCATCGACGAGGGTAGTCCCCTGACACCAAATTGCGGGGCATAAAGATTGCCTGTAAGGTGCTACAATCGTCGGATGGTAGACAGTAGGTACATAGGGTTGGTGGGTACCCACCAGGTATGTCTTTCACCAATACACTGCCAATTTGTAAATTGCTTGCATCTGGTCCCTCATGTGTTCAAAAGCAATAGCTACCTATAGATTGAGGGTTCAGGTCCATCTGTCCTTTCATCCTCATCTCCATCGATAGTCCTTTGCACGAGTGCCGTCCGCCAAGTTCGCCTATCCCACCTGGGTACCTAGCGGTGCTTGGCCTGTCACTGCATCATCTGGCTAGGGAGCCGCGATCGGTGAATGCCGTGCTTGCATTTGGGTTCATGCAGTTGTTATTCAAGCCCATATGAAACATATTATGTTTGGTTCTGCCCCGCATCTTGGTCATCTGTTGTCATTGATTTCAACTTGCAGAAGATTGGTGGTCAATTGCACTCGTGATTTTCTCCATAAACATCTTACAACAACGATAACCACGACAGATTTTAGCACTATGGGTTGTTGTGATGGCTGCACGCCACCACCCGCTCTCGGCGCGGATTCCGAACCGGCCGTCCGCGAATCAGTAAATTGCGCGGACGCTGGCCCCAACCCTCCTGCGCCGGCTTCCAAGACCACGAGCATCGAGGTTGGCAGTTGCTGCAAGCCTACTGATGCCGATGCGACTGAAGATGTAAACGCTAACCACTCTAGTACTGACGACTGCTGCAAGCTGGCCTCTGACACCCCGGCTGTTGCTGCAAGTGTTGATGACTGCCAGGTTGGCTGTTGTGGACCACCCCACACAGAACTGGATGCTGTCAAGACTGTTGACAGCTGCGACGGCGGCAGTTGTTGCGCCTCAGAGCCTATGGCAGACAGCTCTAACTCCCCTCAAGCTGCGATCAATCGCTTCCAGGTTGCTCAGACTTTGAGCGAGGGTGATTGCACTGACGGCTGCTGTGTTGAATCTGCCCGGGCCGACAAAGAACCGAAGCAGCCCGCCTGTTGTGATGGCAAGACATCTCCTTGTTGTGACACGTCTTGCCTGGATCGCATAGCCGCTCGCGAGTGTCGGGGAGTCGCCGTTGGTCGGGGCGAAGAGAAACGTATTCCATGCAGCAGCGATGGTTGCGGCGACGGGACCCCATGTAACGAACACAAGAACCGTGTTCGCTCACGCTTTGCGGCTCGATTAGAGGCTCTCGAGTGTATCTGTTCCGCCTTGATAGCTCTGGGTCAAGCTTCCTGCTGTGTGTCAACCCCTCGTTCATCCCTTGACAAGAATCGTGCTTCAAGGGCCCAGCGCCGTGTCTTCGACGACTCATGTTGCTCTCCTAGTGCCGCTACCGGCTCCCAATGCTACGGAAAGAAGTCACCAGAAAAAAGAAGGCCAAGATCCACAGACATCTCTCTCAAGAGTGCCAAGGATCTTGGCACTAGAAGCTCATGCGCAGATGCTTGCTGCCAGGAGAAAGAGTCGCGCTGTGATCAGGTCCAGACTACCAACGAGATCTCGTCTCATGATACCAGTGCCAAGCATCTTGAGGATGGACTCTCTGGCCACGAGCACGTTATTCTGAGTGTATCGGGCATGACTTGCACTGGATGTGAGACCAAGCTGAGTCGCACGCTAGGATCTCTTACTACAATCAAGAATCTGAAGACCAGTCTAGTCTTGTCCCGAGCCGAATTCGACTTGGACCTCGGGACGTCATCTGTCGCCGACACTATAGCATACATGCAGAGATGCACAGAGTTCAAGTTTGAACGCATCATCAATCATGGCTCTACGATCCTTGTGATTCCAAAAGGAAATACTCAGAGACTTTTGGAAATGGACTACCCCGCAGGGGTTACGGAAATGTCAGCCATTGATCAAAAGTCCGTCCAGATAGTCTTTGACCCAAAGATTGTAGGAGCCAGAGACCTGTTGAATAAGTTCGGCACCGAAGGCCCTTTGGATCTTGCCCCTCTGCGAGGTGATCCGACACTTGCGGCGGGGTCACGGCATGTCCGCAACGTTGGCTACATGACTCTACTGTCAGCTATACTGACCGTTCCCGTCCTTGTCCTTGCATGGGCGCCTCTCTACGAGCATGAGATCACCCATGGGTCCATATCGTTGGTCTTTGCGACCATTATTCAGTTTGTGGTCGCCGGTCCCTTCTACCCCAAGTGCCTGAAAGCCTTGATCTTTTCCCAGGTTATTGAGATGGATCTTTTGATCGTCCTGAGCACTACAACAGCCTACATCTTTTCGGTTGTCGCCTTTGCCTTTATGGCATCTGGTAAGCCATTATCTACGGGAGAATTCTTCGAGACTAGCACACTTCTGGTGACCCTTATCATGGTCGGTCGGTGGGTAAGCGCATTCGCACGTCAAAAGGCCATCGAGTCAATATCCATTCGATCCTTGCAGATTTCAACGGCTACACTAATCACCGAAAATGGGGAGGAGACGCAGATTGATAGTCGACTACTTCAATATGGCGACTCTTTTAAAGTCAATCCTCATTCACGAATTCCAACTGACGGCACAATTATTTCTGGTTCATCAGATGTGGACGAGTCTATGATTACAGGAGAATCTAGGCCTATCGAGAAGAGCCCCAAATCTTCAGTCATTGCTGGATCAATCAATGGCCCAGGTGTTCTTGTTGCACGCCTGACCCGCCTGCCTGGAGACAACACGATTAGCTCGATTGCGGACATGGTCGACGAGGCCAAACTATCCAAGCCCAAGATCCAGGAAATGGCAGACAAGGTAGCAAGCTATTTTGTACCGGTCATTCTGGCCATCACAGTAATCACATTTGTGGTCTGGATTGCCGTCGGTAAGGCTGTCAAGAACCAGTCGGGTTCAGATGCCGTGGTGAATGCCATCACGTACGCCATTACTGTCCTCATTGTATCTTGTCCTTGCGCCATCGGATTAGCCACACCCATGGTAATTGTGGTTGCGAGTGGTAGAGCAGCAGACCGAGGTGTCATCTTCAAGTCTTCGGAGGCTCTCGAAATTGCCCACAAGACGTCTCATGTGGTGTTTGACAAGACTGGCACGTTGACCGAGGGTCGATTGGCCGTAGTTGTCGAAGACCTGACTACCGAGCATGAAGGAAGGAGCACTGTCCGACTTCTGCTTGGTCTTGTGGGCAGCATCAAGCACCCGGTCTCGATTGCAGTCGCTACACACCTCAGGTCAATGTCTGTTCTGAACGCCCCAGTTGATGATGTCCGGTCAATTCCTGGCAAGGGAGTGGAAGGCAAAACGCCACTGGGTCAGGTGTTACGAGCGGGAAATGCGCACTGGCTAGGGGTATCTAATGACCCTCGAGTGCACGCTATTCTCGCCCGAGGCTGTACCACATTCTGTTTTACCATTGATGGATCCCTGGCTGCAGTCTTCGGTCTGGAGGATACCCTACGGTCGGATGCCTTGGAAGCTATCGCGAATCTACAAAGACGAGACATCACCGTGTCACTCCTGTCTGGAGATGATGATGGGGCCGTCCGCAGTGTAGCTGCACAACTTGGCATTCCCGACACCAATGTACGATCACGTTGCGGTCCTGCAGAGAAGAAAGATTTCATCAAGGACTTGCTTGCCCCTACCAGCAATGCTGGCAAGAAGTCCGAGGCACCAGTGGTAATCTTCTGCGGTGATGGCACCAATGATGCTGTCGCTCTTGCTCAGGCTAGTATCGGCGTTCACATAAACGAGGGGACTGACATTGCGCAGTCAGCTGCTGACGTGGTTCTCATGCGCCCTAATCTGTTGGGAATTCTGACCATTATACAACTCAGTAAACTTTCAATTCGACGCATCGGCTTCAACTTTGGATGGAGCTTCGTGTACAATATTTTCGCCGTTTTGCTGGCTGCGGGAGCCTTTGTCAATGCTCGAATTCCGCCACAATTCGCCGGACTGGGAGAACTAGTCAGTGTTCTGCCGGTCATTGCCGCAGCTATTCTACTCAAATGGTCGAAGATTTAATGGTCCAAGGCAAACAATCAGCATTCGTGGATGACTTGAGTTAGAGACCAACACCAAGTCTTTCATTATTTTTTCGTGTCTCGATGGTCAAGTCCAGTTTCATCTTCATCAGGTTCTCCAATTCTACTCCAAGGTCCATTCTTCGGCAAACTCGAGCTTGGTCATTCAAATGACATCACTCTTTTGTTTTCAAACTGTGGGTTATGGATAAGCTGCAACGATTAATGTTCATAGTCAATAAAGCTTGTCAATTCAATTCTTTGACATCCATGAGAGGATGTATGCTCGACGCTTACCTTGAAGAGTGTTGTCTTCGACTCCAACTAAACTTTGCTGGACCCCTTCTCAAAATGTCTCGCAAATAAGAGCTTTCAAACACCCTGAAAATGTCGGCAGGGCGAGAGTATGAGAATCCCACGGAGTTTGCTGAAACGATCTATACGATGGCAAAACGCTGAGGCGTGTTATTGGCATTGGAAGCTTTTCCTCGACCATGGGCTTTGAGCTTGGCGATGCGCCACGGGGGCGTGTGTACGGTCCATAGATGTGGGACCGAGTCAAGTATGAGAAATCTGTAAGCGGGGATTATACTTTAGGCTTAATGGATTCCAAGTCAAGTCCTGATTGAGCGGACCATCTAGGGGTGCATGTCGACCAAGCGCGACTTTGACCTTGTCTCGTTGCTCCCGGCCGCCCGTTTTGGCCACCGTGACGTAGAGCTCGACTTGGATCATCTCAATGTCAGTAGCAGAATGACATGGAAGCCGGTTTTGTGCACTCCCGATCCTATCGCCTTGACGCGTTCGCTCGATGGGTGCATGTCCGTGACGCGGCGAGGGCACTGCTGTGTGCCGTCGAGGTGTCCGAGGCTGGTGGGTTGCCATTTGCGGCCGGATAGAAGACGTATCGGCAGTGCACCGGCGATGCCGCAAGATCTATTAGCGACGACTTGTGGTGTCGGATTGAGCCGGGTACGACAGGGCTACCACCTAGGGTATTGAGAAGAGCAAGGTTGCGACGGTTGTCGCTACGAGCGATACGGCGTTATACGTTAGTGTTAGTGACTCTTTTGGGCAGTCTCTGAATTGAAAAGGCAATGGCAACGAAAGTGGGCTGAAAAGAACGGATCGAGAAGATGAAATACTCTTGTGAGATTGACCCGCTGCATCTCGTGCATATGAGCAGTTCGTGGCGCTAGTAAGAATCAATCAGATCCATGAAGCGCCAAATGATGGAGCTGGGATCATGCTCCTTTGATCATTGTGTTCCAACATGTGCCGACACACTATATGAACCTGCTTGGCACCGATTCAAACTCTACACTGGGGACCGTGGAATCTTCTCTCACTGTACACCTCCTCCAGCATTATAAACGTTAGGTCGGTACCAAGCCCCATATTTGGATCCAGTGATTTAGCAAGTACTTTCCCATATGTTTTATGCTGCTCAATACTTGCTGTTATAAAGGTTCTTCGCCTGGTGCCCGAACCAGTTGCTAGAAATTTCTATAAGCCGTATCGTACCATAGAAAAGATAAGGGAAGATACCAGGCACCCCAGAGCAAAGTAATATGGGGCTTGTGCTAATTCTACTGTGTAACTTTTATTATGCTGGAGGAGGTGTAGCAGCTTGGCAGAGACGTGCACAGATGTAGTAGCCGACCAACGTTTACCCGACTTTTCAATAACACCGACCATCCGGTCCAAAGTCAATCAAATGATCATCATAGTGTGGATTTTCACCGCCGGTTGAGCCAGAATAAAGTGCAGATTTCCGTTTTCATTATACATTCTACCGGGGTGGTTTCGCGAGGTTTCGCGAGGCCACTTTTACCTTTTGGGCCTAGCGGGCTGTCTTGCTATCAAGTCTAGGGAGCGCTCAGGTCAATCATACTCGAGTATCTGGTATTATATAAGCAGACACACCAAGAGCTGCCAGCCCGCTAGACCCGAAAGGTGAGAGTTGTCTCGCGAAACCTCGCGAACAAAAAAAAAAAAAAAAAAAAAAAAAACAAGCCGGTACTTTAAGCTCTCCACTCCTTAAGTCGTCATTGGGCATTGTCAGTCAGCACGAAGGATTTAGTGCTGGTGATTCCCACATGGCTTCAGTGGGGAAGGACGCTAAAGAAAACCCCTTACAGTTCATAATAGAAGGATTCCAGCTACTATGTAGGATTTAGCCTCGTGTGCAAGGAAACAGTTGCAAATCATTTCTTGCAATGTAGTGGTTGAAAAGAAAAAAGCTTGTCCTTTTTCCTCTTTCTCTGTTTACATGTCATCGGAAACCGTGACACTGAGGCTAGCTTTGCTGCACCGGTAGTGCAAAATCCCCGCAAATGTCGACGACTGCTGAAGAACAAATATCACCGCCTCCGTCCAACAAAGCGGACACAGACATTAGCCCCGCGGTATTCACCGTGGAGAAGATAGTCGTACAGGCGGCCGCCGAAAGACCAAGCTCCTCAACACCTCAGGGCAAAGAAGATGCCAAGTAGGTCCATCAAGTGGTTCCATTGTCTCGAGATGCCAAAATTGACGACATATTCTTGCCATAGAAACGCGGCACCTCGCGTCATTGACGATGGTGGTCTCCCAGAAGTGTTTATTCCCGAGCAAAAAGTGGCGATCGACTCGGATGGCCTGCAGCCAGTAGTCCTTCCAGTGCCGGGAGAGACTCCAGCCATACCAAAGTTCAATGATGTTGACACTGTAACACCTTTACATCTACTAGGCGACCAACCGGATTTGGTCGATTGTCCCTTTTGCATGAGGCGGGTAGAGACACGGGTAGAGAAGAAGCCGTCAACAGCAACACAGTAAGTGCTCACAGCCATCTGTCGCAAATTGGGCGATTCCGCCTTTCAACACACATGTTGGCAACCAGCAAAACTGACATATTTTTTTTTTTTTTAATCTTTCAAGTGTCGGGGCCGGGGCACTGTTCTTGATCACATTCGGGGGTGTCGTGCTCCCTTATAAAAGGCACTGGGGACACCATGTGCACCATCATTGCGGGAACTGCGACCGCATGGTGGCGCACCGGCGCTATGGTAGAAAGGAGATGCAACCGCTGGGGACGCCGGACCATTTGCGAGTAAAATCATTATACCCACCGAGCGGCATTTCGACACATGAATCATCTTAATTGTGATGGAAATATAAGACTCGAGGTGCCTACTCACCAGCGCAGCGACATTGTACTTTTGGTGATTTCATTGTATTACAATAATACGTGACGCTATTTGTCGACACTTGCGAGTCCGAAGTTGACACTGTTTTCAAATTGGCGGGGGTGGCTAAACGTGCCAAACTCGATGAATGAAATGAGTGAGTATGAACAACATGTATTTAATTATTATTACCATTCTTCCCACTTTTTTTTTTATCACTGCCATTTTCCTTTTAAGCATTAACATGTCGTTTGGTTACTTCCAGACAGGCCTGCAGTGCTTAAGAATACGATTAATGTGCCCCGCACTTTCACTCATCGGAATACGAGCAAACATGCACTGATCCTACCACACAATAAAGAGTCACCCAAAGGTGGTGGCGCGCATGCACCAGATATCAGGTACCTACCTACTAGGTAGTCATGCACTCAGAATTAGCTGGGCCCCTGCCAAGTCACGATACTTTAAGCATATAAAACGTCCGCCCAAATCGTCTTTTTAAGAAGCGCAGCTTACAAGGTCGCATGGCACCAACTGTGCTGCGGACCGACCCGTTGCTCCACTGTGTGCCACCAACCGATTCACGGCCCAGGCAACGCTCCAGGCATTCTGATGCAATTCTACTCAACACGAACACCGTCTGATCTCTATCACTTCCGCGCCCACCTAATCTCCAATTGAATATGGTCGAGTAAGAAATCTCAAGGAAGTTCTCGGATACTGAACAAAGTACATCAAGCACTATCCCTTGCTAAGTCGAAACGGCAAACTAATCTAGACAGTGAAACGTGACATCTAGCTGTCGAGGGCAAATCAAAGCCATTGTTCCATAACGCCCTTTTAAGCATTTGAGGACCCTCGAGAGCGAAGGTGTCATGGTCCTAGTTTGGACAATAAGAGCGTATCAATGATCACGCGACCAGTGGAAATAGATGTAGCATTCATGTGAAAGAATCGTGATCTTGCCTTGGTCGCTTCATCCGCCAAGCTTCGTTAAAGGCTCCCTTATAGTGGCTTTAGGCAACTTTGTCACTATATTTTACAGAGACATGAGTTTGCTTGCGGGCGCTCGACCAATCACTTCGCGGCCGTATCTTGAGATTAGCGAAAAATCCTTGGCGTGCGGCCAAGGGCAATGCAATGTGACCTTCCTCAAGGGAGCCTCTGCCAAGCAGCAAGGGTATCATCATGCAACAACTCTAATCAACAAATCGACCGTTATAAGATCTTCCAAACCACGACCTTCCTTGGTAAAACTAATCATTGCACTGACATCAAAGTACTCAAGATGAAGGTTTCTCTTGTATCGAGTCTGGTGGCCCTCCTGTCAATGAGTTGGGCAGCCACCTTTACATCATGTACCGATGCGCAGATTGCGACGCTCGAGGTCGCCATTGACCGAGCCACAAACAAGTCATTCGCCGCAATTGAGCACCTGGAAGATAATCCGAACGGAAGCGACATCCAGACCACTTGGTACGGCACTTTTAGTACTGAGCGGTACAATCGTGTATTGACTGCCTTCAAGGTGAGCAAGCATTAAACCATCATCAATACTTTTAGGATCCGCTGGACACAAGCGCTCACAAGTCGAACCACAGAAATTCGCACCGGATTTGGCCACGACCTTTAGTTACGACTGCTCCTGCGTCAGTGATGTGGTAATTGCAACAGTCGGCAACACGTACGGAGACGTCAAAATCTGTAGCGTCTACTTCAACGAAGCGGTGAACCCGCCCTCTGGACAACACCGCAATCAATGGGAGTAAGTCTCAAGTTCTGTCAATGCAGCCGCTTTCATGAGTTAAATGTTGACAAAATTGGCAGCACGATTGTCCATGAAGCCACGCACTTTCGCGATGTTCTCGGCACGACTGATCATGGCTACGGTGTGGAAATGTGTAAAAAGTTTGCTTTGGAAGATCCAGAGGAGGCTGTTGATAACGCCGAGTAAGTCATACACCTGATATGCTCAAGAAGCTGTGGGATTGCTGACCTTTTTCTGTCTAGTAATCACGCCCGTTTCGCTGTCGAAGTACCTCCTTGGGGTCCCTGAATTTTCCATGACGTCTATGCTATGATTTTCCAAGGCATTGGATCGCTAGAGACTTGAATGGCCTTTTCCAGATTTTGTTGCCTGGGTATCGATTTGTCTTCGCCGACCTTTTGGAACCTGGATTATAGCTCTTCGAACTATGTCCTGGCAATCAACCTACCGTAACGGGGAATCAGTTACGCGTAAACTTGTCGAACTGTAGTGAATATACTGAATATACTGCTACACGGCACAAGCCTATATTGCCCGCCTGTGCCCTGTGACACGTAAAGCCGGTTCCGATCTTTTGTACTGAATACACTGAATTCCCATTAATCCTCCACATTTGATAGCCAAATTGACTAAGAATGTTTCGTCGGCACAAGCCGCAAAGCGAGTGCATATTGCAAAATTAGACCATATATTCCCTATAGTTGAACGATACGGAGCCATGTATGTTATCCTAAATGACCATGAATGAAATGACCTAATACTGCCCAACCCTCTTTCCCTTACTCCAATACGCTCTCTTCACGTCAACCTCGCATGGATCTGACTCTTCATCCCGGACTATTGGGTGTATGTGATTGGACTAGCACGAGTTTCTTTGGACTTGGACTGGCATTAATTCAAGAATGAATAACATTGTATGGTACCAACTCGCAAGTACGAAAGCGCTTTAGACCGAGCCCTGTTTTGCAAGCACTTGGTTCGTCGAGGCTACAAAAATGTCAACAAGTTCCCGAACTTGATGCTCATTGATAATAAAGGGAGGTGCAAAGAGAATAGAATCAGTCGCTGGTGAGCAAAGATATACGGCAAGGCCGTTGGATAAGCACGTCCGAGATACCTCGGCGGCTATAGCAACCCCTTCTGGCGTATCAAACTCTACACCCCTGAATAGTCCCACACCTCGAACCTCCTTCAATAAAGGCGTTCGATCTCGGAGTTCGCGCGCCAAAAGGTCGCCCATTGCTTGCACGTTGCTTAATAAGTTATCATTAACAATAACTTGTTGGGTAGCCAAGGCAGCAGCACACCCAATTGCATGGCCTTGGTACGTATGCCCACTAATGAACGGATGCGTCGATTGTTGCGATTCAAGAATCTGATGCACTTTTGCGCCTACCAAAACGGCAGAGATAGGCTGGTAGCCGGCCCCCAAGCCCTTGCCAATAGTTTGCAGGTCGGGCGCGACACCGCCCAGCGATTGCCAAGCGTGGAGGGTTCCGGCTCTGCCCATGCCGCACATGACCTCGTCGAATATCAGCAGCGAGCCGTACTTATCGCACAGCGCTCGGAGCCGGGCAAGGTAGCCCTCGGCAGCGGGAGCCGCGCCCAGGGTGGATCCGGACAGAGGCTCAAGAATAATAGCAGCAACCGACGAGGGGCCAAGCTTTTCAAACATATCTTCGTATTCTCGAATGAGTCGATCCACATAGTCGGACTCATTTTCACCCTGCTTGTGATCCTTCGAAAAGAAGCAAGGCGATACGTGGTGAAATGCCTTGGATAGCAGGGGCTCGAACGGCTGTCTCCGGGACGCATTGTATCCAGCGGAAAGCGCCCCTATCGTGTTTCCGTGATATGCGTATTGCCGGCAAATAAAGTTGATACGCTGAGATTCTCCATTGGCATTATGGAATTGACGAGCTACTTTAATAGCTGATTCAATTGCCTCAGAGCCTAGCAGCAAAAATTTCGTCAGTGGGCTATTCGATAAGTAAATGGCGAACGCTTACTTACCAGAGCTGAGAAACATGACATTGGAGAAAGCTCCACCGCTTTGGTCAACCAAGAATGATGCCAATTGCTCAGAAGGTTCACTCGTGAAAACGGACGTGTGTGCAAAGGCAAGTTTTTTTGCTTGCTCGATAATTGCTTCAATAATGACAGGATGACTGTGCCCTAGACAGGATACCGCGGCACCGCTGCAGCCGTCCAACGTTTTGGATCCGTCTGCATGGACGACATAAATGCCATCTCCGCCTGTGGCCAAATCATACTGTTTGGTCAAAGACCGATGAAAGACGGCAGTCTTTTGCGCAGGGGCAGCCATGTTGAAAAATGGTCAGAATATAGGCAATACTGGTTGGTCCTCATTCAGCAACTAGACAATATAAGCTGGGCGACACATTAAATGTTGAGTGTGCGTAGTGTCACTCAGGCACTACGACTTGCTTACATACTATACTGTGGGCATAAGGGTTACTTATACCCCAAACCAAGTAATGCTTGTACCAGATACATACTCGCACACAAACAATCAAGATTGAATATCATTTGTTGTGGCATTGTAATTTAGGGACGAAATAGTCATCGATTTAGGCCCGAGGTCGCTCCGATCCCGGAACCCCGGCCAAGCGTTGCATCGGTTAACTACGGGCCGCGCCCGAGCTGCAGCAGCCATGAGTCGGCCCAGGCCGATTGTGCTACCGCCGACGCCAATTCAAAGTGTCCGAATCCACAGGCTCGAACCGAGCTATGGGATGGTGACTTCGTTGTATATGAAAAGAATACACACGCATGCGAGATGGCCCAGAAGCATTTATTAAACTTGTCGCCGCGCGTGAGTAGATTAATTTATAGCACCATGTTGATCTCTCTTCAAGTTACTTTTCTTATTCGGAAGAAGAGAAAAGAGAAATGTCGACAACCACCCTTACAGAAACAACACCGCCTGCACCGTCCAACGTCCAATTGAGGTCAGCGGACGATGACTGGATAGAAGTATTATGATTCTCGATGAAAGGAGACGATATGACTGACTTATTTCGCTGCTGCTCATCAGGCTCCTTACCTGCGGCTCGACAGTGGACGAAGCTGCCGCGTACATTATCGCTCTGGAGCGCGCTTGTGCCAACCAAATCATGGCCGAGTCCGCCGCAGTTAATGGGATACCCAAGAGATTCATGGTGGGAGAGGAGGCAGAGTACACTCGCAGATACACAGCAACTCCTGCATGTGCGTACATGTAATTCCAACCAGATTTTGACCTCACGGAGAGCTCTCTGGGGGCAAGGTTCTGGAATAGTCACATTAGGAAGTACTTTCATTTGACATATCAGAGGATGGCAAGTACGATATTATATACACGAAAGCCCCAATCACTAGACTTGATTATAGGCTAACCCCACTGTAGCCAGCTACCAAGTCCAGCTCGCAAAAAGTTAAACAATATTGAGTTCTCTTTCTTTTTCCCGTGACAACAATTTGAATTAAATATGCAGCTCGCAAAATTATCACGGAGCTATATGCTTATGAGTATAACGATACGGATCTACGGATCTACGAGCAACGCGTGTAACATTAAAGAGGGTCTCGAATAGTCCCTGCTTGGTGGCATTTTATAGTGGGCTGTTAGGGAGGAATTGTGGTGACGGCGGTGGTGGGGAAGTTCACAAAGTTGCAAAAACAAAAAGCCTAGAGAAATGATTTGGCCATTTGTTTTGCCATTGACCCTCGGCAATTAAGCACGCAATTAATGTTGGATGATCAAAGGCCAAACCAAGGCATACACATGACTTCATTATTTCCAGATCAAGTATCTGGGCGCGCAACTGCAAGACCATCAACGACTGCCTAGGTGTTGCCCAGTACTTCAATGTAAGGTTTACGCCGAGCTTGGTCGTGCCAGGCTTCCGGCTAAGATGCGCCTCTGACCTTACATAAATTTATCCGAAAATGGACGGGAGATTCCACTTCTCCTCTTGAAGCTTGACAGCCACCCCGGCAGCGGCCTGGGCTCCGGTCGCCACAGCGTTCGGCCACACCTTGAACATGTGTATCGTGTCGCCAGCGGCGTAGACGCCGGGAACGCTAGTGGCCTGGAACGGGCCGTTCGTCTCGTACTCGCCGCCAGTGGGCGAAAGCTTGAGGCCGAGCTGTTCCGCAAAGGGGCCTCTCACCAGCGTCATTGGGGCGTGGCCGATAAAGGCCTCGGTTGCGGTGGTGCCGTCCTCGAAGGTGATCTCGACCGTGGTATCCCCGGGAGACTTGAGGGCAAACTTGGCAATCTTGCGCGTGTCTGCCTTCCACGGCTTGCCCTCCAGCATCGGCGCAATCTGCTTGGCGAGCTCCTCATTGCCGTGGGTGTAGATGGTGACAGTGCTGGCCAGCTGTGCGGTCAGGTGCGATATGTGGGAGGTGAATTGAGGCATGGCAATCCAGTCCACTGCCAGTACACCAGCGTGCACCTTGGTAGGATCCTCCTGGTAGCCCTGCGCAAAGAGGTTGTGGAAGCTGGAAGGGCCGGGTGATTAGAACCGTCACAATACTGCTTTCGGAGGTTGGACTGGCCAAATGTCAACTTACATGCCTGATTCAGGATACTCTTGAACTGCTCCGTGTCGTAGTCGACAACGGCAAGGAAGGGCGGGATGGGTGCATCGTCGCCTGGAGTACGGCGATGTGCTTCTTTCAAAGCAGCCTGCCAAGGCTTTTCTTTCCAGACCGCGATGGCTGCAGTTCCGCCAGGCTTGACGGTACGCAGGATATGCTTTGCGGCACCAATTTCATCATCGAGACCGAGGAGGACAAAATCCGTGATAGATAAGTCGAAATAGTTGTCTGCAAACGTCAGGTCGTTGGCGTTGACTTCTGCAACTTCCACAGGCCATGAAGGGTTCTTTGTGAGCGTAGAACGCAGCTGAGCTAGATAATTGGCACTCTTATCGGTCGCATGTATCTTGATATCGTTGGGGACGCCCGAGTTCATGATCTCGCCTGTCATAGAGCCATAGCCGCAGCCATTGTCATGAATGACGAAGCCTGATTTGATCGGCGGCACGACTTTAAGAAGCTCTTGTGCGATCCCCTCGGTCACATTGCCCTGGAGCTCCTGGGCGAGAGCCCCATCAAACTTGACAGCTTGTTTCGGGAAGAACGTTGCCGACATATTCGAATGTTGTAGACAATTGATTGTAGTGTGAATGGAGGTTGGCTGCTGGGTAAGAAAATAGTTAGCGTAAGAGTCCACGGTTATTATTCTTTATCTTTCAGCTGGCACGAGATGGTTGAGGCCATGCAAGGGATGTCGGCGGCCGGCCAGACTTGATTGGATGGGAAGAATACTGCGCGATACCTTTCTGTTGTGTATGCGGAGTGCTCGCCGTATCATGTTTGGACTCTGATCTATGGCGGATGTATTTCAAATGCTAGAATCTGCCATCTCACTGGGTTAAAGCGGTAATAAGTGACAACATGCAGCTTCAGCCTAGCTCAAATGGAAGCACGGAAACATGTCTAGGTTAGTACCAAAAGACCCTTAAAGCATGGGGTGTTGATATTTGTGTCTACCTCTTCCACTGTGACAACCCAAGGACGCTTCACGCAGCATGAACAATAGCCTGCTCAGGCACGGCACCTACATACCCATCCATGCACATGAAGAGATGCCGTTAAGTAGACTTGATGAGCACTAAACCAGTTCAGGTTAAGATCTGCAACATATACAACTACCTTTTTTCCTTTCTTGCCTGTCCACATCCCACTCCCCTGACACTACATGGCCGGTGGCACATATGCTTTCATGTTGGATTACCGTTGGTCACCTTGCTGTTGACTATGCATTTTGTGATTCCCCCGCATGACACCAGACGCTGAAGGCCCTATGAACTGTCTCGACCTCGTAGTAAGAACTTGTTCATAGCTTTGTCTCCAATCTTGGATACTGCAAGTGCCATGATACTCAACGTATGCCTGTCCGTGGGGAAATGCAATAGCGTGTCCATCTCTGTGTACCCGTGGAGCTACCGAGCGCTACCCCACGAAGCATCACTTCGATGCCAAATTTGATCCCTTGACCTTGAGCCTTAACGGAAGGGTTGCTCAAAGGCCCTCGAAGGCATCGGTTGCCCGCACCCCCCTGGTCGACGCTGCTCCAGGGTCCAACAATCTTTGCATTTACCTTGACCACCATCTCCCACAACCAACGAGCGTTTGTGCATCAGCCAAAAACGGAGCATCACAACTCTACCATATTTCAATTGAACGCGAGGCCCCGAATAAGATGGATTTTATGGCCGAATAAAATGGAAAAGATAGACAAATGCGCCGAGACGTCCACTTGTGGTAAGCCAGGTTGGTTTACGACCCATCGGAAGGCAGAGAAATGGTGCCAGACTTTTGTCATTTGATACAAAGACACGACCGTTCTGTTGTATGCATGTAGGTGGGAACTGCGGAGGTAAATAAGGTAGCAGGATTTTCTTTGTGAGGGGCATGAACTTAGGGTGGCCGTCAAGGCCTTGAAAGAAAGTGTTGTATTGTACTGGTTAGACCAACTGGTAATGATGCTTAGGTAGGAACATGTCCCACTATTGTCCGCTATGTACCACCTTACAGCCTGGATCATACTAATATGCAAGGGAGGGACACCTACAGGTCAGCCATGCGGGCAGGGGTTGTGGCCAATGGTCGCTGCAGTATTCCGTATGGCCAAAGGTGGCCTGTCCCAAGTGGGATTTGCTACACAGTACACCTTTTTTTTCCAGAGGCACAGACTGATTCAGTCGTGGAGGAATGACCAGCGCTAAAATGCAGCCTGTTGGTTACTATGTAGACGGCAGATTGTATCTGAAGGCTGGCTTCAGGCAACAGGTACGGGTGTTCGGTCCTGCCATCAGCCTCTCACATTCGGTGGCTATCAGATCAGGAAGTCCTAGACATAACGCCACATGCAGAAATATGGTATCGCCAAAACTTGGGGCGCATGTCAGGACCGCTGAAAAATATTCATTTTGCCCGTACAGAGTGGCGTGAGCTCAATCACGCCATGGACAGACTGCACTTGTCCAGTTGCATCGCCATGGCACCTCAATGACCTGCTTGCTTGGCGGTCAGCATCACACTATCTAGTCCAAGCGAAAGCCTGCGAAACGCTTCTGTCAGTTGCAAAGGTGGGAGGGCAAAATTAATCCTGGCCCAGCCCTCCTCGATTTCTGGCCCGTGATACCCTCGGCCCGAGGACAGGGATACTCCGAGACTTTTGAATGTCTGAAGGACTGCGACCTCATCCTCCCACGTCTTGGAGTTTGGTGCAATCTTTGCAAAGACAAACGGAGACATGCTTGCTGGAATCTATTCAGGACCTCTCGCTCGCAGCAGTCTAGTCAATTGGATATAGGAATCCATCAGTCTCTGCGCGTTCAGCTCCAGGAGACGTGGGAGCTGGGGCGCAGCAGAAGACTTGTGGTTGCAATTGCCGTAAGAGAAGATATTTGAGTGTTTGAGGCGAGAGCCATGCCAATAGCTAGAGGTCTGTTTGCTTGAGGACGCAGCAGCCCTTTTCCAAAATGAGCATCGAAAACACAGAAAGGAAAGAAGAAGAAGATATTCAAGTACCTACCATCCTTAACCCGCTAGAACCCAGGTCTTTTCTGGTGCTCCAAACCGTATGCATGCGAGAAATCTTGCAACGCAGCTCGGCAATGTCTATCTCCAGAAGGGAAAGGAATGGTACCGGGCTGGGTAGATCCGGGTTCGGGAGCTTTGAGAGCGCATATATCTCGTCTGAGATCAGGTCAATCTTTTTCTATCGCACCACTTGATGATCTCGACGATGGTTTCTCTGGGGTAGGCTTGACCGAATGGATTGTTTGGGTTCGTGAATAGTAGGCCCTTGATAGGATATGGCGGTTGCTCAAATGCATCTTCTAGTGCCTGAATCAATCTTGGCGCGAAGATGTCATCAAAGCTGGCAATTGGTACAAAGACTGGAAACACCCAGGTTTTGACCTTGACTAGCCAGTCGAACGAAGCCATTTGGGTAACATGAGCACTCGGTATGCAGTACCTGTTTGATTTGCTTGGTACTTACTCCAAGCCGTAATTGTAATCAGGAGTCCATCTCCAGTTTCAGCTATATTGAATAGCAGAGGGTCCAGAATAAATGCTGCCCCAGATGCGGTCGCAATATGATTTTTTGAAATGGGTATGTATGGGTGGAAATAAGAGTTGAAAAGCTTTCCCAAGGTATTGATAAGATCCGTGTCGCCTGCAAGGCCGTCCGGGTAGGACAACTGCTATGGTAATAGTCAGCCAAGAGTGCGCCATGACAATGCTTGTCGTGTCATACCTTGCCCAAGAGATTGTCCTGAATGGCGTGGTTGTACAGTTGTATGAGCCCGTCACGGAGAAGCCACTTTTCAGATGTTGCCATGTTATACAAGGACTCTCGGCTTGCTCTCGCTCAGCGGCGGCATTCTTGATCCGTGGCCAACTGCCGTTGACATTGGCAGCACCACGTTGAGACAGTCCGTAGCCTTCCATTGTCGGATGGGAATGTCGTAATTTGTCTCAATCAGGAAGATTGAAATTTTTCCTAATTCAGTCCGACATAAAGACTAAAATATCGTTTTCGAAGTCCTTATCAAGGTCTGTAAAGCATGGCAAATCTGGTAGACGGAATTTTGTTCCTCTTGTCTAACTGCACAAGTCAATAAAGTAGAGCACTGGAAAATGGCTAGTACTTATTGCACGCATTATCAAATGTTTGTCGTTATCCAAAATAATTCAACGTATTGAAATGTGCTTCTAGACGTATACCAGGAGTTTTTGTGTCAGGTATCTTGTCTCATGCATTTAGCAGGCCACCCGGCTTCAGACGTCCAATCCGCCGTATCATTTTCCCCAACTCTTTATCGCCAGTAGCATAATCCCCTTCTTAAACATCAAGTTATCCATGGCTCCAGTAGATGGTGTGATGATAGCGCAAAGTTACGTCTACTCACGTGTGTTCTCAAGTATCGCAACCTCCGTAGTACGATTCTTATTCTCAGACAGAGGCAGATGGTCTCATTGGAAATAATGGCAATGGTTTGAGCTATGAAATGGCTATTAACAGAAACGCGGCTTCCGGAATGGACTCTGTGATGCTCAGACAACAACATCGCTTGAATACCTTCTAAGCTTCTATAATCCAATAACTATCCTCTGGTACTGTCCCACAGAAGCATTTGATCTCACACAGAAATCAAGAGCTGACCACCTACAGGCCTTCTGGTTACATTACGCTCGAAATGAAAGCATGGTTTTGCTTCTATCTACTTAATGCGCAGCGGTGAATCAATATTCTTGCGCTGGAACGACATGAGAATGTGGGTGGCTCGCTGGAACTTGGAGCATCACCTCAGAAACAAGCTCTATGCGTCCCTCTCCAGAGGTCTCGAGGGACAACAGGGCCTCATAGGATCTCTTTGAGCGGTGTTGACGATACCAATAACCCAGTCGACCTGTAGGCGACTCAGCAGAGCCACATTCGAACATGCAATGCAGCTCTTCCTTGAGTTACATCTGAAGAAGCCGACCGGGCAGGTGACGAACCTCCTTGGTGGAGACAGCGCTTTGAGCACATTCAGACGGAATTAGTTTCCAGCTCTTCCCTATGCACAGCCTATCTCTTCTTCTTCTTCGATGCGTACTACGGCTTGATGGGTCATCTGGGTTGCTTACCCACTTTTACATTTAAAGGATTCATGTAGCAAAACCTCGAGGAATAGCCCGGAGAGAAATGACCAAAAGAGAAATGGAGACGAAAGAAATCAAATATGATCCCATATTTTATGAGATTACGCACTTACTACTAAGACCCAGGACAACGGCCCTGTTCTCTTTGTTTGTGACGTTGCTCACATAGCTGGCTCAGCTACAAGCTCCATCAAACTTTTTCGGTAACTTTGTACGCGGGTTCAGAACGATCCGATTGATGCAGAACGCATGCTAGAGCTGGCAAGGCCCAAGCAAGTACACTGTCAGTACTGATGCTAACTACACACACGAGTTCGAAGAGAAACCGTCGTGCAATACAAGAAGAACGCGCGCAGCATCCTGGCCTCTGGGGCCTAAAGACCTCGTCCTCGAAACCTACCTTTGCCCATGGCGGCCATCAACCGGTGCTGTAGAAGATTTCACTAGATGCCCGGCCGAGGACCTCGACTGCCATTATCGGTGAGGGTGAAAGCGGGAACTCAACTATTCTGGATGTGTTATTCCACATCTCCGACCTTGGTTCAGGGACTATCAGTATCGATGAGATATGTATATGCGACGTGGGTATCAATAGTGTCCGGGGCCATATTGGTGCAGTTCGGCAGGACAAAGTTCTTTTTCAACCCTAACCTGACGCACAACCTTGTTATTTAAAGCTAGAAGCTTTACCAACAGTTACTCGAGTTTGAGATGGGCCTTTTTAATTTTGTTTGTGAAAGAGGTCTCAAATTGTTATACGGCTAGAGGCAAGGGGTACGTGGGAGCCGCTTCTGCTTCGATAGAATCACTATGCTAAACGATTGGGATCAGAATAGCGCGAATCCTTTTCAAGGCGCTGGAGATCCTGCCGCTAGACAGAGCAACCTCTTCGTTTGATTTCGGGACCGAGAGCCAGAGCGAAGGATTTCTACAGAAAGTTTCGAAAGGCAGAGCTACGATTACGGTCCCGAAAGTAATAGCGCAATGCCACACTGTATCTCTTGACTTGGATGCTAGCTTAATGACGGCCTTGGCTAGGTATCCATGATTGTCAAAGCTGATCAAAAAATTGTGATCCAGAATGGTCGTATAGCAGATGTCCGACAGCACACAGAATGAGTCGTCATTGAGGATATGTATGCGCAAATGTGGAAGACAGCAGACGAAGAATGAGTACAGGTCTGATTGATGTCATGGCATTCAAAGTTGTTACACCCGACGACTAGATGGCGAAACTCCCACTGAATCGACGTCCGCATACCTGTTTGACGCACTTGTGCGCGCGAGCATACTGCAAGTTCCGAGCGGAGCAGTGATCAAGTTTCATGGGACACAAAGAGACATGGTAGTGGTTCATAAGATCACCTCATATATCGGCCGGAGGATTCTGGACTAGGTTACAATGATAATGCATTGACTGTTGGACTGCACCGTCTATGGACTTTTATGTATATTTGGAGGCCACTGTTGATGTTGATGTTGTCGTAGTTGTATTGGTTCCATTTTAAAAGGACTACGGGCGGTGGTCGAATAGGCCAAAGTCTCCAAAGAAACTGCCCAGGTACCTACCACTGCAGGGCGGGGCGAGAGTTTAGAAGGCCACTGAAATGCCTAAGCCTTCTGTGGTGCAATGGCCTTGTGGAATGTGGAAAAGACTTGCGCCTTTAGCCCCATAAGCCCACTAAAGCAGCCACTACAATGTCCGCTAAAGCCACCGACTGATTGTGGCCTGACGTAAAAAAAATAAAGTTTCATTCAAAAACCGATAATTTCATTCTCTCTTAGTGATGAGAATGAAAAACACAGATCATGTTGCACAGGCTTCCAGATTTGTGGATTGCCGGATTTTGGAAGTTGCAAACATATAATAAGGAATGAAGAAATGGTCATTTTGACTGAAATATCGTTTAGCAAGCCCCCAGGCAGTATTCGCGATTTCAGAAGGCAAATTCGAAAAGGCTTAAAACTTGCAGCAGGGAAAGGGATCAGCCTTCTAAGCCCACAGCGAGATCCACTATGGTGATATTTATTTCCTCGGCCCCGGCTCTAGCATAATGGGGAGTGAGACAGAAAACTTGAAACAACTTATCGTTGTAAATATAATTGCATGTATAACCAGTAATCATTATTTGCAGTCACGACTCTATACACCAACAGTCTCTGATGTATCTTGCACCGGAACATTGTCAAGCCAAGCCTGCAGCTTCCCCCTCAGCTCATCACGTTCGCACGTGCTCTGATTATACTCGGACACGAGTTGTTCCAGATGCCGCATCGCCCTATCCAAGACTATCGACTTGGTAGGCACCTTGTCAATTACCTCTACTGCTTGGTCTAGACTCGGTGTCGTCTTCGAATCGGATGGGTTGCCGCCCCTATTGGAGGCGGGGATTAAAGCGCTCAGTTCCTCGATCTTTCTATTCACGACAGACCGGTATCGCTTCTCCACCGATGAGTGGGGACGTTGTGCCGGCTGTTGAGGCTGCTGTTGCTGTGGCTGGGCTGCGGTCTTGATGTTATTGCTTGGTTGGTGATCGGCATGTCTGCGTGGTGAGGTCCGAATGGGTTTCGTGTTTGGTCCCGCAAGCGGACTGGGTGCTGGTGGGGGGTGCAGTCGGTCCGTTTGTTCACCTTTCTCATTTTCTTCCTCATATTCGCTGTCTTCGTCATCATCAGGGTCGATGTCATAGCCATCGACTCCTGTATCGCCGTGTCGTAGATTGTCTAGGACACCTTTGCCAATAGTCCCACCCTCTGCTCCATTGCGATGGGTTCTTGGAGGCGGAACCACGTCGCGATTTGCTGTTAGCAGGTTAGGAATGTATCCGTGACAAGAGAATTATGCTAAGAGAAGTACCAATGTCGTGGGCCTGCTGTGGATTTAGTAGACGTGCGACTCTTAACAAGCGTCGAAAAAGCTCAAAGTCCTCATGAGTTGCAGTGTGGTCAACAGGAATTTGCGGGACCTGATTCAGAATAGAAGACATGATACGTCTCACGGCTATACAAATCAAATAGAGTCGTATAGTATAACAAGTAATTCTACTGTGGGTATCCCATCCGTGCGCGCATATAACCTTATACCAAGACTTTTCAACTCAAAGGATTATACGATTCCGATTGCAGTGTACGCCGGTGAATTTCTTTTTTTCCACTAGTCCTCAATCTAAATGCGAGTTCCAAGGAATTATCATCCTACAAGGTTAAGGTTGGCAAGCCTGCGGATCTTAGGAGAGCGTTCATACGAACCATGCTGAGGTGCAGTTATACGAATTTCGCAGGAACCATGGATACAAACCACGCGAAGCCCACGTTGCGCGGCTTAATTTATAAGCGTGCATGCAGAGTCCGAGTCAGCTAATCAAATCTCACATGACCCCATTCCACCGGGAAGATGTAATCAAAGCGGCGGCTTAGTTGATCCTAACAAGCCAAGGAAAAGAAAAACAGGAAAATAAAAAGAGGCGTTCAGGACGGCTTGAATATACATATATACGCGACCGGGTGATTTGCGGTGAGTATTGATTACGTCAATTAAATCACAAGCGACATAAGACGGTCCAATAGAGCAATAGCATCTTTCCCCCAAGATTGAAGCAGACAAGGCAAGGTTCAATGTGTGACAAATCCCGAATATGCATGCGAATTTGCTCATTGTCCCGACTATTAATTGAAACTTACAACATTATTATTTACCCAAGTACAAGACGCAATCAAACCACTGTATATATGTTTCGTCATTGCTTGTTGATTAAATTGGGGGGAAATATTTCAACATTTCTTCAATCATTTTTACTCTTCTTTGCAAACTTGTTAATCCGCACAAGGTACTCGCGAGCCTCAGAAGTATATACGGGATAAGAAACTTGTAGGATTCGTAGGATTCATTGTGGAGCTTACGATCTTTACATGCGGGATAAAAGAAGGTTGCAGGATCTGGAGGATCTATGGTAAGCCTAAACGAATCCTATCGATTATGTGTACAGTGACTTGGGTATAAAGACTAGTTTGCGTATTATACTGGGATCAATGGTTACTTATACATCAATCCGAATAATCCTTGTACTAGGTACACAGTTTGCATACAGTTAATCTATGAAAGTTTACATAGAGTGGGGCATGGCACGGTTAGAAAGATAAGCCTGCCTAGAGAGTGCAAAAAGTGTTAAATTCAGTTGAGGAGTTCTGCAGGATGATATTCAAGTATAACAACTAGAAAATCCATAATGTTGGGGTAGAAACGTTATAAAATGGGGACATCTGAAAATAGACAGTGCATAATGGATCGTGCGGGGAATTAAACTTTGACCTGCAACCACCGTTATAAGTCAGGACTATCCATTGGCAATGAACCCTGACCTAACGCTGGGTAGGTATGTAGATAGCATAAAGCACGTTCTCTACACGATGTATGCCGATGTCACCGCACATCTTGATATGACCCTCCCTCCTGCAAACCACCACACCCAATCACCACACACATCTCTGTACGAACGTAGCAGCAGGCTGGAGAGCATTCACTCGCCACATCTCAGCAACTACTTTGACCCCGTCAACTACCTCTCGGATTTCAATCTGTCCGCTCTGGCCAGCGGCGTCGACTTTAACACCCCGTCCATAACAGACGATGAGCTGCTTCATGGCAGCCTGCCCGACTCGGAGCAAGTGTATGACACAAACGTTCCCTGGCCCATGTTCAATCTTCAATCACAACCACCACAAGCGCACCCTATTGGTATTTACTTCCTCTTATCGCCGCGTGAAAAGGTGGCCATGCTACGAGTCCGCTTGCTTATCTTGCCCATTTAGCAACAGCAGAACGAACAACAACAAACCCACCGTCCGTAACCGGCGGTACAGCGCAAAGAATCTCTAGCAAACCATCCAAAGCCACCACCACGACGGCCCGCAAAGCAAAAAAGCCCCACGGTACCAGGGCCAGCAGCAGCAGCCACAGCAGCAGCCAGCGCCCCCACTACGCAGTAGAAAAGCGCTACCGCTCGGGTCTCAATGAGAAATACGCAGCCCTGACGCGGATCCTATCTAGCGACGCCGTGCAGCGGATATGCCGCACAGAGCGGCCAGAATGGGGAGCGTCCGTTGGCGGCGGAGGAGTCCAGGATGAACAACAACAACAACGGAGCCGACAGCAAAAGACGACGACGCTGTCCGCGACCATTGAGGCAATTGCTATCCTGAGCCGGTGTTGTGCGCGCGAGGCGAGAGAGCTCGAGGTTCTGAGGCGGGGGGTTCAGGATACTACGGATCGTGTGAGACGAGTGCTGGAGATGACCAGCGGTGGGGTGGCGGCGAGTGGTCGTAGTGAGGTCGTTCAACAGGGGCAAGAGGATGGTGCGAGATCAGATAGGAGTATTGAGCGTCATCATGTGATGCAGGGTTAACGTTTGGATGACGTTTGGGTATAGATACGCAATGTAATTTGAGAATTACAATGACATTTGAACAATAACCTGTGATGAAGTGACAAACCACAAACTTGACGCTTGACAAAGGCAGATTGGGCATTTCGCGATCTAGTGCAGACATATCGCCATTCCACAATTGATGCAATTACTACTTCGAGTTATAATCATTCAAACAATTTAATAAACATAGGTAGTTTTGATACGAAACATGAGAATTATGAATGCCCCTAAAAAGAGTGCCCAACGCCGGTGGTACTGTGTAGTGGTGGTAGCTATGAAATATGATATACACCAAACATAGGGAAAAACGAAAAGAAAGGATGCAAGCTACCCTTGCTGCGTTTGAATGATGTGGTCCAGGTTCTTCTGCGGCTCAATGAGCAAACACGACTTCTAGTCGTCTTGGTCATGTGCTTGTTGGCAGCTGCTCTTGAATCAAGGCATGGGGTGATGTAAGGATTCTCTGAATAGTGAAAATGAGATCGTCATAAAGTCGCTGAGCGACCTCACTGGTGACGTGGTCGACTGCATAAACCAGACTTAGGTCTAGTTCGCCATCGACTTGTTGCCACGCAATCCGGATGTTGCTGTAAGTCCAATCCTGCTCGCTCTGCTTTGGCTGACAGATTGTGTATTCTGTATCGCCTATCTCAATCTTGCTTCCGGCAACGCGTGTCGGCGCGTGGTTGATGACAGACGTAGGAATGGTGCCTGCGGGCCAGTCTGTACAATGCTGAGCAATCTGGCCGAAACCAAAGGTCTCAAAGGGCATGCTATCCAGGTGCTGTTTTTGCACGGCCTGTACAAGGTCTAAATATGTGGACGAAAGGTCAAGCCGGACACAGACTGGCATTGGAGTCGCACAACAGCCCGCAACGTCGCCGACGGATGAGTCAACCCCAGCACGACCCGATACAATGTCTGCGAATACGACTTGGTCTCGCTCCGCATGATTGGCCAGCACAATTGCCCATGCTGCTTTGAGGACACTTGCGCAGGTCATACCCATGGGGATATTTTGGCCGAGCTCTATCGTCTTGGGACCAATAACTTGGGCCCGCCATACAAACTCATGATCTCGAGGAACCGAATCCCCAATGGGCGTCATTGGTGTGTTTTGTAGAAGGCGAGTCCAATATCCAGACGCTTCTTGAGATCTACGATGCTCAACTTGAGCGACATACTGCGAGAAGGATGCCGTTTGCTCGGTTTGGTTGTCAGCGTAGATTTGTTGAAGGATTGCCCAGAACTTTGGAAGACTCATGCCATCATAGATAGCGTGAGAGAAGCGGAAAAGTATACGATGCGCCCCAGTCTGTTTTTGTATGCAGATCGCAATGTCTGCAAGCGGACGTCCGAGCTCAAAAGACCCGAATTTCCGGTCATGAACGAAACTCTCGGTCCACTGATCGATTGTGTCTTCCGTGACATATACCAAAACTTCCGGCTTGAACGATGAGAGTACCAGTCGCTCCCATTTATCATCTTTGCGGATGAAGCCTGTGTGAAGCGCCTCAATACTTGTGATGAGCTGCTTGCAAGCATTCACCATCCTCTCCACACCCAGAGTCGTTTTGCCATCCATCGCAAAGTAAGTCATGTCTACATCTGGGTGAGAAACATGGTGATTGAGTACACTCTCCTGGGCATCCGTTACGCCGGACGACTCCGCTGGCATGTTGGGCAAGCTGTTTGACGTGCCATCTTTGGCCCTTATCTCTACAAGTGTAGACAACGCTGAGATACTTTGTTGCTGCAGCACGTCTCGGACAGAGACTCTAACGCCGCGTTTGCGGCATGCTGCAGCAACGTGCATTGCAGCCACAGAATCACCACCTAGTTGGATGAACTGATCATGAAGTCCTATGTCCTCTGGAGAGCAGCCAAGCACTCCGGCATAAGCAGCTCGTAAATGCTCTTCAGTTCGTGACAGAAGCCTGCCAGGATCACTGGGTATCCTATTCAACGCTCGGAGCTGGTCTGGAGTCAAGGCTTTGATGATTTCTCGTGCAGCACGTCGGTCCAATTTGCCCGATGCATTGATGGGCAAGTGGCCTGAAATGGGGACAAAATAGCCCGGGACCATATAGGGGGGAAGTTCCTGTAGTAGATCCGTACGTATCCTTTGTATCATGGCTAGTACATCTTTTGTAGGCGCTCGGACTGTCATTGGCAAGCCCTGCTTCTTACTTTCTTCACCGACCTGAGTGTAGCCTGTTTCCTGAAGTTCGATCGCGGCCACAAGCGTCAAGTCGGCGGGTGAGGTTCCATTCTGCGATTCGACCAAGTCGACAAAGGCGTGAGAAACTTCCGGATAAAGTTGAACTATGAGGCTCTCAATCTCGCCTACTTCAACCCTTTGGCCGCGCACTTTGATCTGGCCATCACGACGGCCAAGGTAGATCAACGAGCCATCCGCATTCTGCCGTACGAGATCGCCCGTACAATACATGCGATTGTGAGATGAGTCTGATATACCGAGGTGCGTCAGAAGAGGAGTCCCCGAGATGAACGAAGCAGCTGTTTTGGCCGCATCGTTCAGATAGCCCCGTGCTAGCAGTGGCCCCTGAATCAAGAGCTCTCCTGGAGCCCCCACTGGAACGAGGCGGGTGTAATCGGACGGATCAACCACCCATGCAGCGGATCCGGCGATAGGAAAACCAATGTTGCTGGCATCTCGGTCTTCGCTAAGCATACTAATGACCGACTCAACGGAGCATTCACTCTGTCCATAGGCATTGAGTATTTTCGCATGCCCTTTCCACAGTTTGACTACGGCAGGTCTGACTGCCTCGCCACCCAGTACAATAGTTTCAATCTCAGGCACATCGCATGGATCAATCAGGGACGCAGCAGTAGATGTCAAGTTGACAAAGTTGACGTGAGTGCGGCGCATCATATGGGCAAGCCCTTTCATGTCCAGGCGTTCATCCTCGGACGGAATGCATGTACAGCCTCCAAAGATAAGCGTTGTGAACATGTCTTCAATGACGACACCAAAGGTATGTGATGCAAATTGAAGTGCACGGGTCTTGGAGCTGTTGCCGAACAGAGTGCCGTGGCTTTTGATCCCTTTGCATAGTGATTTGTGTTCAAGCACAACACCCTTTGGCGTTCCAGTGCTACCAGATGTGTAAATGATCCAAGCTGCGTTATTTGGGGATACACCTGAATGAGGTGGCAGTGTGCTGGCTGGGAGTTGCTCGATGAAAGAAGCCTCGACCACGATGGAGTGCGCTACGCCTGGTAGTCGTTTTGCTTGCGCTTTATCGACCAAAACCACATGGATATCTGCATCTGCGATGATGGTTTTGATGCGGCTCGGAGGGTGTTGCGTACCGAGGGCAACTACTACACCGCCAGCTTGAAGGATGGCCAACATCGAAATCACCGCCCATAATGATTTATCCATACAGATACCAACAGTGACTTCTGGTCCAACACCGAGGCTGGCCAAGTGATGTGCTAAGGTGCAGGCAGCTCTGTTGAGCTCGCTATATGATAGCGCGCCATCCCACGACGAGACAGCTTGCGCTTGCGGCTGTTTGTCCACCATGACCTGTACAAGGTCATGAATGCAAGATTCCTCCGGCTCTGCTTGCAGTGCGGGTTTATTCCACCTTTGAACCCTCTCCAAATCAGCCGGATTGAAAAGGTCAAGCTTCCCAATGGGAGTATCTCCGCCGTTCTCTAGCATCTGCAAGAGGTGTTCAAACTGCGAGAGAAGACCCTCAGCCATTGGTGGTGGGATTATCTCCTGGTCAAATCGAAGTTCAACGTCTACAGCGTGATCGATACTGACGGTGCACTGCACAGCAAGCGCATATCCACCAAACTCTGCATTGTCTGAAACAATTGGCTCTAGGCCAAGTGTTTGGAGTGGGTTGCGATCACCGTGTTCCATTATTGGCTGTATGATAAACAGATGTCCCGGATCGTAATCGGATCCCAGTCCAGGCACAGCTGCACGGATATGCTGAATGCCTGTATGGATGAATGGCCTCATCTCTTCAGTTTGGCGTTCCACGGAGGCCAGGAAATTTGAAACAGGCTGCGCGGGATCATCGAAGCGTGTTTTCACTGGCACAGTGGCAAGAGTCGGAACAACCGCGTTCTCTATACCCAACACTGGAATATCCCGGCCAGATAGTGCCACAGTTGAGGTGGATTCGGTGCTTCCGGTGTAAGAAGCGATTGTCATAGCCCAAGCCGCACGCAATAGGATGGCCACTGGCGTCCCGCTCTGTGTTCCCCCATTGCGAATACGCCGCTGCGCTACAGAATCGGCGCGTGGGCGGTATAGTGGATGTGGTAGAGGAGGAAAGCGAGTCAGATTTGCATCTGCCAATTGCAGTCTCCAGTACTCAGTTGCCTGTGCCTTATCTGCCTGTTCTAGATACTTGATGAACCGTGGGATGGGTGCTGTGGCAATCTGCTTCTCTCCTTGGTAGACCTGGGCTAGGAGTTGAAAAGTCTGCAGCATACTTGCACCGTCATATCCAGCGTGGTGGGCTGACCACACAAAGAAGGCGTCGTCTTTGTTGCTCAAAGTTCGGACGATTGCAAGACGGTGAAGCGGTGTGCCATATGCAAAGGGCACTGCTTGATCTCTGGCTAGGTAAGAACTTAAGTCGGAGTCAACAATGTCCCAATGTAAAGGATCTGGTAAAACGATTTGGACAGAGCCGGATTGTGTGGCATAGACGATGCGTGTCCTTAGGATCGGGAGGATGGTCATGAGCTCTGCCCAGATCGACTGAAAATGTGTGATAAATTGTGACTTGTCCACATCTCGTCGGATGCGAAAGACGTTTTGCGCAACATATGCACCCGGCTGCTGAGCTGTGATAGCCATCAGACCCTCCTGCAAGGCCGTGGTCGGGTACGCGTCCACGATCGAACTTGGGGCAACGCCACACTGCTCTGCTAGGCTAGCTAGCCATTCCTCTCGGTCCGTTGCATCAACACGACAGAGCTCGAATGGTGTAGGGTCCGCCTGAGCGACTCTGAGCGCTCTTTCCCCGTACTCCTCTGCTACACTGGCCAAGTCAGCGAGACGGGGGTTCTGCAAAATGTCTGCGACTCCGAGATTCATCCGCTTCCTTTGCGCTAGCGCAACGAGCCTCATTGCAGTGACTGAATCGCCTCCAAGACGAATGAAGTCGTCATCTGCGTTGATAGTTCCTGCAGGTCGACCCAGGACCTCGGCCCAGAGCACCTGGAGTTGTTGTTCCATAAATGTGAGTGGCCTATCTTCGGCGTTGAGCGATCGGTCATATGCTCCAAGCTGACTGTAACTCAGGCCTGAGAGGACATCACAAATCGCTCGACGGTCCAGTTTTCCGGAGGCGTTCATAGGCAAGCTTGAAAATGGCACGAAATGATGTGGTATCATGTAGAATGGCAGCACAAGTCCAAGGGCACTCCGGACTTTCTGGACCATAGTGTGAAAGTGAGATGTGGGCGGAATGGCCCCATTGGCCGGGGCTGGTACGCATGCTTCATGGCTGCCGTTCGGACTACATTGGTCCGCTTGCATTTCGAGAGCCGCAAGAAGAACAGGTTCGCCAGATATACTGTCGCTTGGATGTACGAGGTCTACGCATACCCTCTGGATCTTTGACTCTACTCGTGTAATATGGCTCTCTATCTCACCCGTCTCCACGCGCTGCGCAGGTTGGTTAGCATTATATTCGGCCATACAAAAAACGTAGAAGAAGGAGTTTGGAACCGAGGATCAAGGCATTCAAGAGTCGCTTACCTGGCCTCGGATCTTGATTTGCGCATCACAGCGACCGAGGTGCACAAGCGAGCCGTCGCTATTTTGACGGACAAGATCCCCCGTGCAGTACATACGACGTGGTCCAGAATCTGTCGCCCAGCCCAGTGTTGAAACAAAGCCTGGATCAACAATAAATGATGTTTCTGTTTTCTCTGATGCCCCCAGATACTCGCGTGCAAGCAGCGGGCCCTCAATCAAAAGCTGTCCAGGCGCTCCCAGTGGACAGAGACGGTTGTAGTCGTTAACATCAGTAACCCAAAAGCACCCGGCAACAGGGAAGCCTACGACCGATGCATCCTCTGGTCTCTGTATCGGCAGACTATATGACGAATTGATACAACACTCAGAAGGACCATACGTGTTTATGAGTGTCGCATGCCCAAGCCACATATCAACGACAGCCGGTGTGACGGCTTCGCCTCCAAAAATAACAGACTTGACGAGAGGGACGCTAGCCGGAGTGATAAGAGATGCAACGGTCGTTGTGAGGTGGAGAGTGTTGACCTGTAATGACCGTATCACGGCCTCTAGGTCGTTGAGCCGTTGGAATTCTGACGGAACGCATACACAACCCCCAAATATCAATGTGGTAAATAGATCCTGGATCGTGATGTCGAAAGTATAAGCACTGAAGTTGAGCGCTCGCGTTTGAGGCCCGAAATTGAGCAGTGGCCCGTGGGTGAGAAGACTGGTAGACAGTGCCTTGTGCTCCAGAACAGACCCTTTCGGAGTGCCGGTGCTACCAGATGTGTATACAATCCAAGCAGCATTGCTTGGAGATATTTCTGTGCAGGCAGGCATCGTATCATTGCCAATGGCCAAGCGCCCAAGAAAGCTGGCATCGACTACCGTTGGCTGTGGCGCCACGCCCTCCAGTCTCACTGCCTGCGCACTATCCAAGAGGGTGACTGCAACCTCCGCGTTGGCTATTATCGTTGCCAATCGACTAACTGGAAACTGAACACCAAGCGGTACGACAACACCCCCTGCTTGGAGAATTGCGTACATTGACACGACAGCCCAGCGGGATTTATCCATGCAAACCCCTACTTTAACTTCGGGTCTGACACCAAGGGTAACTAAGTGGTGAGCAAGCCTGCGAGCTGCGCCATCGAGTTCCCCATACGAGAGCTCTCCATCCCAGGCACTTACAGCTGGCGCCGATGGTTGCTGATCAACTGTCGACTTGACCAAGTCGTGGATCAGTTTCTGGTGGGCTTTTGGCGTTTCTTGATTCAGTTGTCGCAACGTAGCAGCATCAATGGGATTGAGAAGGTTTAGTTGACCCATTGAGCACGGTGGCGCTCCTGGGCGACCATGGGTAGATAGCAACTGCAAAAAGTGCTCGAATTGAGCGACAAGTGCCTCTGCTCGAGACAGTGGGAGTACCTTTTCGTCGAACTGAACCTCGACATTCACATCCCTCGCATCGGCATTGACCGTGCATTGCACGATAAGAGGGTAACCACTGAAACCGGCATTGTTTACAACAGTTGGTTCCTCCAGGCCGATACCTTCCAGGCTATCGTCGGTAAAAGCGGGCTGAACAACGAACAGATGGCCCGGCTCGAAGTCCTGACCTAGGCCTGCGGTTTTGCGGATATTCTGGATTCCAAAGTGCATGTAAGGAACCATTTGTTTGCTTTGATCCTCTACTTCAGCCAAGAATTTGGATACCGTCTGTTTCGGATCTACTCGAATTCTTACTGGAACGGTCGTCACCGTCGGGGCCACTATGCTCGCGATATCGGCAAGCGGTAGATCGCGTCCAGAGAGGGCCACGTTCAACACAGACTCTTGTGAGCCAGTGTATGTGGCGACCGTAGCGGCCCACGCAGCCCGTAGCAAAGTGGGCAATGTGACTCCCAAGTTCTTGTCGGGCTCTAATTGCGCATGGAGTACGTTGGCTGCCTGTGGCCGGTGGGCCCGGTTTAAGAGAGGAGGAAACCGCGTTACTTGGGCACCCTCCAACTGCTGTTTCCAGTAAGCGGGGCCATTCGTGCCGTCAGCTGCCTGTTGCAGATATTTCATGAAACGAGAGACTGGCGTTGGACGATGGTGTTGATCAACTCCGTGCTGGTAGAGTTGAGAAAGCATTTTGAGTGTCAGAGCATTCTGATATCCGTCGTAGCCGCTGTGATGTTGAGTCCATACGAAGTGCTCTGCCTCGCCATTCGCAGACAGAATGATTGCTAGCCGATGAAGTGGCGTTCCATACGCGAACGGCAACGCAAGATCTTGTGCTAGATAATTTTGCAAGTCGGTTGTTTCGTTCCAGTCTAAAGCTTTGCGCACTACTACTTGCAGAGCGCCCGACTGAGTCCTATGGTAGACTATGCGTGTACGTAGGATGGTGAGCAAATCCATCAGTTTCACCCAAGCTGCCTTGAAGCGCGGTACGTCAATGCCTTGGATGCGGAAGAGATTCTGCGTCACGTAGGCTCCAGGCTGCTGAGCCGTCATCGCCATTAGGCCTTCCTGAAGAGGTGTCGATGGATACACATCCTCAATGTCCTGTGACATAAGTCCCCCACATCGCTCGGCAATGGTTGTAAGCCATTCTTGCTGCAAGTCCGCTCTGAGAGACGTGAAATCATCCCAGAGCTCAAACGCAGATGGATCCTCCTCGGCAGCTTTTGCGCTATCGTAGCTCTCAGCGACCCGGGCCAAATCCGATAAGCGCGGGTTTTGAAGCACATCTGCCACTCCGACGTGGATGTCGACTTTTTGAGCGACGGTAACAAGGCGCATTGCTGTGATGGAGTCGCCCCCGAGCAGGATGAAATGGTCTTCAGGGCCTAGGTTGGGTGAGCATCCGAGTACTTCAACCCAGATTTCGCGAAGTTGGTTCTCCATGGGAGACAAAGGCCTGGATTCAGCACTTTCAGGTGCTTTTTCAAACGCCCCAAGTTCTTCTCGGCTCAGGCCACTAAGAACTTCACGTGTAGCCCGTCTGTCCAACTTGCTGGAGACGTTGACTGGAAGGCTCGTCATTGGCACGAAAGAGGGTACCATGTACCGCGGCAGGACCGATAGTAGATCCGCCCGGAGGCTCTGGATCATTATGCGTAGGGCTTGTGTCGGCTGGCGTAGTATTTGTGGGGGTAGACTACCCTGGTCATCGTTCTCATCCCGTCCATATTCACCAACGTCGATCGCTGCCATGAATATCGGATCTCCAGATATGTCTCTTGGCCGTATCAGATCCACACACGCGCCTCGAACTTCGCGGTGGCATCGCACAATATTGCTTTCCACCTCACCAGCCTCTACTCTCTGGCCACGGATTTTGATCTGGGAATCAATCCGCCCAAGGTGAATGAGCGACCCATCGGGGTTTTGTTGTACATGGTCTCCAGTCCTGTACATACGACGGCCAGTTGATAAGCCGAGACGTGTGACGAATTCTGGATCCCAAACAAATGCCTCGGCGGTTTTACCTGGGTCGTTGAGGTATCCTCTTGCGAGAAGCGGGCCTTCCACGAGTAACTCCCCAGGCGTCCCAACAGGAACAAGACGATTGTAGTCAGATTGGCTGGTGACCCAGAAGGATACGTCAAGCGGGAACCCGACAGTGTGAGCGTCACGTGGGTGCATGATAGGTGCCGAGCAGCTAACATCAACGCAACATTCTGATGGGCCATAGGAATTCATCATTTTCGCATGCCCAAGCCACTTCTCTACAACCGCAGGGCTGACCGTCTCGCCACCAAAGAGCCTAAGGTTTCTCATTAGTGTCTGTGCTTGATAACCTATGTGAAGAAAGGGCCTCGTGTATCTTACAGAGTTTTTATCATGGGCACATCAGCTGGGTCGATAAGTGATGCCACGGTTGATGTGATATTCACGAAATTGACATTGAAGTCACGAATGGTGTCAGTGAGTTCATTGAGACGCTGGCCTTCGGATGGGACACAAACACAGCCACCAAATACCAACACAGAGAAGATGTCTTCAATGACAGCGTCAAAAGTGTGAGCAGCGAACTGAAGAGCTCTAGTACTAGTATCGAGTCCGAAGCGAGGGCCGTGTGCATGGATACTGCTACAAAGCGCTTGATGTTCGAGAACTACACCTTTGGGTACTCCAGTACTTCCAGATGTATACACAATCCAGGCCGCGTTACCGGGTGAAACCGCGTCGCAGATCGGCCCTGAAGCTTGGGGTGACTGCAGCTTCTCTAGGAAAGCAGCGTCCATGACGATCAAGCGTGGTGAAATACCCTCAAGACCTACAAGCCTTGTGGACTGCATATTATCGACCAGAATGGTGGAGATCTTCGAGTCCATCGTAATAGTTCCCACCCTGGCCAGTGGCTGCTGGACCCCCAACGGTACCACGACGCCACCTGCCATGAGGATAGCCAGCATAGAGACGACAGCCCAGCGCGATTTATCCATGCACAGGCCGACGGTGACCTCTGGACCAACTCCGCAATCGCTCGACAGGTGACTGGCAAGCTTACGGGCCGTGGCATAGAGAGTTGCATATGTGAACTCCCCATTCCATGCATTAACAGCTGGAGACTGTGGGTTTTCTTCGGCCGTCACGCGTATTAGCTCATGGATGCATGCTTGCTTCGCTGATAGTGGACGTTGGTTCCATCCACGCACAGTGTCGGCATCAGCTGGGCTGAAGAGGTCAAGGTCGGCGATGACATGTTTGCTACCGTGTAACTCCAATTGGCGGAAAGTGTGCTCGAACTGTGACAGAATAGCCGTTGCTCTTTCGTGTGGGAGCACGTGGCTGTCATAGCGAAACTCCATGTTGATGCTGTCAGCATCGACTATACAGTCTACGGCAAGCGCATATCCACCAAAGTCCGGCCTGTCTGTGATTGCGGTGTCAAGGTGGAGGCCGATAGCGTCGAGCGCCTCTAGTTCGCCGCCCGTGGGTGCTGGCTGGATTATGAATAGGTGTCCTGGATCGAAATCTGAATCCAATCCTGACACCACATTCCGAATTCCATGCAATCCAATCTGCGCAAAAGGGACCATTTCCTTGGCTTGCTGGTCAACGGCATCTAGGAAGGCATCTACTGACTGATCGTTGTGGGCCTTTATCCGGACCGGCACTGTGGTAACCGTTGGTCCAATAATGTTACCAATGTCGGGAACGGGTGCATCGCGGCCACTTAACGCGACATTGATTATTGCTTCAGAGGCCCCGGTGTAAGTCGCGACAGTCGCGGCCCATGCTGCTCGCAGGAGGACGGCCTTGGGAAGGGTGCTACTGGTGACATGCTCCCCACAGAACCCGTCGAGCCGGATTTGGAGAAAACTGTCGGCGTGGGGCTGATAATTTGGGCTTGGAAGTGGAGGAAACTGGATCAGTTCGGCCCCTTCAAGTTGACCGCCCCAATAAGCTGCTGTGGCATGCTCGTCTCTCTCTTGCAGGTATCTGACAAAGCGCGAGACCGGAACCACTGCCAAACTATCCTCGCCTGTCTGATAGACTTGAACAAGCATGCGGAAGATGCGTAGTAATGACCAGCCATCATATGCTGCGTGATGTCCTGTCCAAACGAAGTATCTATTCGAGTCATCCTGAACGATCGCTAAGCGGTGAAGCGGCGTCCCATATGAGAAAGGGACTGATTTATCATGCTCCAGGTAAGTTTGAAGACCAGACTGAAATTCCCATCGCAATGCTGTCCTCACAACAAATTGCACGGAACCGCCCGCGGTGTATGCCATTCGAGTGCGGAGGATTGCCAGTTTGTTGCTTATTTGTTCCCATGCCCGTTGCAGGCGCGGAATATCGACATCTGCTCCCAACCGGAACACTTGCTGTGCAACGTAAGCGGTCGGCTGTTGGAATGTGACGGCCATCAAGCCTTCCTGGAGAGGGGTCGAGGGATATACATCAACTATTTCATCAAGGTTTGTAAGATCATCGCATTGCTCGATGACAGCGGTAAGCCGTTCTTCTTGCTCATTTTCGCCTGCACCTTGGAAGCCATCCCAAAGCTCGAATGGCACTGGATCCGCTTCCGACGCCTTGATAGCTGCAGATGTGTGTTCACTTGATACTCGTGCCATATCCTCAAGGCGCGGATTTTGGAGAATCTCAGCAACTCCAAGCTGCATTGGTATTGGTGCCCTCTGCGCTGCGGCAACAAGCCTCATAGCCACCACAGAGTCACCCCCGAGCTGAATAAAATCATCATTCGCGCCACCAATTTCTTCGACTTGAAGACCTAGCACCTCCGCCCAAAGGAGACGCAGCTGTATCTCAGTCTCTGATAGCATTCGATCCTCTCCCGTATTCTTCTGGTCGACTGAGAATGCTCTCAGTTGCTCACGAGTAAGAGCTTCGAGAATCGCTCTCGTTGCTTGCCGATTCAATTTGCCTGATGCATTCACCGGGAGGCTTAGGGGTATGAAATGTGTCGGGACCATAAATGGAGGTAGAACTTGAAGGAGCTTGTTGCGGAGTTCTCCTAGCATAGTATTGAGATAGCGTGAAGGGCGGGAAATGAACTCTGGAAGTTCTATGCCATCAAGAGCCTCATCACGCTCGACATTGTCGTCATCGACCTGGAAACCGTTCAGAAGTTCCACTGCTGCCAGAAGGGTTGAGTCGGCACCGCTTTGGACTTGTACGAGGTCTATACAAGCTTGTCGGATCTGCGGTTGAAGACTGACAATGTGTGACTCGATCTCACCTGCCTCAATACGCTGACCTCGTACTTTCATTTGAGTATCCAGGCGGCCAAGATAGACCAGTCTACCATCACTGCGTTGTCGGACGAGGTCGCCAGTCCGATACATACGGCGTCCAGGTGGCAGATGGAGTGGTTTGATGAAGTCTGGATCGAGTACGAAGGACTTTGAGGTCTTGGCATTATCGTTCAGGTACCCACGGGCGAGTGTAGGTCCTTCGATTAGCAATTCGCCTGGAGCTCCGATGGGAACAAGAGAGTTGTGGTCACGGCTATTCGTTACCCATAGGTGGTTCGACACAGGATATCCAATGATAGATGCATCTTCTGAGAAAAGCATTGGATCATTGATGGCGGAGTGAATACTGCATTCAGCTGGCCCATAGGCGTTGATCAGTTTGACACGTCCAAGCCAGGGCTGGACCACAGCAGGTTTCACTGCCTCGCCAACGAGAGCGATGCACTCTAGTGAGATTGGAACGCTCTCTGGATCTAGCAGAGAGAGAACTGTTGGTGTGAAGCTTGAGAATGTCACCGCGAGGTCCTTCATCGCAGAGGCCAGATCGTTCATGCGATCCTGCTCAGACGGTATGCAAACACAACCTCCAAAGGCCAAGGTAGTAAAGAAGTCTTGAATGGCGTTATCGAAGGTGAATGCGGAGAATTGAAAAGTCCTCGTCGAGGGTGTAAATCCAAAGCGCGTTCCGTGAGCAAGGATGCTCGAGCACAGGGCTTGGTTCTCAAGTACCACCCCTTTGGGCACACCAGTACTCCCTGATGTATAGATGACCCATGCGGACGTGCTCGGACTAGCTCGCGAGAGTGCAGTCATGTCCTGGGCTAGTAGGGAGCCTAGTAAATCGTTGTTGACTACAACACAGTTGGAAACAAGCGTGTTGAAGCGTTTCGACTGGGCAATGTCGACCAAGACCACGGAGATATTGGCATCCATCAGTATAGTCTGGATCCGAGCAATAGGGTACTGCACACCGAGAGGTGTAACAGCACCACCGGCGCGTTGGATCGCCAATGCTGACACAACTGCAAACTTGGATTTATCCATACATAGCCCGACCAAGCTCTCAGGACCAACCCCTAGCAAGACGAGGTGCTGTGCTAAACTCTCGGCAGCAGCGTCTAGCTGCGAATAAGTAAGGTCACCATCCCATGAGCAAACTGCAAGAGAATGGGGAGTTTTCGCCATCTTTTCTCTGACAAGCTGGTCTAAAGTGGACTGGATTGCATTCGGAGATGGTCCGTTCCACTTCAGCAGCTTCTCTTTGTCTTCCGAGCTGACCAAATCTAGTTCTTCGATTGCGACGCTTCGCTCAGAATGATCTAAAACTGGGTCTGGGCGGTTATAAGCCTGCAATGTGTGGGCAACGTGCTCTAGTTGAGCCATAAGTGCCACTGCTTGCGATGAGGAGAGAACTGCTTCATCAAACCGCATTTCAACATGTATCCCAGCTCCGTCAGTGTCGAGTGTGCATTCCACAACTAGCGCATAACCCTCAAAGTTTTGTATCTCCGTTTTGATTGTCTCAACACCCACCATCTCAGCGAGTGCGATATGGTTCAAGGGTGGCCCCGGCTGCACAATGAAGAGGTGTCCAGGATCGAAGTCGTGACCAAGGCCTGGAACAGCACGACGAATATTGGCAAGACCAAATTGTGCATAGGGCGCCGTATTTCTGCTCTGGGACTCAACTAGGGAGAGGTATTCCACAACCGCTTTCTTCCGATCAGTTCGAATTCTGGTGGGCACGGAGGTGACCGTGGGCATTACGACGTCATCAATGCCTGGTACTGGAAGATCGCGGCCTGAAAGTACTTCTGTAAACAAAGCTTCGTCATTTCCAGTGCGGCTAGCAACTACCAAGGCCCACGCTGCTCGCAAGATAGTAGCGACTGAAACACGATTGCTGTATTTCTTATCTCCACCTGGTCTCTGAAGCTGTTGTAAGCGGTGTCTCAGTCTACCACCGGCAAACGGTCGATAAGAGGGACTTGGAACCTCTGGAAATCGTGCCAGCTGTGCTCCGTCTAGTTCCTTCTTCCAGTACGTTGCGGAGCGCTCCCATCCTCCGTTCTGGTTGTTCTCTTCGAGATAACGCATGAATCGTGGAAGAGGGGTTTCAGTATCGTATGGACGTCCCTGGAATACCCTAGCGAATGTCTCGAATATTCTTGTGATAGTGTGTGCATCATAAGCAGAGTGATGGGCTGTCCATACGAAATACCGCTCACGAGACCCATGAGCATTCCTTGTTGAGTCATCAACTATCGCGAACCGATGTAAGGGTGTGCCATACGTGAATGGTGCCACCCGATCTTTGTCAAGAAAGCTTGAGAGATTGGATGCAGTTGCCCACGGTGGCGAATCTTGTATTACTACTTGTACCGAGCCGGAGTCAGGCGTATAAACGATACGGGTTCGCAAAATGGCCAGTGATGCTGCAACCTCGGTCCAGGACTTTTCAAATTGCTCCAGGTTAACTTTTGAATCAAGGCGGAATACTTGTTGCACGACATATGTTCCAGATTGCTGAGACGTCATTGCCATCAAAGCTTCCTGGAGTGGCGAGGCTGGGTATACATCTATCACAAGACTCGGAAGGATATTGCACTGCTCAGCCACTCTGGTCAATCGTCTCTTCTGTTCTTCCTCGCTTTCTTTGAGAAATCCGCTCCACAGCGCAAATGGCTCCGGGTCCTCCTTGGCGGCACGTTCCGCTGCGTCCGCAGAACCATCCATAACGCGCGCCATATCGGCCAGACGGGGATTTCGAATGATGTCGGCGACGGAAAGTGAGATATTACTCCTCCTGGCAATTGCAGTCATGCGCATGGCAACTACAGAGTCACCGCCAAGCTGCACGAAATGGTCGTTCCTGCTGATTTCCTCAGAGGGGCGTCCAAGAGCTACGGCCCAAATTCCCTGGAGAGTCTTTTCTGTCTCTGTTGATATGGGGTCTTGGACAGCGGTCTTGTTGAAGCGTGACAACTGACTTTCTGTCAATCGCTCGAGTATCGTGTGCATAACGCGCCTGTCCAGCTTCCCCGACGCAGATGTCGCAAAAGTCAGGAAGGGCACGAAATGGCTAGGAACCATGTATAGAGGAAATTCATCAAGAAGTTTTGATCGCAGCTTCTGTAATAGATCTTTCAGGTCTTCAGAAGGATCGCAAAGTGTTCCTGCTACCGAGCTTCCTTGCGAAGCCACTTCTGGCATCTCGATTGCCGCTATAAGCAGCGATGACCCCAAGGAACTGTGTGCTTGAACCAAATCCACGCATACGCGTGAATTGCCAGGTAGGGACTGTGCAATCCGGTTCTCGATCTCCAAAATCTCCACCCGCTGGCCCCGGATCTTTATCTGGGTATCTTTACGGCCTAGGTAGATCAAGGAACCATCCTTAGCCTGCCGGACCAGATCGCCTGTGCGGTACATGCGTCGTCCGGGTGCTAGACCAAGCTTTTTGACGAAACCCGGGTCTATGACAAAGAATGACGCCGTCTTCTCTGGATCATGTAGGTATTCCCGTGCGATTGGGCCTTCGACTAACAATTCGCCAATGGCGCCAATAGGACTCAGCCTATTAAAATCGCGGGGATCTGTTATCCACAGGCAATTCGCAGCTGGGAAACCAACGGATGTGGCCTCCTCGGAACTAGTCAGGGGTCCATTGATTGTCGATGTATACGTACATTCGGATGGACCGTAGGCGTTGAAAAATTTGACTTTTCCCACCTCTAGCCACGGATGGGCAACAGCAGGCGTCAGAGCCTCACCAGTCGTAATCAACGTATTCAGTGTAGGCAGATCCTGTGGATCGAGCAATGAAGCAACAGTGGGAGTCAAAGTGGCAAAAGTCACCCCCAAGGTTTTGATGGCCGCTCCAAGATCATCAACCCTCTGGCTTTCCGAAGGAATGCATACACATCCCCCGAACGTTAGAGTTGTAAATATGTCCATAATGGTAACGTCAAATGTATGCGCAGAGAACTGTAGAGCCCGCGTCCAAGGTCCCATACCATAACGAGCCGAATGAGTCTGCATTGGCGTGCATAATGCCTGGTGCTGTAGGACGACTCCCTTTGGGACCCCAGTGCTACCAGAAGTGTGCACAATCCAAGCTGTATCTTCTGGCGAGACTTTGGGCCAAGGAACGGCGTTTGATGTTGGTAGCTGGCCTATGAAGCTGCCATCAACTTCAATGATACGAGGAATGACTCCCGCTAGCCTTTGGGTGTGCTCTCTATCAGCCAAAAGTATGGTTACGGTGGCATTATCCGCCATTGTCTGGATCCGATTGGGTGGATGTTGATTCCCAAAGGGCACCACCACACCTCCAGCTTGCAAGATCGCCAACATCACAACCGGTGCCCAAAGTGACTTGTCCATGCACAAGCCGACGTTCACTTCACGTCCCACCCCAAGGCTGACAAGATATGTAGCGAGGCGGCGGGTTGCAATACCCAATTCGCTATACGTTAGCTCACCATCCCACGCGCATATAGCCGGTCTATCAGGCTGTCGAATTGCCGTAGCCCAGACCTGGTCGTGGACACAGTCGCGCACAATAGCTGGTGGACTTTGGTTGCTGGAGATTATTGCCGACTGGTCGTGCGCTGTTAGTCCTATGAAATCCAAGCAAGGCTGACTGCTATTTTGAAGCACGAAATCTAAACTGTCGCGGAAAAGTTGCAGTATATTCAGGGCGTCATCCCTGGATATAAGCGACTCCCACACATCAAATCTGAGCCCCAGCCTTTGTTGGTCCATTTTGATCATTAGGGTATAATTATACTGTAGATGAACTGTTAGCTCCAGCTTTAGTGGACCCTCCCGGACGTGTCACTTACATCTGATGAAGACTCCCACGACACAACATCTACATCGAACCCTGCCCTTGCAAGCACCGTATCGTGCGGTGCGCGATGGAAGGACAAGAGTGAATCGCTGAGCTGGTGCAAAGAGGACCCGCTCATCTCCCGTTTGTCGGTCAAGCTGGCTCCTTGGTAAGGCAAGCTGCTCAGGAAATCGCCTTGCATACGTCGCAATGCCTCGACCACTGTTTTCGTTTCGCTGAAATCAACGCGGCATGGAAGGGTGTTGACAAAGTTACCGACGGCGTCGTGAAGACCCTTGATACGTTTGTGTCGGCCTGAGGTTGTGTAAGAGAAGCAAACGTTATCCGCGCCGGTATAAGAGCGTAGTACAAGTGCATATGCGACTTGGCAAGCGTTGACCAGAGTCGTGTTGTGTTGCTCTGAAAGATTCCGTGCCAATTCTGGGGAAATTTGCATGTCTTGGTGTATCGAATATGGTCCAGTTGGGCTTGTTCTCGAGTTTGGGCTGCTCAAAAAGGTACTTTCGACTGGCAGCAGGTATTGAGACCAATACGACAGAGTCTCAGATGAAGTATCAGGTTGTTGAGCATACAAAAGGTCTTCATACTTCAGCGATTCCTCCACTGGAAGTATTCCTGCAAGTGCTCTACAGAGATCGCGGAGTAAGATCTCTGTGGAGACGCCATCCATTATAATATGAGAGATGAACAACTTCATGAACGTTTGGGCACCCGTAACCTGTGCAAGTACCAAATGATAGGGAGATCCGGAGCCATATTGATGAGACGTCTTGCTTTCGGCCTCATGAAGGGGCAGAATGCTGATTTGGGGACTGAGATCACTCCACACAACCTGGTCAAACCTTCCAGGACGATCCACACTCTCCACGAATGTTGTTCGTAGAGCAACATGCCTTTTCACCACAGCTGACCATGACTGTTTAATGGATTCGGGATTAACTACGATTGCAGGGTTGGTGGAAGATATTCTCGCCGCGAGCTGTAGCTGGTATGCCCGACTATCCATGCTTTGGAGGGCAAGGAAGTTTTCCTGCATGGGGGAGCAAGGCCCGACGCCTTGAATCTCGTCGAGCGAATCCTGTAAGACGTCGCTCAGACCTCCAGGCGTCACGTCTTTGCAGTTTCCGTTGCTTGACAAATTACCGCTTCCATTGCCGTGGCCATTTTGGGATAACTCTGTGGTGCCGTTGCTAGTCGATTCCTTGGTTTGGTGAGATCGTGCAATACGGTCGATCAAATCCGCAACACTTCCAGACTGCAAAATATCAGGAATATCGACCTCAATCCCAGCTTCTTCGTGGCAAGAGCCCATAAAATTGACGGCCGTAAGAGAATCTCCACCCAGTGCAAGCCATGTTTTGTAAGATTGTTTTCGAAACTTGTCCAGGCTGATATCAAGAGCACTGGCAGCAAAACCCTCAAGCTTCGATTTGAGCGAAACGTCGTAGTCATGGTCATGTCGCTGGTCGCTCGCGACGTAGTCGAGCAGAGGGGCCATGGTAGGTTGTTGTGCCGTTAGACCAGCGTCGTTCCTGGCGTTGAGAATAATCACGATGCCGAGATTCTGTTGAGCTACCCGTTCTAAGGCTGCATACCGACGTTCATTTAGCCGTGCATCACTACACCACGGCAACCGCGTTGCGTATCCCACTGCATCTATCACCAAGGTGTGGTCCGCAGACTGCCGCTGCGCCAAAGCCATGAGAATGGCGTGGCGCCATCATCCATCGTGCTGCTAAGCCGTTCCGCGGTGATCCTTCGTGCTGCCAGACCGTGGTGCCACGGCCTCGTTCGACACGATTGCGCTTCATCGTTCCAGAAGCTTATTGATCCTAAACAAAGTTGTGCTGATATTGAAGGATCGCGGGCGTCTCTACATAGCGATTGACTTAGTTTACCGTCACGGTCGCAATGTTGATTGTGTGTGTTGCGAAGATGGTCAATCGTTGCGCGTTCCCGTTTCGGAGGTCCGAGCCAGAGTCCAGCCAGCGGTCCGTGACTGTAGTCTTGAAGTACAGGGGCCGATAATCAGACAATGGTAGAAAGCGACGCCGAAACTTCAAATTCGACGTCTTATGGAATCTTAATTATTCATGGTGGAAAAGGCATATCAATTGTAGTCAATGATCTCGTCAATGGTTAATGGAGTGATGCGATCTCTACCGGTGCCACAGTGGGAAATCATGTGGAGCTAGAGGCCCAAGCCCTTCTGAAGCGCTGGAAGCCTTCTGTACAAACATTGGTTCTGGGCATTTTTGTTCCCTGAAATAGCGATCACCTAGCCAATAAACACAGCCAGCTCACCATTGTGATTGTGATTTCATTAGCCCACGATACCGTAATAGTAGACCCAGAGTTTGAATCATAATTCCCTACATTTTGCATTTAGAACGTGGTATGTGAAAAGGAAAACAAATTCAAATTTCTTTCCATGTTTGCCAGCCTAATGGGTGGCTTTAGTGGACGCTTTCAGTTGATGTCCATCGCGGGAGTTGGTGGACGGAATTGTCGGACTCTCCAGGGCTGAGAAGCAATTTCTACAGAACGCTGGGGCTGCTGGTCTGACTAGGGAAGCACCTAACATTGGAAGCCTTCTTCCCCACATTGATCTCATCGGCCCGTAGATGTACCTACCTTAATGTACCTAGGTAAAACTCACAGGCCTTGCGCCCACTAACAGTGGCCCCAGCAAACACTTGTCCGGCTTTTCCAAGGGAGATTTACGACATCATACACGCAAACTGCAGCACGAAAAGTACGCCCCGAATTGAGAGTTTACAAACCAGATATATTCCAAGGTTATTACTTGAGAATGATCCCCGATCAATTACTGCCTTTGTCTTTGTTATATGGATATTAGCAACGGTACCAAACATGTATATGCGAATAGCTACCAATATCTCAAAATAAAATTACACCCATCGGCAATCCAATCCACTTGCATGGTCAACGCAACGTCAAAGCTGTGATCGCCGTCCACGACGGATAAGAGCCTGGGCACGTCGGGTACAATCTCCTCCATACACTTGACAAATTCCGTGGAGCATGCCACCGGAACCTGTCAAATAAAAGCAATTGATCAGTACTAGGTATACAACAACGCAGCAAATGGAGATTGTAGATTGCTTACCACAGAGTCCTGCTCGCCGTGAATTAGCCAGATTGGAGGCAAAGTCTTTATCCTTTCGAGCTCTGCAACACTGTCCAGTCGCGAATCGGGCCTTGCGTTGACCAGCCGTGGAATCCAGCCCTGTTGAAGAATGCAGGCGACCAATTCCCACATCTCTACTGGGTCTCCACTCGTTCGGATGGTGCCTCTGGTCCGCTGCATATAAGATCGAATCTTGGCTGCTGCTTGTCGCGGTGGTGGAGGATAGGATCCTATAATCTTTCTCGGCCGCGCCATCTTGAATTCTGGAACATCGCCATACAATGGCCCGTAGAGAGACACGATGGCTTTCACAGCCACATCACGACGCTGGAGGGCAGAATGCAGCGCAATGGTTGATCCTGCACTCTGCCCAACACAAAGTATCCGATCAAAATCCGGCCTGACACCCCACGACTTTAAGTCGGTCGCGCCTGGCAGAGTGTCCGAAAACCAGCTCCAAAAAGCATCCATGTCGTCCATAATGTCAGCGCCTGACGCCTCGGGCAAGAGACGATAGTCAGGAGCCACGATCAGGGCGTTCTGTGACAAGGCGAGCTCCAGCAACCAGTCCGACCACCACGGCTCGTACATGCGATCTCCCACTATGAAGCCTCCTCCATGCCAAAAGACAAGTACGGGAATAACGATATCAGCGCCATTTTCTCGCTTTTCGACCAACTTCCTAGGTATTAGAATGGATGTCCAAATTTCATGGCCATCTACTACACTATAGACCTTATCTGTTCTCTCGAATCCCTCAAATTTGCATTTTTGGGTAGACGACATGTTCTCGTTGTTAGTTTGGCGCATTTCCACTCCATAACTTTGCTTCCTTAGTGTTGCAACACTTTGGGGCACTAAGTAGGTGATGTAAATTTCGAATGCTAATTTGCGGTTGTGTAAGCGCTATGTCGTGTACCCATGAGTGGCATCGGGGGTGGTGCCACCCTTTTCCCTTGACCCGGCCCCGGCAAAACCATTGCTATAATGAATCTCTACTAATAACACGTAATCAGTGACTTGTTATTATTCTGGCGAGGCAGGAATGTTTTAATTAGGGCATCCATAAAAGCATAGCTACGTGGAAATAATGCCGTTGCTCACATTGATGGCTATTGATGCGCACACTGTGGCCAAGTGTTGTAAACATGACGGGAAGGATGAGAACTGTTGATGTGACACAAAGAGAGACATGAAAAGCAGAATTCGTTGAAATGAACGCGTCGATATAGATTTGGCAAATATGAATGTTGCCGTGATTCCAACAACGTAATCTTGATTAAGAGCTATGGGGAGGTACTAGGTATTTTGTTCAGTTACTCTATACAGTGCACTGCTACCTAGGCAACTTGAATAGCACCACCACAGTGGTATCCTTACTTGCTATATCCGGCATCATACTTAACCTATGCCCGGGAAGATCCCATCATGAACTACCAATCGCTCAGAGTAGTCAATCTAAGGTGTAGACCATGCTTCGGTCTGGTGGCAGTGATAGTGTGCGGCAATATGGGTTTCCTTGGATCAGCCAAGGCCATCTCAAATTTTCCTACAAACGCAGCCAGCAAACACCGCATTTCCGCCCGGGCAAATTCCTGACCGGGACAGGTCCTGGGTCCATAAAAGAACAATAACATGGCATAGGTGCTGCTGGCCCCTCCTAGTTTGTTTGGTGTTCTAATGCCGGTCTTCTCGTCAGTGTCGATCCAGCGCTCGGGGACAAACTCGTCGCAGTTGTCGCCCCAAACTTTTGGATTACGTTGGACTGCCCATGGACAAATTATAGCTGTGATGCCAACCGGAACCTGATGTCCCATCAACGTTGTAGGTCGCACCGTGGCGCGGACCCCGACAGGAAGTGCTGGAAAGAGTCGGAAGGCTTCGTTCATGACACCATTAAGCAGTGGCAGTGACTCAAGGATGGAAGCAAGTTCAGCATCCGTAGGTGAATGGTAGTTTGGTACCATGGACGGAACATGCTTCCGAATCTCATCTCGCAGGGCCGCCTGGATGTCGGGATGGGTGGCAAGGAGATACAATGCCCAGCCGAAGCTCGAGGCCGTCGTCTCGTGACCTGCCGGAAGACATGTCTGGACGTGAGTAGCAATGTCCCCGTCACTGAAATCGTTCGAGGTAATGAGTAATGAAGCCACGGAGCCGTCTTCACCCTTCTCTACGCCGCTATCAATAGAGCCTCTCTTCTCCTTTACGAGATCTAGGCATGTGCTTCTCAATCGTGATACCACGGCATCAATCTTTGCAGGTAGTTGCCACGGAAGCCGGCGCACAAAGTTGAGACCAAACATGAGACTTGCGGCAAGATAGACGACCTTGCCTGTGGTGGGATGCAAGAGCTCCTCGTAGTTTGCCACAATCGGGTCATTTTCATCTTGCAGTGTTTGGAAATCCCGTCCTATAGTTGCAATGCCGATGAGGTCCTGGCAGCAACAAGAAGCGTCAGTGACTGACTCGATTGATCCATTTCTGAAGGCGATTACGAGACCAAGGGTGCCTATCTACATATTGACTCACCAGAGTGACCTTGTTGGCCCAGTGTACCATTTCAATGACAGCTGTCTCAGGCGCATCATCAATCTTCACGTCTAGTAGCTGTGCCGTACTTTCGGACCTGCTTTGGGTGACTGCCTGATCAACTCCCTTGGTGAGCTGTACGGATTTACGCCAGAAGCCCGAATACATGTTGCGGACGCGTTGGTGGCTGAAAGCAGGCGCTATGGCCTTGCGAAGGTATCTATGATCATCCTCATCGGCACTGGCCACGCCGTCGCCCAAGAAAAAAGCTTGTAATTTACGCTGATGAGCAGGCTTTTGAAAGTCGTAGCTCTTGATATTCATTACTTCCTCTATAGCCTCGGGAGTAGTAGCAATGATGCTCTCTTCGGACAGCATAAGCAGTCGGATAAGGCCATCATTCGGCGTTCTTTTAAGCCACTCAAGGTGGGCAGTACCCAACGGTTGTCGAAACTGCTGCAAGAAATGGCGAAAAGGCACCCAGCCGCCCTAACCAGATTAGTGACTCAACTTTTCGAATGGAGCTCAACAGGGTCGGACAGGGCACATACGGAAGGACTTGGTAGGTCTCTGAGTGGGCTGACGTAAAAAGGATATATATACAATCGGTATATTACGACCAGAGCCAACTGTGAAATAAAAGCGCAAGCCATTAAATTCATCAATTGTAGCATTCTGTTATGGGCTTGCGGAACGACTTGAATCATGATCACGGACTCGATACACGAGGCAGCGACGATGTATCGCAAGTGCCATTTTGAGGCTGTGGACATAGCGAAAGCGGCTCTGCCAGGCGAGGGACTGTCTTGAGTCGAAAACAGTACATGCAACGAAGAGGAAGGTCCTCTCAGTGCACCCCAAAGGTCTGTAGGCAGAAAGCTCGCTCGATGCTGAATGCCTATACTAAGGAAGAATATATGAAAGCCAGCGATCGCAGGATTTCAGGATCAAATACATAGGTACTAACCTTAGGGAGGTACAGTATACTTCAGGCGCTTTCTGGTCACTGGGGTGGTATGAACTGTAATGTAAGCAGGGGATTGTGGGCACTGAATTTGAGCTTAACGGCACTGTAGTTTAGGGCGTAATTGTGGGTACGGCTAAGGTCAAGTCTCCTACATCACTGTTCTTGGTCACGATAAAGAATGCAAAACCACCAAAACAGGATCTTTTTTCAGTTTCAACTATATCCTTGGATAATTTAACCATGCTCTGCATAGAGCCCTGGCACATCATTTGAACCATGCGATACGGGTTTGTGCAGCCCAATGCGCGAGATCGACCCCAGCCAACAGTATACGATCCTTCGCGCAACAGAAAACAAACGCCTTGTCCCTGAATCCTTCAATTCCACCAGTCATGCTCATCGACATTTCTTGGGTCATTACCAATTGAGGAGCGACTACTTGCAGAAGAAGCATTTGCAATGACTGGACGCCCTACGCACGATCAGGAAAGGAGCAATTGCTCGGATGGAGGTGGCGTCATTTCTGGTCGTGTCTGGCCTCCTACTAAGATGGACTTCACTACGTATGTAGCCTGTCCAGTCGCACGAGCGTTATTGAACCCTGACGTCTGTCCATGCCGAACATCATCTTGCCTTTATGCATAATCTGACATAACCGTCTGAGATACAGAGGCAGGCGCTTTTTCCTGCAGGTAGATACAACGCACCGTCCACGCTCAATCGTTGAATCCACTAGTCTCCTCCAGCCTCATCCGTCTCTCGTTGCATTCCATCATGCCTTCCACGGGGGACATCATGGGTGTTTTCAATGGCCACTCTTCTTCCAACGGAATCAACGGGAACGAGTTGACCGAGCTGGGTGCAAGCAACGAAGTGCCTATAAACGGTACTTCAGGCCCGCGCGTCAACGGTACCAACGGGTACCATGTCAACGGCAAGAATGGCACTGATGCTAATGGCACAAACGGAACTCACTCCTATGGGACAAACGGTACTCACGTGAATGGCACCAATGGCGGTCCTATTGACAGTGTTTCGGGTGGCTCCTTGAACGGCATAAAGCAGGACGTTGGAGGCGATGACTTGGAAGATATGCCGATCGCCATCTGTGGTACGGGTTGCAGATTGCCTGGCGGAATCCGCAGTTCGTCTGACCTTTTCAACTTTCTCTCGAGCAAAGGCGATGCTAGGAGCATCGTCCCAGAAGATCGATACAACATTGACGCTTATTACGACCCAACTGGTAAGCCGGGCTCTGTGGCTACAAAGTATGGATATTTCTTAGACCTCGACCTTTCCCAATTCGACGCGTCCATGTTTGGTATGTCGAATGCCGAGGTCGCGACACTTGATCCTGCCCAACGCCTGTTGTTGGAGATTACACGCGAGACATTTGAAAGCGCTGGCGAGGCCGACTTTCGAGGGAAAAACATCGGTACCTTCATCGGTGGCTTCACAACGGACTGGGAGGACATGCAGAACACGGACCCTCTGAATTTTGCGCCATACCAGATGTCGGGCAAGAACGATTTTGCCCTTTCCAACAGACTCGCATTCGAATATGACCTGCTGGGTCCTAGCATCAACATGAAGACTGCTTGTTCCGCCACGGCCGAGGCGGTGCATACGGCCGTTATGGCTATTCGCTCAGGCTCGTGCCCGTCGGCTATAGTGGCAGGAGCAAACATGATCTTGACGCCGCGCGCAAGCATTGGAATGTCAGCAATGGGTCTGCTTGCAGCTGATGGTAACTGCAAGACATTTGACGCTGGGGCTAATGGATTTGCTCGCGGAGAATCTGTATGCGCCATCTACATCAAGCGTCTGGACCACGCTATCCGTGACGGTAACCCAATTCGTGCTGTCATCCGCGGAGTTGATAGTAATTGTGACGGTGGTGATGGTTCTCGGACCTTTGGCACACCCAATGCTATAGCACAGGAGAAGTTGATCCGCCAAACGTACACGGCGGCAGGTTTGGCACTGGCAGACACCAGTGTAGTCGAACTACACGGCACTGGAACACCGGTCGGCGACCCATTGGAGACTACCGCTATCGCTAATTGTTTTGGCGGTGACAAGAAGGTCTATATTGGGTCGATAAAGGTATGGGTTCCCTTACTTAGTCACACTGTTGCACACCGAGCTAACCCCTGTAGCCTAATGTTGGGCATGGAGAGGGCAGTTCCGCTCTGGCCAGTTTGATAAAATCTGTCGTCGCCCTCTCGAATAAGACAATTTTACCCAATATCAAGTTTTCAAAGCCCAACCCGAAGAGTGAGTACTTGATTCCTTACCGCATTCGATTTGTCGTCTTTGGCTAAAACTGAACTCTCGTCGTTTAGTACCTTGGGACCGCAATCTTCAAGTTCCCGTAGAGCCTCTGCCATGGCCGAAAGATTTTAAGGAACGTATCAGCATCAATTCCTTTGGTCTTGGCGGTTCCAACGTACATGTCAGTACCCATCTTTGTGTATTTCAGCAGGAGCACTACGGCTAACGCAAGGGCTGTAGATGATTATAGATTCCGCAGAATCGATAGGAATTACGCAACCGCGCGGTGGCCTAACAAGAAATGGCGAGGATGTGACTACAACGCCCAAGCACAAGTCCTTGCTGTTGCTGTCGGGCAACAGTGTAGGCTCAATCCAGCAACTATCAGCTCGCTACGGACAGTACTTGGAGAAGAACCCCACGCATCTCGATGCCATGGTCTATACGCTTGCCTCAAGAAGAGAGCGATTGAAGCTAGGATCTTATTGTGTCGTCAATGGTCTTGGAGTAGGCGAGCCAGTTACCCCAGTAGAATCTCAAGGTGCTCGTCACGTCGCATTTGTCTTCACAGGCCAGGGTGCCCAATGGGTTGGTATGGGCCGCGAGATGATGCTGGAAAATGCCGAATTCATTGCGAGCATCCGCCAGATGGACACAATCTTGAAGTCGGTCGAGCATCCGCCTAAGTGGACACTTGAGGAGACATTGCTGGCCGAATCGGCCGAGAAGGCTCTTTTGAACCAGACCGACCGCTCTCAACCCATATGTACTGCCGTGCAGGTCGCTTATGTTGACGCACTTGCCGCATGGGATATCAGGCCATCCGCCGTCGTAGGACATTCGAGTGGAGAGATTGCCGGGGCTTACGCTGCAGGCGTTCTGTCTCTCAAAGAGGCCATCATCACCGCTTACTACCGTGGCTATGCGTTTGCGCGCAATGAAGTTCCCGGCACCATGGCAGCCGTGGGTGCGGGACGTGATGTGGTTGAGCAGCACCTGAAGCCTGGGGTTGTCATCGCTTGTGAGAACTCCAAGGCCAGCGTCACCATCTCTGGTGACTTGGAGGCCATGGAAGAGACTATGGCGGCCCTGAAGCAAATGAATCCCGACTTGTTCGTCCGCCAGCTGCGCGTACCAATGGCCTATCACTCTCATCACATGAAAGCTATTGGAAATCTCTACAAATCTCTCCTTGCACCACACCTAGCGGCCAAGGCTCCCCGGGTTCCGTTTTATTCGACAGTGTACGGCCGCAGGGTGCGCGAGAGCAAAGAATTTGGCCCTCATTACTGGCAGGTCAATATGGAAAACCCAGTGTTGTTTCACACCGCTGTATTGCTGATGTTGGCTGATCTGAGCGACACGGCACACTTGGAAATTGGTCCTCACTCTGCTCTGGCGGGTCCTCTCAGACACATATATAAGGAAGCCGGTCATACTGTGCCTTATGCCTCTGTTGCCGAACGTGGCGAGGATGCTTCCCACACTTTCCTTTCTGCCATTGGGAAAGTTCACTGCTTCGGTATCCGGCCTCAGGCTCCCACATCTGAGCACGCCTACACCTTGCCGGACTTGCCCACCTATTCCTGGAACTATGAGTCTAGTCACTGGTCGGAAACTCGTACAATGGCCAATTGGCGATTCCGGAAGCACCGCAAGCATGAGCTGCTAGGCCTCCGTCTCATGGAGAGTAGCGACGTCGAGCCTACGTGGCGAAATGTGATTAGACTAGGGGATGTCGCGTGGCTGGCAGACCATTGCGTTGAAAGTGACATTGTTTTCCCCGCAGCTGGTTACATTGCCATGGCAGGAACTGCTATCGCACAGTTGACGGGTTCGTCCGCCTATACCGTACAAGATGTTCATATTACGACTGCGTTACGTCTTGACGAGGGCAATGGTGTCGAGGTCGTCACTTCTCTACGCAAGCATGCCTTGACAGCTTCAAATAACAGCAAATGGTGGGAGTTCTCTATTACCTCTGAGAACAATGGAACCTGGATAAAGCATTGCTCCGGCTTAGTGACTGATGGCTGTGCCGTGGCGTCCCCCAGTAATCTTGACGTTTCACCACATGTACGAAAAATCGAACCCAACCGCTGGTACCAGGCTCTTGGTCGCGTTGGTCTGAACTACAGCAATCGCTTCGTTGGCCTGGATGAAATCACTGCCAGTCCCGTTGATCACAGTGCATCAGCCAGCATCACCGATCGACAAGACGCAACCGAGACATATGCACTTCACCCGTCGACGTTGGACCTCGTCTTGCAGTCATGGTCAGTCGCAGCCGCACGTGGCGAATATCGTCAGCTGGATAGCCTTTTCCTCCCTACTTTTATAGAGAATTTCTACGTGGGCGACCATGGATCTGAGCGTACGATTCAGATCCGCACTACTTCTCGTGAGTCTGCTGGAATGAATTTTGGCAGCTCATATGGAGTCGTGAATGGCGACAATATAGCCTATGTGCTTAATGGGTTTGAAGCGACGAGAATGGACGGGGCATCCGCAAGGCAAGCTGATGAACTGAAAGCTTGGTCGGTACAATGGCATCCAGCTTTTGATTTTGCTGCTCCAGAGACACTGCTGCGCCCAGCACGAGATGTGACTGCCGACTCCAAGTTTGTTGAACAGTACTCGCTAATGTGTTCGGTCGAGGTCCACTATGAGGCTGCCACGGTGACATCTCTTGCCCAACCGTTCTTCAAGCACTACTTGGCTGGGATAGCCAAGCAGATGGACCAGGTCGATCAAGGTTTGTCAATGGTACCCGACGCCAAGGAGCTGAAGGCTCTCAGCCGAGAGGCTCGACAGCAAAAGTTGGTTGAATGGCGCGAAACCAGCAAGGGCACCTCGGCAAAATTCGTGGTCGAAGCTCTCTGGCGTGTATATGCGAATATCAAGGATGTCCTGGAAGGCCGCGTTATATACTTGGATCTTCTTCTTGGCGATGGCGTATTGTCAGAGTTTTACAACGAAGCCAACGCTTGGTCCGACATTGGGGACTTCTTTCGCGTCCTGGGCTTGAGCAAGCCGCAGCTTCGTGTTTTGGAAATTGGAGCTGGCACGGGTGGTACAACATCGGTTCTGCTGGAAGCACTCCACTCCAAAGAAGGAGAACGCCTGTACGGAGACTACACCATCACCGACGTTTCGGCTGGCTTCGTCAATCAAACAAAGGAACGTTTCCGGGATTACCTAAACCTCAAGTTTGCAGTTTGTGATATTACATTGGATCCCCTCGAACAAGGTTTTGAGGCAGCTTCATACGATTTAATCGTAGCCTCCAATGTATGTTTAACCAACACCCCTGTTCCAAGGTGAATACTTACCCAACCCGACTATTTAGGTCATACATGCCACTCCTAGCTTGGTTGAAACGTTGACAAGGTGCCGGACACTACTCAAGCCGGATGGGCAGATATTTATGCAGGAAGTTTGTTCAAGTAAGTTGTATTTCGAATCACACTGCCCTTTGAAACTCCAGATAAACTGACATCTCGCGCAGATACGCGATACGTCGATGTGATCATGGGTCTCTTCGATGGCTGGTGGGCCGGAATCGACGACGGCCGCGTCGAGCGTCCAGTAGTTTCGGAAGAAGTCTGGGATGCGAAGTTACGTCAAAGTGGCTTCCAAGGCATTCATGCCGCCGTTCACGACAACAAGGATCCGCATTTCTTCTGTTCCACCAACATCGTCGCACGTGCTCGCCCGGATGTGACTCCAGTTTCAGACAAAACTGAGAACAGGATCACTCTCCTCAAACTCACTGCCGAGCTGAGCGAATTCGGACAAAACGTCAAGAATGCACTCGAAGCTCAGGGAAAGTCTGTGGACGAGTGTGTCTGGGGGTCCAAACCAGCAGAGGGCCAAGACATCATTTCGCTGCTAGATGCAGATAACGAAAATACTCCGTTGTTAGCCGAGATCGATACAGGAAATCTTGAGGAGTTCGTCAATGTTGTGGGAGACGTGTTAGGACAGGCAGTTTTCTGGGTCATGCGATCAGCCTCAACACAATGCGCTGATCCCAACTACGGTCAAATGCTCGGAGTGGCGAGGTGTATCCGTGCTGAGCTGGCCATAGACTTTGTTACTCTTGAGTTGGACCACCTGGATATGGAAGCAAGCCAGGCCGTAGCGCGGGTGTATACCAGGGTCCAGCAGGCGCGAAAGACGGCAGCAGAAACCGACGACGCTTCTGACACGGAATTTGAATACGCCTGGCGAGCCGGCCAGGTCCTCGTCAGCAGACTCCATACAATGTCCGTCGACGCGGGGCTAGCCGACGCCGCTCCTCAAGTGCAGGCCAAGCATCTAACCATAGGACAACCGGGCTCGCTACAGTCTCTGTGTTGGACGGGCCACCAGCTCCCACCATTAAATCCTGATGCTGTGCAAGTGCGCGTTACAGCGGCTTGTCTGAACTTCCACGACGTGGCCGTGGCCATGGGTCTTATTGCTCCTGACGGCCCCATGGAGAGCGACGGTTACCATGGCCTTGGTGGCGAAGGAGCGGGCGTTGTCACGGCCGTTGGTTCCAATGTGGATCACGTCACTGTCGGTGACCGAGTCCTCATCATGGAAGTCGAAAAGGCCGTTTTCGCCACCGAAGTCCAGGTAGATGCGGACATGGTCGTTCAGGCGCCTGCAAACGTGAGTGACGAGGACGCGGCAGGCTTGGTCATTCCCTACCTTACCGTCCTATGGAGCTTGGTCGAGAAGGCTCATATGGAGCATGGACAGACAGTGCTCATTCACTGCGCGGCTGGCGGAGTGGGTATTGCTGCCATTAATGTCGCACGATGGCTAGGACTCGAGATCTATTGCACCGTGGGCTCGCAGGCCAAGGTTGACTTCCTCACCCAAAAGCTAGGCGTACCACGAGACCACATCTTCCACTCCCGCAATGACAGCTTCGTCGCCGACGTTCTGCGTGCCACCAATGGAACCGGCGTCGATGTCGTCCTCAACTCGCTCTCGGGGGAGCTTCTCCATGCCTCCTGGAAGTGTGTTTCCTCTGGTGGCTCCATGGTTGATCTCGGAAAACTGGACAGCCTGGCCCGTGGCCGGTTGAACATGGGTCCATTCGCAGACAACCGCGCCTTTTTCGGTGTTGACCTTGTCGCCATCTATTTCGCTAATAAGCGTAAGATAGTGCGATTGCTGCACAAAACCGTCGAGCTCCTCAGAGACGGCCATATTTTCCCACTGCATCCCACCACCATTTTTGAGGCTGAGAACATCCAAGACGCCTTCCGTTATATGCACAAGGGCCTCCACAAGGGTCGAATCGTCGTCAAGATGCCCACCGATGTTACCAGTCTCTCGCTCACCTTGCCAGTACCGAAGCCAAAGTTCAGTCCCAATGGCGTGTACCTTGTAGCTGGTGGCCTTGGAGGCTTAGGTCAATCGATCATATCGTGGATGGTGAGCAACGGTGCTCGACAGATCATGGTGGTTTCGCGGTCAGCTGGGACCCGGGACGAGCATAACCAGTTTGTCCTTGAACTGCGCGAGCTAGGCTGCGAGTTGCGCTGCTTCGCTGGTGATGTGGCCGACCTGGAATTCATGCGCGACGTGGTGGCGGCTGCAAGAGGCCCGGTCAAGGGTGTACTGCAGTTAGCCATGGTGCTGAAGGATACTGGCATTCTGAATATGGACCACGAGTCCTGGACGACAGCCACAAACCCAAAGATTCGTGGTACCTGGAATTTGCACCAACTGCTCCCAGAGGACTTGGACTTTTTCGTCATGTGCAGTTCGGCCAACGGGACACTGGGTCACTATGGACAAGCCAATTATGCAGCGGGCAACGCGTACCTCGACGCTTTTGTGCACTTCCGCCACGGCTTGGGACTTCCCGCCGCGGTGCTAGACATTGCTGCTGTGAGCGATGTTGGTTACGTCGCATCAAATAAGACTGTTGCAGAACGCCTCGAGAGAGGTATATCGCGTTTCATGAGCGAAACCGATTTTCTTCGTTGTCTGCACCTCTCGATTGAGCGATCATCCCGTCAGTACATAAAGCCTGCGGAGTCGACATTGACCACTGTATATGAGGATCCTGCACAGGTGGTTCTGTACAACGAAATGACGCGCCCACTTTCGGATCCTCAGAACATGATTTCGTGGCGGCTGGACCCGCGCCTGTCCGTCTTTCGTAACAATGAGCTCATGACGGCCCACGGCGACGTGACAGGCAGTCAAGGTCTCCGGAGCTTCTTAATCTCGCTATCAAGCGAGCCCGAGAAACTTGATGACGAAGCGACAGTGCCCTTTTTTGCACAAGAGATTGCCAAGCGCATTTGTGCTTTCTTGATGAGGGACGATGACGCGGTAGACACATCTCAGACGCTCTCGTCCTTGGGTGCCGACTCTTTAGTCGCCATTGAGATTCGCAACTGGTGGAAGCAGACTCTCGGCATCGAGATTACCGTCTTGGAACTGGCCGACGCGAATACTACAATGGACCTCCTAGGCGCACTGGCGGTCCAACGATTAAAGGAAAAGCACGCAGCCAAGTAAATAGCAGACCTATATGGACTTCACCAGCTGGTCAATGTTGCGGATCATAGCATGGCGGGTGATGATGTGTTGATACTAGGTTCAGGTCATGAATTTGAGGGTTCTTTTGTTTCTTTTCTTTCCCTTTCTTTCCTTTCAATTTTTCTTTCCTAGTTTGAACTTGATTTTTCTGGTAGATATTTGTGGTTCGGTGGTTTCCATAGCTGTAAGACTTTACTGTTTGATAACATCGTTGGTTCAAAGATGTTCATGTCAATGACCGTATTCATCTCTCTCTCGCTATGATCTCCGTGGCAGAAATTTGCAGGGGCTTGCACGGCTGCTATCCTAGTACTGAGCTACTGCACTACAGGGACGGACCAGCCGAGCCATAGCTGATTTCGCCTGACCATGATGGAGGACCCACCCTAGCAAGTCGCGTCGGCGCGATCATGGTGCGGTCTGTTGATGAGTGTATGTACAAAGATACAGTGCCTTTTAGGTGTTAAGGCTAGGTACTAAAGGTACCTTACGCACTCTACAGGCTACCACTTGCACCTAAAACCGCGTAATCCTTGTACCAGGTGCATTGCTCGCATACAAACAATCAATAGCATCAGCAACGACATATCCCCAAGCAACAACAATTGTAAAGGGACCAGTATACTGCCAAATATAGACGAAGACGAGTATCTAATCGGAATTTCCCAAGTATACTCACCAATCGTTTCACGCGGATTCTTGATTAATTATTGACCTCTCTAGCTAATCCTCTTGAGCACGCTGCGACCGCATCAGCGTAGAGAACAACGACCACTTGTCCTGCAGCAACGCGTACGGGCTGCCCGTCTCGACGATCGATCCCGCATCCATGACAATGACAGTATCAAAGCTCAAAATGGTGCTCAACTTATGCGCGACGCACAAGACCGTTTGATGCTTGAATCTTTCCCGAATAGCATCCTCCATCTTCTCCTCGGTCGATCGGTCAGCTTGGCTCGAAGGCTCGTCAAGGATGACAATGTTGCCGTTTTGCAGGGTAGATCTGGCAAAACAAAAGAGCTGCTTTTGCCCATGGGACAGGAGATCTTCCGTATAAGGTGCGTCGAGCCCGCCCTTGGATTGAACCGTCTGCCATAGGCCGAACTCGTCGAGTGCATCTATAATGTCTTGGTCGGTGCAGTCGCGCCTGTAAAGCTGCATGTTGTGGCGCAACGTTCCGTGAATCAAAAGTGGCTCCTGGGGCAGCGTTATGAATCTTGATCGGACTTGGTCTGGGTTCATTTTCGAAATGTCGGCACCGTCTACAAGTATAGTCCCACTTTCTATAGTGACGAGGCGTAACAGTGTCCCCAGCAATGTGCTTTTGCCACTACAGGTGTACCGGTCAGCGTCCGTAGCATTCTAAGCTTTTACCAATATTCTTATAAAATGTCGACATACCAGCCCGTTCTACCGCAGACCGCATAACGCTGACCCGGCTTGATGTAAAACGAAATTTTGCGGAGGATAAGCAATGAAGATGGACTATGCACTTATTTAAAGGCCACCCAACAAAGATTCAGGGCGAAGTCGAGTTGGTACTTACGTGTATCTAGCCGATACGTTTTGAAACTCGATACTCCCGCTCCTGTACCACGATCTGGGATCACTTTTCTCCTTGTCGGCATGTCTCTCGGCTGCAGTCCCTTGAGTGAACAGACGCACTCGTTCCACGGCACCCATACTGATTTCAAGTTGGGTCCAGTGCTGGATCATGTTCTTGGCCGACGCGCCAAAGCCTGCCGTACTGAACAAGGCCAATCCCAGGGTCGAGTTTCCCTGGTCCTTTGTGGCTACTCCCACACACATTATAGTTACGGCGATCCCTGCTGTAATCATATCGAGGACCAGATTTAGCCAGTTCTGTGCCGAAAATAGCAGATAGAACGGCTTTTGGCTGACCATTACCAAATCCCGGTTCCTGTGCACAAAAGCCTTTGTCCATCGCAGTGCGCGGATAGTTGAGAGGCCGTTGAGTGTTTCGAGAAAGTGGGAGAACAAGGGCCCCTTGGCTTCTATTTCCAGTAAGCGTAGTTGACGCGAGGTTGGGAGATATGCTCGCTGAAGCAGGTATAGTGCGACGCCGACAACGGGAAGTGTCAGGCCGGACCAAGGAGAACCATATATGATGATGGCAAATTGGCCAAGAGCAGTCAGAAATTGGAGGGTAGCCCCTACCAGTGTATACGGAAGTTCCGTGTCAAGGAGCTGCAGGTCTTGGCTGAATCTGTTGATGGTTTCTCCAGCAGTCGTAGAGTCGAAGAAAGACATCGGCGCCCTGGTCTCATGATTAGTCGATTGCCATTGATAAGGAAACCCATAACTCTGCGGAACAAGATTATAGATACACGGAACCAACCTTAGGACGGTATCCAGAAGAGCTACATGGCAGCGGTTGGCAGACTTCTCAGATATGCTCGTAAGGAAGAACCTGCAGTTTTTCAGTCAATTCCATTCGACAATTGAACAGTGTTGGAACGAGAACATACAAAGCTGCTCCAGTCCAAGCAATCAGCTGCATGGTGCCAGCGCCAAAATACATTCCGATATAATACGCCTGGTTATCGTACGTATGGAGAATATTGTTTTCGGCCCAGCGAATTACCCAAATCTCTATGTCAGATGGCCAATCCGTTAGCTTTTCGTCGTCTAGAGTGATTGACCCCAATTTGATGGGAGGGAGACTCAACGGTTGAACGTGATCCCAATCACGAATATGATACACATGATTATGAAGATGAGAAAATTTCTTTTGCCTGATACGCCGATATAATATTTGTACACGAGTGTATCGCTGGCAGCCGCGTGCGCGTTGCTCGTCGATGCCACATCTTTTGGCAGGGAGCCAAGAACAAGGCCCTGGACGAGCTCCATGGTTGAGAAAGGGCGCCTTTCAAACCCATCAATCTCGTCGTCGTCTTCGTCTTGGTCTTTGAAATTACGTTCCTGCAAGGCATGAGTCCTAGTGACTGCCATCAACAAAGAATCTCTCTTCCTGACGCTGCCGCTATCAGTGAGGGAAATAACGCGATCAGCGACCCAAGCCTGCTGGACTGCTCCGATTGTCAGATTTGTCATCCCAAAATGCCATTGATACTCGCTCACTTACCGGAACTGGTTGCCCATATCACCAAGCTCTTCTGCTTACGTAGCAAGCCTTGACGGCCGAGTAGAGCGAGTAGGACTGATGACTCGGTGCGACCGTCAAGGCCGTTGAATGCATCATCTAGGATGACAATCGGCGCTCTCGTGTAGACCGCTCGTGCAAGAGCAACCCTCTTCTTTTGACCCCCGCTAAGGTTGCTTCCATCGTTTCCAACAACTGTATTGTCACGGGATGCCATCATGTTGATATCCTGCTCCAGTGCAGTCGCCTGGATGACGGTATTGTACCATTCTTCTTCGAAAACGTCCGACCCTATAATGTTGTTTCTAATAGAGTCATTAGTGAGCCACGGGGTCTGGCTACAGTAGCCGATTCGCATATTCGAGACGGCAACCGAGCCAGCCGCGCACCTTGTTTCACCCAGGAGCAGTTGCAGTAGAGTTGATTTTCCGCTACCCGTGGGGCCAACGACTGCAACAACTGATGGTGCCGTCAGCTCCAGATTAACATCTTGGACAATTAGCGGAGCATCGGCATTCCAACCTGCGAAAGCGTGATGGAGTCGAAGAGCTGGTGAAGGGCCCCTGCCACCAAAGCTCAGTCTGTGCAGCTGTATCCAGGGAATTGCCGGGCGTAGTCGTGGAAAGAGCAGATTCATTTCATCTTCTTGTGGAGATTGAGATTGCAGAAGTGCCCGATGATCCAGACGCGCATTGTCGCCATGAAGGAAAGAGTCAATCCGCTGGAGAGCAGCAATGGCAGTGACGGTATTGACTGCACTGTCAATGAAGCTACCGACTGCGTTGCCAAAGATGCTAAAAAGGGTCAAGCATCGGTATACCATAGCGGGAGTGAGCACGCGTCCGGATTGCGGACCAAGAACAACATTGTATATGGTGAAGCCAACAATGGGGGCCATTATGACGGGAATCCAGCCTGCCCATGCGACCACTAACAAGATATTTCGGAATTTTCTCAACCCGAGGATTTCCGCTTTTCGGAGCCTCAGTATGTCCTCACGAATAGTTCCTGTGACACCTGTCATTTTGACACCTTTGATGGCCTTGAGACTCTGGGTCGTAGCAGTGATGCGCGTCTCTACGCTCTTGAGCCAAGCATTTTGTCGGGCGCCTACGGGCGCCACAATCAAACAAGTGAGTCCGATAAATGCGGCAGTCAGTCCACCTGTTGCAGCAATAGCAACGCCTAGCTGCTGCTGGAGAAGCCACAAGCCCAGGGCAACCTCGATTAGACAGCCCCAACACTCGTGCATGTTGCGTGATCCAGTTGCAAATCGCTCGACATCGGAGCTCATCAGGGTCGACGCTGACTCGCGGAAATGGGACGAGATGTCGAGTTTCAAAGTGTGGCTATAGATCTTGTTTACTAGATCCGCGCGTATAGCAGTGATGGCACGTGCAGTGCATTGACGGTAGAAAGCTTGAGTCACCTGTGTGTGTTAGTCCTTATCACAGGATGAACACTGCATGGTAAATGGCAGCATATGCTGGGAACGGCTTCTTACTCCTATTCCTACGTACACCACGACGTATGCTGCGATCAAGCTTCCGCCAATTTTATAAGTGTTTGAGTCGAATGGCTCGAACATGAATTCCGTCGCTCTTTGCACCAAGAATGGCTGTGCGAAGAGGAACCCAGTATAGCAAAGCCTCGGCGGAATGGCACTCATTAGTAGCCATCCCCGCACGGCGAACAGGTGATGAAAGATGGACAGCTTGCTCAAGCGCTCATCATCGTCTCCATCGTCTTCAACGCGAATGTCACCGGGTCGAGTCAACTTGGGCTCGATGTCTGGAAGAGCTTCAGCCGTCAACGGTAGCTTCTTTTTACCTAGACTAAACATAGGGAGCAGCCACCACAGGAAACCGCGCGACACAATGTCTGCTCGCTCATCAGGGGTCGGTTGGCGACTTCCTACTCGAATCACTTTTCGTGCGCGTTCCAAGACGAGGACTACAAGTTTACATACCACGAATGTCGTGAATACGGCGGCTACGGGAACAACATCGCGAGGCATGCTCCAGAGCGTACGGGCACGCATGGCGTCAACCGGTATGGAATACCCTAGATACAGGAGCAACAGTGTCGACGCACGGACCGAGCGCTCGTGCTCGAGATGGGAGGCAAGCCCAAGGACCAAAGAGCCAACCACTCCCAGGCAGGAAGCCGCAGTCGTAGCTCTGGTCAGAGGTGTCTGAAGCGAGACCTGGGCTACGAATAGCACCATCTGTAGTAGTGCCAACAGGGAGTAGCCACCCTGGAGCATGGATTACCATTAGCGCAAGAACTACCTAAAGGATCGTAACAATGAATCCGAGGTGCTCACCATTTTCAATCGATGCAGCAGCGGCGACGCGACAATCACGTCTTGTTGCCATAGATGCCATATGCGCCACGCCGCCAGGCAGATGGCGATGCCCAGAGGCGCGATGGACAACACGACCTCCTGAAAGAGCAGCGTCAGGTCGAAATCATTCCCACAACCATGGACGCGAGGGCCCCAGACACCTTCGACGTCAATCGAGCATTGCGGTGCTAACGACTGCTGGCGCTGGTATAGCATGTCTCTGGTATCATCTGCTATCCTTCCCTCTCCAACGGTGATGGAAACGATCAAAGGTGTATTGGTCGATTGATTGAATGATTTGTTTCAAGTCTTGGGGGCGGATCCAATATCTCTTGATCGAAGGTGTCGGGATCCGGGACAGGGTCGTTGTCGTCAATTGGCAGTCATAGTAGTTACTACCTATCGCTCACCAGTACCTAGGATACGGCGATATGTGCGTTGCCATGGGGTGAGACATGCTTAGAATTTTTAGGATCTGATGGGATTTGCCATGCGCTGACTTCCGTTGCGCATGCTGCATGGAATGTTGCCCATTGTCAGCATGTTGGACTGGTGGCACCACGGTGGCTTCAGTCACTTGAAGCCGCTTTGGACATCGCTAACGACGGCACGAATTGTCATAAATATAGGAACAGAAAGTAACGACGGATAAATTTTGAAAAGCCACAGCTCTGCTAAGTAGTATTACTGCCAAGATTCACGAGCCAAGGTAGGTCTGTATGCTTCGTATGTATACAGCTCGAAGGTGGGGCAAAGCAGCATAGCCCAGCCTAAAGACTTGTTTCATCCCTGGGTGGCACCACGCTTTCCATACAAGTTGAACACGGTTCGGCGCCGAGGAGACTAGGTGAGAAGCAAATACTCACTATAATGTGATGGGCAAGTAGGGTAGCCCAATCAGGTCTCGTTTGAATTTGAGACTATTTTTAGTTTGAGCCTTTAGGAAGTTCCATTGGGATGTGCGTATGGCCTGTGCCAGACTTGTTTGACAGGGTTGCCTTATTATTATTTTCTGCGACCAGACTAGGAATATGAGCAGACAATTTTTTCAAGGCATTGGAATTGAGCGCCTCAGTTTGAGTTGTAACTCAAGACGACATACTACGCACCCACAATGGAGTCCTCGACGCTGCGAGAGGATATTGAATTATTTCGGTCCGTCATGTGGGTCCTGAATGCCCTGGAAGGAAGAGACCTGGATTTCCTCGGTCAAAGTTTCCCGCCATTACTGAGCGGGGGAGTTCCGCCTGGTGCACACAATGATTCTCGGAAGACCAGACCTGAGACGGATACTGAGGACGAAGAGTCAGGGGACGAGGATAGGATGGCAGACGACGAGGATGAAATGGAAGATGATGATAGTGAGGATGATGACGAATCTGACTCTGACGAGATAGAGGAGGTGATGGTGAACAACCAGAGCGTCGATGGAGATGAATATGACCATGGAGAGGAAAGTGAAGAGGAAGAAGACGAAGATGACAGTGAGACCGACGATTCATCGGAATTCTACGAAGAACTACAGTCTCTTGCAGACGACCCTATTGTATCATCATATCAAGAGCAAGCCACGTCTACAGCAACTCCCAGTCAAGGACCAGTCATTGCTAGTGGCCAAGTTATACAACAATCCGACGCAGACCTTCGTTGCTGGGAGCACGGGTGCAATGGGCGGAAGTTCACCAACAGGAGCAACCTAAGACGCCATCTCAGGGAAAAGTCAACCGCCCGGCCGACATGTCGGTGTCCTCGATGCGGCGCTACCTTTAGCCGGACTACGGCTCGCAACGTTCATGTAGCTAGAGGGAGCTGTAACCGAATCCGTCGCTATTCAAACGGCCGTATTAGGCCCAATCAGCGGATCCAAGACGAAGAGCTTTGTTGGAGTTTGAATAGTGCCTAGTAACTGCTAGAGTGCAATCACACAGACTATGTTCCGCAACCTCTTTCTTGTTCACCAAGAGTCACTGTGAATTGTATCGTAGCAGTTTATACACTTTAATGAGTTTTTCCTTTAAAGTCACATCCATCACAGGGAAAGTAAAGGCTGATACCTTTTGTTTTAAGAAAATGCGCTGATAAATACATCTATATTTCCCGATGGCGTCTCGCGTTTAGGCGCGAAATTGTAGGATTGCGGGATCTCAGACTTATTTTTCTTACGTAATGCCCTTCGATTTTCAATCTTCTCCTCCGTTTTGGGTGAGACTGTAATTACTTACACGAAATTCCATCATTTAATCAATAGCCATTTGATCGGTGCTCTCACCCAAGTGTCAGACGTCACCAACATCTAATGGCTATTTTTCTAACATGGTCGGTCTCATTACAATTTTCAAATTGGACATGGATAATTCTTCCTCTTGAATAGACGGTCATGCTTGCCGCGTTTCTCATACCCGTCGTGGGCCTTTCTTCCGCCTTGTATCTGCTAGGCTCATGGGTTTGGCAAATAATTTTCTCCCCCCTCTCTCGGATCCCCAATGCACATTGGAGCTCCTCAATCTCTTCAATATGGATCCTGTACACCAGATATCGTGGATGCGAGCTAGAGGTGCTGCATGAAACACATCAGAGATTGGGTTCGGTTGTGCGAGTTGGCCCACGAGATGTCAGCGTCAGTTGCTATGACGGCGTCCGGACCATATATGGCGGTGGCATGGATAAACCAGATTACTATGAGTACTACCAATACCACGGGTGATTATTTATGTTTTCCTCACCTTTGCTTTTCCTTTACTGACGTGAGACTTTCTTTTCCTTAGTGTTGACAATGCCTTTTCAAGCAAGCTTCGTGCCGACCATGCTGTTCGCCGACGTCGTGTTGCGGGTGTATATACCAAGACGTTCATCCGGAACTCGCCACATCTAGCCGCCATCACCGAGACCGTGATTCACGAACGGTTTCTACCACTACTGACACAAATGGCCGATAGTGCACAGTCATTTTGCATGTTGCGCCTTAGCTGGTCCTTGTCCTTTGACATTATTACAAGTTTTATTTTCGGACTTGACGCTGGAACTAATCTATTAGACGACCTTTCACAAATTGATACAATTGCTTCCTTCTATGATGACCGTTACCCTGCAGAAGCGTTTTGGAAAAAGGAAGCTCCCTGGGTGTCCAATGTGTTAACAAAGTGCGGTTGGTCGCCGCTCGGGAGGAATAAGAGATACCAGCTGGCCAGAGAATACCTCGAGGCGTGGACACTGCGCATGTGCTCCGCGGCAAACACCACCCTGGACCGTGCCCAGCCGCCTTTACCAGAATCTGGGGCTTACCCTGTTGTCTACGCGCAGATAAAGAAATGCGTAGATGACGAATATCCAATTCTTGACTCGGAGTCCAAGATGAAAATGATTGCCAGCGAATTATTCGACCACCTATGTGAGTACTGATCTATACGCGGGTTTATTTTAGCACAGCCACTTCTAACCATCAACCATGAGCAGCAAGTGCCCACGAGGTCGTCGGCCTCATGCTGGCATATACCCTGCGCTTCATAGGTGAGAACCAAACGGCTCAAAGAAAGCTGCGCGAAGAAGTGCGAAGGCTTAGATCAAAGGATCTATCGGCGCTTCCTTCCGCTGCCACCTTGGGTGAGCTGCACTACCTCAGCGCGGTCATCAGCGAGTCGTTCCGAATGCGGCCCAACGGTACGCCTTTGCCTCGCATCACTCCCCATGACCGCACCGTTCGTCTTGGGGAGTTTAACCACATCCCCGGCGGCGTCCGCGTGAATACGTATCAATGGTTTCTGCACCGAGACCCGTGCATTTGGTCGGATGCCGACAAGTGGGTTCCTGAGCGATGGCTGAACCACGATGGGCAGTTCGAGGCAAAGTCGTCACACGAGCCGGACAGGGTCCTGTGGCCGTTCTGTTCTGGCCCCCGGATGTGCTTGGGCAATCACTTGACCGATTATAGTACGTTTCGCCGTGGAGCCAATCTTCTTTGACTCGTCGTCCCTTAGGATCTGAGGCTAATGCACGTGGTAGTGATGCGACAGATCCTATATAGCCTGATTTCCAATTTCGAGTTCCTGGCCCAGGATTTGAAGGCACCACAGTCCGTTCCCCGGGGCGATGTAGGCACATCTAAAGATCGATTATCCATGATGGTTCAAACATTGTCATGAAGTGGCAGCCCATTCATGCATTTGTTTGTTTATCATTAGTATCTTCTATAGAAGTGTATGTTTATCTTTAATTATTATTTTATATGGCTTTAAAAATTAAATTGAAACATAATACTCAGTCTATATCGGTTGAATCGGTGATCCGGGCCACGGTCCTCCTTGCGACGCTCTCCATTGTGTCCAAGCTACTGCTAAGCCCAATTTTGCCACCCACGCTTTCCGACACAGATCTGTCCATGGTCAAACCATTGAAGGCCATTGGTAAAATTGATGACTTCCACCCGGCCGCGACCGCACCGGCCTTCCCCAGAGCTGCGTATCCAACAATGGAAGCGAGGAACACAGTCGTCAAAACTACCACTACGATTGGAAAGACCAAAAACGGCCACCTGACCGACACACACGTCTGCTCTACAAACACTTTTCCGGAAGCTGGTCGGAAATCTGGCGAGTCGCTATTGTTGTATGTTCGAACCCGAACGGTGAGGGCCTCAGCCACGCGATCAAATATAGCATTGACGCTGTCGAAGTTGGCGTAGGTGTCATTGAAGACGACACGAAGCTGAGGCGACCCAAAGACTCCAACGTCGTTTGATGAGGGGACGATCGCGCCAGCGAAGTATTCATTGATGTAGTCCAGGATGGAAGACCCAGCGGCGTAGGTCATCTGGTACAGGCAGTTCGCGGGGATGATATCCAGGGGCAGGCTGGTGTTTATCAAGGGAGGGCCAGGTACGGTGACGTTATCCAAGCTGTCGCCATCGGATTCCACATAAATTGAGGCGGTTCCATCGCTACTCATCGTTAGCGACAAACATTTCTTAAGAGTATGAAAAGCTCGGGAAGAGTCACCTCTCGTTCACCATAACGTTCCAGGGTATGATGATATCGTCATCTGCAATGCGAAAACCTGCGTTTTGCAAGTGAGAAACTGCTTCAGAGCCAGCGCATTTGACATCTGCTGCTAACCAAGGTCGCGATCCCATATCCGCACGATACATTTGTGCCGGTCTTTTAACCAAAGTCTCCGTGATCTCTCCTTGATCAACTGCTGCATTGTATGACTTGACACAAGGCCTGATCTTGCATCGAGCGGCTCCCGCCCCTCCAAACCCACTGCATGCCCACGTATTGTTATCGGATGCAATATTGCAGCCGCCTGGATCAGGTCTGATGACTGTTGCCAGGTGATGGTCGGTTTGCAAATGCTCGTCTCCTCCGGACCACGCGAGTGATGCTTGTATGACGTCAATCCACCCATCTGAGGTAGCGTTTATCCTAAACCATCCATTGGAACTGTCCAATTGGCCGATTGAAGTATAAGAGCCAGATGGAAGCGTCGTGTTGGTCATGACTTTGGGCACCAATACCGTCTCGCCGGCGGCATTTGTGAATGTATCATAGCCAGTAGTGACATTGAAGATCCTCATCTGGCTATTCATGTCTTCACAGGTAGCACAGAAACCCAGTGTTGAGTATGTATTGTCAAAAGTGCAATTGCCAGTCGCACATATGAACGGCGTCTTGATGTCCTGGGGGTTGTAGAGCCCTTGATCAACGAAGCCCAATACAGGTGTCGCGGGTGGGTAGCTGTTAGGACTTATGTGTTGTCCAGCTTCTTCATAAAGCATCGATCGCGGGAGTGTGGCATTGGTCGTTGTGCTTATCATTTTGCAGTCATAAAATTGAATGAGCTGTTGTATAAATGGGTCCATTGCCAGTATCATAATAATCAGGGCGGCCCCAAGGGAGGCAATGAAATGCGTTCCACGAGGGCGGATGAGTAATCGCAAGCACCCCCAAGGACCGCGACTTGCCATGTCGAAGACGGCCAAATCGTGCAGTGATCTGTTGATTCGAAACCACTTCCACTTCAAGTCACTGATACCTTCCGCCAGAATCAATCCAGCGGAGGCCTTCAAGACTGTGCTCAAAATAGAAACAACGGTATTAATCGATATTGTGAATGGTAAGTCTGGCAGTGGCTTGTCCTGGTTTTGGTACAGGACACCTACCATCCCGCATAGCGAGCCAATCATCAGGACGGTGTTTAGAATCTCCGCCCACCACTGTCGCCAAATACCGGGCCGCTGTTTTCGATTCTTGAGACTCGTTTTTTCCACGTTTGTCATTTCATGTTCGGCGACTCCAGGCGGAGTTCTGGGCAGAAATTGTAGCGCCTCCCACGGTGTCGTTGATGTGGTGTTTGATGACCCCGCCTGGTCTATGTCGCCGCTATGCGAGTCTTGGAAATCTTGTTGGATCATGTTGTTTAATCAAAATTGGAGATCCTTTTGGCGTAAGATGGAGCCAAAATTCCATGCAAAAGCATAGGCCAAGGTACATAGTATTGATGGCTCAATGCCTTTTATTTATCAGAACCGCGGCCAAACAATTATGAAACCTGTGCACTTGTTAGTTAACGAGTAATAGAATCAGGATCGCATGATCCTGCATGTGATTGTGTACCTCGTAATTAGTGTTGGAGACGGAAATTACGAGAGTCAGAATATAGTGGTAAACTTGGGGTGTTGTATCTTTAAAGCTATCAGACGGGTTTCTCGTTCCCGCGGATTCCATTAAGAGTATCCAGCCCCAAGTCGAACCTCACCCAGAAGAACCGACCCAGTGTCGTACACATGGTGCAGAGGTGCAGAGTTTAGGTCATGATCTTCGTTGCAAGGTAGCATTGGGATGCAGCCAGTACTCACGCATGACTAATCCCCAACTGACCCCAGGAGCCACGGCACAGCCTGATCGCCTTTCAGCTTCAAATTGACCAGGAATGGGCTGCAGTCACTAATGAGTACATAGGTGGTTATCCTCGAAGGATAAATGACCTTTTATTTACAACTTTTGATCGACATCATAGGAAGAATTTGTGTATAGAAAGAACCAATCCACAGGGCCACGGACATCGACGTTGCCGGCCATGCACAGCCATGTACGGCCATGCACTTTGGAGATCCGCCAGCCACTCGGACGTGACACTCCACCACCATGGCATGCTGTCACCATGTTTATTCGCTGTTTTTCTTTTCTGAACGCTTTCGGTGAGAGAAGTGAGCTTGCAGCCGTTGATGCGAGCCAATGAAATTCAGCAATTTTACACAGCCACCCCCAGCCAGTTAGCTGCGCCGCCTGATGTCGTGCGCACAAAGAAATACCTGACTACCTTTGGTCAGCCTTACTGGGCGTGTTATGTTTGGTCAGTCCAATTATAAAACAAAGAAAAAAAGAAAAACGAGCCGCCTGCTTCGACAGCCTCAACCATTAACGTGTAAGTAATCTGGTCAAGACATGTTTGGAGCCTCGCTAATTCAACCTCATCCGTTCGACTCAATCTATACATACAGCTTATGAATCTTATGTATCTTTACCTACCCCGTCTAAAACCAGATTCTAAGGCCAGGGGCCTGCTTGGTAAGTACCTGGTATACGTAGAATCAACGGGAAAAACAAAGAGTAAAAAGCAATGAGTACATCCGAGCTACGGGGTCATGAGATTGATAACCTTTAAAGAAGATTTCTCAATGTACAATTAGCAGGGAATAATTCCGAAAAAGTCAGATCAAAAAAGGGCGAAAAGCCGTTTGTGGGTGCGGGGAAGCTGTACTGGACCCTATCGCGCCATGACACGCATAAAGATGCTATATTTGGTCAAGCCCCTCAAGTACTTATACTATTATAACCGCCGTATCGATAGCATGGATTTCTTTTTGTGCCAGTGGCGTAAATTTACTCTTGCACAAACGACCAAGGACCGCACGAAAGTCTGCAACCAAAGCGTCGCACAAAGCGTACGAGAACTCTTCCCGAATCACTATCCGAAGCATCTTCAGGTCCTCGGCATGCGGTGCCATAGTGTACGCCGGTACAATCCAACCACCTTGCTGGCGGAGCTCGTGGTATATGGTGAACTCGTCGAAGGCATAGCTTTTGGCCGGATCGAGACGTAAAGCAATAAGTGGAAGGCCCCTTCCGTGTCGCTTGGACATGATTATGAAGCAGTCCAAGTCTTTTAGTTTTGTGGCCAGATACTCTGTCGTTCGCAGCAGGTTGAGCATAACCCGGCGATAGCCTTGTCTACCGAGACGGATAAAGTTGTAATATTGACTGACAATGGGTGAGGCGCCACGTGAAAAGTTGAGTGTGAGTGAAGATTGCTCTGTGCCAAGGTAATTGATGTTGAAGGTGAGTTCTGCCAAACATATCAGACACAAAATACAAGTCAAGGAGTAGGCAAGATTCGTCCTACCTTTAGGTAAATATTCTCGTCCACGCCATATAATCCAACCAATTCCAGCATAGACAAGACCATACTTGTGGCCAGAAACATTGATCGATGCGACCTTCTCAAGGCGAAAGTCCCAAAGTAGGTCGGGTTCAATAAAGGGAGCAACGAATCCTCCCGAGGCCGCGTCGACATGAATTGGAACATCTAGGTCCCGTTCGGCTAGTAAATCATTGATGGCTTTGATGTCTTCGTACTCGCCGGTATAGGTCGTTCCCAGAATCGCACAAATGCCAATCGTGTTTTCGTCCACAAGCTCAACAGCCTCTATTGCATCCATAGTCCATCGTTCTTTGGTACAATATATGTATTTCGGCTCGACGTCAAAGTACAGCATCGCCTTCTTCCAACATACCTGCACAGCAGAACTCATAATCAAATTTGGTCTACTGACGTCTTTGCCGGCGGACCTTTGTCTATTGATCCACCGCTTCTTCATTGCGAGCGTAGCCAAAAGGATTGCTTCTGATGACCCCACAGTACTGGTTCCTACAGCGGTGACATCTGGCTCCCCATTGGTTGGCACGTTGAAGAGTTGAGCAATCATGTCGAGGCAGCGATTCTGGAGGTCGGTAGTTACGGGATAGGCTTCATGGTTCGCCAGGTTCTTGCTCAACGAGTCAATGATGAGTTTCTTGGCCTCATCTTCCATATATGTCGTTACGAAAGATCCGAGACTTTTAGTACCAGAATCAGTACACGTTCATTCGAGTGTCGAGCTAAGGTAATTAGTATCGTACTTACTTGAGAGTGGGAGCCCCATCATCAACCAAGTTGTCTTTGATTGTACGGTACGCCATATCTGATGGAATTTCGTCCTCAGGAAACTGCTTATTAGACATGTCGTAGATGGAACATCCGACGCTGGAATCCAGCAAGGATGTGCACTGATTTTGTCCCAATACTGTGCCCCGATGCAGGTCACTAACCTGGCTAGTCAACCTACGGTGGCCCATCGCGTTCTATTCAGTGAAAATAATTTCCAAAGTAATTATGATGACGGTCTATTAGGATACAGATTGAGCATGCAAACACCACCGGGCCTACTATCTGCAGTCACAACTATAAGACTAGATGGCTTGCTCAATTCTCAACACATACACGCACACACACATTACGGGAGCCATCTATTGCCTGTTTAGATGTTAGTGCAACTGAAATTGATGGATTTGGTCAGGATTGCCGCAAATATGTATTATCCAATCGATCTTAGTAGCTGATAAAACGCTTGGGATTATCACGTGATGCCAGGACATGAAGGCGTCATTTGATCCTGTAATCCTTCAATAAAGTGCAGGTGGTGTCACAACATTCTTTTGATCTGATAGGCAAAAGTACTACCTAGCTACTACATAAAGTGGGTGGTGAAAGAAGAAGGCGGAAAGCTGTAGCAGCTGTGGGGAGATTTAGGTACTAGTAGGTACCTAGCGTTGGTGCCTAGCACCTAATAAAAACTCACAAAATGCTACCAGGGAGGTTGCGCAGAAGCATTCAGGAGACAGAAGCAAATCGCAACGTGGATAATGAAAGTTGGTGATATGGTATGGTGCAAAGTCCATTTTATCAATTCAGTGTCCATGAACTACTAGTCTGATAGAAAATCTTAATAAACATCTAAATTGCTTCAACACGCTTACATAGCCCGCAAAAGACCTTTGGCCACTTTGCCTGACGTATTACGAGGGAGCGCTTCCAACAGCTCGTAACGTCCACGTAACCAGTGCGGCTCTGTCAACTTGCTCTGGACGTGCTCATCCCACTGCTCAAAGAGCGTCTCAGGATCGGCAGGCTTTGCTGTTGGGTCGGGATTCTTCATGGGGACTACGAACGCTTTGGCTCGTTCGCCAGCCACGTTATCCGGTACTCCAATTACTGCTACGTCGGCAACCCCAGGATGCTGTCGCAGGCACTCCTCAATGGCAACTGGGGAAACTTGCATACCCTGGTTTTCGTATCGGTGTCAGTATGATCAGCATTTAAAGCTACTCGGGATTGCTTACCTTGACTTTGATCATGTCCCTCAGCCGGTCGACAATGTACAGATGCGAGTCGCCTCGGGGGCTCTGCCGGAAAATTGCCACGTCGCCAGTGTGCAACCAGCCGTCTCTAAACGTAGCTGTGGCAGCCTCTTCGTCTCCTATGTATCCAGAGGCCTGGTTCGGGGATGATAGGAGCAGCTCGCCCGGTTCGTCAAAAGCTTCAACATCACTCCCATCCTCTCGTCGAAGACGTGCCTGATACAAGGGTAGCAGGATTCCTACGGGGCCTGGGCCAGGCTCTTGCGAGCTGCTCATGGCAACAACCATGGAGCTTTCTGTGAGGCCTGAAAATATGTTCTGTTAGCACTGTACTTGTGCTGCTTAGGTCAGCGAGTCTAGAATTACCATAGCCATTAACCAGATTCCAATTAGGCTGTACCGCCTTTGTTTTGGCGTAGAGCTCAGAGCTAAGACTCCCAGCACCTACATAGACTGTGTCGACTGACGACAAGTCGAAAATTTTAAACAAGAACTGGTTCCCGACGAGAGCGGCCAGCACAGACGGTACTAGGTACAGTCTGTTGATACGATAGGTTTGGATAGACATCATGGCTGCCTTCATGTCGAAAGTCGTGTGCAAGATAAGACGGTCTCGCAGGTAAACTGTACCGTGAGACGCGATAACGCCCTGGACATGACTTAGGGGTAATACGCCGAGTACAATTTCAACATCCCGGTGGCGGATCGTGCTCTCCAGAGCAGACACCTGAAGGATATTGAGTATAATTCCACGATGGCTTAAACGCGCCAGTCTCTGTGCATCAAAGGTTGGAATTAGTCAAGTACGCACTAGGGATGAGAGTCTGATGCTTGTTACCTGCACCCCCGAGGTTCCGCTGGTCGCGCAGAGGTATGCGATACTGGATTGGGCCTCCTCAGGGGACCAATCGAGCGCTGGGAGAGGGCTCAATGTCTTCCCAAAGCTAACAAGCTCTTCAATGGTTTTGAGGTCGGTGTCGCTATTGCCATTGACATTGACTTGGGCGCTGTCAGTGGCTACCCGCTCTGTCAGATAAACTCTAATCCCTGCTTCGCTGGTAGAAGCAGCAGCGGCAGCAGCACGGCCAGACTGAAGCAATGCAGGAGACACAATCAAGGTTCTGCAGTCACTGCGCTGGAGATGTTTTGCATTCTCCTGCGGCGAAGTAGTGCCGTGTAAAAGAAGACAGGTGCCTCTCAGACGATGAACCGCCCAGCAGTAGACCAGATAATCCACCTTTCAAAACATTTATTTAGCTTGTGGTCCACGTTGAAAATTGCCCCTCTGTAAAAGAAAACACCTTGTTTGAAGATCTTACAGTATTTTCGGACAATATAGCAACCACTTTGCCGCCTTGTGCGGGTGCATTAGGAGACCATTGCAATTCGTGGGCAAGGCCAGCAGCCAAGGCCTCGACGTTCTGCGCGATCTGCGCCGGGGTTCTCTCCTTCTGCGTAGAAGCAGAAATAAAGGTTGGCTCGTCTACCCTAGGGCCGGAGGCGTTGCCCAGCGTCCCTTGAAGCGCAAAGTCTCCCACTGTCCCCACTTTGGACAGGTCTTGTTCAATAGCGGGGAGCCATGAAGGTGGTGTAAAGATCATGATGGGCAGTTTCGTGCTACGATTTCGTGAATATGGTGAACAGCAGGTCTCAATTCTTACGCAGGCGTTCGTAGTATCGCTTTGATATATTGAAGCCATGTATCAATGAGCATACTCAGATCAGCGCGACAACATCTTCCGCAAGCTACTGCGACCTGCAAGCGCCTTGGGGGGGAAATTGCTAGGAGTCTGATCCGAGCGCAAGATGATACTTTGATACTCCTGAGTCCTTCGATCCTTCATACTTTAATGTCACGAAACGGTGGTGCCACCACTTGTAAGCATGGATGAACATTTTCGACTAAACCTATTCGGGTAGTCCTGGTATACTCTAGGTACGATCTCAATCGTCAATTTGCGTGACCTATGTGACTGTACTTCTTTTAGGGTTCATCACGTGTCTTTCCTGTTGGATAGCCCCGCCGGCATAGTTCATTTACGGTCCAGGTTATTCTATGCCTAGGTGCGTCCGCTACAGCATTCTCACAACCAATTCTATAGGTGGAGGCTAAGTCAATATGACGGTGAGGACTTAGATCTAAAGCTGCTACATGCATGCAACAGTCGTAAAGACTTTGGTCATTTCCATGTCGTAAAACCTTTCTACTCCGCAACTGCATTTCGGTCATCTAGTTCATCAATCTTCATTTCGTCACACAAACGCAAGTAACACTATGATTTCTGATATCACTGCTGCCGTGGTAGGCTTCGCCGGGTTCTACATTTTTCTATGGGCCTTGCTATGGCTCACGCAAGATGCGAGAGAGCCACCTATGGTAGAGACCGCGATTCCATTCTTGAGCCCCATTATCGTAATGCTCATGAAATGGACTACGGTTCACGAGTATTTACGGTAAGTGATCGCTAAACGTACTCAGACTTGTTGTTTAGCTTTTGAAGCCGATTTCTGCCATCATCCACGTAAGGGCTAATCATATATACATAGAGACAAATATGGATACCCAATTCACACACTGAGGCTTCCGGGCACTCGCGCCTACGTCGTAAATGATACATCTCTTATTCCCGCGATTCACAAACAATTGAGAACACTCACCGCCGCACCATTCGTTGTAAAAGCATTCTCAAATTTGATGGGCGTTAGCAAAGAAGCCTTTGAAATCATGGGACGCGATCCCATCGAGGACCACGGGTTCGTGCATCGCTTAACAACCGAGAGCAAGAATTCGCTTGCTCCAGGACCAAACCTGGATCAACTGAATACCGAGGTGGTGGATATCCTTAACAATTCCTTTAGCGCGATCTGTGCCGCGCAAGAACCCAAGACGGCGAATCTTTTCGAGTGGGCTTCACATGAGGCTATGATGGCCACTACCGGTGCTATCTATGGTCCTCTGAACCCGTTCAATGATGCCAAAGTCCGTACAGTCTACTAGTAAGTACCAACCAAGTATCAGATCCTTTTCCTAAGCATGTAAACTAAAAGGAACAGTGACCTCCAAGCTGGCCTGCTCAGACTGCTCATGGGTTTTATGAAACCGATTTTTGCCAAGAAGCCTCTCGAAGCACTGGAGACAATAACTGAAGCCTTTGAAAAGTACTATGCCAGAGGGGGTCTCGAGACAGGATCATCCGCTTTTGCTCGGGGCAGATATTCGTGCCCACGAGAGCATGGTGTGTCTGAAAAGGATGTGGCAAAAATGGAAGCTGGCGGTATCTTCGCCTTGATTGCTAATACCATGCCGGCGGCATTCTGGACACTGTACCACATCGTTTCGGATCCTGTCGTTCTTGCAGACTGCCGGCGGGAGCTCCACGGAGCAGTCAGCGAGAAAGATGGTCAGGCCCATTTGGATTTGACATATGTCAAGAACTCATGCCCCATCATGGTCTCGACGATGCAAGAAGCGATGCGGTTCCATAGCATTGACCTCGCGATGCGGGCTGTGGTGGAGGATCATATGCTGGACGGGAAATACCTCTTAAAGAAGTAAGTTACCACAATGTGCTACGCTGTCGCTTATTTACCGGATCTGCCTTGTACATGATGCTTGTTTTCGTACATCGTGTTGAAAAATCCGACTAACGCCAAAGTAGGGGCGCAACGGTCATGATCCCAGGTAAGATCCAGCACACGTCTTCTTTGGCGTGGGGCCCGAATGTGAACGAGTTCTACCACAAGCGATTCCTCAAAATGCCCGGAACAAGGACGCACAACCCAGTAGCATTCCGAGTCTTTGGTGGAGGTGCTACTCTCTGCCCCGGACGCCACTTCGTGGCTACCGAGATCTTGGCATTTGCCAGCATGATGCTTCTGCGCTTTGACATCAAGGCCGTCAATGGGCAGTGGTCTACTGGTGGATATACGCAAACTAATGGCGGTATTCGCCTTCCACGTCAAGATGTTCAGGTGGAACTCCTCCCACGAGACAATAAACAGTGGCACGTAGCCTTCGCGGGGTCTGGAAAAGCCACAGATATCGCTGAAGGTGTCAAAGACAGCGAAGAGAGTATGACAGAAAAGTGATGGCTGTTCCAAGGTGTAGTATACACTGGGCGTTATCCACGCCACACATTGGTTTGATTCACGATTTTAGATTTACGGTACAAAGACGTTGCTATAACATCAAAATTTTCTGTGTGAATGCTATCCTCCTTATTGGATCATTGTTGTGGAAAAGTGGCGTATATAACTTTACATTGGCTTGAGCGTGGTGCGAAGCTCCTAATTTCGCAGTTATGGCCTCGCGGTATATCGCGCACCACAATAGTTGCATGCTAGCCAGCCCAGAATATATCACTATTCATGATTAGTCGTCAAGCTAAGTCAGTAATCATCAACTGCAGAGCAGAAAAGATCCCAGAACCTTTGTTGCAAAAGTACCCGAGGGAGTAGCAGAGACCTGTCGGCCATCACATGCAAGAATCCTAGGGACTTCTCTTGTGCAGTTACAGTAAATAATACAAATAATGTTGTGCCAAAAATCATTGATGAAGTAAAAGGGTGGTGGGCTTAACGTACTCAAAGTTTTGGTAATCAGCAAGGCGAATTCGGCTCCCAATACATCGACGGGGCCCCGTTGATTTAAAGCATACCCTGCGCGCGGCTGGCACCAGTATTAAAAATAAAAGTAATTTTAACCATTTTCGCATTATAATTATCTTCGCATTGCAATTATTTTCGTATTGCATTTATTTGCGTATTGCAAATCTTTTCTTTTTCGCATTATAATTATCTTATAACCATTATTTATAGCTATTAAAAAAAAACGCCAAAGCCTTTAATAAAGGCATAAATTCTTATCGCTAATATGCATAACGCTATAAAGCGCTGTAAAAAGTGGCAGAACGCTATAAAGCGCTATAAAAAATGGCAGAACGCTGTAAAGCGCTATAAAAAGTGGCACAACGCTGTAGAGCGCTGTAAAAGTTGGCACAACGCTGTATAGCGCTGTAAAATGACGCTTACATAACATCGACGGGTCCGTCGATATTAAATCAACGGGGCCCCGTCGATGTATTGGGAGCCGGCGAATTCGGACGACTAAATGATCATTCTTGTCTAGATTAGGTTAGTACTGATGCGCCACAGTGTGGCTGTGTTGTGAGGCACCCTTCGGATGACACAACGGGAAGGGTGATCAGGTCTGTTTGTTCACACATTAATTTCGTAGATATAGACCATCTTCAACTTTACTTTATATCGCACCAAACACTGCACTAGCTGAGTAAAACGTGAAGCTTCGACACTAGGAACTAGCCTACTAGTGGTTACGGATACGTTCGACACCTTATTCAAGATACAGGTTGTACCATCGACCTAGATACGCTGAGACGCAAAGCCGTCCTGTAGAATCGGTAAGCCCTCCGTGCTGCTGATCAAGAAGGGCACCATTTACTCCAGAGTTTTGATGCTTCCATCGTTATGACACAGGCACAATCAAAAGCTCATTTGCATGCAACGACGACGGCAGCATTCATGGCCGTTTGTTAGATACCCCCGCCTTGCACCAAACGTCCTTAGCGTACAAATAACCCTCCTCCCGGTGAGCGGGGCTACCTGACCCTCAGACTGAGGTCCGTAATGCTGAACTCGGAAGTGAAGTTTGTGACAACAGTGTGTATTTCCATCTCAAGCGAGCTCATTCATGGTCTGTGCGTTGCTATGTTGCATTTGAATTATCTCATTTTCCTCGTTGTGTCTACAATGCCGTAATTGCTGTACTCAGACGCAATATCTCTCATCAGGGAGGACTTGATCCGTGACTGCCTCGACCGCCCTAAAACTCTCCCAAATTGGGTTTCCTCGATTTGAAAGGCATATTATCGTATTAACGTATTTAATACTACGTTAATACCCACCGCAAATCACCTGCGTGAATATATATAATCGCTTTTTAGCACCTTTTTGTTGTAAATAGAAAATCAATTTAAACATCTTCTAATGCTTCCTCGATTATCTCGTCTTCAGATCCCTCTTCACTGTGCACGAATGCGACCAAGGATTTAAACGTGGCGTCTTCGTCAACGGCATCCTCAAGCCCCTGGACCTGTTCGATGCAGCGCCATACCATTGTACAGCCCTCAACCTCTTGAAAGCCAAGGGACATATCTACGCCTTCTCTAGGATCATACCATCTGATCAGTTTTCCTAGAAAATAGTGCCTATTAGCTGTTATGCCTTTGGATAGCATCTTATCGATCGATCAAATAGAATATTAGGTACCTTGTTGTTTATGGAAAATAGTCGGTGCAGGAAGATGTAATTCTAGTAAGATCCCATAAGGCGGATCTTCGGATTCAACCGTCACCACGGCGTCGTCCAAGTCACTTTCTATCTACACGCGAATTTCAATTAGTGTAAATCCTTCCTTCCTGCAAACATGCAATATCCGAATAACGATAATGATAAAGAGGAAGGGATCCTGAGAACGCAGCTTAGGACGCTGTCATTAGCGTTTTGGGTCGCGCTGCGCCTGACTTCGACAATGGAAGAAAAATCGAGAAGCAAAAGAAAAAACGACTAACTTGATAGTCGGCGGTACAGAAACCGATACCTCGGTCCTGCCATTGATTGTATCGGAACTCATAGACCTGAACTCGATGCTTCTCCGCCGACTGATCAGGCACAGACGGTGCTGACAGGTCGCGGATAGGATCATCATGGCTTATTTCTGCCATGGGGCGCGGTGTGTGTCGATTTGATATCGGTCCAATCTTCATAGTCGATGAATTGAGTTTTGTGGTTGGCTTTACAGAACCTGGTCTGCGAAGCGGCTTGCGTTGGATAGTCACTACGTGAATTTTATTGACGTGACGCTGAACTGCAGCTTTCGAGACAAAGGCAGGGTACTTGCAGTCTGTAATCGGGCACGTGAAGGGTTTGCTGTGCGTCAGCTCATGTTCGTTCCTTTCGGCATATGAGTCAAAGCCAATAGTAGCGAAATGACATTTGTCGAATCTGCAAGTGAATCCCGAATTTCGGAATTGGTTTTTGAACCTTTGAAGCTCCTCCGATGATATCTCTGGATAGTCACGCTGCTCGAGTAGAAATACTACGATATCCTGATAAGATGAGGTAATGGCCTGCAGTGAAGTCTGGGTGATCATCTCATCTCTTCGTTTGAGGGTTTCGTCAATATCTGTGATGTTAGCTGGAACTTTTCAGCATTGACTCCTTGGTATCCTTACCGTCAACTACGAATATTTGTTGCTCTGTCGTTTTGTGGGACCTCGACTTGAGGGTAAGTCTTACAAGCCTCCGGAGTTGAACGTCAGGGATCAAGGAGAGTCCTTCATCCCCGCTGGATCTCTCTCCTTCGTTATCAAAGACAGATTGTATCTCATTTTGATTTGCCTGTGCAGCTAGATCAACTGCTAGTTGATATAATGGAACCTCATTGATAGGCTTGGAAGAAATTTTCATGATCTCCAGCAAATAATCGACCCAATAATTATTTGCGTAGAGGTGAAACCCATGCAAGCCATGGACAACTCTGAGATTCTGAGCATGTCTTGAAGCGTCGGATCGAAAAACATGCAAACCCGCCCGCAGACAAGTCACTGAAGCGACTCCATGTTCGTGAATCGAAATCGTATCATCCAATGGTAGATTGCTTGTGGTGGACTGGAGGAATCTGAGAGGCACATCAGTCGCCTATCCAAATCCTGCTAATGGTCACGTTTAGATACGTACTCCTTGACTGTGCTGTGAATGAAAGCCAATGTGGCATTTGGACGTTCCTCCACTAGTGCCCCACAGACCGTCAAGATGAAGTCGGGGACAAGGTGAGGAACCAAATGGTCTGAAGAGCTAAAGGTGATCGCCGATAGGAGTTCTAGGCGTTTCAGAGGATTTCTTGCAAATGCAATCCACCCGAATAGCGACCTGACTCTTTCGTTTGACTGTTTGTCCAGCGGAGCGATTATTTGGGCGAGTATTTCTCGATAGCTTTTTGAGTTAATATTAGAAGCCATGTATCACCACATTTCAATTGACGAGGGCGCTTCTCACTAATCAGCCAGCTCTCGAGGAAGGTCGTCGACGGACCTTCTAACTTCATCTGCAGAATAGAAAATCTTTCTCCCAATGTAGTCCAGAATCAGTCGAGCATAGAGGAACATTCCTTTACAACGATTAGCTAACATTTGAGATACATGGAGGAACCGCTTACCATCAGCTTTTTGGCAATTGCCGATTGAATGTCTTCCAGATTATTGTGTCCAAGATGAAGTTGATCAAACCGATCACGAAGCCTGTCCAATCTGTGTGAGGTATAGACCCTAATGGCAACATCCAATGCTTGCTTTTCTTTCGTCATTGAGATGATTTGGTCATTCCTGAGGCGTTTAGAAAGCAGGGGCGATGCTCTACTTGCAATGAGGAACTTGCAAACAGTGCCTCCAGACCGGGGATTCTTTGATACTAGCTGATTCATCAAGCTAATGAGACTAGCTTGTTTATTGGATTCGCAGGCTTCAAAGCTATCAATGAGGACCCAAATGAACTGAGTGCTCCTCGGCTCCTGAGAGGTCGTTGTGAAAAGGACTTTTACTAGCTGTTCCAAAGCACTTGTGCTGGCTATTTTCTTCTCCATCACATATCTGGCATAGACATGTGCCGTGAGATCTTCGTCTTGTTGCAGAAGCTGTAGCAGTAGTGACCGTAGAATCTGGTCATATGAAGCGGAGGATGCATATGAACTACTCAAGAAATGAGAGAGAACAATACGAGAATCGGCCCTCATGAATGCCTGTATCTGTGTCAATAAGATAGTTTTACCCGCACCTGGGATGCCCTGCAGCCAGCAAAGACATGAATTTGTATCTTTCCGAAGCCAAGCACGGAGTGTCTGGTTGTCCAAAGCCCAGGTACAAGTTCCTGGATATTGATTGCCTTCAAATGATGCAAGATCTTGTATGGTGAGTTGCTCAGAATCGTCCGCCTTTAGCCATGATTTGATGTAGCCGTATTGCTTGGCCGCTTGCTCATTTTCTTGGCGTTTAAGTCTTTCATAATTCTCTTCTCGCCATGCTTGTATTTCTTGCCATTGTTGGCGCGACTCGAAAATATTCCTTGCATTTGCTTCCTGGTCAATCAAGGCTCCATGACGGTCCAAGTCTTCCAGAATGCCATGAAAGCGCCGTTCAAAGCGCCCCCAAGATGTTAGAAACATTAATTTCCAACCTGATGCAATTAGCTACTGATCACTAAATATCATGGTTGCCACATACTGCTTCGTCGAAGGAAAGTGTAAGCAAACTTGTGGAATTGTAGAATATCAGAGTAGAAAACGGCGAGAGTTTGCTGGAACTGTTGGTTGCCCGTGAAGGCCTTTTGAAGTATCTCGAACCGAACGAGTGATTCGGCAATTTTTGAATACCCTTTCATTATAGCTTCGAATGCTTCAACATATTCGGAAGCAAGACGAAGAATGAGCGTGATTGGGGCCCATATCCATGCAAGGTAAGGAGTTCCATTGCAAAGGACATCCACGACTTTGGCATAATGTTCAAGCCCTTGGAATAGAGGCATTAGTCGCCGCAGATTCCGCAGTGACTGCTTCACAGCCAACTGGGTTTCGATTTCCAAGGCTGCACTTCTGACATCCTCGAGCGTTGTCGAGTGAAAGTCCCGCGAGTCCACTGGTGTGATAGTTCTGTCGAGCTCCTCGAAGGCGGTTCTTATCGTCTCCCTGGCTGATGCCGAAGCGGCAGGCCCGAACTTGGACGGCATGATACAAAGTATGCCAATTGTTTGCGACGCTCGTTTTCTTTGCTAGAGAGACAACATGGCTATGGAGGAGATTGACTTGCAAAGATATCCCGCCGTCTAACATTCCGCACTCGAAGGAAAGTGGCCTAAACGCCTACATCGCCACCACTCATTTGTGGCTGCGTCGGGTCGCACTGCAGCTGAATGGGCTTTATGCACTGCGCCCAGCGCATACGATGAATGATCCAATCATATCTTCACTTCGGTGTGCTGTAGACATGGATTAACGACATGCATGCATCTGGTGTTGCACTAGCCGATGCAGGGCTTGCTGCCTTCAATGTTGGCAATTGAACTCTACAGCCCCTGTCATGGCCGTCAAAATCTCACTCAACGATCTCTTTCCTCTTATTTTTTACATCGAATACCTAATATGAGTCTCATAACATGATCTATGTGAATCGATCTTTAAAGGCATCATGCAACGAGGGACAATGGATTGCGGCAATGATTGGGACCGTCCTCCCAAACGGGCAAGGCTCGCAGAACGAGAGACAGATGCTGCAAATAGCCTGACACTAATGCAGCAGAACACTCGGTTGGCTCCCCTGCAGAGTTTGGGGGCTCATGCCTCAGCATCAAACGAGTCTCGTCAGTTGGAAGGCCAACTCCCTTTGTGGACTGCTTACGCTGAACAAACCTCACATGTCCATTTTCCTTATCAACATTCATCGCAACCACAGTCATTGCAAAATTTTTGGAATGCTCCAGAATTTGGTGCAAATCTGGATCAGCCGTCACAGCGACCCCCTCGAGGATCAGGTCAACCAAGGAACGATGGCCATCAACCCACCGCTGCTCTGAGCTATAATACTCACGCAAGTCCTGCAACAGCACCATCTAACGAATTCTTAAGTACGGTCCTACTATGCACCGATAGCGACTCCCATGGCATATTGCATAGACAGCCAGGCGTTGCGGATGACTCACGTCAAGTGGAAAGTCCTACCATACCCTTGGGGATCTACGAAACCAGTTCCGCCGTAGATATTGACGTTGATTCTAATCACCAAATATGTTGCTTCGGAATGGTATGTTTCTCCTTCCGGTGAAGCTGTATCCCTCTTACATTCGTAGATACCAGATATAACGGGATCCTTTGAGTGTCTAGGCATTCAAGCAGTTCAGTCTCCATTCGATGTTAACGTTGAGTCGGCACAGAAGTTTTCATCGGAAGAATATCAAGTCAATGGTCGCATTGACACGAAACATTCATACATGATTCAAGAGCTCCTTGACGTACATATTAACATCAAGGTGATTTGTATCGCCAAGACTACGTCAACTACGAAAAAAGCTCGCTCAAATGTGTCTGTTCCATGTGAGTTACAGCTTACGATTTATGGAGACCTAGAGCTTTTCGACGAAGTTGGAGAATGGCTTCAGGGTTCTGATATCTATCTACAAGACCCAATGGTATGCCACATGGATGTCAAATATTGCAATCCCCACAGGCTTTCCTTTATTGACATTCACTCTTGTCCTATGGTTTCAGATATTGTAAAAGGCAAGCCCGGTCTGATGTTTCGGACTATATCTGAACGTTCAAGTTTGCTTGACACTATCAGCAATGTCATTGACCTACAAGAAGCTCCGCAACCGCCCGCTGTGAAGTCATCGCTAAAAAGGTAATTTTATTGGGCTGACCTGAAACATAATGCTAGCGTTTAAACTAATGATGTCAAACAGGCATCAAAAACAAGCACTCTATTTCATGTCATGCCGCGAACAAGGCTGGGGAAACCACCACGACATCCCAGATATCTGGGAATCAGTGGACAATGATCGAGGGCGAATGTAGGTGCCACAGCTAGATCAGTCCGCCATTCCGAAAAGTGGTACACTGACTTCACGTAAAAGTTATTTCAATAGCATAACCGAATTCTATCAATCCAATGTGCCTCGTCAAATATATGGAGGCATCATTGCAGATCCCATGGGGCTCGGCAAAACCTTGTCAATGATAGCCTTGATAGCTGCCGATTTGGACAACACCTCGACGATGGAGATGGATGAAGGCTTTGAACGACCTGAAGGCGCAGTTGCACCGAGCATCCGGGCTACTCTAGTCGTAGTACCACCACCACGTAAGCGATAGCATGCTTTCTTCGTTACCATTCACATCACTTAACAGAAACAGTAATTAGTGCATGGGAAGAACAATTATCAGAGTAAGTTGTTTTCGATAATCATATCCACTGGCTAACTTATTTCAGCCATCTTGTGCCTGGTTCTTTATCGTACAGCCGCTATCACGGCAGTGACAAAGCGGCCACGAGAACTACCCTAGAAACAGACCGACTAGTATTGACAACTTATCATACTGTGTCCGCTGAGTGGAAGCAAAGTACTGATTCGGGTGATGCTTCCCTTTTTTCGGTACGATGGAGGAGAATTGTACTCGACGAAGGTAATTTCAGCATGAAAATCCTCATAACTCCTACCACCGCTGATTCTTTTAGCTCACTTCATCCGCAATGCAAATTCCCGGATGTCCCGAGCTGTTTGTGCTCTACAAGCTCAGGCTCGATGGGCGGTGACGGGAACGCCGATTCAAAACCGCCTAGGGGACTTGTCCAGCTTGGTCAAGTTCATTCGCGCGCACCCATACACGGACATAAAACAGTTCGATGCGGATATATCGCACCTCTGGAAGTCGGGCGAGGACGAAAAGGCAGTGAAACGCTTGAAGAGGCTTTCATCGTGCTTGGTCCTACGCAGGCCAAAGACAACAATTGAACTGCCTCACAGATTCGACCTCGAATGCCCCGTGGACTTCACCGCGGAGGAAAAACAGGCTTACACAAGTATTCATCAGCAAGCAATTGTTCGCATCGACGAAGTTTTGCAGAGCAATGGCGCAAGTTTCAAGTCCAACGTTTTTGTCAATGTTCTTCAGCAAATCGAGGCTCTACGCCTATTTTGCAGTTTAGGACTCAGATACAACACGAGGCACAGAATTTCCGACAGTTCAAATGCGGAGATTGATGACTGGAACAAAATGGCACAGAGAACATTTAACACGCAAAGACAGATGGGACCCCTTCCATGTCTCCAGTGCGAGTCGACCATCGATCTAACAGAAAGCATGTATAATGATGGCAATCAGCTACGACAAGAAGGACGATTCTTCAAATGCCTCAAGTTCCTTTGCGTGGAGTGCACACGAAAGTCGACCTCTGTGCTCCGATGCGGGCACAGGCCAAATTGTCCCGCCGCATCGGTATCAATGGATAGCAACGGTTTTGAGGACACTGACGATGTGCATGTTCGTGCGTCTATTGGCGGTTCTCTGCAGTTCCCGTCAAAGATCAACGCTCTCGTGGCTGATCTAAAGTCGCTGCCGCCAAACACTAAATGGTGAGGAACCTCAGGCCTTTGTTGACTCGGAGCAATGCTAACCCAAGGCCTTAGCATCGTGTTCTCAACTTGGAGGTTGACTCTAGATGTTGTCGAGGCCGCATTGGAACAGGCCCATTTGCCCTGTTCACGATTCGACGGGAAATTACCCCAAAAGGACAGACAGGGCGTAGTTGATCGCTTCAGAAAAGACAGTTCTGTCCGTGTTATGCTACTCACCCTATCATGCGGTGCAGTCGGGTAAGCTGTGATGCCCAAAAATGAGCATCTATAATCAGGCCTTCGCAACACTGACAATGATGACAGACTGACTTTGACGGTCGCTTCACGGGCGTATCTATTAGAGCCTCACTGGTACGTACAAGCTACATGCATGCGCCAATGATAAAAGTGCCTGATTGTTTTAAGGAATCCAACGCTAGAGGAACAAGCATTGGCGCGCATTCATCGACTGGGCCAAACGCAGGAGGTGACGACGGTACGGCTCTACGTACGGGATTCATTTGAAGAGGTATAGTGCATTATCATGTTTACAGAAAATGAATCAGAGCTAATTATGGAGTATAGTCAGTCCGAGAGGTTCAAAAGTCCAAGCAGCAGCTTGCCAATGTTCTGCTATCATCTCATGGGGAGGGGCAATCTGACACCAGTCTCAGTGTCTTGGAGGTAAGCCGATCGACGAGCTGTCAGGGCAAATTGTGGTAAAACTGACGACTTGATAGAAATTGCGCTCTTTGTTGTAGTATACCTAAGAATGATGGCCTATATGCGGTAATGGCGGTACCGACGGTGAGAGAATCGCAAGCCCGATGTATGCTACAAAGGTCGCTGGCAGCGAAGTATTATTTCATTATAGTCAGTGGAGAATTCGGATTTCTGGGGGACTTTTCTGCCTGTACCTAGCGACGAACCAGCCCGCAACCTTGCACTATTAGCGAACGCTGAAAGCATTAGATCAGAGGCCCCGATGATACGCTGTGCCGCTTCTGTACATTTGCTCTACGCGCCAGGATTTTCAGGATGCGCAGGAATTTTCCTTGTCGTCGCGCCACAAGACGCGTTCTCATAGATACGTGGTTATCAATAAACATTTGCTTCAGCTCTTGGCATCATGGGATCTGTCCAAGATGATGAGAAACACGCCGTGTTACGCCAACTTGCGCAAACCCGATATGCTTGCTCCTCGCTGTCCACGCTAGCCACTCGGCCCGCTAACTTTGTTTATCGCGGCGTGCTACTTGAGCCCCTCTCCGCCAAGGACGGATCGGCGGCTACGACCGTTATAATCAAGCATTCTACAGACTCTGTGCATACTGTAATCATGAAATCTTCTTACCTCCCGATGGTTGAATGTATAAATAACATCATGTGAGATGGGGCTTAATCTAAGTTGTACTCCGACTTGCAGGAATTCGATGAGACTCTCCTCAGGTCACTCGACAGCTTGTCGCCTCCCAAGGGCATAGATGAAATCGCCGTGGTCAAAGCACCGCAGCTATATGAATTCGACCGAGAAGCCAATGTGCAAGTCCTAGAGGACTTTACCGATTCGGGCGGCTTCAGGCCGATACTATTCGCACCAGATGCTGACGCTCTTCGCCCCCGGCCCTTGGAGATTGGACGCCATCTGGGAACTTGGCTTCGTTCCTTTCACGAGTGGGCTTTGGAATCTCAGCAAGCTGGTCTCAGAACACAGCTGGGACAGAAAGACCCCGTCCGGAAGCTGAAATGCTCTGTGACATTTGACGTCTTTCTCAAAGTGCTTGAGACCTTTCCCGAGCTCCTCAATGGCTACCAAGAAACACTGCAAGCTGTGCAAGCGGCCATGACCAAGGAATTTGCGAAACCGGCAACGGGCGAAGATGAGGGATGGGGACTCGTGCATGGTGACCTCTGGTCAGGAAAGTAAGTTCGGACACTGGCATGTTATTCCAATAGAGAAGATTCTCACATTTGACCACAGCATTCTCCTCTCCAATCCCCCATGGCATGAGCCGCCCCGTCTCGGTATCATTGACTGGGAGTTTGCTCAATTCGGCCACCGCTCCTACGATCTCGGCCAGATCGTGGGCGACCTCTATGAAAAGGCCGTCTACCTCAAAGCCGACACCAAATCTGTGATGGAAGCCATCATAAGCGGCTACGGCGTCGTAAGCGACGATATGGCGTTTAGAACAGCCATTTACGTGGGCGTTCATTTGATCGGCTGGCATCACCGACGACCCCGCACTGCGCCGCCCGTGGCACCAGAAGTCATTACAGCGGGTCTGAAGATTGGGAGAGATTTCATTTGCAAGGCATGGGAAAAGGACAGACACTTTTTCGAAAGCACCGCATTGAAATCGCTGTTTACTCCAAAATGAACCCAAAACTAGATGTTTCCATTTTCCAAGCCTTTTCTCCAAAACTCCGTACAAACCAGCCCCCATTAGAAATCATGTTGATTTACAATATACCGTACCAGTCGCTAAATGCCACGCGAAAAAAAAAAAAAAAAGGCCAAATTACGCCCCGCACCTCATTCTTACAGCGTCCATAATCCGCTGCGACGTTTGCCTAGGGGGTAGATGAGGAGAGCGGAACCGAATAATCCAACAGTGATGCCAATAGCGATTTGAATCATACTAGCGGCAAAGTTGAAAGCCTACCAGGGTTTTTTTGTCAGTCACTGAATTGCTATGGCGCATTGATTACGAGGGCTGGACTTACGAGAGCGTTGAGCTGGGTGCTATCCGTAGACTACGTGACATGTCAGTTATTGTCGAGCGAAAGCAGTCGACAGATGAGAGAGTCGGTATTTCGTCACAACTTGGCAAAATCTCATCTTCAAGAAAAGGAAGGTTTTGACTTACATCCGTACCATTGGTTTGCGTCAGCAACGTAGCCGTCTTCAGCCCGACCGTAATGGCGCCGCTGGAAGCCAGCGAACCCGGCACCTGCACGTAGACGGCGGGCAACAGGATCGCGGCGGCCACGTCGTGGCGCACTCTGCTGTAGAGGTTGGCGAGTATGCCAATGACGAACGCGCCAAAAGTGTAGGCAATTGGCGCGCTGGCTGCAAACTTTTGCGACGTGTAAAAGTTGACTGCATAACCAGCCAAGGCAATGAGAATCATGACGGGCATCTGTTTCCACTTCGCCTGGACCGTGAAAAGGAGAAAGAAGATGTAAAATGGAACAAGGAGAAAAGCCCAGTACTTGCTCAATGGATTCTGGCAAGTCGTTGATGAGACGGCATCAGGGTCCACGGCACCATACAGCGCCGTACCAACTGTAATGCCATAACCAAGGAACAGGGAGTAAATAATGGCATACACCATCCGGATAGAGCCCGGTACAATAGCCTTGGAGTGAAGCTCCAGCGCCGACGACAACACGAGCCATCCCGGGAGAATCATGGCAATGGAACTCTGCGTCAGCGCAGAGAAGCAAAACAGGTTACCACCGCGAACGCTGGCAACGGCGCGTGAGAGAAAGGTTAGCAGAATGGACGCGCTGACTTCAAAAATGGTGTTGTAGGTGGCGGAAACTGGGGCAATGACGAGTTGCAAGACACCCAAGAGCGAGCCCAGAACAAAAATGACGGGCATGTCGATCAAGCGTGATGAAAAGAATGTCGAAACGGCAGTACTCGCGAGCCCGTACATGAGAATGCACAGCCAGACCGGCCAGCGGTTTTCCGCCTTCAAAATCGCCTCCAGTCTGGACAGTGCCTCGTCCAGACCAATAATGTCGTGCAGGACTTCCTTGTAGATGAGGTGCACGTCCTTGAGCTTGCCGAGGTTGACACCTTGTGATGCTCGCACCATCTTGACCTCTGTTGTGTGCGTCAAGACATCGTCAAAGGAGATGATCATGCAGCCCGGTATATACAGGAACTGACATTCCATGGTCAAGACCTTGGCGGTTGTGGACAGATATTCCTCGAGACGGTGAGATGGCGCACCATATCTCATGAGCGCAAGGCACATCTTGAGGATATACTTTTGCCTCTGAAGGATTCCCGCAACGTGAACGGTGATTTTGGCATCATTCTCGCGCTTGAGTCCCATGAGAGACTTGATCCGCCCGCTTGCTGTACGCGGAGCTTGCGGCCTCTTCATCACTGGCGGTGTGTTGAGTGGTACGCCAGCCTTGACGCTCTGCGCTGCGAGCCTCGAGGAGGACTCCAATAGCTGTCCGACAGTGTCCAGAGACGGTGTGCTTTGGTGTGAGTTTTTGTACCATTTCCGACGCGTAGGCGTCGAGGGGCGGCTTGAAGGGCGGCTAGATGGGGCAGAGCTTTTGCCATCCGGAGGCAAGGGCTCGTCCTTCTTTTCATTTTTGCGATTATTGTGTTGGGTCTGGTTATTGTATCCTTGTAGAATGTGGAAGAAGAGACCTCCACGTGGATTCACAGTGACAATGTGATCTTGATCCGTCTGCGTAGTCTCCGCTGCTCTCCCTAAAAAGACTTTAGCCACCTGAGGTGATAAGAGATATAGACTGTGGGATTGTTTGCAAAATTTTACACAGTCCAATCAACATACCTTCTGGTTCTGTAGTAGAAACATGAATATCCGGCATATGAGCCCTCAGGAGAGACTCGGCTTCCCGTAGAGCACCTGGGTCCTGTATGGCATCCGTATGGGTTTGCTGAGAGCCGTCGGTGGTAGTACCGTTTGGAGTGGCAGTTCCATTCTCGAACGACCGCAAATACTCGTCTTCTTGTGTGGGACTACTCTGAGACGAGTATATCTCGTCGAATCGGTATGAATTATCAGCGGAAGAATCACCACCCGCGGCGGCTGGCTGCGCCGGGTCCGCCACCTGCATCGCCGATGATGATTGAGATTCCTTTTCAGCCTCGAATTGATTTGATCCAAAAATTGCATGCTTTATAGCGTCGCTATTGAATCGAACTCGGCGGCCCCAAGTCCCTGGGCCTGACTTGTGCTCTGCACTAGCCCTAGGCACTGCACCGTCGGTAGCGCTCGCGCTTGGGGCTAGGCCGTCGACCTGATCGCTGGGAGAATCGCCATCAGACCCTGAAGAGGACGACTGAAAGATGTTGAGGTTAAATGACGTGCCGTTGTTGGAACTCATTTTAACATGTATCAAGCGCACATGGCGTTGGTGGAAAAGGAGTGCGGGCGGGAAAAGGAAAATTTCATCGTGGCTCCGTTCTTCAATAACAAAAGCGCGTGCGCCGTTGGCCTTGCCTTCGGTATGATGCGGTATGTGGATTTCCCACACAAAAGAACGAACCCCCTCCTTCAGAGGCTGTTGACGATCATTAAACCACCGTTTTAGTTGGCCCACATGAGCTTGACAGCTCGACTCGTGAACTGCGTGCCCCAGATTTCGACTTCCCGACGCAGTTTGGTCTGGACTCTGAGAGACGCTCTGAGAACCCGTGGAACCACGAGAATACCGGATTGGGGAAATCCATCCAGTCGGTATAGATCCAATCCCCGGCAGGATCCGCGCCACGACCCACTTGGTATATGGCGAAAGCTCAAACAAGAACCACTGGAAAACTCATTGACCGACTGAGATATTCCGATATCGGGAATAAACCGGTCCGTTTGAAAGTTTTTCTTGTCAAACTTGGCGATACAGTTGTCTCCTCGGGTAACTATGAGCATTTCACCTAGACATATTGTCGAGGTTGAGGAATCATGTCCAAGAGGACCCAATATCAAGATGAATCGAAGATCTAACTTGGCCTAGTGCCGAGGTCCCCTTTTTTTCGGATCCCATTATGTAAAAGCCACGGTCGCGGAAGTGGATCCCGGAGCGACCTTGGAATAGTTACGTAAAATCTCAGATCCGGATCCACGATATTGACGAAAAGTCAGGACTGGACCTGCCATTGTGGGTTTGTCTCGAGTCGTTGCCAGTCTGATGAACGACCCCGTACCTCGCTGCCCAACCTCAATATTTGTTTCAAGATCATGACATGAGAGTGATCATGGCTCACAGGCACCGAAATTAGTTTCTCTAAAAAAGGAAAACGAACCAAGAGGGATAGACCTCATTGCATTTAGTCTTTGTAGACATGATATAGACTGTTCTTTTTTGAGAAGAAGCATCAAAAAGAAAAGTTCTTCAACGTTCAAATCAAATTGAGTCACCTGTACAGACACGTGTAATCGTGGCGGCATTGTGCATACCAACCACGATTCATACATTGGTATTGAAGTAGATGAGGTGATACTAAAAATAGATGACTGGCCCCGAGCAGCAAAGCATCATTTAGGGAAGATGGAAAACGAGAAGAGCCAGGTGCGAAAAAAAAAAAAAAAAGGTTAAAAAAAAATTCGGCGCATGTGACTACTGCCCCGTATTTGCTTCCCGGCAAAGTGAACGTGCGTTGTGAGTGGCTCCCGCCCCCTGGTCGAACAGATTATAAGAGCAATGCTATACTCCATTGTAGACCAACTTCATCAAGTATAGGTAGTTGAATCTTGATTGAATCGCGAAATAACTTTTTGGTCATCAAGAATATTCTTGATTCCATATCTTACACGGAAAGAAGCAACATGCCGTGAAATGATTTAACACATTTTCTACCGCAAAATTATAATGTTTTCGTCTTATGCACACTTTGGCAGGACCTCAAGATGTATTCATAAATATGAACCCATCAATGGCCACCAAAAATTGGAATGGTAATAGTTAGAGAAATCGTTTAAGTAGCATCGCAGTACTAGTCAGTACCAATCCTTTCCCAGGATTGAAATAATTATAGGAAAACCTCAAAACAAATAGTGAACAAAGGCATCGAAATTCGGTACACACTCCTTTGGTGCAGCTCTTCGCACAATTACAACCTTTTCATGCGCTCAGATACGACATCTGGTGAGGGTATTTCTTAAGCCTTGCACGGCGGATAGAATGATGACATGTGTAAATGTATCTCATTGCTCTATAAAGTCTATCGCTAATTTTGAATTTTTGCTCAATGCATCATGGGTTATATGGCGTGTCAGGTCTCATTATGTACACCTCGCCCACGAGGACTGCGCAGCCAACAGTCATGGAGATGGCTATGATGGGTAAGTTGACCCGCGCAAAGTCGAGGCTCTTGACACGAATGTGTTTTCGAGCCAGGATATCGCGCCACAAGAGACCAGCCAGGGATGCACTGAAGGCTGTGCTGAACGCTCCATAATTGACGCCTATGGCCATGGAGTACACGGTTGCCCAAAAGGTCCGTTCCGTAATGTGTGTATCGCGCAGCTCGTTGATTTTGACCCATGCTTGTATGACTCTGGAAAGGAGAATTGTGGTTCCAATGTTCGTGCCAGCAAACTGTAACATGCGTTTGAGATTAGTACAATAGCAGGTAAGAGTGTGGACTTGATCCCTTGAATGCTTGACTTACGTTGCATAGAATCACAGAGAGGAAACCCATGCCACCGATAGCTCCAACGGTCCCTGTCTTGGCAACCCAATGATCCCATCCATAGGCGAATACGGCGATCCATCCCTTCGTCACAAGGGCCTGCACTAACGTGAACATGCAGAATGCAAATGGTATCAGGGCAAATGGCAGATGGGACATCACTGCCGTCATTGTTGGAAATGTTTCCTGTGACCATCTGTACCTTTCGGCAAGAATCATGGTAAGAGTTCGGTGGCTTCGATTCTGGTTGCCCTTTCCTTCCGAGCCGGCAGATCTGTCCACGACCGTCTCTGTCTCTGACGACTTTGTTTCCTCCCTTGCGCCTTGATACTCTGGCGCTTGACCAGTGAATAATCCTTGTCTTTGTCGTAATGTATCCTTGGAAGGTTGTTGTTCAGTCTTCTCGGTAATTTCAGAGTCAACTTCCGTGTTCGATCGCGATGGCTCAGGGGTCTTTTCATCATTGCTGATTTTGTCCTCTGGGGAAGGTGTCTTGGCGAGAGAAAGGTTCTCGGTTTGTCCCTTGTCGAAATGGGGATTTTGAGCCGAATCTGCGAGCCCAGCGTGCAATTGTCGCTCTCGTGCTTCTCGCGCTTGTTCCTCTCGGAGTTGCTCAACATCCTTTCGCCCCTCTTCAGCGATTCTGCGGGTTTCTTTTCTATGGATCCACCCATAGCTGAGATCCCAGACCAACATCACTACGGCGGCTGGTAGCGTGACGTAGAAGACAGGCGTCTCTTTTCCTTGGGCATTTAATACGATCAGGGTTATGAGAGTCGCCGCCATTATAACGGCACCAAACGCTGCACCGCCCAAGTCCAGGAACGGATTCATGATCTCCTCGAGAGAAAGCAATTGTCCTTCTTCGTCGTTGGCGTGCTGGTTCTCCTCTTCTTCAGCTCTGCCCCTGGCATTGGGAATATTGGGATTGACGGGTTTTTTGTTCCGGACTTCCTCGGGCAGCTCGTGGATGTTGATCTTGGAGGGCACAAATCTCTCGTCGTTGAAGATGATGTATAAGAGAAAAGGGAACAGCACAATCGCAGTTGCGACTACCGGTACTATCATGTTTGCTGTGTAGTGTATAAACTGTATCTCGAAAGCTCCAGCTAGAACCAGATTTGTGGGATTCGAGGATACCAGAATCGCCGAGGCAATGTTGGCAATGGCAAACTGTGCAGTGATCCAGGCTCTCGGGTGAACAATGTTGCTAGATACCCTGGTCATATATGCCAAGAATGCAGTGCCAGATAGAATGATTGGATCGTTGCCGATGAAACTGCCGAGGACGAAGAAGAAGGTATAGAGGTACAGGAACAACCTGTGACCAGCACCGCCTCCCTTTTGAAGGACTTTGAAGGCCAACCATCGAATGAGACCGGATGCATCTATGGATATGGCAATGTAAGCCAACGATATAAAGAAAAGCATAATATCATATGGCTTGATGTTGTTGGCCTCAATGACGCCACCATAGACTTCGTCTCGGCCAATAGCCAGGATGGCCAGCAGAAAAAGATCGGCTATAAGTGGTGCAGTGAGGAAGTTCATGGGAAATCTGAAACGGCAAAAGGCCGAGACCTTGCCGGCCCCAGGTCCGACATTATGAGAGCGTGCCGGCCTGGGCGAAATGATCCGCAAGCCGCTCAGCGCATCTAGAATGCCGCTGACCAGAACGCGTGGGACATAGATTGGAATATGGTAAGGAAAGAGCACATTGACATCTATTTTCAGGTCAGCATTGATGAGCCGAACCCAGCAGGAATTGACACCTGGAGGCGACAGCGGCTAGCGGCGTGGTACTCACTAGTCAATACGAAGACGATGAGGGTGACAATTGACCGCCATTCCCTGATCTGGTTTGTGTTCAGGTCAGTCTCGTCCCCGTCTTGTGCCATGGTATGGAGGCTCAAGGACCTAGAGCCGTGATACAGCTCTGGCTAGCTGGGAATTTGACGTCGCCCAAAGGGGATGACAGATGCGACGAGGCCAAATGTTTGGGAGCCTCACGTTCAAGTACTTCACCAGTTGGGCGCACAATGGAGCCAGCTCAGGTTACTACCCGACGACCTGCTTACCCACTGGCATGCAAAGATGCCCAGCAGAATCTGCCCAGAGGCTATCGCATCGCACCCAGTAGGCTAGCAATTAGTTGGCTGAAAACACGAGATGATGCGTGAAATTTTTCCAAAGCAGAAGAGGCTGATAGCGATAGAACGTTGGTAGAAAATTCCAGCTTCCAAGGCTCCTTTCCTTGGCTATTCCACATTAGCGTGGAAGGGGTTTCTTGGTCACTGTTGTGCTTGAGCGGTACAGTGGCTGAAGGCAGTGCACGCTCAGATAAGTGTCCCTGTGATTCGCTGGGGAGAGGCGCCAGCCAAGTCCTTTACGGTGAAGATGAGCGCTGGAATAGTTCTCGGCAGCTCCCGGGGGTGGTCTAAGCCTCCCCAGCCAACATCCATCAGCACCTACAAGTACGTCACCAGCAGCTAGAAGGAAGGAACTCGAAGAGAAGCTAAGAAACCCCGCAAAATCGCCAAAGAAGGCTAGCAGACCGGGGGGAGAGTTCCGACTGACAGGTCACAGAAGCCAGTCGCAGCACCAAACCTCTCAACACCATCAATTTCGAATTAAACTTGCCGGACCAAATTCTACATTGCCTATCAACGGCCTCGAATTCCAATCTCACGGCTCTGATAACGGTAAATCCCGTCTTTTATGATACTTTGTAGACAGGATTGTAGAAAAAAATCGAGGTTGAAAGAAATGCACCGCGCGCATTCGTTACAATAGCTGACCGCCAAATTGTCCTACTCTGTACACATCCATCCAGTAAAGACTTGGTCATTGTCGTGCATGCATTTTCCTTCTGCACTCAGATCTCACTGCATCCCCCTCCATCGGCTCGTGGTCAATGTTGGCAAATCATCATTGTGCTGCGCCATATTCCCACTGCAGGCAGACGCTCTTTCTTCCGGGCTGCAGATCTTACCAATGTAAAGACTCGAAGGATTCGCTTAGCTCTGTAGGGCCAAGACACACAGCACAAGTGTGCAGACGCCCCCTTTTGAGTTCGTGGCTTCTCAGCCCTGTCTCTAGCCGATCCAGAAGTTCCCTCGGTGCCGTCAACGGTCAAGACTGCCCAATGTCGCACAATGCCTCGACATGAGGCTCCCATGAAATAAGCCGTTGAAAAAGCCTTGTGCCCTGTCCTCATGAATGCAGAACTTCACTCCACCCTCATACATGCGACCCCACGTGCGTGAGTCAAGAACAACACCTCTATTCTTGCTGCTGCAACAGCCGCCGAAAGCCTCAACCGAGTTGGAGGAGATGCCGACATGCCGGCGATACCGGCGTCCGCAACGCTGCTGCATGCCCTCGTTGACCGCGACATAAAAAACGCTACTGCCGACCCGTTGCAAGTTGTCTGCGCTTGGCCGGTGAGCGGTCAATATGGACCGGGATCGAGGTATTTGTACGAGCCTCTCAAACTCTTCCGCAACTATCAATTGCGCATCTTGCTGATATTTTCCAAAAAAAAGATACTATGTTCTGGTTATAGCGTGTGTGCTTGCCCGGAAAGTGGAATGGCTCAAGAGAGCCTGCTTGGCCGCTGCGCTAATCTTGCCGGCGGTTGCTGCTATACACGGCATCGTGCTGGCGATCTTGCACACTGACGGTATGATTACTGTCAACATGCCAGTGTCTAAATCCAACTAATCCAATGTCCTAGATGCCGTCGATATGGATCTCTTCGGCGCGTTCCAATTGTGCTCAATTGGCATTCTGGCTGCCCCAGTTACAGTCAAGCTCTCCGACACATATTTTCTCGATCGTGGCCGAAACATTATTTTCGCATGGACTGGACTCATATTGGCCGGGCTTCTGAGTTTGACTGTCGAGTTCTACCGAACAAATAGCGTCCCGTGTCCTGAGGGTCCTGCCGGCGAACCACTCGTCAATAGCGATCCGGGCGCTTTCCCATATGATGAAACCTTCAAGTGTAAACTCCAATGTGATATCGGACCCGGCAACCCTTGGTCTCCCATGCGAGCTTGGGACGGCAGTACGAATAACATCTACGTTGTCCCAGCGCCTTATGTTCTGACCTTTGGCACTGCTACGCTCCTTGCAGCTGCTTGCTGCCTGCCCGCCATTCTGTCTCTTGTCACCATGTGGAATCGTATCGCCGAATTCAACTGGAGAAAACGCTTCTTTCCCACGCGAAACCCAGAAAAGCCTGATGATATCATCGAAGGAACCAATGGCGCTACTCCTCTAAGTATGAGTCACATGAATGAGGATATCAAGAAGTATCTTAAAATTGCCGTCGAACTTCCCGTCTTTGGTGGTGCTGTACTGGCAATACTGGTGATTGGTGAGAAGAACTTTTGGAGCAGACCCGTCAGTTATATGACTGAACCTATAGCCAGTGTCGGTGAGTACTAAAATATCCGTACATTCAGCTCATTGCACTCACTAATGTGTATCGTCAGGTCAATGGGGCTCAATTGTCGGAACCGGGTTTGCTGTCCTCGGTTCAATGTATGTGATTCTAGCTCGAAAAGAAGAGGAAGAAGACGACGCTGGGTCGCAAGTCCCTGACACGAAGGAACCGCATGCAGATCATCATGAAGGACTTTTCGCTCAGCAACACGCTCGACCTTTGCCAACGGTACATCAATCAAGGCATCCAGATTCTCCAAGTGATGGCAGACACGAGTCCTCGCCTTCTCACGAATTTGGATTCAGCCTAGTGTCGACTATTACTGGCCGCTCCCATAGGACCTTTGGAACTGATGCGGGAAATAGACGCAAGTTCGCAGGATACCTGAGTAAAGTGAGCGACTATATCGGCACGCCCTCACGCAAAAGATATGACGTTTCAGAGTTCCAGCAAGGCCCCGCGATGAACTACCCGGAGATACCGGGCGAAACCAACCGCAATGAACATCTATCGCACCTCAGAGAACGATGGCCAGCGGCTTCAATCCGGGAGGTATCATCACGGAATGGCAGTCCTGATTCTCACGTTGACGGCGAAAACGAGAACGGACCGCATGTGAATCAGACGCCGGAATCGCCACAATCTCCTGCTTCAGATCAGTGGCCGACAATGCCCCCTCGTGCCGCTAGGGCAAGTACGCTGCCAACTACAGGCAATCGGAGCTTGACATTTGGGGAGCCAATGTCTCCTGGAGAGAGTCGTGGACGTCCCAGGTCACGGCGTGATACTCTAGAGGTTCCTTCAGCTAACCATCTGAGTCATGTTCGCACAAATCTTTCATTGCACTCAGTACCCACAATCGCATTACAAGCAAGCGAACATTTACCCGCTATTGTGGTCTCTGCAGAATCCGAACCAACCTCTGCAGTGGAAGGCCCCAATTCTCATGTCCAAAATTACCCACATGGGCCAGCATAGAACAATACGATATTGCTGTCACGATATCTCGCCATGTCAAGATAGACTAGGCGCATGAAATCGTGTCGGCACTTACGATTACTCATATATACGGTGCGAAACTGAATTTACGACCATATTGAATAATGTCCGTGTAAAGTCAATATTAAATCGGGAGTTGGGGGATACAAGGTCATGCGCATAGCGAAATAAATGTGTTGGACCGGCGTTTTGGAGTTTGGCATTCACATCGCCACGGCGTCTGGTTGGAACGGTGGCCATCAAGATCGGAGCATCGTTGCAAGGTGGTGTCGCATCCAATTTACTATATTTGCGGCGACGCCGGATAATCCTCTGCTGTGAGATAGATACCTGGGTTATTAGAGACAATTGCTATGACTTTGATGAAAGGGAAATCCTAAACTTGAGATACCGATATCTGCAACCGTGGTAAGACGTCGAGGCAATTGCTACGGTTGATATTCAAGCATCTATGGGCGAATTTATACACATAAATGCCGATGTATTCAACCGTGTAAAGCGCTTGGCCCTAGTTCTGGCCATTGATTGACTGAAGCTGTCGGATCTTGACCAGCGCCAAAAGCTTAGCTACAGGGTGATCACTAAGCTTTCACTACATGATGCAATACTTGACAACTTGAGGCGAGCGGCACTATAGACGCAGCCCAGGGATTTGAGTTCCTGATTACTCAATACATTTCCCCGCAATCAAGCCAACACGCCATGTACGTGCGATATGTGCGCAAACGGCTATAAAATCGTCGCATCTCAGCTCGGCAATCAGCAATGCAGTTGTGACTATCATCAGTTCGAGTGAAGGAATACAATTACACAAAGTGAAAACATCAAAACAAGGATGGCCGCGGCGAGAACAACCCCGCCCCCAGAGGAGGCGGCGCACTCCAATGCAGAATGCAAGCACAAACACGGCTACAGCATGCTGCTAGACGAGGCCATCATCAGCCGGCACTCGACGCGAGTCTTCAAGGCCCAGCCCGTTCCCGATGAGGTCCTGCGGTCGGCGCTGGAGCTGGCGACCCACGCACCGTCCAACTCCAACACGCAGGCCTGGCGGCTGTACATTGTGACGGGCGCCGCGCTGGACCGGCTCAAGGCCGCGCTGTACAAGGAGGCCTCGTCGGGCGCGGCGCCCAATATCCCGCCGCTGCCCGAGCAGTTCCGCGCCTCGCGGTCCGAGCTCGGGCGCAAAGTCTACGGCGAGGGCTGGGGCATCCCGCGCGACGACGCCGAGGCCCGCAAGAATGCCGTGTTGCGGAATTTCCAGTTCTTCGGCGGTCCAGTCGGCATCATTGTCTGCATGAGCAAGCAGCTTCCCGGGTTTGCTGCCATGAGTATTGGAAGTGAGTTTCGATTCCGTGCGGGTACTCCAGGAGCTGATTGAGAAGATCGCTTTTTTTCTATTTTTTTTTTTTTTTTGGCTGACCAATGTCAATGAAAATGATGCAGTGTATCTGCAGACGTTTCTCCTAGCACTGACGGAGCAGGGCATCGGCAGCTGTGTTCAAGTCAGCATTGCAGGTTATCGAGATGTCGTGCGCCAGGCCGTAGGCGTGGCCGATGACCTCGAGATCTTGTGCGGAGTGGCGGTTGGCTATGAGGATGAAGAATTTAATGTCAACAAGGTGCGCATTGGGCGGTTTGGCGTCGAGGACACGACTGTCTTTGTCAAAGACTAGGTGGCGATACGAGGCGGCGACTCTGAAGAAAAGAGGGATGTCAAATTGGAAAAAAAGAAGTACCAGAAGGGCCGATAGACATACAATAGTCTAATTTTGATCTTGTTCTTCATCTAGCCTTGGAATTTAGTTACAATCGGTTGAATCGATCATCTTTAGTTGCGAACAATTTCTGTAGCATCGAATTGTGCAAGCTGCTAATGACTCAGCGGCTCGTGCTTCGTACCGAATCCATGAGAGCAGGTCGCGAAGCCCATGACAAATAAGCCTCAAACATGTGAAATGCCAATGATTCTGATAAATATCAGACTTTATTGCTTGTGGCCCCTGTGATACGAACGGTGAAGATTGCTCGATCGCCAGGGATTTCTGCTAAGCAGTAATGTATGATCCGGAGTTTCCGTCCTGGGCGACGGAATTCCCGGGCAGGATTAGATTAGCGACAGCGCTTGGCCCCGTCCCGATTCAGGCACCGCAAGGTTAGCAAGTGGGCATTCGGAACCCTCTTGTTTCACGAAACACGCAACGTTCCTCTCGAAATCGCTGTATGATTGGTAAGAACTGCCGTTCATGCTCCATTGATGAGGTCCACGGATCGATCCACTCCGCCTGTTTTCGGCATTGACGGCCATGCATCCCATCCTTGCCCTCTAATAAACCTTCAGCACCTTCAACAGTGAAGAAGCAAAAAAAGACGACACGGCCGGCCTCCTGGGACAGTGTCCGATAAACACGCATATGCCCTGTTCATCGATCCACTGCAGATCACCAAGAAAGTCGCAACAGCCCACATGGTCTTCCCAAAAGATCCGTAATGACGCCTTGAACCTCGCAGATTGGGAACGACTCCCCGTCTCCTCGCGTTTATGACTGGGTCTCGAATCCGGAAACTGCGGGCTCATCTTTGACCCTTATCCCATCGGCAAATCTGCACGGGGCCTGGCAGTGGACTGACGGCAATGGCTCCCCTATATACATGTTCATGTCCTCGACCATGGTGCTTGGCGGTGATCGTCTCTGATTACCCTCTTCCTTGTCCAGCCCAGATCGCCAAGTTGGGATAAGCTCTCGATACCACCAGGCCAAGAATATTCCTTCTTGGATAGTGTTCTTTCTCGAAGCTCATACAAGGGTCATCTCACGGAAAAAGATCTACAATGAAGACTGCAGCCGTCCTAGCCTCAGCCATCTCCTTGGCCGCCGCCTTTCCCCAGTCTCTGGGTAGAAGGGCAGGCAATGAGAGCATCCTCGTCGATGAGGCTCCTCAGTATGCTCGACCATATGCTCTGCGCAAGGGCAGCGGTCAGGCAGTCCAGGTCGGCTCCCAGATCTATCGCTTCTCGGTCACCGGCAACTCCTCGGACGGCGCGTTCACGCTGATGCAGACCAACGCTGCGACCGGCGCCGGCCTCGGTGTCTTGCCTCACATCCACAAGACGCACTACGAGAACTTCTACTGCACCAAGGGCAGAGTCCAGCTCTGGGCCGAGACTGATGCCGCCGGCGAGTCTGCTCGTCTGCTGTCCCAGGGTGACTACGGTGCCGTACCGCACAACACTACCCACACCTTTCAGATAATGGACCCCGACACGCAGCTCACGGGTGTCATTCAGCCTGGTGGTTTCGAGGCGCTCTTTATCGCGCTCGCCTCGGACACATTCGACTCGGCCGTGGGCTCCGAGTACATTCCTGCGGATATCTCGGACACGACCGCCTCGGACTCGTCGGTCATTTCTGCTCTCGAGGCCTTTGACGTGTATGCTCAGCTCGACTTCAACCCGCGCCGCGACCTCGTCAACGGCAGCGCCGGCGGTGCCGGCAATTGGCACAATGGCTCCAACTCGCTGGCCGCCGACGCCACGACCCCCAACTTTGTCGCCAAGGGCTGGGGACCCAAGTACCTCAACACGGACGGTGGCATCTACCGCATCATGTCGCCGCTGGCCACGGGTGATCAAACAGCCGGCAACTTCACCATGGGTAACATGGTCATGAGCCGCATGATGTCCAACATGACGGCCGAGACCGTCTCGTATCCGGCGGCCGTGGCCTTCCAGCTCGAGGAGGGGCAGCTCGTCGTCGATGTCGATGGCTACGAGAGCGTCTCGCTGATCCAGGGCGACGTCATCTTCATTCCCGCCGAGACCTCGTTCAGCTACTACGCCGACGCGGCCTACACCAAGGTGCTGTACGTTACCGGAGGTGGCGAGGGCTGCATGGACTACGAGCTCATGGCTAGGGCCGAGTCTTGGAACTACACAACCTACCCAGTCGAGGCAGGATACAAGGCCAAGTACTAATTGAGGTGCGATGTGCTATTTTGATTCAACTGTACAAAGATTTATCGAGTAAATAAAGGGCATCAGAAGAACGAAGAATGAAATCAATAATGACATGATTTAAAGTCGAGCGAGCAGTGTGCTTTATCTCTCAACAAAACATGAAAAGTTGTTTGTGCTCGGATTCGCAAACAATTTATGCAAGAATGAATCGAAGTTCAAAGCCATTTTGAGAGCGTGATTCGCATGAGGATCATCATCTCGAACAGACAAACGTCGTTGATGTGAATCGAGCCGGAATATAACGCAGTAAAAGGGTAACGGTGTCTGTGGAGAGCAAAGGGTGGCCGGTCCGTCAACGGCCCGCCAGTAACAGCCAAAACCGGCCGTGTGTCAGGTCGCATCCGAGGAAATCTGAACACCTTCCATTTTCAGGGCGATAACGTTTCAATGAACAGGAGACGAGATAAAACGTCATGGCGCATCGGTTGAGATGGAGTCTACACAGGCCTCCGTAGATACCAATGCTCAGGTGAATATCATCCAACAGACAACAACATCCGGGAGTCTTCCACCAAACAGACAGCTCGGTGCCGTGACTCTGCCAAACATTGAAATCATTGCCGTTATCAAGTGCGAATACTGATTTCATCAAAAATAAACAAGGACCTTCCAGCGCTGTGTTGAAAGGCGTTGACAGAATGATTGGACAATCCCTCCCAGAGCCAGCGACAGAGCTTGGCCGTCACAGGATATTCTCGTCGACGGCCGCAATGAGAGTGTCCCCGCTTCAGCTGGGCGGCATGTCTATAGGTGAAAAATGGGCTGGATTTCTGGGGTCCATGGACAAGGAGACCTCGTTCAAACTACTCGACGCCTTTTGGGAAGCCGGAGGTAACATCATTGACACCTCAAGCAACTACCAAGATGAGCAGTCGGAGACGTGGATCGGCGAGTGGATGGCGCAGCGAGGCAACCGTGACTCCATGATCATCGCCACCAAGTTCACCACGGACTACCGCAGCTACGCTGTTGGCAAGGGACCTCAGGCTGCAAACTTTAGCGGCAATCACCGCAAGCTCATCCACATGTGTGTGCGGGACTCGTTGAAGAAGTTGCAGACAGACTATATCGACATCCTCTACATGCACTGGTGGGACCACACTACGTCGATCAAGGAACTGATGGACACCCTGCACATGCTCGTGGTGCAAGGCAAAGTCCTATACCTTGGAGTCTCAGACACCCCAGCGTGGATCGTCGCAGCCGCAAACACGTATGCCGTCGAGCAAGGAAAGACACCATTCAGCGTCTACCAGGGGAGATGGAACGTGATGAACCGAGCATTTGAAAGGGATATCATACCCATGGCCAGGCACTTTGGAATGGCATTAGCTCCGTAAGTTTCCCGAGCATAACCTCTGATCATGTTGCGCATATTATGCAGCATTCAAATCCACAACACCATGTGCCGATCGAAACATGAGACTAATCCGACATTGAGCTAAAGCTGGGACGTCATGGGCGGAGGCAAATTTCAAACCAAAGAAGCCATTGAAAAGCGCAAAGAAGCCGGAGAACCTCTACGCTTACTCTCGGGTGCACACCAGACCCCAGAAGAAGTAAGAATGAGTGCTGCCCTGGCCAAGGTAGCGGCCGAGCACAATAACGAGTCCGTCACCGCCATTGCCTTGGCCTATGTACTGCACAAAGCCCCCAACGTATTTCCAATCGTGGGAGGGAGAAAGGTCGAGCATCTACAGGACAACATCCGGGCATTGAGCATCAAGTTGACCGATCAGCAAATTTCCTTTTTGGAGAACGTGCGACCATTTCAATTGGGATTCCCTCATGACTTTATCGGCCCCGATCCCCAGTTGACTGGCAAATCAAATTGGCTCGCCCGCACTAGCCACGTTGTCTTTCCGAACGCCCAGAAACAAAAGTCGATCTAGGACATCAATGCGAAAAGCTACAGCTGATGATTTGAAGATCAATCTCAAATGAAATTAAACATCTCTACTATATATCGACCGCCATTCAAGACGGGTGAAAGATAGATAAACACAGAAGTCAGCACGTGGGCATGTTTTCTTAGTATCGCTTTCCATACTTCATGGAGCGCGTTGTGTAATTACTCACGGCGCCCGTGTCCAGAACCGCAACGCTGAGGTTGGGCAGGGAGAACTCAAAAGCACCAGCGTCATCGGCGGTAAGCGTCGTCTTGGTCGTCGTGACCACATTCACGCCAGTAAATGGGTCGTTCCAGCCGTAGGGGTCTTCGGGGCCGGTGAGGACTGTGAGCTCGGCGGTGGCACCGGCAGAGACGCCCTCAAAGTTGAGAGTGACAGGCACGTCTGCGCCTTCCGTGGAGTTGTAGACAGTTGCTTTGAAGATGTACGCCCCGGTGTCTTCGTTCTTACCCGCAACATAGTAGGCGGGGTTGAAATCAGATGTGGCTGGAAGTGTGTGTGTGAAGATGTGGCCGGCGAAGAGCTGGAGTATAGTCGTTAGTCAATTTCCAGCCAGAGTCTGACACCATTGAGCACTTACCTCCCAGACAAACCAGCTCGTCGACTTGGTCGTCAGGGCTGGGTCCGCCGCGAATTGGACCATTGTAGTAGCCCACTGCCACCTGTCCAGGCTCCGAATGATTGGGGCCTGCAGACCTGTCAGCATTGCACACAAAGGAAACTTTTGCTAGGTCGACTTACATATAAAGCTCCCAGGATTCTGTCCGAGTTTCTCTCGTATCCGATCAAAGAGGCGGCCTCGCCAATGGCACCGCCCCACCAAGGATACTGAAGAAGGCCGCCGTCCCAAGCGGTTCCGCCATTGGGATGGACCGCCGCAGCCTCACCGATCAAGTGCGGGATGGTGATATTATCAAAAAGGTCAAACTGATCGACCATGTCGTCAGGAGTTCCATAAATGTGGTAGTCGCCGTCAGCCGGTGCCGGGATATCATAGCCATCTAGGACAGAACCGGAAGAGATGACTTGAATATCAGGGTAGGCATCGTTGATTGCCTGGAGAAACATGGGGAAGCGGTACTCCTGGTACGTCTCCCATCCCTCGGGGGCGCCAGCGAGCCAGTCCTCGTTTCCGATCTCGACGTACTTGAGCGTAAAGGGCTCGGGGTGGCCATACTCGGCGCGAATTGCACCCCAGGTGGAATCGGCAGAGCCAGTGATGAATTCAATTTGGTTCAGCGCATCGTCGATAAATGGCTGTAGCTCGTCCTGTGGTGTAATGTCGCCATTCAGAGCCAATCCCGCCCAGACCGCGACAACTATTTCGTAATCTGTCAGCCTATGATCCGATGTTACTCCAAAGACTCAGGTAACTCACCAAGCTCAAGACCCATGTCTTCGGCAAGCTCCAGATACTCCAGCAGGCCGAGACCATTTGTCTGTTGGTAGCCCCAGACGCCAGCATAGCCTGGGCGATCCTTTAGAGGGCCAATGGAGTTCTTCCAATCCCAATACGAGCTGTTCACCAGGCCCTCGAGCATGTTGCCACCAGGAACGCGAAAGAATGTCTAAGGCTTGAGTCAGTTAACATCACCAACTTGCACGTGGTACAGATACTGACCGGGTGAAAGGCCTCAAGTACTTCGGCAAGATCGACCCTGGCTCCATTGGCACGGTTCTTGTACGTCGGGGGAAAGAGGCTAATGAGATTAAAGTCCAGAGATCCGTCCTCGGCGCCCTGGAAAATTGTCAGTCAGTGATGGTAAACGGCGGTCATAGCCGCATAGGGAACCTACTGCGGAATCGAATGTAATGGCAAACGAATTGTTCGAGCTTGGTGCATCCACGCTCGGAACGAGCTCAAACGTGTGTTCGACCCATTCGTCAGGTGTGCTCTGCGAAGCAACTGCGACGCTGCCAAACACCTCGCCCGTGATGTTGGAGACGAGGGAAGCGTTGAAATCGCCAGAGTACGACCCCTTGACCCAAAAGGATCCCGTGTACGTCTTTTGCTTGACATCCATTCCCCAGTACCCATCATTGTAGAGACCAATGGCGCCGTCGGCGTCGCCAGCGGCAACATTGACCGAGGTCTGCAGAGCACTCGACAGGGGTGTACTCAGATTTTGCAGGCTGAGGACGGCGCCGTTGACAGAGTACCAGCCTTCGAGTGTGGATGGGTACCGGTAGCTGGACTGGAAGGCGCGGTTTCGAATCAATTCGGCGTACAGTCCACCGTCTCCCGAGTTGCTAATGTCCTACATCGTTCCAGTCAGAGACCTCACCGGCAGTGCCAATTATGAGTAGCAATCCATCTCACCTCGTGGAGGAAACCGTATTGATGGCCACTCGTAGCATTGCCGCCATCGGAACTGACGCTGATGTTCAAAGCACTGCCAAGTGGCAGCGCCACGGCCAGGATACCAAAAGCTTGAGACCACATCGCAGGGAGGCGTTGTCACACTACAGCTGGAGACAGAACTTACTACCCGGCCACCAGAGCACGCGAATTGCGCGCCGTTATATATCTGTGCCCAGGCCCTCGACTGCAGTGCCGAGACGGCCGCGGACGAATTTCCATGCGGACCATGCGTGCAAGCTCCGCTGAGGGAGAATACAGTGCCAGGGAACAATTGGAGTATGTTATTGGAGAAACCTCATGTTTGGAGAAATATCGCCATACATATCGACCTGGGAGGTGAATATGCACCATGCGAACCGAGCATTTTGCGGCTCGAACATGTATGCGCACCTATCACATGGCTCGATACGGGTGGGAAAATAGTTCGTCTTGTCAATGAGGATAGGGCCAACTCGCCGTCCAAGCGGTAAGCTCGATATACATTGTGCTAGGTTCGCAAGTGTAACCCCAGCCGGCACTTTGTGGTGGAATATACCCGGTTCCGGCCCGTGATAGGTGGAATACTCGTACTGCATCTTGCGATCCTGGTCATACGAATTTTGCGGGGTATATTGGGTCCATGGGGGTGTTTGCGGGGGAAATTTGGAGAAGCGGTAGCATTTGTCGGTTCACGAGCGTCAAACAAACTTGCAAGTTGCATTAGATTAGGAAACATAATGTCACCTTTTCCAGGCTCTCGGTTCAGCCTATGGATTTGGGGACATGGCGAGGGAAATACGCACACCAGAAGGTTCACGTGCTTTGTGTATTTGTACGGAATACAGTAAAGCAACATTGCGCCTCAAACATGTTCTTACCCTCACGAAGCTAGCACAGGCATCCCATGTAAATAAGCGCCTTATAGCATAGGTACATATTTACTTGTGCGAAAAATTGAAGGGGATAACCATAACATCATCTTGGTTTCCTGTAGTTGCAGCGGCCTTGGCTCGACAGGAAACGATGTTACTTTGAATCAATTTACTGCTTGACTTGTGGCTTCGCTGTTTGCAAGAGCCATGACGTCGTTGAATACGCCCATTCTGGTACGATTGACTATTTCTGCCAAGCTGTCTTCAAGTAGCACTTAACGAAGCTCAACAATGGCTATCTGTTTATTTTTCCCTCTGCGATCATTGTACCATACAGTAGTAGTAGTAGTAGTAGTAGTAGTAGTAGTAGTAGTAGTAGTAGTAGTAGTAGTAGTAGTAGTAGTAGTAGTAGTAGTAGTAGTAGTAGTAGTAGTAGTAGTAGCTGGCAATACGGTTGTCCTCACGAGCGGATGAAGCCGCGCAGGCACTCAATCTGGGCACTAAATCTGCAAATATGTGTTAAATGTTAAGATTAGTGCTTGATGGGTACACCGTACCACTGATCGGTGAAAGCATACTTCTCCGGCTGATCCGGTACTGGAACACATGTATATATGCCGTAGGAGGTGAAGACGCCCTCTACTACCTGAGTCCCATATTGTTCCACAATGTGGACATCCAATGCCATCATATCACCTGCTCCACCAACTAGGTACGTAATATAATATCTCTCGTTTCATGTACCGACTGACGGACTACTAATGCAGGTACGCGCAGCCCTTGCTGCAATTGCGCCTCATTCATCTTTATTTGAACTGAATCGCATCAATCACAATGCCTCTTGGTTGGTACTTGGCCCAGGGTCTGATACCACTAGGACCAAGCAGCAGCGACGATGAGGAGGGTCCTTGTCAATTGCCAAATGGCCGTATAGTCTGTAGTCCTCACGGCCTCGTCACTTGCCATAGGTGTTGCAGCGACTACACCGTCATGGAAGACGTTCTTAGCGAAGAAGAAGGAGAAGAAGATGATGATAAAGATGATGAAGATCGGGATGCGCACAGCGCGAGAAATCACCTACAACAGCAGCAGCAGCTACCTCCATGGCTACCTCCATGGGGTGGGCTTGCCTATCGACCCCCGGGTACATTTCAGGATGCTCAGCCAGAGGAAACTGAGGCTGAGGCCATTTATTGGAATCTTTCTCCCGAGACCAGAGCCATCATATACCGCGTGTATGGCCCGCCTCCTCCTCGCCAGACCTCGGACAGTCAGGCGCAGGCGACTCTAAACAGACTCCGTCAAAATATGCCTCCGCATCCTTTTCCAGAGAAAGTGAGAGGCACGGGTCACATCTTTCCCACAAAGTTCTTTCCGCTCAACACCACCATTAAACCAATGGAGCTTTTCCCTGCCACAATGGAGGATGAAGGTGGCATTCTTCGGTGAGATCAAGATTCCCTCATCAAACGATGAGTATTGGCAATATGAATGTATGCACTGACAGCCACAACAGGTACACACATTTCAACGACCGAGGTAAGCTCCTGGTCTTAACCGATGGCGCGTGTCTGAACAATGGCCAACCGAATCCAAAGGCGGGTTGGTCTGTACAGTCTGGACAGCGCAGCACTGGAGTTCAGGCCTGCTTGGCTGGCCGCCTGGAGACTACGGGTCCTTTCGGCGACGAGAGCGCTCAGACGAGCAACCGTGCAGAGCTCCGCGCCGTCATTGTCGCGTTGCGTTCCGGGCACTGGCGCCGCCTGCACTGCCACGCCATTGTCATTGCCACGGATTCGGGATACGTTGTAGAAGGTGCTACGAAGCATATCAAGTCTTGGATCAGATATGGCTGGACGACGAGGCAAGGTACAGGCGTCAAGAACAAGGATCTATGGGAATTGCTTCTGGGCGATGTTGAGAGATGGGATCGCGAGGGGGTCAAGGTTCACTTCTGGAAGATCCCTCGAGAGTGGAACTCTGTTGCCGATTATAGTGCCAAGACGGCCGCTGCTGGGGAAAGGGTTTCAGCAGAGTGGCGGGATCCGGAAGTCTGAACTTATTGTGAAGAGTGTTATTATTACAGCCTGAGGCAATCTCCAACGCCATCCTGGATACATTGAAGACGGTCTATTTTGTTCGTGTGGAATAATGCGCTAACAAATCAATATAAATAGACGACACATGAGTCAACGGAAAGCAGTCTCCGAATGAGTCGACGTAGTCGGAATTAATGCTGGGCTATACATGTAAAGAGAGAATCAACATTTACTCCAGAAGTCTGAATGGACCGTAACTGAAACCTTGAGGCTTTCAGTTGCTACTTGCCACAAGCCAGAATCTGGTCTGACGAGCAAGCCATCCACTGAAAGGGTAGTCACCGACCAGTGTACAACACCTTCGGCATACTTAGATTCAAGACACAGTCCCCGGTGGATCCTGAGTGTATTTCTATAAAATGACTCAAATTCAACAGCGAATCCCAGTCACAATAGAAAATATCTTTACACAAGGCGGGTAACGAACGCCCACCGTCTCCATCAGGTCATCGATTGAAGGACTGTTAAGCAATCACTGCATCAACAACAAGCAACAAGCTCGGCTAGCTCAGTTGGTTAGAGCGTCGTACTAATATTTCCTATTCGGAAATATAAAGTAAATGCGAAGGTCCTCAGTTCAATCCTGTGGCTGAGCAAGTTGAAGTTTTTGTCCAACTAGTCTAAATTTTTGCTTTGCAGAACCGCAAGTAGAAATGCACCTACTACAGGTGTTCCCGGCATTCACATATTTAATTGGCAGACTTGACAACTGATATGAAGCATTGGAGTCTGCGCTCACCGCATAACTTCTCAATCAAGATGCTCTTTATTTGATACAAAACACACGCGCCCATGTGTATTCCATGCTTTGTGAACTTGGTCATGCACCTTTTTAATGCAGCGACAGGGCGGAATGCATAAAAGAAACATTCATTACTGGACTGTTTCCGGCAAGACTCCGGAAGCCATTCTAGCGGGCGAAAAATTTCAAGCAAAAATTTTGCAGTCCAGTCCCCACTTCCCGCCTCGTTCGACCCGACAGTTTGGCGGGCCTGAAACCTTCTGAATTTCGGACAACCATATTGCGCATAGGAAAAAATTGCAAAAAATAAAGGACCAAGATATATCTCAGTTGATCTGAGATGCATTGGGAATTGAGCCCAATGCGGGGGTCGAACCCGCAGCCTTGAGATTAAGAGTCTCACGCTCTACCGATTGAGCTAACCGGGCGTGGCCTTTGTTGTTGACGAAAGCGATGTTATCATTACACATGTTGATGAATAGCCGAGATGGGTTCTGGCGTCCGGGGTCGCCGTGGAGGGTTGGTATCCATCCAAGTCCCGAAATTCGCTCACTTTTATACTTTGTAGGTACAAAGTACATCCACCTTGCCAGATAACGTTTCGGTGGGGATCAGGTGTGTAGCCTGCAACATCAAAACTGACTATTCTTTAACTCAACTGCGTGCCTGATGCTACATACTCCTTTATATTAGGGGCTGACTCACCAAAGACGACCCCAGGGGTTGTGTATATTCTTGAGTTGAAAATGAGGCCGTCTAGGGGAACCAGGGGAATGAGACCATCGAGAGGGATGACACCAACAAGGGGCGTGAAGCCAACGGGAGTGACAAAGCCTACCCGTGGTATGAAGCCGACTCGGGGTCGGTCATATTCAGCAGCGCAGATCATGGACCAGAGAAACGAAGAGAAAGTCACTTCAAACACGCTCAAGTCACGAGATTTGCCTACCTCTCGAATGCATCGTCGCCCCCAGCCGCCAGGTGTCCGTGAGGACGACCAAAGCCCGCCGGGTGATTGGACGCCATCATCATCAATGAGCGGAGGAAATCGAAACCATCAACCTTGGCCCGAGGAGATCCTACGCGACCTTGACAAGTATCTAGGTCAACACAAAGATGCGAAAGACTGCGTTTACCTGGCTCGGCACTTATTCAATGGGAGCGAATACGCAGGAGACGGTGATGTTACCCACAAGATTCTCGGCGTCTTTCGTTCATTGGAGAGTGCCAATGTCAAGGCCATGGAATATGCCTGGAAGGAATACGACCACTTTTTCGATATGCGGGTTGTCAATAAACTCGTGGACGATGATGAATACGACCTGGAGGACACGCTGGCATGGTGGGTGGACCGCAAGCATGGCGACTTGACTCTGAAGGGGTTCAATATGGAGCACAGCGGGAAGTTCAAGATCTGGGTTGAAAAGAGAAGGCTGCAGACCTAGGATGCGACAATTTCATGTGTCAGAGGGCAACCTTTTGATTAGAATCGGTGTGGAACCAGACACTGGCCAGAGATTCGAATTTCGACTCTCAGGACTGCAAAGCCGAACTTGTTCGCTTGGTCAAATTCTTGGGAATCCGTGATGAAACGAGAATCAAGGAACCCCCTCAGTCCCAAAATCAAATCGTCATCGACATGTCTTAGGCTCATTGAATGTTGCATTCACGGCATTTAGAAGCCTAGATTAGGATTCTCTGCATATGATGCCATGCAAAGTTTTGCTATCCAATGGCAATGTGAGTCTCAGCTCAAGGTAGTCGAAACATTTCCAGTGCCCATCCACAACGCTGGTTGGTACATGAGAAGAAATGCAAAATGCGTTGGTTGGAGGCAATCTATTTTGTACTTACAAGTTGTAAGATAGGCTATACACCGACTCTAATGTAATTAATTATCAAGCACACTTCTTGCCATTGATTGCGCATCCAGGGACACTTGGCCGGAGTGCTACTCGTTGTATGGAATACATTGCTTGCATTATATCGACAAGGCGAATGAACTGCCGAAACGATCTACTTTGGCATTTGCGAGGATGGTGTAATTCAGAGGAAGTATTCTCAACTACGTATAGTTTGCCCTCTATTCATGACGTATGAATCTCTGGCAACTAGTGCTCTTATCGTGAATAGTACAATTGAGATCCGCAAGCGTGCGTCTTTGGGCTTGACTTGTTCAGCTCCACACTGTCAGCTACACTAGAGCAGCACCGGGTATCTGCCACCATCAGGGGAATTGAGCCTGGTCTCGCGGGCATGATCCGCGTCCTCATCTTTTTCATTTATGAGTTTGAATCTGGTGAAGTGAGTTGTAAAAGGAAAAATTTCATGTCGACAATAGGTGACAAAATCGCGTTTTTGATCAAAATGCGTAGGTTGTACGAAGTAATGACACCTGCCAATCATGTCGATTGAACTGGTAGCTTTTCAGCCCCATTAGGAGCTGACCATATGAGCGACGCGCGTACGCTGGAAATCCGGCATCATGCAATTTTTCTTTCCAGAATCAAAATGGTATCACTGCCGACGTACAACAGGCAAGCATTTCAAGCATAGATATTATGCTTATTTTGAATGCTAACCGACGAGAATCTTTTGAAACGGCATGTAATTTACCACGAGCTGTCAATTACCCACGGGGTCCCTAGTAGCAGCTGCTAGGTATCGAATTTCGCCATGGTTGGGGGGGAGGAAAGATAAAAGAATGCCATGCCACAGCCGACGTTGTGGCACCTCGTTACGGCTGGGAGGCAGTTCGTGGGAGAAGAAGGCTCGTGGTTCGGCAAGGTTGCGCCCCTGTGGGAATCATTCATCAGTGTCCATCCCCCGGCACGCTCGGTAGGTGTGGCCCATTGAGCCCCGTCGTGGAGTCTAATCTCCGTTTTCCCAAAGCCACGCACATAGGCCAGCTGGCCAGACTCTCTTTCTTCCCTGATCGGCAGTTGGCGAACGCGGCGCAGCGACTTCTGGACTCGTCTCTTATGGTGGACGAGTTGGGCAAGATGGAACCATTGTGGGCTTTTTTCAACTCGGTGCAAGTCGGTACTGTAGATAGATACTAGAGTGAACCGTGCCGCGATTGATGAAGTCCAATATCCATGTAGTATATTTAGCATAAGCAATCTGTCGCGTCATGGGCTTTCGCTCCCAAAGCGACGACGCGAACAAATCTGATGGGCGCGGCATTACAGGGGTAAACAATTGGCAATGAGCCGGTAGGAGGAGTATTGATGTACATAGTAGAGGAGGTCAGGTAGTATGCAGTAGTACTGTTGTATTGTGCAGGAACTAATCTTAAAAAAACCCGCCCCGCAACCTGTGGCTGGCCGTCGCTTTGCCAGGAATGATTGGGGGACAAGGTGCCTAAAGGTAGCGGTCGTGGGCTCTTTATCGCCGCCGTCAAAACCGTCAACCACTGACAGAGCTTTGGGGGGGCCTTTGCCATTTGGGGGTCTCCTGCCACTCAAGTCTGAATGAGGTCACACCCCTGCTAGTGAGCTCGAGTAGCGCCGATTGTTGCACCCCAAACTGACTGGCGATCCCCTTCTCCTTTTTTGCTGCAGGAAGTATCTTTCCATTGAAGGTTTTCCTATCTGTCGGGGCAGCGACATAGTTTTTCTCGTAAACACCACAAACATCCGAGAGGCTTGAGCATTTTGCAGCCCCTCCCGACACTCGTTTTTTTATTTTTGACTTTATTTCCTCGTTGGGTGTTTTTGTCTTGCTCGTCTGCAGCTACTCGAAATCTCTCCACTGGTGCCGCCCACCCGCCTCCCCCGTTCTCCAAAACCTTGAATCCCGTCTGGGGACTTGGCACATGAACGAATTCCATTGAAAGCGAGAAACAGACAAATCACCACCACCCCGCCGTCGACGGCCCCGTTCACATCAATTAATCATACTCCCGCCTCGCTGCCCACATACACAACCATGGGAATCGAATCCATGGATCAAGGCGCACGGGTACGGAACTTCGTCTTTGCACGACTCTCGCGGTCGCGGGCCATTGTCCTTGGCCTGATCGCTCTCTTTCTCACATTCTACGTGCTTTCGCCGTACGACAGCTCGTTGCGCTCTACACTGCGATGGCAATCCACCGTAGCTAGCGACTATGTCCAACATTTGCACCCCGACGACAAGTGGCTCTTCAAAGAGCAAAAGTACCCCATCGACCCTTCCCAAGATATCGCCGTCATTGTCAAGACTGGCTTCGGAACTAGGAATCGAGTGCCAAATGTGCTGGCAGCCCTGGGCAACGAGACATTAGACAACGACGTCCTCATCATTCAGGACTACCCCGTGAACACAAGGAAGCCTTACATCACCGGCAACGCCAAGACTGTAGAGACGGTAGACATTATTAGCTGGATGGTTCAAAACCACAAACTCGCCGACCATGGAAAGAACGAGAGGCTCATGAAGTATGAGCATCTTGTGGACGCTATTGAGGATGAAGACTACTTCATGGCAGACACTCTGGCCAAGGGATACGGTTGGGAATTGGATGCTATGAAGGTATGGAACCCCCCACTTGCTCCATCATTCCCGTATTGCTTGTAGCTGACCATTTTCTAGTTCATCTCGGGCCTGCAGTACGCCTGGGAGAAAATGCCAAAGAAGAAGTGGTATGTCATGTCCGACGACGACACATACGTCATCAAGTCATCTCTCGCTCTCGCGCTCGGCCACCTCGACTACAGAGTCCCTCAATATCTCGGAAACCCGGTTGGTGACTTTCTTGGACGTTTTGCTCACGGAGGTTCATCTGCCGTTATTTCGGGTGCGACCATGGCCAAATTGTTCGACAAGAACCCCGCCGCTGTCACCGAAGCCCACATTGAATCCATCAGTGCAGTCTATGGCGACAAACTGCTGTCAACAACACTTATGAAGATCGGAATCTACCTGAACGAAGATTATGCCCGGTTGTTCAATGGCGAGCCACCACACATGACCCGAATGTGGGCAGACCGCTTTTGCCTGCCACTGGTTTCTTTCCATGGTTTGGGAGACGGTGATCTCATGGAGGAGACCAACGAGCACTTCAAACACATGAATCAGCCTGTCTTCTGGAGGCAACTGGCCAGCATCTATGGTGCTGCTGACTTTCAGTCATTTGTGGCCGAACCAGTCCGCGTCAACTTGGACTTTGTTGGTCGTCTTGATGAGCACAGCACGACAGTAGTCAACACCGAAACATTGGATGATTGTGTCCGGATTTGCGGAGATCACTCCACCGAGTGCTTGGCTTGGACCTGGGACCAATTCAGCAAGACTTGCCACTACGCCCCCTGGGCAATCATTGGCGACCACAGAGAGGGGTTCCTTTCTGGTATCAACTACGCCCTGGCACAAAAGCTCACCGAGGGTTGCCACGGGCCGCGATCACCTGCCGCCGCTACCGAATAGACTGCGTTGATACATTTAGTTATGTTATTTGCTTTCCACCTGTACATAGACACTTGAGGGTACGAGGCGTTGGGGTTTGCACATAGTTCAAATGTTACCAAAGAGCTATTGGACTGGTACATATATACATAGAGCTGCTGAAAGCATCCAGCTCTGGCTTGTCGACATGGATCTCCTGAAGGAGACGACCGAGGAAAGGAATTAATGAAGTCACGGACAGCCGGCCGGAGGCATGGTAGAAGTAAGATGGATTACACCTACGTCTAAACTTAATTCCAAGACATTCTGTCACAGAAGCTTCTGTCGCACCCCATTGTGCAGACCGAAATCCACTGCCCAGAGAGTCAAAATGATTATATAACAAAAGAGTTTCCAATCCTGGGTGAGTGATTTGCTCTGGACAACACTTATTTGGACATCTGACGCGTCACATTCAGCAGGTGTAAAGGCTAAAGCCTCGACAGGAGAAGATTGCATTTAATTACTTTCTTGACATTAATTTCCTTCGTCGCGTCTAAAAACAAAGTGCTGGGCACTATTCTAACTCAGGCGTCCTAGACAATGTGTGCGGGATCCATGCGGCGAGGCAGTTTCTCCGAAATCTTGCTCATGGCCTGGTCCTCCAGCGCGTCAAGCTTGTTGTCAATCTTGTTCTCAAAGTGCTTGGCCTTTTTGCTGAGGAATGTGCGGAAGACGCCCCAGCCAGTGGTGGCCATCCAGAGGATGACGTTGACCAGGTCGATCCAGACGGCAATCTTCATGAGGCGGACGCTGGTGCCCTCGTACTCGGTGCCGCTCTCGCGCTTGAGAAAGATGCCGGCAAAGACGCCAAAGACAACGAGCCAGCCGAGGGAGAGCACGGCGTCGACGACCCAGAGGCGGTACACGGGGACAAAGGGGATGCAATAGACGACGCAGGTGATGCAGGACGCGGCCGCGACGACGGTGGCGTACATCCAGGCGGCGGACTGGGAGTGGCCGTCCTGGCGGTCCTCGTCGACGCGGTGGCCGTACATGCCCACGACAATGAGGGCAAAGATGAGCTGGATGCCCCGGGCGATCCAGCGGGCCATGTTCTCGTACAGGCCGATTTGCTTGGTGGCGACGCCCTTGCCGGCTCTAGCGGCGAGCTTGCGTGCGGTGAGGAAACCCATCTTTCTTGTTGGCTGATGTTGGTTCTGTGTGTCTGTAATGTGGGAATTATTTGGCCGGTGTTGGCGGCTGTGTTGAATGTTTGTGTGACTGGTGGTGGTCTCTTGGCTTAGAGTTGTGGGAAAAAGGTTCTTGCGTCTCGACAAGTTAATGGAGATGTCTTTGATGATTAAAGTGTGTGTCGTGAGACTGTATCGTAATAGTGAATGACTGCCAGCGTCGTCCGTCTATGAATCAGGTGGTGATGACCGAAAGGAAGAGGGAAAAAAAGAAACAAGTTGAAAAGTAGTCTGGGTGACCAGGACTTGTGTTGTGAATGACAATCAATAATGAAGGGAAAGATTTCAGTTGGGATTGAACATGAGCAGATATGTGATTCCTTAAATCGAGGTCGCGGCCATTCTCCTTTGTGGCCGCCAGTTGGACAACAAGGACAAACGCCCGCGTCTCTTTGATTGTCCTTTTGATTGACGCTGAGCAGCCTCTTTGAAACAAAGAGATACTATAATCAGCCCAACGTCGAGCATCGTGAGCCAACCAAGAACAGGGTATCCACTTGTATCCACTGCTCAACGTGGAGGTGGCCCGTGCTTTGCCGCCGTATCTGTCGCAGGCCTAGCGACAAGCCAGGGCAGCGACTGGCTGTCGATTGCTTTCACCTCTGAACCCACAGCGCCTAACTGGCTTACCGGAATTGCTTTGCTTTTGCAATGGCCGCGCGCTTCTTCCCCGGAAGGAAAATGAGTACGCTGCCATTCCCGGATCATCACCGCGGATCCTCTACTTACATATTTACATACAGGCCATCATTGTCGCTTTGATGAGTCGTGATAAGCGCACATGAGACCCTGGGGCTTGGCGACTGCCATGTCAGCGACAACAAGTCTCGCTAGGCTTATCGGGTGAATCTGGAATCAGGCACAAACTGTGGATCAACGATAGTGCATCGCACATGCACTCTGAGTGAAGGAGACGGTAATACCGGCTACAGGGTTTCATGCGTCCGGGAATGTGGACGACTCGCGATCATATGAATGACTGCTACCTGGGATTGACCCGTCTTCGCCAGATCCTCCACTTGCTCTTCTGGAGCTAAGCGCAGGCCTGCAAGAACCATATGCACATTGTCCTGCCCAATCTTTATTATCCTCAAATGTTTACTGAAAATCATACCGCAGTCCGTCTATCTCAATGCAATCCCTCCCTCTCTCTGGCCAAAGATGCCCTGAATTAAAGTCAGTCATGTCTAGAATGAAATATGGTCCTTGGAGAAGACCAACCAAGAACTTGTTTCCGGCGTGAGTAGCCCTTGAAATGAATGATACCAGCTTCAGCACAGCAATGAGCAGCATCGTCACAAAGATCAACAGCAGGATCCCAATCAGACCCCAAAAACCTCCGCCGCTGCTGTATTGAGGAGGCGACGCAGGAGCCGGGTCCAGAGGCGCCCGCTCCTCGACCCCGTCGCACCAGAACCCGTAGCTGCCGGCGCCGCGCGAGGGCATGCTCAGACAAGCGCCGAGCAGCTCCTCGCCGATGGCCTGCAGCTCCGCCGGCTCCCCGACGCAGCCCGGTGCCCTGTAGCGGGCAAAGAGCGCCTCGGTTCCGTTTTGGCAGGTCGCGGCCGAGTAGATCTTGACCTTGCGCAGAGCCTCGATGTCGACGCAGACGTCGCGTGCCGGGTGTCGGAATGTCGGCGCCGTGTACGGAAGCTCTTCGACTCGGCACGCATTGTCGGAGACGGAGCCGGCGGCCTTGTTGGCGTCTGAGATATTGTCGGTGGTTGCAACGTAGCTCGGTGCGGCACCGATGAGACTCGATGCCAGACCGAGGACTAAAATTACCGTCTTCAACATCTTTGGTTATCCTAGTGTTCCCAGCGGATGATTTCTGATTATTCAATGATGGAATAGATAGTGGGCCAGGTTTGCGATCGACAGAGGCGGTCCAGTCGTGATATATGAGTCAAGGCTCATTTGATCCTTTGGCCCAAGACTCGTTTGCTGCCCGGCATTTTGCATCCTTCCACAGATAGCTGGACTCCCCATCGTGCTCCGTGACTATTGAAAACTCAAGTGGATAAATAGACTATTATGCGTTATCGCGGCACAGTCGTATGAGCACGCAGCTGAATGCGGCGTAGACAATAAGCTTGACCCTAATCAAGATTGATACTACCTCGATTGAGGCTGGCTTCCATAGATGCCCTGTATTCGGTAGCGCTCGTATGATATGATCAACGCCCGGCTAACATGCAACTTTAATTTGACTGGATGCCTGCGAGATCCCACGACGGTGATTGGACATGGTAGTGTAAAAAGACTTTGAAACTCGGTCTTGGAATTTCGAACCCCGATACGATGCGAGGCTCTTTGAATCATCAGTTGTTACTTGTAGGCGTACATACATGATGGTTTTCGTTTATCCACAGTATTGCACTCTTGTTGGAGGCTGATAACAAACGGTTCTGGGAGAGCTATGAATTGAGGGCAGCGAATACTCAACAACAGATGCACTTTGATAAATTTCTGGATAGACAAATATTCTTCTTCTTATTCTTCTATTTTGAATAAATTAGAATGAATAATAATGGGCGGGCGGAGGGGAGCGTTCAACGCCCCGAACCCGGGCGACGCCAAGCCTTGTGGCAACAGGAAATGGAAAATCAGTCAAGATTGAGCCAGATGCCGTGCCTCGGTCAATTGTCACCGTCCTAAGAACTATCATGGACTGTTCTGTCAAGTTGATGAACCCCATGCACTCAAAGGCATTGTATAAGCTGATCGTCTGAAGTCCCTATGTCGTCATTCTTGTCCTCATGCACTTGCGCTCAAGCGGCCGATCCATGCTTTGTTGATTTCGGCCCAGCCAGTCCGCAATTAGCATGCCCACGAAAAGTATAGAGGAGAAAGAAAAAAGAAAAGGCGATTTCGAGAGCGAATATCTCCCCGCTTGACAACAAAGAAGGTGTGTATAGCTGGCACTTGTGGACTCGATTCAGCAAGGTAAACCTAAGAATAGTATCAGCCTCCAAATCTTCAACAATACCTGTAGCTCTTGCACCCTCTTCCTTGATCACTGCTAACACTGCGAGACAGATTGGAAAATCCAGGAGGTCATTCGGATCCAGAGCCGAAGAGGGTGTCATGCATTTGCTTTCGGAGCATCTGATCGAGATTTCATGCACATCATGTAGTGCCTTTGACTACGCAACATTTCCCACATCTTGCCATCACTAGTAATCGGAGTAAAAGCGAATACACTTTGTTCGACGGTACGCTAACCCAACAGTAAGGTTGTAGCCAGCCAGGCTCTAGGGACTAGCCGCACTGTAACCCGTGATGAAGTCAAGTCAAGTTGGTGTGGTTGGCAGCTCGATGCGGTATCCAAATGACCCGACAGCTTGGTAACTTGAGGGATCCGGGAGGGGCTTCTGCAATCAGGATTCATTCCTCGCCTTCATGAAAAGGTGTTGGGGTAGCCTCGCACTACGGAAATAATTGGTGGCAAAGAAAGTCACACTAAACTCAATTATAAGCTTGTGTGTGGTAAGATTGCTAGTCCTCCAGCTATCGAGCATCATGATGCTGCGTGCGGAGAGCGATGGTGTATTGGAGCATCAGAGCATTCTTGGAAGGACACATTCTTTCGATTTATGCAATCAAGACATGATCGAATTTGTAGCAAAAGACGGAAAATATTCGTTGTCGAGTGAGACTCTCACATAGAGGATTGTCGCACAGTGATATTCATGACGACGGCTTCTTATTTCTTCCTGTTAATTCCAACCTTGCCCCCCCATGCACTCTCTATTGATATTTATATCAGGATCCAATACAGAAATGCATGGAAAGCTACAACATATAAATGACCAAAAGTTTTCTATCCCTTTTACTACGAGTATATAGAGTTCATGGTACACTAGGCTCGTCTTCCATGACACAATATGTCAGTGCATGTGACCCTTGATACGTGCCCAAAAGATGGTTGCATATGCGACTTGGTAGGCCTTCACACAATAACTACTGTACTAGGGGATCACGGCAGAGTATGTATGATCTTGTCCTTGCTGACAGCGCCAAGAGGGAACCGATGTCCGAGCCTAGATGGTCCGATTTCCGGGATGGGGCGTTCCTAGGGAGCCGATTTACCGGGACACCATACAACTGCGAGCCAAAGGAGGGGATGTCTAGATCTGTCCGAGTGTCCCGAGAATGACTATTTTCCTATTCGTAGAGAAAACGAGCGGTCTCTGGCACTAATCAAGCATTTAGTATGCATCCATCAACGTCCTTGGGTTTTCTTTTTATTTCGAGTCCCACCCTCAAGCGCAACAGTCTAGATTGGAAGGCTCTTGGGCAGCCACGCGACTCGTACTCGTATGCACACATGCAGAAACTGGCAAATGCTTTCCCAGGCTGTAGATGCCGATGCCACTGACGATTTTCTTTGCAGATTGAGTCTATTACGTTGAGTCCTGATATCAAAGTTTTAAAAAGCCGGTTCCAAGTGCCATTGGGCTCCAGAATTCATCACCAACCCACAAGTTTGCTATTTTTGTCCATGAACGGTCCATCCCACCATTTTGGTCCAGATATTGGTACCCATGATAGCTTGAACCTTTTGTTTGGGAGTCAAAGGCGATTACACTTGGCTGCAATTCCTGCCCTATAAGTATCCGGGTTTCTTCCACCTTAACAACTCCAATCAATATCATCAACATCAGGTCAATTCTCTGCCATTGTTATTAAGCTGAATCCATATTCATCATATATCATCATGCGTATCATCAAAGTACTTGTAGCCTCACTCTTGCCAGTGGTTGCGGTGCACGCCGCACCCAGCGCCGAGGCGGACATATCCCCGCGAGGCCAATCTTGCTCCGGGGGCCAGTACTGGGACGACAGCGCCAAGTGCTGCAAGTGTCCCAACGGCAAAGAGTGGCAAGACAACAAGTGCAAGCACCCGCCCATGCCAAAGCCCAACTGCAAGGGCAATGAGCACGCTTGCTGTGCCAAAGACAAGAATGATTGGTGTGCCTATGGTATGTGATGCATTTGACATTTTTACAAAACAGGAAGGGGGGCACAGACGACAGAGTACTGATGATCGAGCATAGATGAGTCCAAGAAGGAGTGTAGAAACAATGGAAAGCATGTTACTTTCTGTGCACAGCCAGGCAAGGAACAAGAATGGTGTGATGACTACTGGGGTTAGTAATCTAGGATATCATGGGAGTATGAGGACCAGAGGTTCAAGTAAAAGGTTTGCGAAGTCGAAACAAGTCTCTTGATTGCCAGAAAAGAATAAAAAGCTGAAAGGAAGTGTTGTGATATTTTGGGGATTTGCCTGTATTTTTCTTCTGCTTATTGCAATCCAATTGTCATAGTGTCTAATGATGCAAAAGTCTTTTACGAATATTTTTGTTGAGATGACATGCAAAACCTCGCCCATAGCCAGTGACAAACATGATTAGTGTTATATGGGAGCGTGGTATTCAAAACGCCACTCTGGAGAATCATGGCAAAGTAATTTGGACGATTGATTTACGCTTTCGCGTGACTTGAGCCACTCATGAAAATCAAATTGTCGCAGCGACAATGTCTCTCCATAATTTTGCTAATGTTTGAAGCTTTGTTGCATCTTAGTCGGGTGAGTCGTTGTAACGTTTGGTGCAGAGTCGTCAAGTGAACATTACTTGAGGGCCTCAGCGGGATAAATACCTATGTAACATTGAGGCAGCCTGGCTGCGATGTAGGAATAAAATGCTTTGGAACAAGTAAGAGTATAAAGTGGCGCCCGGTCGTGGTCCAATAAAGTGCGTGGAATGCATAACGGATACCGCCGCCGGAACGCCCGCGTCAGATTTGGCTCGCCCGGATACGCCATCTCACTACTAGCCTATTATAAAGAGTTGACAGGTCTGGGTTTTATATAGTGACTCGGATACGGCGCGATGATTGGAAGATGGGGCTGAGTTATATTCGTGTTGCAGTCACGAGTCGCAGCCATATAATCATCCTTTTTGAAAATTTCAAAAACATTTTGCCGTATTGGCGAGCCAACTGAGATTGTGCAGACGAAAATGAAGTGCATGGGCAATGTGGCACAAGAAATTTGCACGCCACAATTAATCCATGGCGCAGCCCCTTAGACGTACAGGCTTGCAAGATATAAATATACCTGATATAAGCTTACTTTTAAGAACACGGCCTATGAATTCTGCCTCTAATGCCCGTTATTAGCTTGCCAGAATTTCGGCTTTATTATCGTGTCTGCAATACGATCCTCGACGCATGTATACTAGATCGCATTGACTAGTAGTAGCCTGTCTGTGCATATTGATTGAAGCACCGCTTGTAGGTAATCGATACGGGCAGGTCTAGGCAGCTTAATCCACTCACTAACCCTTGCTGACGGGCGTCCCTGTCACGATAGGTACCCAGCTCCGACCGACGGAACCGAAATTGTTCTTGTTGCGCAATCTGAGCTCGTCAGCAAATTGCCCATCCCGGGCGTATATTTTGACAGGATTTCAATACTAGGCCAATCAGGTTTGGCATGGTATGACGTCTCTCGTATCTGTGCAAAGATTTCACTCTTCGACTATTGGCGGCACAGCCCATGGGTGTCATCAAACGGGTTTGCAAAGAACCCCAGGCAGGTACTCGTAATTGATTGATAGCCAGCAACTAGACGAGTATCTTTGCTTTTCAGTAGAAAGAGCGATTCCACGAACGATGATGGAGTGACTAACACATCGAACCAGGGCGCCACTGCTTTTCTTGTCGTTTGCTGCCTGTTTGCCCGAACCGACTTTCAAGTATAAGTAGAAGGTATAACATTCATCCTGCTCTTCTTGACATCCCATCTCTATCCATCAACTCCCATCTTCTCGACAGCACATCTTCCATCCACCCCAGTCATTCCCCACTATCAATAAAGATATACTTTTTTCAACGCTGTATATTCCGGAGAATTCCTTTTCAAAATGCACGGCCAAGCAATCCTCGCCACCGCCCTCCCCCTGGTATCGTATGCCATCGCGCGTCCCCTCGAGTCGCGTGATGCATCAACCGATATCACCATTACCAAGCTCTCGGCCACATTTCCCTCGTCAGGTCCCTATGGAGATCCGGAGGTGGACTCGTTTGTCACCATTAGCGTGACCTACCCGGACCCTGCGGCGGCCGACAGCGCCACGCTCAGCACCACTTGCACCGTGTCTTGGCCTAGCGGCACTGACCCAGCGCCGACCGAGTGGACCGACTGCGTTGACCCCACGCTGTCATTCCGCCTGCCCACGGATGGGTGGACAAGCACTGGCAACTTTCAAGTTGAATTGTGGGAGACATTGACGTCGGATGGGTAAGTAACGAGAGAAAAAAATTCCAAGCCGGAAGAAAAAAAAAACATGTGAGATTTGGCTGACCAAGCTTACTTGTACAGCGCTGGTCTGGATGCTGCGCACCTGCTTCGGATGAACCCCAGCGACCCCAGCAGCGCCGACTCGCTGCTGTGGTGTCAAACATACGGCAAGTTCACCGCGACACAATGCACACTTTCGGGGCCGTACGGACAGACGCCGAGGACCGTCACCATCTCGGCGACCGAGGGAAGCGCCAGACCGAATTAGGATGTTCTCTGGACGTGGGGGAAGATCAAAAAAGGATCAAAAAAGAGGACGGAAAAGCGGCTGGCGATAGACAAGGGGAAAATAGATCTTTAGTGCATCGATGGAGCCGCGATGCGACTCTCTGGATATCGTTGCAACGTGCATACATAGGTAATTGATAATAATCGTGGGTTTTGGTGTTGTGGTCGGCGCTCGGCTCGGATCGGTTATCACGAATCAATATATTCAATCAAGATTACAACGTTTCAATCACCTGATTAATCGCATCGGAACAGAAACAAGAGATATCGGCCTAAAGATCATGTGCTCAAGTCCACGCTACAATTGCGATGAGATACAGACTCCGTAGACCGGCAGCGATTTGTGATGTTGGTAGTATTGTTTGCAGTACTCGGGGTCGAGAAGTCGAGAATAGCACTCTCATCTTGGCCAAGCCGTCACCTCAGATACCCGAGACACATGGCAGAAAAGAGAAATCCAACGATTTGGTTACCATCTAGAGAAGATACATGAACGGCTCAAGTTGCGCCCTTTTGTCCTCTTGTCCTTTGCAGGGCTGTCTGAATTGCCATTTCGAGGCAATCGTCAGCCTCAAGCAACGCGTAGACCCTGCGACCACACACAGCAAGCCACCCGGAGCGGGTTGGAAGGTTACAAGGAGGCAAACACTGCTCTTTGGTGATAATATGAGAGGGGGGTAAAGGGAACTAACTTGTCGAGAGGTGATATCAACATGTCTTATTAACTACCCAAGGAAACCAACCCCCTCCCCAATTAGCGATTGTATTCTTGACGTGATTGGCCATGAATTATCAAAATCAGGACCCAAATCTTGCTTGACCCTCGGCGCCCAGGTCCAAAATGTCTAGCAACAAAGAAAAAAAAAGACCCGCCAAAATCAGCAATTACTCACTCACATGCAGGCCAAGACTTTTCAGGGTCCTCTGTGTCTGCTGTCCCCCCTCCCCACCTTCCCCCTCGGGCCATGTCGCCCTTGTCGCCAAACCGTGCAATTGGGCTTGGGACATCTTGACATTGAGCGACAAGACGATAGTTTTGCGCCGAACATCCGTGGGTTATCGGCCATGCCCTCAATGTAATGTACATGTGTTCGCCTCGGCGAGTCGCAAGCTGATGTCTTTGTCGCATGCAGTGTTCATCCATGTCCAATAGCTCAGCGCCGCATAAGTGACGGAGGCGGCAGCGCGGGGAGCAGATTAAGGTTGCAGGTCGCAAATACCTGACATTTTTAACTCTAATCCTTCTGTTGGAAGATCTCAAGTCTGGAGGATCAAAGTATATGGTCACTGGCATTGTCCTCGAGTATGGAAAGTGGGCGGTTTTCCCGGGAAAATGCCAAGTCTAGGCTATCGTTGAACCACAAATTTCCCGACAACTTCCCCAGATCTCTCATTTCCCCCTAGTTCGTAGAGCGAGTAATAAGCAGCCCTATTGTCGGGAAACATGATCTAGATAGTCTGGACTCTTTTTTTCTCACCCATCGCTCTCTCTCACAGGCACAGGTGATCGACTCCTTGTGGTCTTGGCTTGCAGCTACTGCATATCAGTGCCGTCACAAACCCATGTTTCAGGGCTGCCCACCACGACGCTAACGGCTATAAGAAGTGGATGTCCGTCTACATGACCCAAAGCAGTATGTGCTTAATGTTTGGCCACTTCTCGTCTTTGATAGTAGATAATGAGAGAGGACATGCTGCTCGGTTTTTGGTGCCGGAGCCGAGATCCGGGTAAATGTCCATTTTCGATTCGATTTGTACCAATTGCCCCTCTCCAATATCTTATTATAGGCATACTCCAGGAACCAAAGAAACTCTATTTAGTGATAACGCAATCCGGACCCTTGGTCATTAGTTGGGTTCGACTATCTGCTTTCATAATTCCTTTAGATCAGATCGGGTTCGGCTGGCTTTGATACGCCCCCTTTCCCTGCCCCCCAACCCTTCAACCTGCTACCCAGCGCATGCCAACGATGGCTGGCTTGCTTTCCTGCTGGATCGCAACCGTCATCGCAATCATTGGCTACTCCTTGACATCGTCCTATGTCGCGGCCGTGGAAGTGCTGGGAACAAAGTATCCCGACCTGCGATGCGAGACCAACGCCCCTCCCCAGAGGGCCCTCAACTTCACCTCGGTGAGCGTGCCCGTCGGGCCGCGGCCCTGGGGCCTCGTGTACCTCAATGAGAACTTTGCCTTTGCCGCCATCAACTTTTCCATTGGCGTGCTCGATACTCGGCAGTTTGAGCCCAGGCTGCTCAACATGATTCCGTTTCCAGAGGAGTTCCAAATGGGCAACGAAGACATCACGTCGGATGGTTACGGGTATCGTGAGCTCATCCTCTCCCACGACAAGCGGAACCTGTACGTTGCTACGGGTTATGGTGCCGTGATTCTCGATACTACAAAGGCCATCCTGGGGAGTAATGAATCCATCGCCGGGGTCCTGAGCAGCAATGGCTATGTTGGTAGGAGCGCCGTGGAACTCTCCATCACGCCCGATGACAAATTCGTCTTCATCAGCCAAGAATTTGGGAGCAATGCCTCGTATAATCGTGGGGCAGTCGAGGTCTACAAAGTCACCAGGGAGGATGACGGCAAGGTCTCAAGCATATGGCGAGGTAGGCAACGCCCATGACCTAGATAGCTGGGACGCCACAGAAACGTCACCGTAGAGTCCATCAGTGATACGACTAGAAAATGCATGCTAACCTTGATTTACTGCACAGGTTTCATTGCACTAGGATTTGCAGTTGTCGGCCAGCAGTTCTCAAAGGATAATACGAAACTGTTCGTAACCAGCGAACTAAACACTACCAAGGGAACAGTCAACGACACGGCCGGTATCATTAGCGTTCTGGACGTTGCAACACTAAAAGTGACACCGGGAAAGGCACTGATAACTCGCCTGAACAACGGATGTCGTCCGGTGCGATGCGACGTCTCGCTGGACGGACGACAGCTCTGGGTCACGGAGCGAGACGCCAACACCCTGGCCATATTTGATGCCGATGAACTTGCCCTCGGCAACAACAATACTGATGAGGTACTCTTGGGTGCCGTCACCACGGGCACTTCGCCCATTGGAATCGCCGAGGTGGGGAGGTACGTCTTGACGGCCGACTCCAACCGCTTCAATTACGAAAATGCGACAACTGGCGTCACGGTGGTCGATACGATAACCATGCAGCAGCTTGGGCAAATACCAACGTCGGCGTTTCCGCGCTCTTTAGCGGTCAGCCCCAGCGGAAACAGGTTATTGGTCTCCGAATTTGGTGCGGGCACCATACGTGCGATAGACGTGACGTTACTCAATAGGTTTTAGGAGCCGACAATGAGTGAAGCGAATCAGATGTACATAACCATTACTCACTGCATTTATAGACCGCTGCATGACTGATTAGATCATCGGGCCTCGCCCTCGTGAATGACGGGTCAAGTGTGATCGCAAGGTCAAAGCGTATGCTTCCAAACTCGTACCAATTGTTTTCCATTGACTATCTGCAATCTTCTGCCCCACTATTGTTGATAGTAGTTGGGAGGGTAGTTCTGTTGGTGTTGTTGGTATTGTGGATCGGGAGCTTGCTGGGAGTATCCATACTGCCCACCATGTTGATTGGAGGGTGGATAGTTCTGGTGTTGCGGTGCAGAGTTATAACTCTGCTGTTGATAATGCCCACCCTGATACTCGTTGGATGATGGGTAGTTCTGGTACGATTGCTGTTGTGGTGGTGGGTTATAGCTTTGTGCACCATGCTGCTGGTATGGCTCAGTCGAGGCTGGGGGCACCGCCTGGTGCCCGCCACCAAGATTCACCACTGGCGCTCCGACACTGACACCTTCGTTGCCGATATCATCAGGTACCGAGATCTTCACCTTGGGCAGATACTTCTGCACCTTTTGCTCAACCATGCCATGCACAAAGAGCCAACTCTCCAGCTCGAGCTTGCGGTGACCACCATTCACAACACCCAGTATGCTCTGGCGCAATGTCTCCTGGAGTTTTCGGACAAGACCACGGATTTTCTCCACAAGCTTGGACTTGAGGTCATCTCCAAATCCGCGATCAGCTGTGGTTCCAGCGTCACGGTCAAGCTGCGAGTCAAAGGGATTGCCACCCAGAATCTTCTCCAAGGGTCTTTGGAATTGATCGGGCAAAAGTTCGAAGAGCCGCTTTTCAATCTCTCCGAGGATTTTGCGGAACTCGATACGGACTTCCCTATGGACCTTGGCGAGACCAGTTGTGAGCTTGTCACTAATGACCTTTGAGAAGCCGCCGCCACTGCCTCCATCTTCACCGTCGCGGTCGCCGAGACCTCTCGAGGCACCCTCGTCAGAGTGCTTTTTGCCAAATAAACCTCCCAAGCCCTTGACCAGATCTTCTACATGATCCTTGATCTCGGCCTTGGCACCATCGCCCAGGTCTCGGGCGCTCGAGTTGCCACGCAGCCACTTTTTAATGTGGTCCAGGGCAACGCGAGTAAACTGCTCTGCAATGGGCCCGTGCTGCTCTCTCAGCTTGGCACCGACCTGCTCCTTGATCTCGGGAGCAATGGTTCGAGCCTTTTCCTCGGGACTGCGTGCGGCGTCCTTGATGGTGTTGCTCATGACGCCCAAGAGACCGTCCAGTTCAAACTTTGGACCGCCTCCCGGATTCTTGTCGAGGTGGTCTTGGACGACGTTGATGGCGGCGGACAGGAATCCCTTGGCTCCAGAGAGGCCTTCATTGCTGTTGAAACCCCGAGATTGCACATCGCCACCACCCCGGGATTGCGAGTCGGCATCCTCAGTGAGGTTGAAGATATCCCGCAGGTCATCTTCTGCTTCATCGGTAATCTTGCTGAAGCTGCGCGTCAATTGGGCCACTTCGTCCGCAAAAGGAAGGGACCTGTGGCCGTAAGAATCTGGAGGCGCATCGGTCAGGCCCCTCGAACTGTCTTCGGAGCGGTCCTTCTTGTTGAAAAGCGAGCGAAAGGCATCAACGACGTGGTCCTCCAGGCTGTCAATGGTCTTTTGCTGAAAGACGTCGATCTCAGATGCGATGCGGGGTTGAATCTGAGGCGCCAAAGAGTCGACATACGCGTCCACCTTAACCATCAGGACCTCTGGGACGCCGTGAGAAGACATGATTGCGAGTAATATCTAGACCCAGCGTATATGGACCTGGCCAAATCGAGAAGGAAAAAAGTAGTAAGTTACAAGGACTGAGTTGGGACTAGCATGCAAGGTTGTTCATGTTTTGGTGATGGAGGGGCGGAGCTCAGCTGAGTGAGTTGACCGTAATTTAGTGGACATGTGTACCGCCTTACCCCGCGCCCCACCAAAAGAAACACAGCCCCAGTGCCAGCATTCATCAAAAACAATTGTGAATTTTATTCAAAGATCGGAAATCTGTGTTGGCTTGTCCAACAGAAACCTAACGACTATCTCGGCTGCAAATTCCGAATCGTCATCAAAGTTGACCTTGTCCAAATCCGACTGCAAGACCTCACCATTCCACCGAGTGCCAAAGACTGTCAAGGTCTCAGCATTGACAAAGCGGTCAAATTCAAAGTGCCCTTGGTAGGTGAGCACACGGCCTGGGTTGTATACTCCTTGCACTGCGCAATGATCAGTGCTTCCGACAACAAACCAGTTTGGCGGCATCGAAGTCGGTGGTGGAAGTATCACGTGGTCTGCGTGTATAAACTGCAATCGCATGGTTTTGGGCTCAGCCGCTACAACAGCTGTTCCATTGTTTGTCTTTGGCGACGCCCACTTTCCGTCTGATTGCAAGCCGGTTGCCTTGACAAAGCCGTCGCTTAAACGAATTGGATGCACTCCAACTTCCCAGCCCTTTCCGTCCTTCTCAACGACAGCGCCATGGTCGGCCAGTAGTGTCTGGCACAACAACTGATGCCCAAAACAGCTCCCAAATAGTTTGACCTGCGGCTGCTGAGAGTACGCATCTCGTAGGTACTCGCCGAGCCGACTGATCCATTCGTCTTTGTCGTATGCCGACGCTGCGGCGCCCGTGACAAGTAACATGTCAAATTTCGCCGGGTCCTCGGGATATTCGCCAAGAACGACATTAAACTCTTCGGATTCAATGGTGAGGTGTGGCGCAACACGGCGGGCAGCTTGGCTGAGGAGACCATGAAATATCGCCCCATATGATCCCCTTTTTGCCAAAACATTGGGCACAGGAGTGTCGGCATTGAACATTGCTATGCGGGCCACTCTGGGCTCTGCTCCTACAGCCATGGCTACTAGATAGGTAGGGGCAGGACTATTGGTGGGTCGGGAACTAGTTGGACTGTTGATGAAAGAAATGCTGGCCTTGATTTCTGTCAGATATGATCAAACAAGCCAAGAATACTATGCAATGAAGTTTAAAAATGAATGAGTTGGAACAAAATGCTGAGCCAGACCCAGCCGTCACTTGCTGTGCGACTATATTCGAGAGCCGGCGCATAGGCCATCGTGACGAGATCGGAGCTTGGTGGATCGCCGCTGAGTCCTAGCGGGGACGCCTCGGCTTGCAAGCCGATATCTTTCGGCTTTCCATCACCTCATCAATTTGACAACAAAATGATATATTCCGTGGACGCTCTCGCAGCCGTCACAGTCACGTAGCGCTGTCGCGATTGACTCAGTAGGGCAACTTGGTGGCTTTAAGCCATAAGCTGTGATGCTATGGTTGGGTTTCGTAAATTGTTGCCATTTGGCTCTCGGATCTGTCCCGAGCTAATTAATAATTGGTAGTGCACACATTCTAGCAACACCTATTATTTGAATCTGTCGCCCATTGGAACGGCTTGTTGGGCTTTTCAAAGAGATATTTCGGCTTCGCCAAGCTATTGTGACCTTGTCTGGTTTTCGGGCTTCAGAAGATAATCGTATGCTGGATCCTTGCCACGGCTCTATCGATTGATGCCTAGACACTCCTGTATCGTCTGACTCGCGGCAAGATAATTTGGTGGTACGGCGGAGAAACATCTTGGCCGTCTCGAGTTCCAATCGACGCTTGATGCAAATATGTGGCCGCGAGTAAATGCCAAGTGGAGCGCTGGGGCTCTTTATCAGTGCCATCATTTTGGTACGCCACATATGAGCACCAATGAGACTACTATATCTGTACTTGCATGCCGTGCTTCAGGGACCATTCCTCCACTTTTTTCGACATTGGCCGGTATTCTGCTCTTGTGCACAAGATCACTTTCCCCCATGCCTGATAGGAGACCCAACCAAACTCGGAGACGTTGTGACGAAACGAGGTCCTTCGGCGTGCCATGATGACCTTTTGAAGATTGCTCATCTTCTTGCCAGCGATCATCTTATGGATTTGATCGTCGAGTTGCCCTTCATCGCCCTCACAGCTGAGTAGATGAAGTTTTTCCAGACTAGTCGGTAAGACCTCATCGAGCTGAAGAAGCCCTGAGCCATTCGAGGCTTCATCGTCACTATCCTCGTCGCTCTCATCGTCTTCTCCAACAAGAATGTCATGCGGCAAAGTAAGGGTCTTCAGCTTGGACAACTCGCGGAGCGATCCTATCCTCCCGGTGCTTTCTCCCTCCTCGTACATGAAGGCTTCACGACAGTCGAACTTGATTCCTTCCAGCGTGCTGCTGCCATATTTCCTGAGCGCATCACCGATGGCGGTAAAGTCGAGGTCATCATCACATCCAACCGTGGCCGAACCCCATTCGATACTAAGCATCTTTAGTCCTGGATACCGCGACATCATGCTGGAAAGGCTGTTGCCATTGCAGAGAGACCAAGCAAAGTCGATATGCTCCACGCTCGAGTGCCCATCAAGCCTTTCCGGGGACCCTTCTGCCTGATCTTGTTGCGTTTCCATTGACCATTCGACGGACCAGCCCCGCAGGGTGCGCAACGTGGGCAGTGTGAGAAGACCGCGGGGCTTTAGTCTCGTAGTGCCCTCCGTGTCATTATGCCGCAGCCATAGTTCGCGCAGACGGGCCAGGGCGGCTGGAGGCCCCCCGTCTGCACCCGCGCGCGTCTCCACGACAAAGTCACACATTTCAAAGTCCGTTTCATAGAAACACTCAATCTCTAACTGCTCAAGATTGGGCAGTAGCAGTAGAATAAATGCATGGTCAAAGCCTTCCGCTCTGTGCTCGACGCCTGCGAGGATCTTTTGCTCCAGACTCTCGGGAACGTTGAGCCTGGGCCGGGCGGTCTCGAAGAGGGAAACCAGTTGGGGACCTGTAATGCTGCCGTAGCCCAAATACATGCCCCGCACCAAGCTGGCGAGGTGAGGACATTCCACGAGCGTGCGCAATAGGCGATAGCGAATGTCGTCTGATAGTTCTGGTATGTAATGATACAAAGCACGCTGCGCAAAAGGCTGTAGGCGCTTCGATAATCGGCAGAGCCGGGAGAGGGCTGCGGTCTCGTCCCTGAAGCTGCCAGCACCAACGAAACCCGTGAAATTGTGCGGCAGGCTCAAATGCCCGCAGATTTGCAGCAATAGCTCATCGGGGAGTGCTTCCATCATTGCGATCAAGTGTGGTATTGAGTCAATGCAGAGACACAGATTGAATCTGCTGGAGAGAAGTCGTCCATGTCAATGGCGGTGGAAATAGGTAAGTTTTTGTAGTCATCCTCTTGAGGGCGGACTGGTACCACAATGTTTAGGGGAGGCACTAAAAGCTGTAGGGCTAGGCAGCAGCAGCAGCGCCGTTATGTTTTAGTATCGCGACTTTCTGATGAGGGCATTTCAATCAGGTAATGAGGATTCCTTGAGGATTTTAGTGCCAATAGATTGTTACTCCATATTATCATGTTGAGCGCTTGATTTACTTCCACATTTGGTAAGAAAAATGAATCAGTCATTTGCTTGATTGAGCAGCCAGATTGCGGAGACCAGCATTTGAGCCACTTTTCAGCGCACTGGCACGATGCACCCATATATAGCATGATATATAACCAATATGGAATGCAGAACAATTCTTATGCTGGGGAGGTTTATCAAAGAAATACAAAGAGGTACCCAGGTTTTATACCAGAAATATTGTTTGTCGTGTCAATGTGGTGCTAGCGAGTGTCGAGCTGTGGGAGGAACCTCATACTCAAAGTCCCGCTAGAACATCTCTCATTGTGGTTATACTAGTGCACAACGCACTCATACGATATCCACCTTCTCATTCGTGAGCTTCCCGTCCCGGCCCAACTTTTCCAGCATGCCATATCTTTCGCTCAGTCCTGCAATAAACACGGGACCGAGGATCACGTATTTTGTGGTTTCCGTGTCTCTCCTCGGCCTCAGAGCCACTACATAGCTTGTGTACTCTAGAATAGCAAGTCTATCACCGGACTCAAGGTTGCGCGGGCCAATGCCAATGAAGCCATTGGACGTGGCGATAAAGGAAAGATTGTGCGTCAGACGATGCATCTCCTTGGTGAAAAGTGACAGAGACGCATCTTCTGTCCAATACCAGTCTGACAGCGCGTTGAGGTTTGTCGGTCGTTTCGGCTTGTCTTGTGGGTTGCCATCGACAAGCAGCTTGTATAGGCTTCGGTGCTTTTCGACCCTATCATGCGGATCAAGGTTGCTGAAAAAAGTGGCAGTCGTATTGAGCATCAGAACCACCCACAATTCCACTCTTAAGTCATGGTGGATGGAATACAGGGGATGATCAGCACCGAGGATGATCATTTGTGCCGTATTGGCCATGCGTTCAATCTCTCGCAAGTCATCCTGGCCCTCGTACGGGTCAAAATCCAAAAGCTTCGTCATTTGAACCGTATCGATCATGGTAGCTGTGACCGTCAGGACTTTGTGATCTGTTGAATATCTCGGACGAGCTTCTCCATGGTAGTGCCTCCAAATCCATGGAAGTTTGAATAAGCTGGATTCGTAGCAAGGCTTTTGCGTGAAATCAGGTAGCCAAGATGGTAGGGGGCCTCGTATTTCTACATTGCTGCGGTGACGCTGCGAGATGGCTGCCTGTAAGAAGCCAGTAGTTTTAGAATTTGCAATAATTGCTTGAGAAGATATTTGCCAAACTTCCAGCTTATAGTCGACAATGACGCGGCGCCGCGACTTTTCATTGATGATCCCAAGCAGGCCGTAAATTTTGTCCCTGGTATTGGTAGCCTCATGGTGCATCGTGTCCAACAATGCTTGCTCCATTGAAGAGTAAAGCCACTTGCTGCTTTCGGAGGACCGCATGCCAATCAATCCTTTCAATCGGGCATTGTTGACAAAGACTTGCTGTATGGCATCCCCAGGGTTATCAAAGTCCTTGACATGCTCCTCGAGGAACGCCTTGATCCGAGGCGAGGGTGGTTTGTAACCCATCCAGCCGTGATCATTTACCAAGGCCCGCAAGCATCCGTCCAAGTGCGCAAAGGATATTGTCCTAGATCCACACATGACAAGGGGATCTTTTTCAGGTAGTACAGCTTCCTGCACAATCCAGATGCGGCTGAACCATTGTCGCAGGAAGATGGAGAGAGACAGCCAGTACAGGTCGGATGACGCGGGTTGATTCAGGACATAGGCTTCTCTTCTTTCGGAAGAGGACCCAGGAGCAGGCCTCCACGATGACAAAAGCCAGTCCATGAAACGGTCGGTTCCTTGGTCTCCAGGGCCCAGCCAGACCAACACGCGAGCAGCAGCCGAGTATATATCTGCCATGAGTGGAACTTGATAGTTTTTCTCTTCAATATCGGCTTGGTTGATACAAATTGCATCAATCCAGAGATATGTCTCGGCGGAGCGGTATGGCAGCTTTTGAGGGGAGTCATGCAAACTGCGAAGTTGGCGAAGAGCCGCGGCCAGGTTAACGGTAGCGTCCATCGGACCTCCATTCACAGATATCCTCTCCGTGATTTTCGGATCTCCCCAGCAGTATGAAAGGGCAATAAATGGCGGACAACGCCATGAAAGAGGCACCGTCAAGGTCGAAACAGCGATGGGATCATGCTGCTGGCCGGGAGATATGCGGAGTAGACGAATCTCCTTATCCTTCCGGCTCAATTCACGATAGCTTGTGTCCACATCCGGCTTGACTCAAAAACCGGCTTGATAATGGACGAGCCCAGCTTAAAGACTGCCTCCGACGCCATTGGTATTGCTGAGTCTCCTAATCCCGTGTGCACAAGATGATGTACGGTCTTGAGAAATTTCAGGGAAAAATAAAGAGAAAGGAAGTCGTGCCATGTCGGCCGCGTGGCTGTGAGATTCCTCAGACTTGAATCCTTCGCGGAATATAGGTGGGGACGAGCCTACAATCCGTTTCATTGGGCACACATGGTCCACGAACTTGGTATTTGTGACAGGCATTGCACTGTCGAAAACATTTCACACTCCATATAAACGACATAAAGGTTTTAAATCGAGGTTGTACTCATTATCTGTCTTGTGCCTCCTTGATATTCTGCTGGATTTGACTCGAGCCTTGAGCGCAAGTGGCATACATGGATGGAGGCACATTAGGGGCCTAGTGCCTGCCTTTGCAGGGCAATACAGTAGGCGCACCACCTGTAACCCCCCTCAGCCAAACTACCCCAACTCAAAATCGAAGCTTTTTCATCACAAATTCCAGATCGTCCTCCAGCTTACCGAGATGTAGCATTCGCCTTTTCCTCATCATCTCTTTGGAAGCTTTCGCCGCTGAGGTACTCACCAAAGACGCGATCTTCAACATCCATATCCTTCCAAGCTGCTCCCTGTGACGCTTTGGCCGCGCGACGGAAATAAACACGCTTACCCCATTTCCAGGTCTCAACTCCGAGAAAGAACAGACCTGCTGCTATGAAAACGATGGCCCATTCCCAGCTAATACCGGTATGCTTGAAGACGGCATGATTCAAGACGGGAATGTATAGCGCCGGGAACAGCGTCACAAAGCCGAAAATGATGGCCCAGAACAAGAACTTGTTGCGCCAGACGTCATGCATCCACTGAGTAAGGTATTTCTTACTACCAGGCTGCATACGGAAGAATGACCGCCGCATATCAATCATTTCCCAGGCCAGGAACAGCGCAAACCATGTGAGAGTCGCGAAAGTCGTCGCACGGGCGCGATAAACCGTGTCGCATACTTCAGAGTAGGTCTCGTTGCAGCCTTCGCCCAGGTCTCCATTGCCAAAGCCAAAGACGACAAGAGAAAACGTGGCGAGGCAGAGTGCTGCGATCCAGAGCCCGTAAACGACCATGTCAATGAGGAACTCGGGAGTGAACACGCCAGTCTTGAGGCTCTGCGGCGGCCGTTGCATGATTCCAGGAACGGCGCGTTCAAATCCAAGGCCCATGTCCGGCATTCCAGATGTTACCATGATGATCCAAATAATCTCCACGGGCGCAAGAGGGAATACGGACAGTCCACGGGCATCCTTGAAGGCAAGTCCAACGAGAAGTGTACCGGCCTGCGCGATATTCTCTGCCAGAACGTGGAGCACAAATTTCTGGATATTATCAAATATGCGGCGGCCTTCTTCGATGGCGGCAACGATCGAGGCAAAGTTGTCGTCCATGAGGACAATGTCGGATGCATCCTTGGCAACGTCAGAGCCAGACTCACCCATTGCGATACCTACGTCGGCATGGCGAAGGGAGGGCGAATCATTGACGCCGTCGCCAGTCTAAATAACCGTTAGATTCCATTCAAACATCGTGAGCAAGGTATGGGTGAGGGCTTACCATAGCACAAAATCGTTTGCGCCTGTGTAGTGCTTCAATCATGCGCACCTTGGTGCTTGGAGCACAACGGGCAATTACCAAAGGGAGTACAGGAAGCGCGTCAATTTCGTCGTTGGACAAGGCATCGAATTGTGTTGCCGTCATAACCATGGACGCTGCAATGTCAGCACTGACTCGTTCCATGTGCAATGGCAAAATGCCAACTTCAATCGCGATCGCCTTGGCAGTCTCATGGTGGTCACCCGTAAGCATGTGCACGCTTATTCCCGCCTCGTGGCAGCTCCTTACTGCAGGTGCCGATTCTGGTCGTGGCGGATCATACAGACCTACCAGACCACGGAAAATGAGGTCTTTTTCAATCAGCGCTCGGTCAACGTCCGCACCAACCTGCAAATCCGAATCGATCTGGCGACTAGCTAGTGCAAGCACACGAAGTCCCATACTAGCAAGAGACTCCATATTTTTGAGTATCTCTTTGCGGTAGTCCTCAGTCATGTCGCGATATGCCGAGGAATCAAAAGCATCGCGGTATCGGTATCTCGTGCAAGCGCCGATCACTCGCTCAACCGCGCCTTTGGTGAAAGCCCAAGTTTGTCCAGTGCTAGAATTCTTCATAACAACACTCATTCGCTTGACATCACTGTCAAAAGGCAATTCAGCCACGTCGGACCACTCCGCACCCTCGCCTACCAAATCCAATCTGTTGCGAGCGAATCGGCTTGCAAAAACTTGAATGGCAATTTCCGTTGGATCACCGCGACCATGCCACGTGCCTTGACTTTCATGGACTGTTGCGAGATTAGCTAGAGAAGCAACCGACAAGAAGTCTTGTAAATTAGCAGTGCTGTCATCGAGAAGCTTCTTTGGCTCGACTTTGACACCGCCAGACGAGTCTTCTTTCAACGCCTTGAGGTTGATATCGCATGGGTTACGCGAGTCAAAGACGATGTTGCCGGCCGTTGGATTTAGCGGCTCATCAGAGGCTTCGACAGTATAGGTTCCCTTGCCGGGAATCCAAGCGGCACGTGCAACCATCTTGCCCTGAGTCAATGTACCAGTCTTGTCGCTGCAGATATCGGTCACGGCGCCGAGTGCCTCGAGTGACTTGAGGTTACGGACCACGACGTTTCGCTCCACCATGCGTTTAGTACCTGCAGCCATCGTGATAGTCAAAACGACAATCAAGCTGGCCGGGATCATGGATAGCCCTGTCGCTACAGCATAAATGACAATCTCTTGCTGCGAGTTGAACTTGTTTGCTCCCAGAACAATGATGGCACAGACGACAGCAATACCAAAGAGGAGCATGGCCAACTTGCTTAGTTTGCGTTGTAGGGGTGTGCCTACATTCACACCAAGAAAGCGACCAATGGCATCCCCCAAGGTCAATGTGTAGGCCTCAAGGTATCGGTGAGGACCCGCATGTCCATCTGGCTTGCGCTTTACGGGACGAACTTTGGAGTCCTTCTTGTTCAGTGCTGATGCTATGGCACCAATTTCAGTGAACTGCCCTGTAGCAAACACGACTCCCTTGGCTCGTCCTTTGGATACAGTGGAGCTGCTGTATGCAATGTTCAGGCGATCGCCGGGCCCAGTTTCCGCACTGAAGACTTGGTTCTGGGTTTTTCGCACGGGGAGCGATTCTCCAGTAAGCAAAGCTTCATCAGTTTCGAAGTTCTTTGCATCCACAAGCCTTGTTTAAAAGGGTCAGTATAAGTAAAAAAGAAACTTGGTTGATGCATCACTGACCTGATATCAGCAGGAATTGTATCTCCCATCTTGATCTCTACAAGATCACCGGGGACAATTTGGCTAGAGGGGATAACCTGTGAAGTTCCAGACCGTACAACGGTAGCCGTAGGAGAACTAAGAGAGCGCAGGGAGTCCATGGTTTTCTCAGCAGAGTATTCCTGGAAGAACCCGACAACAACATTCAAGAGAACAACAGCGGCAATGACGCCGCCCTCAATCCATGATTTGATCCCGAAGCTGACGGCCATGGCAAGGATGAGAACCTAGAAATGGATGAGTGTCTTTTCCAAAAGAATAGTATTCACCGGAGTGACATACCAAGGTCATGGCATTTGCGATCTGAGCAATGATAATTTTGATGGGCTGCACCCCCTTGGCACCCTCGAGCTCATTGGGACCGAATTGTTTCTCCCGAGTTTCAGCCTCGGCCGAGTCAAGGCCGTTCAAGGCATCGGTCCCTAGTTCTTTAAGCACATCCTGCCAGCTCAAAGCGTGTGCAGGGTTCGAGAGAGGCGAGTTGGACTGTCCAGAGACATGCTCTGGAGAGGAAGCATCTGTCTTTTTCGCCATGTTGACTTTTTATGCACAAGTCAAGAGATTGGGAAAGGTCTTTGAAAAAAGAAACTTGGACGACAAAGAAAACAAGTCAAGGTCGGGCGCATGTATTCCTTATAAGCTCGACTAGGTGTTCAATCCAACGACAGTCAGCCTTGCTTGGCACCTATTCCCAGGAGCGGTGGGACGAACCGGGCTCCGTTTTCACGGCATGGTTCGCCACTGAACATGAGATTCTGGAACGTTGACAATTCAATCATGGGCAAGCCAACCCTGCACTTTGCAAAGAAATGAACTCATCATACAGAGCCTTGTACGATAGCAAAATATCTATAATCATGCCCGTGATGACGCTAAGGGCCACTCTGTATGACTTTGTGAGGCTAGGGGCGTAAACGCCGAGACCGCCGGTGGAGCTTCCGGAGAATGCCAAGCACTGCCAACCCGGGAAACCGGCACCGCAGCGACGGGCAACGGCGATAGTCAAGACTGAGAAATACTGGGCGGAATTAGTAAATTACGATTTCAGGTTAGTCTGAAGTGACTTTTCTTGGTGCTTAGACAGTAGCGATACTGTACTCAGATTGCACCTAATTCTGCCCCCCTATGGTGTACTGTCAGGTATGCTGCGAGCCCTAGAAGATTGCCTTCAGGGGCCTGCGCCACTGGCGTAGTCTTCTCCTTAGCACGCTATTCAAGAGACTTATTATTCGGGCAGTGTGTACTTTTTTATCCGGGCAGTGCTAACAAGATACTTTCCCTAATAACTTTCTAAGCCTCAATCGCATTAAGCTCAAATTTGGATAACAGAGATTTAATTAATACATAATGATATATACCAAGTTTTATCTATATCTATTTTGATTTGAGAGAGGTATGTGAATAAAAGGAAATGGCTTACGGGACTTAGGCCTGGACGATACGTAGCATCTACGCATCTACCATAAACCACACAATACAATCTTCTACGCCAGCACCAGCTGGAAAAAGAAAACGAAAACAGCTACGATTAACTCTAAATCTGGATCCATTTATCTATTGTTTTTTCTTTCTTTTCGAGCCGTTGAAATAGAAAAATATAGCTATAGAATTAGGTGACACACTGCCCGGATAAAAAAGTACACACTGCCCGAATAAGAAGTCTCCTATTCAAAAACAAAGCTGAATGCTTGCAGCCTGTAAATGAATTGAATAGTGTTCTCATCAAATTGGCATGGTGCCCAAGGTTCACTTATGCTCAAATACACATCCAGCGGAGTAAGAATGATTACAGTCCCCGCCAGCTGTAGTCTCTCTCGCTTTCCATGTCCCAGGTTGATATTACACAGGTCACGGTCGGAGCTCGGACTTGATAAAACTTGCATGGCTCTCTGACCGATTGAGTATTGATTGTTCATGTTACCCAAGGTAGGTACCTAGGCAGGTAACCTTGCATCTAGCTATAGCCTAGCCGTGGGGTTGAACCTGTTGATCTGCTAGGCAGCCATGTTCTAGTGAGACCAATCCGAACGCCGAATTCGTCAGTATAATAGGCCCACAACCATTGAAGGCTGAATGGTTCTACATTTCTGTTCTGCCATTGCATCCACCATGGCAACGTCAAACAATATCATGTCCTTCCGACGACATGATCTGGATAATCTCCGCACGTTTCTCACCGGGCTGGTGACTGTGCACCACACCTCAATCGCCTATGGTGGGGCAGGAGGATGGCCTTTCAAGTCTGCTGCTTTTGTCGGCGCGTCACCCTTGATATTGGGGTTCAATATGTTCAACCAGTCCTTCTTCATGGGAGTTTTCTTTTGGATTTCTGGACGCGTTTCAGCCCAAGCACTGCAGAGGGCGACAAGTTTAACCGCATTCCTGAAGAACAAGACATTGAGACTTGCTGTCCCTACCCTGTCTTATACATTGATTGTAAACCCAATCATGCATGCCTTGTTACAGCCGGACCTGGGTATCGAATCAGTGCTCGCGTTTATCCGGGACTATTTTGTCAATCTCAGGGGTGTGAGAGGCCCAGTGTGGTATCCAGTCACCTTGCTTTGTTTCGATGCCATCGCGGGGCTCATCACTACTTCCCATTGGAGGCATATCCGGAGGAGCAAAGGGGCACATTTGTACGAATTGCTAAGAAGATACGGGTGGCTAGCGGCAGCCGTGCTAAACTTCCTGGCTAAGACACAATATCCAGTGGGAAGAGCGCTGCCCATCATCAATCTGCAGCCCGCATATATGTTCCAGTATATTTACGCATATACTCTGGGATATCTCGGCTACTATCAAGGGGAACAGATCATGAGAGGCCCCTTTGAAATCCTCTCTGGTAGCCAGGGCCCGACAAGAACTAAGTCGCCTGAGAGGAAATTCGCCAAAGGCATATCACTGAGAACTGCCATAATGGTGTCTCTGCTGTCCATGAGCATCATTCACCTCCCTCGATACCTGGACTCGATCGAATGGGTAGAAAAGACGACTGAGCAGCTATTTGGAGGTTGGAATCTGCCTTCACTTCTCTATGCTTTTTGGAATGAATTCTCATTCAATCTTTTCTCGCCTGCGCTCATGTTTGATTTTCAACAAAGACAAAGTCAACAAGCGACCCGGTCCATCTGGAATGCCAGGTACTCGTATGCCACTTTCCTGGTCCACACACCTGTCAGTATCACTCTGCAGACCATTGTAGAAAACATCATCATGTCATCTTGCAAAGTCTTCTTTAGTTTTTGTACATCTGATTTATTATCATGCCCCATTCCCATCAAGATATCGAGTATTGGTCATTGGGCATATCACTCTCTTCAGTTGTATACCTGCACAGTTCAATACTGTTTTCGCTTTTGCCGTTCCGAAGTACTTTTTACTCTTATCACTTTATGGAAATCAGATCTGAGACATCCAGCTCACCAGAGTGTATTTCACTACTTATCTACTTCCTATCTAGCTACTGGAAAAAATAAAATAAATAAAAAGCGCTCATCTTGAGCGGCTATCATTGGCACTGCTAGAACGATTTCCTAGGCGCGGATTCTGCCTACTCGACTTTGGATCGACCGTCCTCATTGTCTTCGACTGCGGCCTGTCCCGGAAGCATAACGGCACGATCCAGAGCGTAGGGAAGGCCACGATGGCGACCACGGATCATCATTGCGCAAATGACGAGCTTGCTAAAAGTTGTAAATTGGCCGCTCAGCGACGTATTGACAGAAGGATGACCCAAACTCAAGCCTACGTTGCCACTGCATGGCTGTTAGAAAGCTTCTTCAATCGCTCCAGTGTCAACTTACTACGCAGAGACTACCTCGAAGAGGGCTGAGAAGACGGAAAACTCCTAGTGTCAAAGTTGGGATTAGCTGGTCCTCCATAAAGAACAACAACTTTGGACTCACGGGCTGGGTATCGTCTGCAATCCTGGTAGACTCTGAAATACATATACAAAAGGTACCCAGAAATATGTACCACAGATCAAAACTTAGTTGATTTTTGACGTGACTCATGATGTAGGACCGGCCGCGAACTTCATCTGGTGTTTGTTCTGCGCTGTAAATACCAAGAGACCTCTCCTCGTAGGTATTCGAGGCACGAATACTAATGGCGATGGGAAAGATGGAGATGTACATCATGACAACCAAGCTGAATTGAACGGCTGGATTGACCTTGGCCAAGTTAAATGTAGAGGTTCCAGTGTGTCTGGCAGATGCTGCCTGGAATATGGCTGAAAGAATGCGTGGTCCCAGCGCGAGATCGTTTACGGCAGGATTGTTCAAGTCTAGCACAATGATTAGGAGAACGTCGATGAAATTGAGAGCCACGATGATGCCGAAAAGTATCCAGGTTGGTTTACTGGGGAAGAGTAAAGTATAACATCGTCGTGGATGATCCAGAAGAAATCTTAGTGGCTCTTGCATGGGGGATTGACGTGGGACCACTTTCGACGTTGTCCAAATGGCCAGCCTAAGAAAGACGGGGTACAGTGTTTCCCCAGCAAATGCCAGGAATGTCATGACCAGCAATGGCCAAGTCGCGTCGCGAAAGCCGATCATGGAATCTGGAGTGAGCGTGAAGCCGAGATTGTCCACCATGGTTTGTGCCGAGTAGAAGGCCCTGGAAATGGTCAACTCCGATGCTTCAAGTTCTGATTCAGTGTATCGCGGAACGCGGGACTAACCACCAAGTTTTGTCTTGTCCAACAGAAGCTAAATAGTCGGTATACTTGCGATCAGCACGGTGTATCCATGGCACAAGGCATATGGCACCAAAAATGTGAATACCAAAGAAGTAGACTATGCGAGTTCATCAGCGGGTACCTGATATTAGCGGATCGTGTCAAACTTTACTAGAAACAATCTTGAGCAATAACTGCAAGCTGCGGTACTCGATCCCTCCAAGAATCCTACGGTCGCGCATGGAGAGGTTGCTAAAATGGGAGTTGCGCCCAATTGTTATGTGCCTGGAGAGCCGAGGAAGCCGTTTTACAACAGTAGGAGTGGACCCAGTGTCGGCCGTTGATACTGTCCTGTCACGACTGCGGTCTGGTCTTAGTACGAACATGTCTGAAACAGCACGCTCCAGGGATCGAGCGTGGGAAAGTCGATGACCAGTATCCATTGACCGACGCCAGAATCCAGAGACATCACGTGTAGTCTGAGAAATAGGTCGAATGGCGTCGTGGCTTTCTGTTACATCGCATTCCACCACAGGATGACCTAGAATCTGGTTAGAATATCTTGAGTTGATAATGGATTCTGGATATTTTACCATTATCCCTATCTCGTGGAGATGGGATTTGCAGTGCCTTGCGATCAGAGGTGGGCGTCGCCAAATCTTTGGCAAAAGTGATCCTGGCCGGCGCTCTTTGCTCAACCGGCTCCATGTCTAAAGGATCTTCACGGGTTCCTTCTGCATCCAAATCTTCATTGATCAATTCCGTCGGCTGTGACTCGATATCTCTCTGTAAACCAGACGTCCCCTCTTGCTGGATTGACAATGCTGCAGGAAACCAAAAAAGATAAGCAAACAATGATACGTATGAATAAGATCCGCTACTAACCGTTTCTCTTGATAGACTTTTCAAACCAGTACAGTCGTGCAATAACGACTATAATGTTGATGAAGCCCAGATTTGTGAGCATGGGGATGAAATACAAGTAAAGCTGCTGATAGGTTTTGAGATTTTTGACGTCGACACTGGGCAAGAATTAGCTTGATGACACAAACCACAAACGAGATGCGTATTTACGTATTCAGGCCCGACTCAGTAGAGGCACTCGCACCAAAGCTTTCGATATGTCAGCGACCGTGGGTTTCATTGCTGCTCCCGCATACGTACAAGTACGAATCGATAGCCGAGACATTGCCAAATGGATAGAACACCGCGATTGACAGTAACCCCATGAACAATATCCATGTATCTGAAAATATTTAGCAACGGAGATCTTCTACTAGAAATTCTGCTCATTTACAGTGTAGCGTGATGAAGTTTATTCCAACAAGAGGCTTCATGTTGATCATTATGTGGCTGCAACCCCAGTGAGACTAGTGCTTGGGCCGGCAATAGAGTAAATACTGGCGTTTGAAATATAGTATTGGAGTGTGGGAGGAGCCTTTGTAAATTCAGTAAGTGGCAAGGAGGATTAATCGTCCACCGCTGGAATCTAGGTCTGAGGATTTATCGGGGGAACGGTTATTATTTCGAGCCAGGATTGATTGATTGCGTTTGTGGGCAGCGGTCAGAGCCCAATTGGGGGCAGGGGGACGCTGCATAGGACCGGATTGAAGTCACAGCACCGGAAGAACATATGTTTCAATTACGTTATGGACGAATAGGTCAAATGCCGGTATGAAAGAGTCAGGATAAACGGACGAAACCGTGTGACGTGGGTGATGCAGCTCCAAGGGTTTGATGCAAACATGCACGTTTTCTTTTCTCGATTAGACATCCAGTCCTTCTCTCGCGCTATCCTTGTTTTGTCCGAATTGATACAGGCAAACGTGGGACCGCTCTGTGTGCATACATAAAAGTAGTGGTCTAGATTCACTATCCATGTAAAAAGGGCAAACCCTTTGTCATCTTTCAAGTAATAAATCGCCAAGTGACTCATTCGGCCAATACTATGATAAAGTATATTTTTAATCGGTCGTACTGGTGTACCATCTCTAGCTTCGGTTGCCAATCATCATCTAGTTCCTTGAATTTTGCGTTAAAAAAGCAGCTGTTAATAATAGTTAGGCAAGAGCTTTTGATGCTATACTCTCCGAGGAATTCGAAAAGAAGTGATTTTTTGCTTATACAAAAAAAAAGGTGCGTACGCGGTAAATGCGGTACCTCACGAAATTAGGTCCCGGTATTATTCACGTTGGTATCGAGACATGAAAGATGCATCGCTCATCCTTTTCTTGCAATTTATGGAATTCCCGACGATAAGCCCTGGCCACAGTATTGTCAACTCTTGTCAAAGACCCGAACAACCTCTTGATTTTCGGATACCGCCAACCCTCTGCAAAACAAGTATTCACAAATATACCGAATATTATGAAAACTACCCTTCTGACTTGAAAACGGAATCCGAAGCCCTTCAAACATCACAGGACTTGCAAACTTGTATCGCGTAGCCCCATTCTGACCTTAAAAACTGCGAAGCTGTGAGCCTCCGGGAAGGGACCGGGTCCAACATGGAATATACAACATTCTGGCATGGAGTCTACCATAATATCAGCTCAGGCCTTCTGTAGGGCGTATTTATACTCACATTCTCCAATGATTCTATCGGCGCGTACCCTTTTTCTACTCGTCGATCTTTGACGTACGTGGTATAAAGTTTGTCGTCAGTTTGGGCAGATAGCCAGAGGTAACGACTGACACGCATGAACATGTATATCACTCCACAGGCCCAAATATCTGAGACGCGTGGGTCAAATTGGTCGTCGGTATGCTCCTCGGGTGCGATATAAGGCAGTGACCCGCGCATCCCAGATAGTAGCTCGACCCCGCCGTCCTTTGAAGGAGCCATATAATGGCAGAATCCAAAGTCGGTGATTTTAAGGTTTCCCTCGGGAGTCAGAAGCAGATTCTCAGGCTTGAGATCGCAGTGGGCCACGTCAATTTCGTGCAAATACTTGACACCACGCATCAGCTGTTTCAGGAAGCAGTCTGCCTCTTCAGCTTCGAGGTTGCCAGCAGATTGGACGAGTGAGAACATATCCCCGCCAGCGCAGTATTCCATCACCTCATAGAAGTTGTCTTGCCCAGTGTAAAAAAGGTCGAGGATCTGTATCACATTCGCGTGTTGTAGGCTGCTTACGAGGGAGAACTCGGCAACGATTCGGTCACGGTATGAAGCAAACTGCTGGCGGGGTCGTCGGTGAAACTCTTTGACAGCAAACAGTTTCTGTTCATGGCTGCCGATGTCTATTTTGCGAAAAACGCTGACGGTTCCGTAGGCACCACGGCCAATGGTCTTCCACCTTGTGCCATATTTCGTCTCCAAATTCGCCTGCGTCTCTTCGATAGTGTCCAACGTCTCTGACTTTGCCTTTGTCTCCTCGGCCCCGCCCGGGAGGGTAACCTTCAGTGTGGGTAAAGAGATTCTTTTTCGCACTTGTTTGTACTTTTTGGATAATGCAGTTCTCCAAATGCTAGGCCGTTCCACCAGAGGTATCAGTCCAAGGGAATGCTGATGGCCTCCAGGCAGTTCTGCGTTTCGAGTGAATCGTCGACCTGGGGAGTATCTTGACGCTGTCTCTCCTGGTTGTCGATGTCGGTGAGTATATTCTCAGGCCTTCAATACGCTGAAATGACTGCAGTCCATGTTCACCTTGGGATAGTCAAATGCTCACCGATGGATGACATCGAATTATGCCCACAGGGCAACCGATCAAGCGGTCGAAGCTAGGTAATTTGAACTTGTCAATTCGTTGGTATGCTCAACGAACATGTCATTCTTCACACACGTAGAATCACTGTCTCTACCTAGGCTCAAAGCCAAATCGCATTCGCGCAGTGGTAGGATCTGAACGATTGCATACCTTTCCCCTCCCCTACCTAGGCCGGCAAATAGGTGCCCAATATCGATGTCATAAAAAGACAGCATTCGTGATATCCGAATTCGGTTTAGCGCATGTCATTTTTCCACCCAGATATGATATACATGAACCATGACCGCTGCCAGTACGACTCTCTTGGTTCCTGCTAGCAGACCAATCACTGCCTCTGTTTAAGCTTTGGCTTACCGCTGCCGTGAGACGTGATCATTTCCGTGTTGCCGTGTATAGCATTTCTGATTGGCTTACTCCGGATGACCGGACGGCACAAAAGCATTTTAAGTCCGAGTATCCGGCTTTACGCTATCTGATTGGTGCTCAGGGAGCAATATTGAACCGTGCCCCAACGGGCGCAGATCAGCTGCTTGGCGTGTCCTTGGCACACTCGGTCAGAACATGGCAGCGGGTAAGGGAAGCCGCACAAGTTCAAGTACTGCCTAGCACATAATATTCTGTTTTGGGCAATCCGTAGGATTATTTTCCTTGGCTGAGAGTAAGTCGCACTGTGTCTGTAAGGCTGCCTCCTTGATTTATGTGTAAGTTGTGGCATCACCTCAGTGTGATTCAAAAATTCCAACGTTCGCAGATCCAGATCTATGCCTGATTTGACCGATATTGTACCCGACATCTACTTACAGTCGTCAATGACCCCGAGACCCAATCGTCAGCAGAGGGATGATGACTCGGGGACCGGTTCAGGCCTCCATTTCCAGATTCTGGCACTTGCACACACTTGTATATTATGCCTTGCCTCTTGTTGACTTGGTGCAAGCAATTTGAGAGCTTGGAGGCGTATACCAAGTGGGAGCTGGGTTCGGTCCGAAGTGGCATGCACTGCCCAAAATTGGAAAACTCGACCGAAGAGTCAAACGGCCATGTCGCATATCCCAATGAGGACATCCGATAGAGCCCTGATTCCCATCACCCAAAGGAACGACGAGACTCACACTACCATGAGCTCCTAGCCTGCCTGGAAAAGTTTACAGCGGAAGTCCTCAAACTTCTAAGGGTCTTCTCCACTCATAAGAATGTCAAGGTCTCCATGATTCTCGTTAGGACAAGGGGAGTATTGTAATCCAGTCAAAGTATACTAGTTCCCACGTGCAGATTGCTCGAGATCAACTCCACAGAGATCCAGAGGATCATGGACTCATGTTCAAGGCACAGACTAAGCTCGATTTACCTGGGCCGACTTGTATGATTCCTAGGACCCCTGGCATCCATCAGCGCCCAGGGCTGCCTCCCTGGTACGCCTTCCTGGCTAATCTATATCGCCGCTCCTGGGTCAATCGTGGTTGCTCACGCATCGATAGCCGACGTGAAGATGGTGGCGTTCGTCTCTGCCCTGACAACAGTGCGAGACAACCTGTGTATGGCCTGTATCTAGCTATCTTATGCCAACCCAATTCAACGAAATGGCTTGGCAAGGGTAGACAAGTCTGCGGCGCGCCAATTAAATGTGCTCCATCTTTCATATGGCGCTCGCGTGAAGTCTGGGTTGTTCAGCTCGGCTGCATCAACCTCATAAGGCTCTCATTGCCCGCGTGTGGGCACACCCTACGATCAATGGCCTGAAGTATATCATACAAGAACCCTCATCACTCAGACAAGTGACATCTTGCACGACTTGTATGGTCATTCTGATCTTGATCGTTCTAATACTCGAAGTGTTGGCCGAAGCTTTTTCATGGGTTCGACGGCAAAGACGGACGTCCAGATCATGAGTCTGGAGACAGGCTCATGGGACACGGAAAACGAAGAGAAAGCCCGTCGAATTGCTGAGGAAGACCTCAACCGTGGTCACAAACAGGTGGGACAAAGATCCTGTTGTTTTCAGATCTTTTCAATCACTGACATTCATCATCCAGCACTACAAGGGTTTCGTTTTGCTATGGCTCGCCTGGCAGAGCACCGGCGTGATATACGGCGATATAGGTACCAGCCCGCTGTACGTCTACAGCTCCACATTCACATCTCAACCATCATGGGATGATTTAGTCGGCGCCTTATCAATCATCATCTGGTCTCTGACCCTCATCGTATCTGTCAAATACTGCCTCATCGTTCTCAGAGCCGACGACGACGGTCAAGGCGGCACATTTGCCCTATATTCACTTTTGGCACGCTACGCAAACATTGTTCCCCGAGACCCAAACAAGTCCAGCGTCATCCATCTGTCTCGTCACAAAACCAACGAGCTTCGATCTGATAGTAGGACATTCAGGTCCTTTATCGAGAAAAGTCGCTTTTCAAAGGGCCTTCTCAAGCTTTTTGGGGTCCTTGGTGTATCAATGGTCATGGCAGATGGCATGCTGACCCCGGCTCAATCGGTCCTCGGCGCCATTCAAGGTATCAAGGTTATACACCCCGACCTAGGCACGAGTACTATCGTGGGAGTATCTTGCGCCATTCTCGTCCTTCTTTTCCTGATTCAACCATTTGGCACCTCCAAGGTCGGCACGGCATTTGCACCCATCGTCATCATCTGGCTCCTTTTCAACTTCTGCAGCGGCATTTACAACTTGGCCCTTCACGACTACACGGTTCTCAAGGCATTCAGCCCATATTTTGCCTTCCAATATTTGATCAGAAATGGAGAGGACGGTTGGAGATCGTTGGGTGGTTTGCTCCCTGCCTTTACGGGCGTTGAAGCACTATTTGCAGACATTGGTGCATTTGGCAAGCGAGCCATCAACCTCTCCTGGTTCTGTCTTGCGTATCCATGCCTCCTCATCGCCTATGCCGGCCAGGCAGCGTACATCTCCACCGACGCGACCGAGACTGCTTATACGAATCCATTCTTCTACACAGTCCCACCCGGAAGCTTTTACTTTTCCATGGTTATCGCAATCCTGGCAGCAATCGTTGCAAGCCAGGCCATGATCACGAGCTCTTTCCAGCTGCTTTCACAAATCATGAGATTGAGCTATTTCCCCCATATCAAGACTGTCCATACAAGCCAGCGCTTTCACGAGCAGGTGTACATGCCGCTGGCGAACTGGCTTCTCATGATTGGAACGGTCATAGTCACGGCTGTGTACAACAATGTGAGTGACTTTAGGATCGCAAGCCTGGTTCTTACTGCTGACTTTATTATAGACCACCAGTCTTGGCAATGCGTATGGTGTTTGTGTCATCATTACCACTTTCATCACTACCTGCATGGTCTCATTCGTTGCCATTATCGTTTGGAAAGTCCCATCACCAATTGTCATATTTGTCTTCTTGGTGTTTGGTGCGCTTGATGGTGCATATATTTCCTCTGTATTACTCAAGATCCCTGATGGCGCTTGGTTCAGTCTTGTCTTGGCAGTCATCCTGGGATCTGTCTTTGTGCTCTGGAGATGGGGCAAGGAGCGGCAATGGGCTGCGGAAGGCAAAGAAAGCCTGACTGTCTCGCGCCTGTTCAACTCGTCGGCGTCGCAACTTTCTACCTCGGAAGCTCATGCCACCAGCCTGTCCGCGGATTTCGGTGGTGGTGTCGTGACGACGGCACCTGGCCTGGGCATCTTCTTTGACAAGGTGGGCGCCGGTGACGATATCATACCCAAGGTGTTTACCCAATTCGTCCGCAAGTTCCACTCGCGCCCGGAAGTCGTGGTATTCTTCCACCTGCGTACCCTGACCGTTCCTACGGTCCCCATGGGTGAACGCTTCATCATTACGCGGGTTCATCAGCTTCGATCCTGCTACCGCATCACGCTGCGCCACGGATATACGGACGAGGTCCTCACCACCGATCTCCGCCAGGTCATTGTCGAGCAGCTCAACGATTTTGTGGTGCGCATGGGCAAGCAGGCGGGTAGTCAAACAGACCAGTCGGCTTTCATCCAAGACGAGCTGCGCCGCCTCACCTCGGCCGGACAATCCGAGTTGATCTATGTTCTCGGAAAACAAATGATGCGCCCACGCCAAGTCCAGAGCAACTTGGTGCGAAGGTCAATCCGGCAGGTATTCTTGGGAATGTTCCTATGGCTACGTGAGAACACGAGAGCCAAGCTTGCGGACCTTGATATAGATGCCGACAACCTTGTCGAGGTGGGCTGGGTCAACCACATCTGAGCAAACGTGGTTGGGATCTAGCTGTCGGTAGAGGGAAGGAGGAGGGGTTTGGTGAGATTGGTGTTTGTAATATAGTATAACTCTGCCTAGTTTACCTAACATGACCTGATCTCCTTCCTAATGTCCGTGTTCAACCTTTCCAGTGTCAACCTAATCCCGTGCTGTTGACGACTTTTTGTGACTCATCCCCTGCCAGATACACAGAATCGTGTATAGCGAATCTGTCAGATACATAACTTTCTTAGTAACGTGATGCGAGACATCCTTGCCACAATCATAAGAGATCGACATACATGTGCCCCGGCAGCCTGTTGAGCCCCCGTGCGCCCACTCCAGTGCCTTAGAGCTGTCAGCTACAGGGATTCCTAGGTGTTCGATAGCCTGAAAGGCTCCGACGCGACGGCAACCCCAGGCCGTTGGACGCTAAAAGAGTTTAGCTCCCTGCGCGCGCCCGTTAGGCCGAGCCCACGATCTAAACCCTTCAGCCGCGACGCTGATCTTTCTGGATCGTTCTCATCTAAAGACCACAACATCATCAAAGCTCCCAGACCAGGAAACCCGAGAGGCCGGGTGCAGTACCTCACGCCTATATCCAGAAAGCTGTGATCTCTAGCCCCTTGGCTGTCCTCTGCATCAGGCAGGCGCGTCGCTTCCAATGCCTGAGCCGGGGCCGCACGGGCCGACATTGGATGCAGCGGGACGTCCTATGCCGAGCGGCACCTCACCAGCAAATGCAACGTCTCCAGCATCTTCGCTGTCACGAGGCAACGAGTTGTCAGAAGATGCAGCGCATGGATCATCTGCGAGGTCCGATGCTCACAATGATCCCAGCGGACCATTGCCTCGCAAACGGCGACGGACAACCAAAGCTTGCGATGATTGTCGGCGGAAGAAAATCAAATGCGACGGGAAGCGTCCGTGTTCGAGCTGCGCAGACTTCAACTCTGGTGGGCCCAATTTTTCGTCTTTGGTCTCGAGCGAAACTGACCCTCTAATACCAAGATTGCACATATGCCAGGTCGGCCGCCTCCGAGAAAGAGGCCAAGTCGAATGAACCTGCCTCTAAATCGGCCGATGCAGAGGCGCTGGAGAAGAAATTGCACGCTGCCGAGTCGCTTTTACGCCGGATCTTGCCGCAGGTTGATCTAAGCAACCCGGAAGCCGTGGCCGCTTCTTCGCAGACTTTAAGCTCCAGGCCGCTGTTGCGCCCAACTCCACGAAAAGGGACACCCCCCATTGCCGTACCCGCGGAGTCTGCAGGAGAGCCTGGGAGGTTCATCACCTTGAGAGATCGGGTTAGCCAGTTGGACCTGACTGAAACTGGAGAATATGATTTCCACGGATCTTCGTCTGGAGCAGCCTTCCTGAGTCAGATTGCTCAGCAATTTCCAGGTCTTTTTCGCTATGATTCCAGGCTACCGTTTTTGCCGCAATCGCCGTCGTCGTTTCGAAGTGAGGCTTTGCAACATCACGGCCATGCCGGGGAATGGACGTGGCAAGACAAGCATGATTTCTTGGAACTGCCCGTCAGGCAATTAGCACAGGATCTTTGCGATTACGCATTCAGTCGGGCGTCGTGCATTCTGCGAGTCGTTCATGCACCATCCTTCTGGAAATCCTTCGACCACCTATACCAGGGAAGACCCCAGCGATTTACACTCGAGCAACGTCGATTCGTCGGACTTCTCTTTTCTGTCATGGCCCTTGGATCAATGTATGACGTTGATGAGAACGATCCGACCAATCCTGACCATTATGCTGTTGCCATCCATCGAGGGTATGATTGTTCCTTTGGAGACATGTCAGCTATTCCGGATACTCGTCAACAATACAACTGACCAGTGACTTCATATTAGGCACAATTATTACAAATCAGCAAGGCATTATCTTGGAGATATCACCGAGACATCTGATATCGTAACTCTACAGGCTCTGGCCTTCATCATTCAATTTCTACAGGCTACTGGTAACCTGAACGGCTGCCATACCTTTGTCGGCATTGCCCTTCGCTCGGCTTTGCGTATGGGGCTTCATCGTCACTTTCCACATACTTCCAAAGCACCAATAGTAGACGAGACGAGGAGGAGAGTCTTTCATACCATCCGTCAAATGGACATCTATCTGTCTACTACCCTTGGGCTTCCGCTACCCCTACAGGAGAAAGATATTGACCAGGCCTGGCCGACAGAAGTGGACGATGAATACATCACAGAAAACAGCATCCGAAAACCTCCACATAGTCGCCCGTCCTTTTTGGAGGCATCCAATGCCCATGCAAGACTGATGCGAATCCTTGCCCAAGTCGTAGATCACTTATATCCGCCTACAGGGGCAGATAGGGAATCCGAGGACATGACGTACATGATAAGCGTTGCTAAGATAAGGGAGATAGAAGAAGACCTTCACAGCTGGCATGAAAGCCTCTCCCCTATCTGGCGTCCGGGACCGGAAGAGAATTTGGAAATCGCCCGGTATGTCCCCCAATTTTTCTTTCGTGTCTTCTTGTTGATGCACTTTGTGCACGATATTCTAGCCCCTATAGTTTCCATCATAGTTGCCAGTGTCGTACTAACCACAGACCAAATTCTAGAATCAAGGTCCTTCTCAGATTTGCCTATGCACACGTACAAATGATGTTATACCGACCCTTTCTTCAGTACTATTCCCAACAGAAGTCAACGGTGAAGACTGTAGATGAACGATACTTTGCACTTGCAACTGCCGGTATCAACGTCTGCCGGAACATTGTCCACATAGGCTTGGAGATCCGCAAACAGGCTGTGCTGATCGGACCATACTGGTTCATCGCTTACACGCAGTTTTTCGCAGTTCTGAGCTTGTTATTATATGTGCTGAACAATCAAGACCAGCCAGGTGTTCTGGATCTTTTTGCCGATGCCAAATTGGGCAAGGACTGCATTGCTGGTTTTACACAGAGAAGTCTGGCTGCTGATAGGGTGACCACAGCTCTAAATGTGAGATTTTCTTGTGACATGTCCGATTTGTTGTAGTCGAAGAAAGCTAACATATCGCAGTCACTATTTGATAATCTACCTGATCGCTTCAAATCAAAAGGGCTAGAAGCGAACCGAGTATCCACGCCGAGCCCCGCAGCGGTCAATCCCAAGCCTCAAACGCCGATTTTTCTACAGGCTATACTGAACTTTCCAGACAATCATCAGCGATGGCCGTCAGATACAGTTCCAACTTCTGGTAGCGCACCGCCTGGGAGCCACACGACAGCCTCCAGGCATAGCTCCAGTCCCTACATCTCAAGGCCTCCTCAATATGAGGTACCTTCCAGTCTCATGGACTTCCCCATCGAAGATCCATTCGCATACCCCTTATTGCCCGGCGTTAGTCTTGCTGACAACACTTTTGCGACGTTGCCGGAAGATTCTTTGCAACTGCCAATATTTGATGCAAACATGAATATCGAAGGCCAGCTTTTGCATTTCAACAATATTCACTTTTCATCCCCATTTCCAACATCTTCGACCAATGATATGGGGTATCAAGCTTACTAGACGTCAGTCTAGGACTGAGCTTTTATCCGCGCAAAAAGACATTATTTGCACTGTCCTGGCTAAATCCATTCGCGCTTGCTTGCCCACCGGTTTGACGCCCTCTAAGCTGGGCGACTTTTTTCCTGAAATTCGAAAGCTCGACATCGATGGCATCGGGATTTTGTTTACACAGACAATGAGAACCCATTGCCGAGCCTTTCATGGCCACGTTGACTTCATTCGTCGGCTACTCCCGTAGTATTGCAGGCGATGTACTCCGCGTGGACCTGGGCGCAGAAGTCATTCAGGGGCGTCAAATGCATCTCAAATCCATTGCGGTTGACTATATGTTCGCCACGCGAGGGAATTCAAGGTTACGGAGTCAGCATCGGCTAGTACAACTTTTCTTGAATTGTGGCGTATAGTCGCATTTTGACTGGCCGTTCTACGACGAGACTCGGAAAAAGCGGAGAATACATTACACTCGAGCGACGGCAGATTGGGCTAAGCACAAACTGCATGACAGTGGCGCATACCAGCGTGAATATGAAGACCACATTTTCTGCGATTACAGCCTTCCGATCGCTATTACGCTAGGTCGACAGGATTTGGTCCCTGAATCGATCATTGGTGATGTCTGGTTATTGTTTGCTCCACTAATCACGTCTTCGCCGGTCAAAATATTGCCTGCGCTTGAAATTGGAGGAGAAAATATCAGTGAGATGTCTTCAATTTATGAGCCTGGAATCACGGAAATGCACAAGATACGGCCTGTTTCCGAAGGCCTGTTTCGGAAACAGAGCTTAGACGTGTATAAGAAGGATCCACTGTTCAGAACTTGGTGACTTGATCTCGAGACTCTTGTTCTTTAATGGCACCCGTTACATGGAATCACTTCGTTACTCGAAAGCTTTAATAAAATGATTCCTCATACGTTCCCCGGCCGTCTTCATGGCGATATTGTAGCCATCGGATCCACGTGTCCAGATTTTCTGCGCTTCTACGTCTTGTAAAACCAAAGACGGTAGGAGATAGGCCAGTCCGGCGAGCTCGCCCTTACGCAAGGACTTTTCTGCAAAGTCCATAGCTTCCTCTATTAATTGCACATTTGTCGATTCATCCCATCCAGAAGAAGAACCGGGTATCGTCATGTAATTGTCGTATTCCTCGCTGCGATAGAGTTCAAAGGCCAACCATAGAGCTGACTGAATAGCCTCGACGCGAAACATGGTCCCATTGCCGATGAGCAGTGCCCCGAACGGATCGTTGGGCCTCTTGTCGCGAAAGGCGGCGCACACGTCGTGCACATGCCGCTGTGCGCGGTTTCTGGATATATCTCGCGAGAGGTAAAAGGCCGCGTCGTGCAGAGTCGCAAAGGGTCGGTGCAGAGCCGCGAGATACTTGTGGTATATAAACGCGACGTATTTGTGCGCAAAGCTTTGCTCTGACGAGGGACCGTTGCTCATGTCCGAGATGGGTTTCATGTCGCGCGCGAGTTGGCGACTCAGGTGCATGACGTCTTCGAAACGCATGTGCTCCTCATTATTGACGAGCACGGCAATCTTGGTGCGCGTGCGCAGAGATTGTCTCAGGATCGCGAGGGGCTGGAGAGCTGGTGTGTTGTTGCCGACTACATCGCCCTGACCATCCCCTTGGGGTGATGGCTGCGCTGTCGCACATCCACGTCGCGGCGGCGACGGCATAATGTCGAGATCAGTTCCGGGCGGGACGGTGGGTGCCGCGCCGCAGGCGAGGCACGCGTGGAGTTCTAGCTCTCGCACCGTTTCCCATAGTTGCGTCTTTTCTGCGTCCAGCTCGCCGGCCCGGTTGAGACCGAGCATCATGGCTAGCCGGACACCGGCACCCGAGTAGACATAATCCGCCGTATCGTTGAACTTGAGCGTTTGCTTGGCCGTGTTTAGCAGGGCGGCGATACGCAGGATATCGAGGGTGCATTCGCCGAGCTCGAGGGCAGTGGTGGGGACTGACGAGGCCAGATCACACCACACATACACCGACGACGGAAGGAGTGGTGCTTCATGGCTAGGATAGGTCCCATTTGCTAGCGCCAGGATGAGGAGAACTTGTACGAGCTGATACACTGGGGCGTTGGAAGGGTTGTTGAGTAAGGTGTCGAGCTCAATTGTAAAGGTGGTCTGGTCTACAACAGGGAGTATGGTGTGCAAGGTCTCGTAATAGCGCCCGACCAGGATGCGGATGATGTTGGTTCCGGGAAGCTCATCGGATAGTGATGCGGTGAGTATCGTGTTTCTAGCGTGGAGTTTTGCCTTTCTCCATTTCTCATACGTTCTTTCCAGTAGTGGTACGCGGTCTTTGCGACGGTCTCCAGGGGCGACACTGTCACCTAGATAAGCGATCAAGGGTTCAAACTAGTTGTCATCAGATGCGAGCGCTAAGAATTGGGTTCGAGTTTGATGAGATAACAGCCAACTCACCTGATGCACAGCCCAGGAAAAATGACTCCGACCACGAATGGGATCCTCATGTCCCCAATCGTGAGTCTGTAGTTTAGACTCGGACTGCGGTGTTCCGGATAACGTATTTGAATAATTTCTTGGTAGCTCTAAAGGAGCCGCGGGGGAGGGCAGTGAGGGATGAGACGCAATTTTCTGCTGCAATGTCTGCACGGTATCTGGATCTAACCCATGGTCCCTATGTCCGGCCACTCTCAGTTGCTCGGATGTCCCATTCTCGCGATCGCTGCTCGAGGTAGTTGGGGTTGGTGCGACCGAGTGTCTCCGTGTTGAGCGTCGGTTGTCGTCGGATCCGCCATGCTGCTGGTATACGCATTCAGCCGCCTGACCTCGTCTGATGCACTGTGCACAAGGGGATATAGTGTCACATTTGACCTTTCGCTGGTGGCAGATGGAGCATGAGCTCCGTGGCCGAGGATTTCTATGTCTTCGGCGCAGCCCCAGCATGGTGCTCGGTGATCTCTGAGACGACGATGTGACTCCAGCAATTTAAGTAGGTGACCAAGAAGGTTGGGAGTTTCTCTGGGGCGGGGCATTCGGGCCATCAAGAAGCCTGTACAGACTTCGGCGATGACAGGGCCGCAAGGAACGATGAACGACACATGTTGCATAATTGGAAGAGGACGGGCTGAGTCTTCGCCTTACCCGATGTCATATCGCCGAGCTGAATGAACTCTTACCGAGACTATCCTCTTCGGCTTGGGACGTGCCGTGCAAACTTGGACAATGTAGGATTAGGGATCTGTCGCTAAGACCTTAGTGCTGAGCGAAGCTTCAGAAGCTAAATTTATACTAAGGCAACTATAATCAATACAGAGCGGCGGCATCATCCCTGTAAATATCACGTGCAAGAAACCAATGGAATCGAGCCCGTGGTGCTTATTCATCTCGTTGAAAGTATTCAAAGATGGTCCTTTTGGTCATCAAAATCGGCGTTGGTGCAATTCATGAAGCTAATAAACCGCTGACATTATTCATTGCAATAAGCCGCTTTGCTTGCGCTGTTACCTCTTCCGCTACAATATTTGCTTGAAAGCCCCATCATTTTGTGGGATAGTATCTTGCTTCGTTCCAAAGATGCAGTCTGAAAACAGTGGCCAGTCACATCTCGAACCTTTTCGACATACAGATAGTACCGCAAAAGATGTACAGCAATCGAAGTACTCTGAAAATTACGTCGCCGACAACAAAGGCGCACATCCAAAGACCTTGCGCCGTGAATCTTCAAAGTCCGCAAACTTGAGGCAGGCACGTGGATACGTCATAATCCAGGCCGTCTGCCGACTTGTTTCGACAATACTGGCGCTGGCAATAGCCGGACTTGTTGCTAGGTCTCTGGCCGTGTTTAATGCAACAAAGAATTACAAAGTCCTCATGAGCTTTGCGCTGGTCATGCCTGCTTGGCCTTCGGATTATGGCAGATCGCTCATGGCTACTTACTTGCTTCTGGCCGCAGCCGCCATCACTTTGGTTTTCGGAATCCTCATGGCCGTGACATGGTGTCTCTTGGCGGTAATGCATGGTCTTGTGTCTTTGCTGCTATTCCATACTAATGCAATCTACTAGGAAAAGACCCAATGGAAGGGGCGGCTTGGCCATGCTCTATCCATCGTACTTCCGTCCATTTCTTTTGCATTGTTTGTAGCGGCATTGGTCGTTTTCAAGCTTTATGACGGGCCTGATGGTATCCGCGGTTGGAGCTGCATGCATCAGAATATTGAAGTCGATTTTGACAGTAATGAGATTGGCTTGGGTCGCGTCTGTAATGCACTGGTGAGTGGTGTCGCACAATTATATGACGATTCCCTCTCTTTACTGGCCAGCTAACGATGAGTGTTACCGCGATCAACACAGAACGTAGCCTGGGGCCTTGGAATCGCTGTTGCTATACTGGAATTTGTTACCTTGGTCATTATTTTGATAAATGGTCTCTCAGCAAGAGGTCGTGAAAAGAAGAAGAAGCACGTCAAGGTTACTCGAACTGGATACCACGAGTTGGAGCCAATGGTTGATCAGGAGCTCGCCTAAAGGAATCACCAATCTTGCGGAAAATTGCAGCGGGTCCTGCTTTTCTGGCTTCCATTGCCTGTTTGATGGACAAATGTATTTCGTTGGGGCGCGAATGCTGCTGGGACCGGCCTTGAGCGCGACATCATGAACCGTAGTGAACAGTATTTAAGTAGTTATGGAATCACTAGTTCAGAAACTTTCATCGTTCTCATAGTGTAAATAATATTGACTATTCGAGGGCATACAATACTTAAAGGCCTTTTCCAAGAAATGATAGACTCGCAAACATCCTGCCAAGTAAAGCCTCCCTGCCCTATCAGTCGCTCGCACCCCAAGCCCAACAAGTATACAACTCCAACCTTGTTAGACATCCTTGGCCCGCTCAACCGTCTCAGATTCGCAGCCTTCTAGCTTTGCACTTTTTTCTGCTTCAAATACCTCCTCAAGCATGACTTGCTTTGAAAATGATGGAACTTGCCAAAAGGGTTCCCTTCGGAAAATAGAGTATTCATCTCTTCAAGTGACTTGCCCTTGGTTTCAGGAAAGAGGAAATAGACCAATGGAACGACGCAGAATCCTATGACGGCGTATACAATGTAATATCGCCACTTGATGGAGACGAATGCAATCGGCGTGATTTCAGCAATAACGAAATTGAAAAGCCAATGGGTTGCGGTACCAATGGAAGCAAGATGGATGCGCAAGTCTTGGGGGGCAATCTCGGCGCTGTAGAGAAAGTTTGCAGCAAGGAATCCAAGGGGGAAAAATGCCATGAACAGAAACAAGAAGAAGGTGGCGGCAATACCAGCTCCAGGGCTAGCCTGGTTGTCAATGGCCCATACAGTCCCTGCCAGCCCAGCCATGCTGGCGCCCATACCCGCGCCGGCAATCATGAAGAGCGGCTTGCGGCCGATCCGATCCACGGTGAGGTAGGCAAAGGTTGCGGCGGCAATCTTCCATGTCAAGACGCCCGCATTCAAAAGTGCTGCCTTTTTAGAAGGTAGCAGGAGGGACTCTTTGAAGATGGTAGTGCCATAATAACTAATGACATTGGCTCCCGTCATTTGTGCGCAAAAGTTGATGCCGATAGCCAGACAGAGACGGTACCATAGGCGCTGGCCGTCACGTTTGAACAAGTCCAAGTACCCGCGAGCGGGCTGTTGGCCTTCGATGCGGATCATGCTTGTCAGTGTAGCCAACTCGAGCTCAACAGCCTCTGGGTCAGCTTGATTACCAACCGCCAACCTGCTGATACTCTGACGAGCATCTTCAGTCTTGCCCTTCATGACAAGCCAGCGAGGAGACTCTGGGAAGAGCATCGTCGAGGCCATGAGCATGAGACTAAAGACGATAGGCAATGCCAGTGGCAAGCGCCACGCCACCTCTTGCGATGAGATGGAGGACAAGCCATAGTTGACCCAGCCGGCAGCCGCGACGCCCGTCGCCACAAAGGCACCGAGAACGACAACATTTTTTCCACGGCTCTTGGGTGCTGAGCATTCACTCTGCCAAACTGGGACTACCGCGTTGATGGCTCCGTTTCCCACACCACTGAGTATGCGGCCGACAATAAGTTGGGCAAGACTAAAGGAGGTTGCTTGAATGAGCATGCCGGCTGCTACGACCACTGCCCCAGCCAAAAGGCTAGGTCGGCGGCCGAAGCGATTGGCTACTCGAGCAATGCCTAGGGCTCCGATGAGACACCCCAAGGTGTAGATTGCGACGACGGTTCCTCTGTAAAGATAAATGTCAGCTTATCCAACGTGCTCTATTCGGCCTGCAAAAGTCGGTTTCGAACTGACCCTGGATTCTGGCATTGCGGGACTTGGCTTCTCCCGTCGTAGTCGCAGTATCAATGGTTGGAAAATGTTTGGTGAATGATGGGTAGGCGAGCACGCCCAGATTGGACTGGTTGTAGCCATATAGGAGGAACGCAGGGAGAACAATCAAAAGTATACGAGCCGTAGCCAAGGCTTCGCCTCGGGCAGATAAAAAAGTCATTTTTAAATACTTTAGATGTAAAAAGAATCTTTTGAAAACGCAAAAATGGGTAGGATGATGAGAACAGCGGGTTGAATAGTAAAGGGGAAGAGCCAGATCATATCTATCTGTTACTTTGTGTCACCGGACTTGGCTAACACCGGATTGATGCACACTTCCTCAACTAAACAAGTGCGCATACCGCATCACTTTCGACAGAAAAAGAGGAATTAGACGGTCAATTCCCAATGGTGCTGAACCATTCCCTTGCACAACGGGCATTTTCAAGGCCGGTCCAATGTAATGTTGTGGCATCCTGGTCTTGTTCGATCACCTTTCGCAGAAGACTGGCTCTCGAGGCAGACAAGCCAAAAAGGAGTCCCTGCGACTCCACCCCCCGCAAATTCAACACCGACGCGGACCAAAAACCCCATGGGGTTGGCAAAGCTTGATGAGCTTGACTAGCTTGGCTGCCTTGGCCGTCTTGGCGTTGGGACTGCACGATTCACGAGCATGCGGATCGTCCGAGTCGCTCGAGTAAGTCCGAGCTATACGACTACTCTCTCGGCACTTAGTTTAGCCGCTCGTGTCTCGGATTTGGAGATGCTCATCGCTTCATAGATGAACCGCGCCAGGTATCCATAATGACGCCACAAACGCCGCCATTGTCTATCGGCCTTCATGTTCATGGTATCACTTGGCATAAATGATAAATTGCAACCTTGGTCCAATAGGAAAAGATCAAAGTTTATTGCTCTCTGCGGATGCAAACTCAACAAGGTTCCAAGCAAGGCTGAAAATCAACATGGCGGCTCGCACACCCTTTATTCTCTTTTTCAACCCCGTTCGACATGCAACGGCGCGTTTTGCCGAGCTACAAAAGATAGCAAGATGCGAGGTCGTCACGAGCAAAAGTAGGGAAGAGTTTTTTCGGGACGTCTCTGGAAAGTACAAGGACATTTCAGTGATTTACAGGACGTCGGCAAGCGGAGCTGTAAGTGAAAGACGAATTCATGTAAAAAGAGGGTTGGAGGAGAAAGCTAACAGTATTTGATGGGGCAGGTGGCTGGCAATTTTGATGCCGATTTCATCAAGCAACTTCCTCCCACCTGCAAATTCATATGCCATAATGGCGCCGGTATGATTCTCATGCTTTGTGAGATCGTTGAACTCCAATTGACGATTTACGTTCAGGTTACGACCAGATTGACCCAGATGCGTGTTCTGAGCGCGGCATCACTCTCACGTATGCACCCGACGCCGTGACGGAAGCGACGGCGGATCTCGCGGTCTGGCTCCTTCTCGGTGCCCTGCGCCAATTGAATCCGGCCCTCAACTCGCTGCGCGCGGGTAATTTCAAAAAGGGCGTCGACTTTGGTCGCGATCCCCAGAGCAAGGTCCTCGGCGTGCTGGGCATGGGCCGCATCGGTCGCGCCATCAAGGCGCGGTGCGAACCCTTTGGGATTGTCACGCGCTATCATAACCGCCGACCGCTGGCTGCCGAATCGGCTGCCGGTGCTGAGTACGTCTCGTTTGAAAAGTTGCTCTCCGAGAGCGACATCATCAGCGTCAATGTTCCCTTGAATGCCGGTACGCGACACTTGATTGGGCCCAAGGAGATTGCCATGATGAAGGATGGGGTTGTCATTATCAATACCGCCAGGGGTGCCGTCCTCGACGAAGCTGCGGTGGCTGAAGCATTGGAGAGCGGCAAAATCGCTTCCGTGGGATTAGATGTCTATGAAAAGGAGCCCATAATCAATGAACGGCTCCTCAAGAACGAAAAAGCGCTCTTGATACCTCATTTGGGCACTCACACCTACGAGACTTTGGAGAAGATGGAAACGTGCGCCTTGGAAAACGCTCGTAGGGCTGTCTTGGGATTACCTCTGCTCACGCCAGTGCCAGAGCATGAGCAATAGGTGCCAGTCAGCAGCATTTTAGATTGCAGATACATAGAAAATGAATCATTAACGTATAATTATCAAACCTGACATGACATTGGTGAAACATGGGATTGTCGCTGCTCATAGTATATTCAGTTTATGAGTGACAACAGTTATACCCAGCAAGTTTTTAGCGTATAACTAGCGCTAAGCAACACTCGTCTTGAAATGCCCACAACACAAGTCTGCATGTGATTTCATTCTGAATTTAAAGGTACAACTTCAAGTTATAATAACGAAATTGGGGTCGCCATTTCCTCGCAAAAGAAGATGTTCGAACTGTGCTCTTTTTGTCGAGCCGGCATAGACCAGTCACGGACCGGTCTTCGCTCCACTCCCATGGTCGGCTATACTCTGTGCCGTGCCAGCGGCATTCACTGAGCGGCATAAGAATCAGCCGCCCGCGATGATCATAGCGGTTTAGTAGGTACGTAAGTGAAAACACGAAAGCGACGACTAATTATTGTTTCAATCGAATGAATCCTCTAATATTTATACCTCTGGGTTTGTTTGGCACTGCTATTCTGTTCGATATCGACGAATTGACTTTTTTTCATTGCAAACCAGCCAAACTTTCACAATGACGAAGATTGCACTATTGGGCGCCGCAGGTAAGGATGCCTCGTCATTTGGACTTTAGCTCTCAAGTGTACGACTGTTGGCTGCGTTCTGCTCGCTAACACAACAAAGGCCAGATTGGGACCCCGCTGTCTCTGCTTTGCAAATCGGTAAGACCTAAGCCCAGTACGGACCCTTGCATAGAGCCAAACGAGTACTAACCGGGGGTATCTTGTGTCGTATTTAGAGCGACCTCTTTACTGAGATTGCACTTTATGACATTGTCCATGTTCCTGGAATTGCCACAGATCTCAACCACATTGATACCAAGGCCAAAGTCACTGGACACTTGCCTGACAACAATGGGTTGGCTGCCGCTCTGAAAGGTGCCGACATAATCGTCGTCACTGCGGGTATAGCAAGGAAGCCCGGCATGACAAGAGATGGTACGTTACGAACTTTGCAAAATACTTATCCTTTGTCAATGTGATATGCTGACAGTGCATTGGCAGATTTGTTCAAGGTGAGTAGCCCAATGGCACGTTGAGTGCGCATTTTATTGATGGGAACAGACCAATGCCAGCATCATTCGTGACATCTTCCAAGAGGTAGCCAAGACATGCCCACGTGCACTATGCTGCATCGTCACGAATCCCGTAAACTCGACCGTTCCCGTGGCCGCCGAGACTTTGCGCAAGGCCGGCGTCTTTGACCCGACCCGCCTCTTTGGCGTCACTACCCTCGACGTGGTGCGGGCGTCGACTTTTGCGTCTCACGTTGACACAAGCATTGATCCTCAATCCATCAAGGTTCCAGTCATTGGCGGTCACAGCGGTGCACCCATCCTGCCCTTGTACAGCCAGGCTCAGCCTCCCGTCCACCTGGACAATGATACGTTGGCGCAGGTCATTCATAGTAAGTTTTCGGGCTATCAGCAGGGACTACAAAATGTGGTTATTGACTTGTAATGCGTAGGGGTTCAGTTTGGTGGCGACGAGATTGTCAAGAGCAAACAGGGAGCCGGCAGTGCGACGACTTGTATGGCTTATGCAGGCTTCCGCTTCGTCAAGGCTCTTCTCACTGCTCAAGCGGGTACGGCGGTCGTCGAAGAGGCTTACGTCTATCTTCCGGGTGTGCCAGGAGGTGACGCTCTCGCCGCGGAGCTAGGTGTTGACTATTTCGCCGTGAAGGTCAAGTTGACAGAGAATGGGGCAAGCCAGGCATTCCCCATTGGCCAACTTTCGGAAAATGAGCAGAAGCTTTTGCAAATAGCCATTACGGATCTACGCGCCAACATTGCGACTGGATTGGATTTCATGGCTCAATAGAGTAGCCGTTAGCTAGATGCGATGATTGAGGACTTTAGAAAGAACGACAGTCTATTTATGATATCAATAAATCAATCTAGTCTCGAGTTTCTATGCTGCCATGGCTGTAAGTGCAGAGCACTGCTTATCGACATCCGCCACCTTGACCGTCTGAACCGCCTTATCTTGCGAGCCCAGAAGAACCATGTTCCCAGTCCCAAACTCGACCCAGCCGCCAGACTCGGCCCCCTGCGGATCTTTGGCAAATGCCAACCACATGTCCTGCATGGTATTGCTCGTCTCGACTTCAAAGCTAGAGGCGGCACCGTTGAACAGACCTCGGGTGCCAAAGACCTGCGGCAACTCGGACATGTGGTAGGCGCCTTGCCAGAACAGGGGGCTGAGATCGGTAAAGTTGCCGCCGTACTGATACAGGTACGTCTTGCGCTTGGCAGATGCCCAACCTAATGCCGAAGCGAAGGCAGGGCATTGGAAAAAGCCTAGAGTTGCCATGTCGGCTAGGGTTTGGTTCGGTCCCATGTGTACCGGGTCCTTTGGGGCCGGCACTTGAATGACGCCCTCGTTGGTGTTGGATCCAAAGATGGATGGCTTATCCGAGAGCAGACCCTTGGCGTATCGGTCCGTGTAGTTGGCAAAGGCGACAATGTCGTCAGGAGTTGCAAGGAAATTGAGAGTGGTGTAGTCATTGACTTGGTATAGTTGGTCAGGAAGTCAATAATATCCTTTGCTGGCTTTGAGCGCATGCAGGACGCTTCGCCTGTGGCATCAGAGGGGCACCCGAGAGCCTTGGCCACTGTGGAAAAGTTGGAGTGTGTTGGATCAAACGTGGTCAGTCCACTGCCTGGTGGATACAAGGCACTTCCCGAGTCGGAGATAAAGCCCTGAACGATGGGATCACTAGGGAAGGCGAAGTTCTGAGCATCGACAGCGCCTGCACCAGAAGACTGGCCCCAAAGAACCATTTGGTTCGGGTCGCCACCGAATGCTGCAATATTATCTCGAACCCATTCCATAGCTACTCGTTGATCGAGAAGTCCCAGATTGGTTCGATTCAAGCCTGCGGCATTTGGAAACCCAAAAATGTTGAGTCGATATTGCACTGCCACGACGATATGTTCCCCGCTTCTCTGAATCCAGGCTGGAGGCTGCTGATACCCGACACTGGAAGAACCTTGCTGGAGCCCGAGACCATGAATCCATATGATGACTGGAAGGGAATCTGATACATTCACCTTTGGTGCCCAGATGCTGAGGGAGAGGCAATCCTCATCCCATGGAGCTTGATTAAAGAACTGGGGAGGAAACACGCTTCCACTACTAGCAGCAATTTGCGGGCACGCGTTTGGTATTATGGTCGCTTGCACCTGGGCGCCAGAATTTGCTGAGAGGGCTTCGGGAGGTTCGAATCGTAGAGTACCCGTTGGCGCTTTAGCGTATGGAATTCCTAGAAATTGCCGGACATTGGGGTACGACGGATTCACAAAGCCTTTTGTGACGCCAGAGACAGTTTGAACAGCGAGTTCATCCTCCGAATTCACCGTACTAGACGACGTTGATTCGTCGAGATGCTGCCATCGTGGATGTTGGCAAGGCGGCAATGCTGTAGACTGACTGGTGAACAGTAAAAGATCAAGGGCTAGTGCCTCGCAGATGAATAAAAGCTTCATTTCTTCTTGATTGAATTGAATATCAGATAATTGATTGTTATGTTTTCTCATTATTTCAAATAAATCGAGACATCATGACAACTTATACATATTTCTCATCTAACCGTAATGACGCAGGCCAGCAGCCATATAGAAGGATATCCACTATACTATACTATTTGTAAGTTGTCAGCGATCCACCGGCATGACGATCAGATTCATATTTTCATAATTCGTTTGTTCTCGGCCCCTGTAAATGTCCCACTCATGGATTCCCTTGGTGGTTCGACGGCCGTTCAAGGCCCGCAATTGTTTATTTTTGTTGGTCCGTCATGAAATTGCAATGAAATGTCTGAAAACAGGCATCAATAAACCCCACAATATAAAAAAATCGCGGAGAAATATCAGCGGAATAGTCTCGGCGATCTTCTATGTGAAGCCGATCCAAAGTGGATCTCGGCGATATCTAGATGAGTCGGCGTCAAGTGCCGGGATCGTTGCGTGCCGGAACCATCGCCTAGTGGTATGGTGTAGACCCTCCACAGCCACGCACAATAAGCACTAACCTGGACTTGGGAAACGAGATGAGAGCGACAAAAAAGCTTGTTTTGACGGCGCCATGTCTAATTAGCTCTCAAAAGGGTAAGCAAAAAGCCAAGAATAGCTTTCATTCCAAAATCTAAAATGCTAGTGACGAAACAACTGCCTTCTGTCATCAATGGGAAGCCTCAGCCATCTTCACTTTTGCCCGGAGCCGGTAAGCACAACATCGGCCTCTCACTTCCCGTGCGCAGCAGCGCCCAGTCTTAATTTAGCGGGATCTTTCACTGCAGTATGATTTTAGCACATGATCCGGTCTTGCTTGTCTTTAAAGAGGGTGCCCTGTTCGCACAAATTATTCGTGATTAACATCTTTCTACTCCAAAAACAGTATACAACTTGTGAAAAGCTAAACGCTACCATTTATTTCATCACACCATTTTCATTGTATAAACCCATCTCATATCTCTTTCATCTTTTTCTATTCACCATGCGTGCGGGATTCCTAGGTATCGCCCTGTGTGCTCTTGGGGCATTGGGAGCTCCGAGTTTGCCTAGAGGGGCTCAAGGACTGCCCAAGAGAGATCAAAAGGCCTTTTCTTTTCCTTTGTCGGATGGATTCCCCAACATTGATGGCAACTCAAGTGCTCTCCAGGCGATACAAGCACAAGCTCATGGGACCCTCCCGAATGGGCCCCTGCCGACATCGATAGCTGACGTCTCTGCGATCGTCTGGTCCCTTATCGCCTTCAACGAGCTCTTCGAGGTGGCCTATTTCAGCAGCCTGATCAGCAACATTACAGGAAACGTGCACGGATATGAGATTGGCAGCACCGCCGCCTCGGGCGTTGTCCTCAACGCGTTGCAGACTGTTCAAGCCCAGGAAAAGCTGCACGCGCTCGGCGCCAACGGCATTCTCAAGGCTGCGGGACGAAAGACCATTTCGCCGTGCGAATACGTCTTTCCAGTGGACAACTTTGAGGACGCCATTGCCTTTGCGTCAACTTTCACCGATATTGTGCTCGGCACTCTGCAGGAGGCCCAGACAAATTTCGGCCTCGATGGCGATGCCGAGTTCATTGGACTGGTCGGCTCCGTCATTGGACAGGAGGGCGAGCAAAATGGATTCTATCGATCCATTGGCCAGCCCTCTAGGGTACCCTCGTCGCAGCCATTCCTGACCGCTTCGGCTGGCATTTTCGCCCTCTCTACACTGCACCAAATGGTCGTTGTGCCTGGATCCTGCCCAGACACGATACCAATTCCCGTCCTGGATGCGCTCAATGTTGACACGGATAAGATTAGTCCACAAACGGCGGAGATTCAGTTCAGCTTTCACACCAACGACACAAAGCTCGACACGGACAACCTGAGCCTGGTGTATATCAATGGGCAAAACCTTCCCCTTGTTGAGAAGCTCTCTAATGTCAAGTAAGTTGCCATCATCTAATAAACTCGCCAATTATCTGTCAGATAAATATACTCATGGTTTGCACAGCAATCATAACGGCATGGTTCAATTCAGTGCGCCATTCCCCTACCAACACTACCAGATGGACGGTCTGACTCTTGCGGCCGTGACCAAGAGCTCTGGACCATTTGCCAATGCTAGTGATGTTGCTGGCCATGCTCTGTTCGGCCCTGGTATCATCGAGGTTAACTGATGCATCCATCGGAGCCAGAGCCGTCATGATGGTGAGAAGGAGGCTACATATAGACAGCATCGCCGTTTGATTACCTTGGTTTTGGCGCATTATTGTTTTCAATGGAACACGAAACTTTCTGTAATGTGGTGATATTATTTTGGTGCGGAGTTATGGAATTTTTTCATATAGCTTCTTTGCATGAAGATTTTGTAATAAGAACCGGTGATACAATTACCTAGGTACTTAGTCCTGATCACTTATGCGCGAACGGCTTTCTTCCGTCAATGACATCTTGAAGCCAAACGTGAAAATCGGTGATCCACAAGGATTATGCAAGATGTCCGCTGCGGTGCTATATTCGTGGAATCCAACTTTTGAATCTCAGACCTTGGACGCAGGATAGGCAAAATATTAATTTTCCGTATACCGCTTTAAATGACCGATAAAGTATGTTAAAAAATATATAATCGTCTAAGTGCTGAACTTCGCTGTTGCCCTAAGTCAATTCCTACACACTTCGGTACTGTAATCAATACACTGAATAAATACTGACCCGCGCATTTTACCCATATCCAAGCATTGTGTTGAAATACCTGCACGGGCCATGTCATCACCACGTATTCGGCCGTGACCAGTATGCCTGAATGTTAAGGTCATAACAATCTCCTCGTAGCTACCGTTCATCTACAAAACTCCTCTTTAATGTCTACCTCTAGTTGCTTCTTGAACTCATCGGGATACGATATGTTTGTAATGATGTTGCCCACATCCACGTGCCAGTCATCGTAGATGCCATCCACGTCCGTGTAAATGCCACAGCCTTCAGTGATGTTCTTCTTCAAGGTGAGGCTCGCTGGTGCGAATTCCCTTCCGCGCGTGCGCCATTTCCATGCCTCCGCGCTGGAAAGGGCCTTGATGCCACCTGCTGCTTCCACCTTGCGCTCCTGGTCCTGCAGGAAAAATGGGTTCGCAGCGTCCCTGGCCTCGCGGAGCAGATAGAAGTTCGCGTCGACGTCCATCTCTTTGTATAGACCCCAGTGATCTGCCACAATACAGGCACGCGCGATCTGCTCCTTCATTTCGGGCCGGCGGCGGAACAGCTCCGCGTACGTGTGCGAGCTGGCCACATCCGGGTACCAGATCTGATACGGCAGATCGAAGTCACTGGGCGGCGCCTGTTCGGTTATGCCCGTCAAGTCGTTGTTCATGATGCGACGTGCAAGAATCGCTCGTTTGAAGTCGGACGGGACCTTGGACTGCATAGACCACCACTTGGCAAACAATGGATTGTGGTAGATGCCGCGAAGCACGCAGGCCCATTCGTGCTTGAGATACTTTGATCGGCGGAGGCGGGCATAACGATCCACGTCGCCGTAGTAAGCCGCCATCAGGATCAAGACGTCCTTGTTGGCATTAGTCGGGTAGTCTTGCGGCAGTGGCGTATACAACCAATGTGATACGTCTGGGCGACTCGCCAGCACATCCTCGCTGACGCTCTCTTCCGCAATATTGCAGTCTTCGGTGATATTGAATGCGCTGCGCTTAAACCCAGGGTTACAGTAGCCTGGAGCGGTATGCGCTTGCTTGAGATCCAGTGACGATGCGACGGCAGTGTCGCCGTTGAGATAAACGTGAGGAAGACTAGCCGGCTGCAGCTCGGCTTCTAGGTCGACCGTGCGCTCATAGTCGTTCATGACGGAATATCGCTTAGACGCCACCATGATGGAGTCGAATATAGCAGTGTTACCGCTATCGCGGGCCTCAGCAGCGATGTGAACATCGGGCAGCAGATTCAGCTCACGCAACAGTGAAGAGTATCCAGCAACAGCACAGGCCCGGCCGACATGGTATCTCATCTGTGGGTAAGTCTGAGCCAGCCGGCGATAGGTCTCTTCGGATGCTACCTCGGGATACCAGATGCAGTATGGAATATCCTCCGGCGCCTGCATCTCAGGAATCCTCCCGCTCATGATGCTACGGGCGTTGAGAGCTCTGGTGAACTCTGGGAACATGCCACGCAGTTCTGTGGCGAACCCATCGTGATAGCGCATCCCCCGGATCACACAGCGGCGCCCCACCTCCAAGCCCATGCAGTTGGGAACCTTTTCACCACGGATGGCCAGATTCAACTCTTGCTCATCATACTTGGTCCGCATCAGACGGCCCATGATCTTCTTGTCCGGGTGAGAATCCAGCCATTGGCTACTCGGAAGATATGTATTAGCAGGAGCTCGATATTGCCTGGTCAGCCGCAGGAGATGACTGGCGCCGAGTCTAACCCGCATAATTGGGGCCCGGCAGATCATGCGCTGGGGAGGATGGATATCGGGGTGAAGACGGAGAGGAAGGGCGTGGCAATTCTGGAGAAAGGCTTCAATAAGAGTAACCACTTTTCTATACTGCCTTGTATGTAGTCCGACCCCGTCGGGCTCGCTCAGGGGTTCGCCGCCCATAGGTAGGACCGGGGGAGTTATTGTCTTAACCCGATGAAGGCAAGCTGGTTAAGGGCACTTGTTTGCTTGAATTGAGAGGGCCGTCTAGGCGGGTTGCGCACTCTGGACACCCGACCCACAGCGGCCAAGACCACTAAGTTAGGGGACCACCCGTCTCGCCTTAGAGAAGCCCCCAAACTGTGCTGTGAAATCTGGATTCAGCTGAGGGCCAAGACAGGACCATATGCAGGCAGTTCTAAACCGTTTCTAGCGTTTATTTAATACAAGGTCTGCCATTTTTCAATCCCTAAACCTCCAGTAATAAACATCACCATGCCGAAAGCCATGGACACGAAGAGTGTATATCTGTATTATTCCAGTATTCTTGCGTTGGCGATATAGTTTAATCAAATCGTGTTTGCAACACGCTAATCACTACATATATGCTTGCGAGGAAACCCATACTTCAACTGTCGCGGTCACTAATCGAACCATATACGTGCCTAGATGATGTGCCAATTCCAGACTAGATTCTGGACCGCTTATGGCTACTAATCGAGTTCCTCTTCACCTCTCTGTGTTGATGGCGCGCTGCTCGCAAAGGTATCGCCATGTACTTCGAGCTCATCACTCGCCTGCCTCCTGGGTCCTCTCCAAGTTCTAGGCTTGTTGAAATCCTCTCTCCAAGGATTTGCTCGATTTGATGATCCATTCCTGCGCCTACCAATAGTAAAGCGCAGAGATTTGATAATGGGAAGTTTTGCAATGTAAACATTGACAAATTTGGCAAAACCTGGAGTGCAGCTGACAATAATAGCAACGCCATTTTCGACCACCAAACACAAAAAAATAACCGTCGACATCCACGTACCGTCATGTCTGCTAGAGGTTTCCGCTCTATATACCAATGACAAAACACTAGCGACGACTCCCCTGTCAAGTAATTCAGCGAAGGTCTAGGTAGAATCAATATGGGGTGGCATGACTCACACCAAGGCAGTAGTAAAGACAGCTAGCAATTGTAGCTTTTTTTTCGTCAACAGATTGAGTCTGAGAATGACCGGAATGGGCAAGATGAAAATAAGTAAGTCTAGCAAGATGGCAAGAGCAGCACTGACGACGCCCCAGATCAGCTCCTTTTTTATGTTACCACTGCTGAGGACGCTACTCCACGCCGCGCCTTTGCGAGGGGTGGCGAGAGCCACAGCTATTGCAACACTGGAAAGGGAGAGCAACGTGGCTAAGCCAATCCCAAAGCGTATAGCGATACGCATTGGCTTCCGGATTTTGAAGATCTGATGGAACAGGAGAAGGATGGAGACCTTGGAAAAGAATCCCACATTGGCAAAAACCATCTGCTGCGAGAATAAAAACTGTAATTCGAAATAAATGCCTGTAGCAGATTGCCCCCCGGGGCATTGGTACTGACCTTGACATAAATATCGTCGTACCAACAAGCTCTGACGTCCCAGACATGACGTGCGAACCTGAGTTGAGCAAGCATCAGACCTATACTAGCGAGTAAAAAGAAGAATGCGATGGCAACAAAATCTTCATATTAGGTTGTGTCAGCTCTGGTAAGTTTATGCTGCATCTGTTCCACGTTTAAATGGTAGAATAGGGAATAGTGTTTTCATACAGTCGCTCCACCATAGATTCCGCCAATTCACTAGTAGTCGACATGTTGTGAAGCAGGCAGCTCCCATAGTCATGATGACACAGATGGTGATTAGTACCGGGACCAAAGTCTCATCGGGCTTCTCGAAATTGGTAAGTTTGCCATCTGGAGGCGCTCTAGCAGGAATCATACATAGATCCGGGCCAGGGAATCAATCTTTCATCTTGGTACTGCTAACCAACGTATTCCAAAACGGCATTCAAAGTTGTGAGGAGCTACGCATCAAGGAGATGTCAGATAATACGTGCATTTTCGGGAGAGCATGGTTAGGTGGAGCTGGGAGAAGATATAAGCATGGTGTGATTGGTTTTCTCATTTTGGCCCCGAGCAGTGACGAAGGCTAAGGTGATATTGGGGTCGCCGCGGAACGTGAGAGTGTGCGCATAGGTCCTGGTTTGCGATCGTTGCCCAACGATTACGAGCATGCTCCTTGCCTATCATCGTACAGTGGCAGTGCAAGGCGTGACACGCCGGCTGCAAGGATCTTTCAATCCTCAAAACTCATGTAAATTTCAGGCTTCAGCTGCAGCATCGCCACACGAGGGTACCGCTTGAAGATGTGCCGGAATGTCTTCAGCGTCGATAAATTCCCCTCATATTCCTTTGCCACTCGTAATAAAAAAGTATAAGAACTTGTCATCGCCTTTCAACAAACTGAAAGAATCTGATCACGGTTTATCATCGGATTAGTGAGTGACACCGAGTGCTGAGATACATACTCTCTAAAAGTTCTGAATATGCCAATCTGAGAGCTCAAGAGACATAAGAGTTGGGCGATGAATGCTACCCAAGTACCTACTAGGCAGGCAACGCGTTCGGAGTAGCGCAGGACTTGGCGCATAGCGATTTTCAATCACGGTAGTCAACGAGACGCTCCATGACCCTATATGTCCTGTACTGCATCATTATCTATCAACAGATTGAGCACTGCATATATACCCACGGACGAGGATAATACGTACCATGATAATGTGCCACGGGATAAAGGTGCGCTGGATTGAATTGTCAACAAACCAAATATTATCCCAGCCCGGTATTTTCTAGGAATTAACTTTTACAATTTTGGGAATTTTCCAATATTTATCGAGGCTTTTTCGTAATAATAATCATTTTAATTTTTGTTTAATCCGGCAAAGTGAGTGTTTTAGCAGGTTGAAGGAATGTGCTGGTTCTGGTAGCTCGTAATGATGTTGGGTAGTTTTCCCCACTATTTGTGACCAAGTAACACCACCACCTAACAAGGTCTCACTCAAGGTTCACTGGTCTTGACTCCCACAGCTGCCAGCAGCTGAGTAAGATTGGCTCGACCCCAGTGTGCGGGGTAGGTGTGACTATAGCTTTACTTTTAAATTTTCTCTTGATTAATTCTGCTCAATCCAATCAGAAACTTCTTTTTCTAAATTGCTACTACTATTATTGACATAGTATCCTTCTAGTCTGCCATCTTACGACACCATGGATTCTGTAGCCTTCAGTGGTCTCTTGCATGTCGAGCCACCGCACAGTAAACTCCCGAGCCAACCAGAGAGAGCACTTTCGGTGACTCATGCTATTCAGAACCATGAACATGATCTCGTTGAACTCGCCAGCCTCAAGCCCACAGATCCGACAGCATCTGGACCGGCCAGGAGAGCAGCCGGTGCGAGCTATACTGGCTCCCCCGTTGCAGAGGAGGCAGCCGCGGAAGTTTTCCCAAGCATCTTCAGTTCCAGGAAAGATAAGCTTAGGCTCGCGGCTTGTTGCAGCATGAGCTTTACGGGAGGCCTGAATGATTCCGCAGCTGGTGCGCTCATTCCGTACATGGAGACGTGAGTTTGCCTCCTCACTCAATCAAAGGCTGCAAAACTTACACCCACCAGCCACTACAACATTGGATACGGTACTGTGTCTCTTATCTTTGTGGGAGTCGCCATTGGCTTCATCACTGCTGCGCCTTTTGTGGACAGCTTGCAAGCAAGATTTGGAAGTGCCAGGGCATTTGGCATCTGCATGATGTTTTTGATTGCAGGATACATCCCTATCATCTGTGCGGTGCCGATCCCCGCCATAGTCGTCTCGTTCTTCCTCGTTGGCTTCGGCTTGGCGACTAGTCTCTCAATGTACAACGTCTTCCTGGCTAACCTCCCAAGCGCGGGAACTGCGCTAGGCATGGCCCATGGATCGTATGGTGTTGGAGGCATAGTCGGACCCCTGATAGCAACAAGCATGGTGTCCAATGGAGTCTCTTGGAGCATGTACTACCTCATCACTCTCGGTCTTGCCATTTTTAATCTCGGATTTGCCCCGTGGACGTTTTGGACGTTTGAGCAGGAAACTCAGACCGAACTGGGACCGGTCGAGACGAGTCAACGTGGCACACAACAGCTAAAGGCAATGCTTCAGGCCTTCCGGACCAAAGTCGTCCTACTGGGAGCTCTTTTCATCTTTGCCTACCAAGGATCTGAAGTCTCCATTTCTGGCTGGGTCATCTCATTCCTCATTACAATGCGCAATGGCGACCCGACGCGCGTTGGTTATGTTTCATCCGGTTTCTGGGCGGGTATTACTCTTGGTCGATTTTTCCTCTCGCCGCTTGCAGCACGAATTGGCGAGAAAAGATTCGTCTACGGAATTGTGGCTGGTGCTACAATTTTCGAGCTTCTGGTGTGGCTTGTCCCAAACGTGATTGGAAATGCAGTCGCTCTGGCCATCGTGGGTCTTCTGCTTGGACCGGTCTATACTGGTGCTGCTGTGATCTTTACGAGAAACTTGTCTAGAAAGGAACAAGCAAGTGGCATGGCGGTAATTAGTGCGTTTGGGAGCTCGGGCGGCGCTATTGCACCCTTCACGACGGGAATCCTTGCTCAAGCTGTGGGCACATTTGTGTTGCACCCCATCGCCATTGGCCTGTTCGCGGTCATGATGATTAGCTGGTTTTGCATCCCAACGCCACGCAAGAGAACAGAGTAAATATTGCTGGCCATGGTAAGTCACGGGTCAAGCTACATAGACATTGTTGTGCGTCAATCTATGAATCATCACATCTATTTCTATCCAGCACTATATCGCGCTCTAGGTGGCAATAAAAAAGTTGTATAGCATCAAATGTCATTGAATTCAACAGCCTTCTGCCCGAAACAATACTGGTTCACCACATGCCATCCAAGAACACAATATCAATTTTAGACGTCTCAGAATTGCAGCGTTTTCCAGTCCTTGTGACGCTCCCAAGCCCCTGCTACCTTGAGACAGGTCAAGTCGTCAAATTGCTTGCCCACGATTTGCAAAGCAGTCGGGAGCCAAATCGAAGAATCACCAGGAGCGGAAACGAAACCGACAGGAACTGACAGAGCTGGATGCCCGGTCGCGTTGAAAGGTGCCGTGTTTAGTACAGTACCAGCCATGCGAGTCAGCCTTTCCAAAGTTGTGTGATCTCCCCCTTCACGGAAGCTGGGGGTCGCGGGAAATGGTATGGTCGGCATGACGAGAACATCCAAGGACGCAAGCGCGGCATCGTACGCCCTCGTGTACTTTCGGATCAGATTGGACGCCTTGGCACTCACCAATGCACCGTACTTCTCGGCGACATAGAGGTACTTCATGTACATGTTTTGAGCACCGGGTCCCCACGTGTCGAACCTCTGCTGTGTGACCTGACTTTCAGGGCCACCAGCTCTGTCGGTCATGTAGAGCTCCTTGCGACCAGTCCTATCTCCGAGAAGGCCATCCCGTGCACCGGCCAAGGCTTGTGTACAAGTCCATGCAGCACATACCTGATTGTGCTCTGGGATGGATACTTCGACGACCTGAGCTCCGAGGGCAGAGAGATCGGCAATCGCAGCGCGGACTGCCTTTTCGACATTTGCATCCAACACACTGAGCTCGAATCCCTCCTTGAGGATTCCGACCTTGATGCCTTCAAGTGGCTTCGATAATGATTCAGTGGCACTCAGGAATGCGGCCAATGACTTGGAGAATTTCAAGGACTCTTCAGGCAGCATTCTGGGTTGTCTGTCGTCCATACCGTCGGGACCAGCGATTGCTTCCAGAAGCAGAGCATTGTCTTGCACCGTTTGGGTCATGGGTCCACAATGGTCAATGTCCGCGTGCAACCCGAGAATGCCGCTATAGGGAACCAAGCCCCAAGTAGGCTTGAGACCAACGAGACCGCAGAATGTGGAAGGGATACGGACTGAACTTGGTGCCTTGTTAGCAAATTCTGGTATAATGTGATGGTTCTGGTGTCCATCACTCACCCTCCTTGGTCGCATCCAAGTGCCATGTCTGCCGACCCTGTCGCAACTACACGACCAGATCCACTGCTTGAGCCGCCGCATGAATAATAGTCAGCATACGGGTTGTGCACAATGCCTGTCCATGAAGTGTCTGATGAAGCTTCCATGCACGCATTTTCACAAGTTGCTTTGCCAACAATGATTCCGCCGGCGTCCATGATCCTCGTCGCCACCGTAGCATCATACTCGGGAACCCACTCCTTTCCCAAAGGATCCATGCCATTCAGACAGCGCATGCCGGCAAAGGCAATATTGTCCTTGAGGGCCACCTTCTTGCCGGCAAGAAGTGAGCTCACGGGTGCTGTGCTTTGTGCGACACAGGTCACAGCCCACCCGCCTTTGTCGCTTTCCCCGGCATTTTCGGGAATCTTGATTTCTGTCCTCGGGTACTTGGTCATGTCGGGACGTGGAAGGTCGTCCTCCTGGCTCAAGACATCTTGTATGCTGTCTTCGAAGGAGCCTAGCAGAGTACACCAATCTTGCACGAGGGTGTCTGATTGAGCCAAGCCCGCCTTTGCCAGTAGAGCCTTGACTTCTTCCGGGTTGAGCTTGGAGCCACTGCAACGTGTAAGCAGACATCGGAATTGAATGGCCATTATTGCGACTCACTCAGGGGCAGTAACTATCGCCATTCTTGGATAAAAAAGAACGATACTATCCTGTTTCACAAATCTTGATAGTCGAATAAGTGTTTGCGTGACGAATTGTAACAAAAATAAACTCTAATCCTCATGAAATCAAAGAATGGCGACACTAGAAATGATGATATTCAACAGTCTTCGGACTGAAATTTCTCTAATAAGGATATCGCCGCCGGTCTGATATTCTCGATCAGTCTCCAATAGATGTGGCGATAAGCGGAGGTGTATGATGCCGCAATGATCCACAGACCCCGTGTTGGTTGGGAACGGGTAGTCAATCTATCGCTTATCAGCGTCGGAGACGGCCTCGAGAATCCCTGTACGATTTGGCTATAGGACACTCCACTGCCGCCGGCCATTGTCCAGCGGAGCTACGCATCATTCCGGATGTCAAAGAGTTGGAGAATCGGGATAGCTGTTGATTTCCGCGCCTTGATAAGACGGCAGGGAGTATCATGTCGTCAAGATGGATCGTTGCATCGAAACCAAACCATGTTGGGCAGATCTGCTACCATTCATGATATATGCCGAGTTATGCATTTGGTTAATGATCTGCACCATGCATCGAAATGATGTGCATCAACTGCTATCAGCCCCATATAATTATCGCAAGCTTATCGGGTACCCTTCATGGTCGGCTTGATGCTTGTGAACCTTATTTGACTTTGACGAGGAGCGCGAAGTTGTAAAAGCAGCTATTTGAATGATGTATACATGACTTTGGTACCAAGAATAATGATAAATAAGTTTGAAACACTTAAACAGTTCACTCTGCGACTCCCTAGTAATTGTACATATCTTGCTCAGTCAGCGCTTCTTGTTTTTTTGGCACAACAGTTGGTCACTATGGATATCGAAAAAGGCAAAGAGAAATGCAAAACCAGCGTCCCGTCGGGCTCATCCAGCCCAGTAATCGTCGGAGACGTGATTGAGACTGAAGCCGAAGTGTTTGGCGGCGGCGAGGGCGCAGTCAATTTTCGCAACGTGGGATGGATACGAGCGGCCATGTTCATGCTCAAGATGACGTTTGCCACGGGCGTCTTGTCACTCCCTTCCGCCCTGAATGATCTGGGCGCCGTTCCTGGTGCCATTTTCATCCTGTTTTGGGGCTTGGTCAACATGTACATGGCCGTGATCCAGGGTGAATTCAAGCTCCTGCACCCGTCGCTGCATACGGTCGCCGATGGTGCAGAAATTGCTGCACTTCAGCTCAGTTCTGGGTCCAAGAAATGGGCACTGGTCTCCAAAGAGATCACCGAGTTTTTGTATCTCGTCTCTTGGATACTTTGTACTGGACTCTCGATTCTAGGTCTCTCCATTGCGCTCAATGCCGTCACTCACCATGGCACGTGTACTGTTCTGTTTGCCTTTGTCTCTTATATCGTGGTTTCCACGATTGGAAGTATCCGAAAGATTGAGAAGACTGCATGGATCACCTGGGTCGGCTTCATTTCAATCGTCGTGGCCATCCTGGTGGTGCTCATTGCAACGGCCATCCGCGACCGACCCGCGTCCGCACCTGCCACTGGCGATTACGACTTGGGATTCTCGGCGTTTCCATCATCCAGCGTCACATTCGCCAGTGCATGGTCAGCCTCGCTCATTATCTACGCCTCCTCCGCAAACACCTCTGGCTACGTCCCGGTCATTTCGGAAATGAGACAACCCCGACACTACTTTCGGAGTGTCTATGTCACCATGACCTGGATCATTGTGTCGTACATGGTCATTGGCATGGTCATGTATCGCTACGCCGGTCAGTGGCTGGCTACACCGGCACTGGGTTCGGCCGGCCCGACCATCAAGATTGTGTCGTATGCCATATCGATCCCGGGTCTGATTGCAGGCGGTATGATTTGCGTTCATATCTCGGGGAAATCCGTTTTCGTCCGGGTCCTGCGCGGCTCCAGGCATTTGACTGCCAATACTTGGCAACATTGGACGGTCTGGCTCGCATCAACCTATGGTACAGGTCTCATTGGCTGGTTGATCTGCGAAGCGATTCCCTTTTACGGGTCGCTGGTCTCTCTGATTGGTTCCCTGGGTTTTGGGCCGTTGGGTATTTGTCTTCCTGCCATCATGTGGTTCTGTATGCATCCCCAGTACCGCGCGGGCACACTACGTATGAAAGTCATGTGGTGGCTTCACGTGGCAATCTTTGTCATGGGTCTGTTTGTCACAATTGGTGGTACGTTTGCGAATGTTGTTGTAATCATTGAGCAGTTTCGCGAGGGCGCAGTGTCTGGAGTTTTCCAATGTGCAGATAACAGCAACACGGTAGATGGATAAGATTTGGGTACATCTGGAGCTACTTTGAAGACTTTCATGACTTTTAATAAATGACCTACCTTTTCAATGAGAAAGACCATTTCCTGTGACTGTACAACTGGCCCTTGGCCTCGGTACTCGTAGTTCTTTCAGGGACTGTTCTTGGTGTGTATGGAATAATGGAATCATCATTCAAATCGGAGGAATGCTATACATTAGAGACCCCGTGCAGCGTTGAAAGAGTCGACAATCTCTCGGGTGGCCTTTACTATCTCGACACAGCCAGGCGAGTCAGAATGACAGCATGTGCTGGTGGGATATTCCTTGACCGGTAGGTCTATCATCTCCCCGGTGACAGCCTTGACCTTGCTTTGCTCAACTTGGCTCCTGACGTGCTCCTTGACATCGTCAATCAACCAAGGCTTCTTCTTGCGATCGACAATAAGTGTTCCATCTGCGCGATACTTTACATCACCATAATATTCCGCCCAAAACTCGAGCCCCGCCTCCAACGCCGCGGTTTCCATGTGCGTACCGGCGAGACCAAAGACGCGCATACCCTTGGGCACGCCTGCCCAAACAGCACGTGCCACCTCGAGATCTCGTAGCATCATACCATACAAGACTCCATGAGGCTTGACGTGGTGCATCTCGACGCCCTCTGCGGTGAGGAATCCTTGCAGAGCGCCGACTTGGTAGATGATGTTGGCCGTGTGCTCTTCGGGAGTAAGCTTCATCTCACGTCGACCAAAGCCTTGAACGTCTGGGAGTCCCGGGTGTGCACCAATTTTGACATTGTGAGCCTTGCACAGAGCGACGGTCTGCTTCATAATGAGGGGATCGCCGGCACTGTTGGTGGTTAGACGAATTTGCGCTAGTGTATCGCATCTGGTCTGGTGCAGGCTTACTGAAATCCGCAAGCCACATTTGCGTGATCAATCATGGGGAGTAACTCTTCATCTGGGCCGCAAACATAATTGCCATAGGCCTCGCCCATGTCCACGTTGATGAATGCTTTATGCCGGGTTGGAGGCATTTTTGATAGTTCTCCAATAGTCCACCAGCAGAGATGCTGCACTTGAATCAGCGGTTATTATCAAGATACTACAACAACTTCACCACTGAAATCGAGAAAGTGTCAATAAATAATGACGTCGCGATGCCGAGAACCGGGAGTTAGGTCAAGGTCTCATCTCGAGATAGGCGTTAGAGTTGGTGTATGCGGGGTGATTATGCTGGGCGGGTTAGCGGGTAGCCAATGCATCGGATGTGGCCCGAAACCCCAAGTCGACTGGCGATAATGCACGAATAGAATGGACCGTAAACGTTAAGATCTGCACTCGAGTGACCACTACCAATCTCGAATAGGAAGTTTTATGCTCCATTGCGACTCCAACACTTGAGACATTCCCCTCAAAAGGCTGCAACCGACAGTCACAGCTGTAGACAAGATCTGGTATTGGGGCTGTAGTAAACTTGCGACTATTATTACCTCGTGTCATTGAGGATCAAACCGTGCTCCGTGCTAAACGGTGTAAGCCTTGACATAAACTTTATTTGATAGCTTGTATTGCATCGTTTTGCTCGGCATCATGGATTCCCTGCGCTCTGTTCTAGTGGCCAACAGAGGAGAGATAGCATGTCGTTTGATTCGTGGGGCAAGGTGAGTGCATTCAGACCTTATTTCCGCTGTCGCAAAGATAAATACGAGCCTCATCGCAAAACTCGCTGACATGCATCTCCAGGGAGCTACAAATAAAAACCATTGCGATATACACGGATGTAGATGCCGAGTCGCAGCATGTCATTGCAGCTGACGAGGCCCAACTATTATCAGGCGATGCAAGTACTGCATATTTGGACGGGCAAGTATTCATTGATTGAGTTTCCCCTGCCCAGCTGCTAATGTCTGATGACAGAGAACAAATCATTTCAATCGCAAAGCAAAAGGGTGCACAGGCCATTATACCAGGCTATGGATTTCTCTCTGAGAACGCAGAGTTTGTGCGCCTCGTAGTCGCTGCTGGCCTGACATTTGTTGGCCCTTCTGCAGAGACCATTGAAATGATGGGCTTGAAACACACTGCAAGAGAACTTGCCGTGGAAGCGGGCGTCCCCGTCATTCCGGGATCCAAGGGCCTCTTGGAGTCTGCTGGTGATGCTGTGACCGCGGCGCAAAAGCTTGGATTTCCAGTCATGCTCAAGGCAACTGCCGGCGGTGGAGGAATGGGCTTGATGGTTTGCCAGAATGAGCAGGACGTCAAGCAGAGCTTTGAGCAAGTCCAATCTAGAGGCACTACCCTGTTCAAGAACTCTGGAGTGTTTCTTGAGAAATACTACCCTGATAGCCGGCACATTGAAGTCCAAATCTTTGGAAACGCCCAAGGACACGTCATTAGCATTGGAGAACGAGAGTGCTCCATACAAAGAAGGCATCAGAAGGTCATTGAAGAATGTCCGAGTCCATTCGTGGAGCGCAATCCTAGCCTTCGTCAAAAACTGACGAAAGATGCTATTAGTCTCGGCGAGAGAATTTCATATGGCTCAGCGGGTACAGTGGAATACCTTGTGGACGACCATACTGGGAATCACTACTTTCTCGAGATGAACACTCGCCTGCAGGTTGAGCACGGTGTCACCGAGATGTGCTATGCTGTAGATCTGGTTCACTTGATGTTGAAACAGGCAGATCGTCAACTCGGTGGATCGGGTGGCCTTGATGCGCAGGAGTTGAGTAACTTACAAGCTCAATGCCTTGAGCCTCGAGGTCATGCAATCGAGGCGCGCGTCTATGCCGAGAATCCTGCTCGCAACTTTGCACCCAGCCCTGGACTACTACAGCAAGTCACTTGGGAACTTCATGAACAATCGAGAATCGATACTTGGGTACGCTCTGGAAATGTCATCAGCTCCATGTACGACCCACTCCTGGCCAAGATAATGCATCATGCACCATCGCGTCAACAAGCTATTTCGGAATTGATAAAAATACTCAAAGGCAGTCAAGTGTGTGGGCCCCCGACGAATCTTGACTTTCTGCTGAAGGTCGTCGAATCGGATGATTTTGGCACAGGGAGCACACTGACTAGAACCCTGGATACTTTCAGCTATGTTCCAGCTGCCATCGATGTTGTGGCCGGTGGCTCACAAACATTGATCCAAGATTACCCCGGGCGTCCAACCGTTGGACACGGATTCGGCCATGCTGGCCCTATGGATCCCATCGCCTTTCGCATCGCGAATAGTTTGGTCGGGAATTCCGTTGGCACCGAGGCTCTCGAGATTACGCTGACCGGGCCTGAATTGCTATTTCTCGGAGACGCCATCATTGCACTATGCGGTCCCCCTGTTCAGGCCTCCGTGGACTCTACTGAACTGCCTCTGTGGATCCGCGTGCGTATCCAGGCAGGTCAAAGAATCAAAATTGGCAAGCTTGCGCAAGGTTGCCGCTTGTATCTTGCCGTCTACGGAGGGTTTCTCAATGTGGCTGAGTGGTTTGGTAGCAAGTCTACGAACCCCATGGTCACTGTCGGTGGCTACCAGGGCCGTGCTCTCCGGGCAGGTGACTTTCTCCGGATATCTGCAGCCACGTCACTTGCTGCAATGGAGCCTGTTTCGGTTCCCTCGAAACTATTGCCTCGGTACCAATACGACTGCTGGGATATTCAAGTCATGTCGGGTCCTTATGAGACTGGTTATCTCACAACCGAAGATATCAGGATGATCACCTCGACCGAATGGCAAGTCAGTCATAATGCTGCACGAGGAGGAATGCGACTCATTGGCCCTCGCCCCAAGTTTGCACGCTCGGATGGAGGAGAGGGGGGATCGCATCCCAGCAATGTTTTTGAATATGGTTATCCCATTGGCGGACTCAACTGGACCGGTGACGAGCCCGTCATATTTCCCGTCGATTGTCCCGACTTTGGAGGTTTCATCTGCAGCTCGACTGTGATCAAAGCGGACTTTTGGAAATTGGGACAAGTGCGTTCAGGCGATCGCATACGCTTCCGCCTTGTCACACTAGAGGGTGCCCTTGAATGTCGAAGAAGAAATGAGAGCTTTGTTGAGGCAATTTGCAGTGCCATTGGTGATGGTGATTGGACGATAGTCCCAATGTTTACAGACCTTCCGCTGGCACCCGAGACCGCAGAGACCGGATTTGACCTTCTGCATGTGATCGAGGCAACAGATTCCAGCCCACTGGCCACATACAGAGCGGGTGGCGATGACTTTCTGCTGGTTGAGTATGGAGACGGCAAGCCGGACCTGAATCACAAGTGCCGCGCCACTGCTTTGAGGAGGAGTATTGAAGCCATGATGGCCAAGAGTTCATCCTCCAAAGACGATCGGTTGCATATCTTGAACATGGTGGGGTGCGGAAATTCGTTGATGATCTACTACGACGGCCTTCAACTGTCCAGAACACGCCTCTTGGGCATACTTCTGGATATGGAGAAATCGTTTGGCGACATGAGTATGGCCAAGTTTCCTAATAGGCGCTTCCGTGTCCCCGTGACCTTTCAGCACAAGAAGATTGATGCAATGATGGAGCGGTACATGACGAATCAGCGGAGCAAAGCAAGCTACCTACCCGATCCCTTTGAGTTTCTTGCAGCGAATAACGGGCTCACAACGGATGAGCTGAAAAGGGTGCTACTCAGCCTCGAGTCTGTCGTTATTGGCGTGGGTTTCTTCATGGCGCTGCCCGAAAGTCTTCCTGTGGATCCACGACATCGGCTGCGAGCACCCAAGATGAATCCTAGTCGCACATTTACACCAGCAGGGACGTTTTCCTGGGGTGGTTGTGCCATTGCAGTTTACCCGGTCGATAGTCCTGGCGGTTTTATGCCGCTCGGAATGACAATGCCCGGAGTCGATGTCTACGGCTCCAAAGACGGCTTCAGTGAGACTCGGCCCTGGATGTTTGAAGACATGGATCTCATCACCTACTATGAGGTATCCGAGGAAGAGTACGATCGTCAAATGCTGAAGTTCAGAGCTGGTAGTTATCAATTCGAGTATGAAGCTGATGTCTTTGACATGGGTGCGCATAATGTGCTCTTGCGCGAGACGCAGGACGAGGTGCAGCGGACTCAGGAGAGAATCGCTTTAGCTCAAGCAAAAATGGCTGTTCTAGAGAACAAGCTATTGGAAGAATGGATTGCCGAGAAGAAGTCAAACGAGACAGATCCAGGCGAGCTGCAGAAGCTACTAGAAGGTGAGTTCATGGTGGCCCCTCTGGGTATCATTGCAGTCTCGGTTTAGTAATTGTCCCCACTGACACATTTACAGATCCAGCAAATCGTGTCATCGAGTCGCCGGTAAATGCTAATGTGTGGAAAGTATTTGCACAAGAAGGAGATATTATTCGAAAGGGACAGACGATTACAATTCTGGAGGCGATGGAGATGGAAATCAATGTCAATGTGGCAGACGACTTAGATGCTGCGACGATTTACAAAACCTTGATTCAGCCCGGGCAGTCAGTCGAGGCGGGTCAAGCTTGCATCGTTGTAAGAGTATCATAGATTCAGCTAGACAAGCTATCGTACAGTATTTCCTATGAAGGTGCATATTGAACAGGCAGACGGGATTATAAGATGATTGCTTGAACCTTGTCAAAACTCGAGGCGCAGAGCATCGATTGAGTACATCACACGCTTGACATCGATATTAGACCAGTTTTAAGCTTTAATATAAACGTACCACCTTGATAAACACGAGGCTTCCCAGTGGGAGGTCAGGTAGTAGTCAGAACACCATATATTGTTATAGGTACGAAACTAATTCTTGCTGAAGCGACTGGCAAGGGTGAGGGAAGTTAGCGCACCAGCCAGGCATGAGCTGAAGCCTCGTCATCCACCCCTTGCTCGCTCACTACGTGCAAGTCCAGCTCTCCGCATCGTCAATATCCCCGTCTCCTGTGTATGTCAAGGACAGCGGATAGGAGCACAGGTTCCGCGTGAAGTTGGCTCCACTCGCAGCCAGCGTTTCGGGGACGGTGCCGTTCTCAACCCACGCAACAAGGGCGTCAAAGGGATCCACCGGGATGGCGCCGTACCCTCTTCCGCAATGCCCGACGCCCGGGGCCATGAAGAGGCGATAGAAGTCGTTTACTTCATCAACCCCTCCCATGGCCTGCTGTACGCTCTCGCGGTACTGCACCGTGCCGTTCCCGCCAATCAGTCCATCCGAGTACCCATGCCACGTCAACAGTTTGCCGCCGGCTTCCTTGAAGGGTGACATGTCTGGGTTCCTAGTGCCGATCAGTGTCTCGTACTTGGCGACTGACAAGTTAAAGACCTCGGGAAACGTTGTATAGTCTAGCGTGGCAAAGTCGAAGGATGGATCTTCCAGAACGAAATCTGCTATCCACGCCGCCATAAAGGTGAATGGGGGATTGCTTGTGAAAGTGCTCAGGTTGGTGCCCAGTGCGATTCCCGAGAACAGTCTATTGCCGTCAAGATCGACCGGGCCGTGAGTGGTGCTATTGAAGACGGCCGCATGCTGTGCAGTCAAAATCGTTTCGTTGCCTGAACAGCTTGTCTGCTTGCCGATCCACGTCGTTGCGTCGAATTTGCAGGTATTTGGGTCAGCAACGATGCCATCCAGTGCTCCGTCATCGGCATCGCAAAAGTCGACCGCGGCCTGAGTGAGAGTATCCAGGGCACAGGTGGGCACCCAGTCGCCTATGACATTCTGTACGACATATGGCCAAACCTCGGCCACCTGGAATGTGTCGTAGTTGATGGCTGGAGATGCCGCAAAGATTCCATCATAATCGCTCGGGTACCGTTGGGCCTCCATGTATCCTTGGCGTCCACCTTGCGAGCACCCATTCCAGTACGAGTACTCGGCTTGCTTGCCATAATACTCCTCAACCAATGCCTTGCCCGTGAGAGTCATCTGATGAATGGACAGATAGGCAAAGTTCTCGATTAGTTGACTGTTATTGGCCCACACTGAGCCGTTGATTGAGTTTGGCAAGCCCGCATCCGTGGTACTGGCAGCGTAACCTTGCTGTACTGGCAGTATCAGGTTTGTGTCTGAACCGCCAGCGGAAAGACCTCCGCCGCCTGTGCCCTGATATCTCCCATTCCATACCGTCGGGAGCCAGGTTAGTACCTTGACATTATCCGAAGAGTTTCCATGTGTGAGATAGACGGTAACGGCGCAGTAATCGGCTGTATCGTTGGTTGAGATACCAGTGACCGTAGCATTATCGACCTTTGGGGCACTTATTTCCTCGCAACTAATGACCGGGCTAAAGGATTCGCCATGAACAAGGGTGAGAGTCGCCAGAGCCAGGCTCACGAGCGCGTTGATGTATCTCATGGTCAAATTCCTCGACTGACACGATTATCGACAGACTGTGATTGTTGTCGTGGAGAGATTTGTTACTCGTATATTCAGACAGGCCTCTACGAGTTCCTGGTTACGCTATATAATCATATTTCTTTGGTATAATTATCATCTACCGAGAGAAAGTTTGCATAAACCGAGGGTATTAAAATCGTTAATTTCTAAGCGGGACAATTGCAAGGGATTTGCCGATCCATCGCTTGCGTCTTCAAGGTATTGCTTTACGTGGAGTGGCTGCACTCCACGGTCATACCCGATACCGCCTGGAGCGTGGTCTGGACTTGCACCCCGTATATCACTGCATGCAGTGATATACGGGGTGCAGCGCTCGGCTTAACCCGAGAGCTTTCATGGGGCGGCCTCAACCCCGAAAGGCCAGGTGTTCAAGTATCTAGCCACTGAAACGTCAGGTATTGAGCTGAGAAATACAGGTGACGGCCCGGATTAAATGTTATTAGAAAAGGTGTTGCCTTCCTATTGGAGCTTGAACTAGTCTGATTTGGGTGTCAACTGAGTGATGTGCTGTTCAATCTTACCCGTTTCTCGGTTTTATTGAGGTGCAGGCGTATTTGGGTAGCCCCTGCTGTTTACTGAGAGCCCCCATACATCGCATATGGCGTTGATTGGTGTGATATACCACCCCGGTGAATGGGATTCATCATCCACCATCTATCGCTTGTGTATCCTCACATGTGAATTAAGGTTATTGGATATCTGAGATTGCAAACGCGTACTCGCTAAGTAGAACTGCGGACCTAAAATTGCGGGATCGCAACACAAGCTTTTGCAAACTGGGGTTAGAGTGTCATTGCAGGTCGCCCCGGCACAATACCCCCGCAACATGATGCATTGCGACCGGGTTTCGGGATGGCTAGCGTTGCTGCCCCGGATGAAGAAACACCCACAAAACCCCGGATATCAATCGGTCGGCGAGAGCTGGGGATGGTTAGTGTGTTGCCCCGGATTAAGAAATATCCACAAAGTCCGGGGTGCCAAGTAGTTGTGCCGGTATCCGTCCTACTCAAATGTTTCTTCATCACTATATCATGCACAAGGAGATTGTCCGTCCCTGGCACGGCAATTTGATGTCTGCCTAGCCGCGGGCAGACCCCCGCGGCTGCAAGTCTGCAGAATTATGGACCCCGTTTTCATTCACAAATGATATATACAGCCGAGGGCTACCCTACATGTTTCATACCTCCAAACTACCGAAGCCGTGGGATGGGGCATACTTAATCCCGCGTAGGGGCCTCTTTCTTCCGATGCTCGCGAATGCCTGCCTCTTTGTCAACGTATACAAAAGAATAGTTCAACAGAGAACTTATATTTCAAAACATGTGGCTCAAGACGCTCTCCGGAAAACGGTTTTCAAACGCTCTATATTGCATGAGACGATGATCTATTATATCTTCTCTATTTGAATAAACTTCCGACTGTTTTCCACTGCCACAAGTGCTGTCCATATTGCATTATAGGCATATTTTGCAGTCATAACAAGAGATGGCGAACGTAGACGTGATAACTGAGGCAGGCCCTGAGGTTGAGAACAAGACAGGAGTTCTGGATCCAGAGCACAGGGATTATCTGCTGTCCCGACACAAGACATTGGAGCTTCACCCATTTCCAAGCAGAGATCCGGCGGATCCTCTCAACTGGCCCGATTGGAAGGTATATCCCCACGCATAGCGAGGCAGAATCCGGGCTGATGGCGACAGAAAAACCTGAACCTCTTCTTAATCGCCTTCCATGCCATGATGACGACGTTTATAGCGGCTGGAATTATCCCTGCCTACGAGCTGTTTGTCAGGGACTTTGGGATCACAATCTCCCAGGCGTCCTACTTGACCAGCGCGCAGGTTCTGATTTTGGGACTGTCGCCCCTTTTCTGGAAGCCCGTTTCTGATCGCTGGGGCCGGAGACCGATTTGGCTGATCTCGACGTCTTGCTCCATGATATGCAACATTGGCTGCGCCGAGAGTCGCACCTATGCCGCCCAGGTCGTGACCCGGATCCTGGTGGCCTTCTTCATCTCCCCGGCGATTGCAATCAGCAGCGTTGTGGTTGCCGAGACATTTTTTGCCGAGAACAGAGGGCAAAAGATGGGCATATGGACGCTCATGGTAACACTAGGGTGAGTGGCCAATCAAATACTATTGCCACAACTAGGTACTTAAGCTGGACTTCTAGTGCACCGACCGGGCCCTTCCTTTTAGGCTTTGTGGCTTATGCGACGGACAGCTGGAAGTGGATCTACTGGATCTTTGCCATCACGAACGGCGTGCAATGTATTGCCTACTTCATCTTCTCCCCGGAGACGCTGTTTGCCAGGGAGGGAGGAGTCAAGCTCAACAAGAAGCGCACTTTCTGGCATGATCGTTTAAATTTTCGGCTCGGAGGGCAACCACACATTGTTGCTTCAGATTTTGTCTCTCCGCTCAAGCTGGCATCCTACCCACATATTGTTATTCCCGCGGTTGCATATGCCATCGTTTTCAACTTTGCTAGCATCCTTGCTACTGTTGAGATACCCCAGATATTCACACCAAAGTTCGAGTTTAACGTCCAGCAAATTGGCTTGCAGTTCATCGGCATTATTGTTGGATCGCTGGTTGGAGAAGTCCTTGGTGGACTTGGAAGTGATCAATGGATGCGTTATCAGCATAAACGCAATACTAGATCACGCAAAGTCACGCCCGAGGATCGCCTGTGGGTGAGTTACATAGGGTTTGCAGCGGTGATCTGTGGCCTCGTTGTATTCACCGTACAGGTGGACAGACTGCAGTCGTACAACGTAACGCCAGTTGTTGGTCTTGGCATAGCAGCATTTGGGAATCAGGTCATTTCTACGGTGCTCGTGACATATGCGGTAGATTGTCACGACGAACTTGCGGCTAGTATTGGAGTGTTCATCAATTTCGTGCGCAGCACATGGGGTTTCATCGGTATGTCACACTATTGATGGTTAGAGGCCCATGCTAATCTCTACAGGTCCCTTCTGGTTCCCATATATGTTCTCCAGTATTGGGCTTAGTGGAAGCGGTGGTTTGATGGCAGGAATCATCGCAATGTGTGCAATCTTACCAATCATGTTCATCCACTGGAAGGGTCGAGCTTTGCGGAAGAAGTGAACATGTGGTCAACATTCCACTTGAAGGACAATATGATGGACGGTCGAACTCCAGTGTATTCCTGACCGGGAGGTTCTCTTTCACATGAGGTGGAGATAAAACCAAACGAAGGCAGGCGTTTGACTCGGGCACTCTTCGTGGATTCGAGGCAGCATAATGGCAAGAAAATCGTGTACATTTATAATATGGTCAATCCACCGTTTGCTACTTGTCGTAGCGACAGCTTGCAGTGCGGCTCTACCAAAAACCAAGATACAGGTTGCGTAATAGCACGCCCGATTCTCGAACGGAGGATTGATTGCGCTGACTTGTAATAGAGTTTAGTAGTGACGCCAGTAAGCACGTATGAGTAGTGGCGCTCCGTAGCGCCCGTGTCAGCTCTTTACGCTAGTCTATGGGCCCTAAATGCCCTGAGGCGAGGCGGGCGCGCGCGCCATTGTTGAGTTTCGCCCTTTCAGTAATTCGACCTCTTTCAGATGTTTTGCACTCTGATTCTCTTATCGACATGCATTGAAAAGATAAAGTGAAAATGAACAATAATCTGGAATTCGCAGGTATCCATTTCCGGTTGCACGTGTCCTCCATGTCCAGTCGCTTACCATTGACACAGACTATATCGCTCTGCGCAACCTCGCCTTTGATTGGGCGGAAAGCTACGACACCAAGAACTGGGAGCTGTTGAAGCAATGTTTGGCACCCTCGACAAGTCTCGATTTTCGCCTTCTCCAAGGAAACCTTTACGAGAACCTATCGCCAGACGATTTTGCTGGCATTATAGCCAAAATGATTGGGGATAAGAGATTGAAGACGCAGCACTTCATTGGCGCGACAAAGGTGGAATGTCTGGATGACGGATCGGTCAAGGTGGAGCATCAAATCCGCGTTGCGCATCAACGCCATGAAAGCGAAGACGCCGCTTCGCCGGTAAGCAACAAGGGCCATGGGCATGGAGTCACAACACATTGGTACAAACGATTTGGCGAGTACTGGAAAATTACGGGAGCATTGTCGAATCTTTACTGGAGCGAAGATGATCTTTTCGGGACGCTCGCGCTGGAGGACTAGGATGATGGAAATATGCGAGGTATTCATAATAAAGAATTGTTGTGATGGTTCGTGGCACTATCGACACCAGAGTGACGGATTTCATCAGAAGACTCTCAGAATTTCACATGCACGATTTTGGCGTTGCATCTGGTGCAATGCAAGGGATTTGGCGTTGCTCGTGCTCAGTAGATATGGCAAAGAGACTTATTTTCGGGAATGCGATGCACTGCATAGTGTAAGTGAGGTCGGACGACCATTGGGGTCCTGGGATTCTATGACCCTTAATCGCCACATATTGCTGTTATAGGTGTACGCTTCCCTGAGGAAAAGCAAGCTTGGCAAGGACAATCTATTCATTTGGCATTGCTATGAAATAAAGTCCACGGCCGAGCACCTGTTTCCTTGAGGCCAATCTCGTCATCTTCCATCCTTAGGTATGTTTCCGATATCGTGATCGAGTCCTTCCGTTTCCGAGGAAATATAGGCAGCTCGTGATCATGATTTGGGGGGTCGTGGGAAACATGGGCTGAAGATTTCTTGCTCCGGGTAAGCGCATTTCGAATCGCATACGAGAAACCGGATTCGTGTAAAACCTTTGGTAGGCAAGGAACACAAAGAATGAAGAACCCAATTGTCATCTCTGCACAGGCCCAGAACAGGAGGGGGCCGATGTAGTACATGGTATCGCTCTCTTTTGAAAATGTGATGGTCGTGGAAAGGCGTACGGTAGCTCCGACACAAGCTCTAGTGGAACGGATTAGTGTCGCGGGCTACATGAATGTATGTAGAAACGACGGCAGGGGCACTTACAAAATTCCCATACTAAACACGAGAGACATGCCCACTTTCCTCCTCCAGTTCATGTGTAGACTCCAGATAACTCGTTGTGGTAGCATGACCATGACAAAGTCTGTGAAAACCTGAACGCTGGCAGAAGCAAGCATGACGTTGGGAAGTTTGAAGCATTTGGAGGGCAAGTAGAACTCCCAAATTGCTTGATGTGGTACGCATTGCACATTCAAAAGAATAATGCAAGCAATTCCCCAGCCGGCTTGGAGTACAATGAGCATCATACATGTCCACCAGAAAACACTTCTAGTCCTGTCGGGAACAAAGATTCTGCACCAGTCAAGCAAGATGGCGACTTTGACCAAAGGCATAGTGGCAGAATAACTGCAACCGTAGACCAGGATGAGCTGACAACATTAGTCGGTCCAATCGCCGTCGCGGTAGAGAATTCATACATAGAGCGGACGAACCAGATCTGCATTGGTCAAGTTCCACGTGTGAACGTAATAGCCGGGGGTGAATATCATGCTATATCCGGCGTACGCTGTACCCCAATACGCTGCCTGAATCGGGGTCAGAATATCGAAGATCAGAGTCAAGGATTGAACCAGTCCCAGGCAAAGTATCAGTACTCACGTATGCACAAAACATTAAGACTGTAGGGAGTAGTTGGATTAGCTTGGCTCTCGGAATTGGTCAGGCAGGGACAATTACCTTCTTCTACAGCCGGCAACCTGGAAAGAACAACGCGATCATATGCGCGTACTGCAAGGCACAGAGTCGCAACGACCATGCAGACAGTCGTTACAAACCAAGCCAACCCGTTTTCGTTTGAGGGATTCTCAAAGTCGGGCGTGATTCCATCGGGAGGGCTGAGTGCTGGTTGCGCCATAAGATCCTGTAGGGCATCCGCCGAAGTGGCCATGCTAGAGATCCATGGGAGAGATGTCGAGATCACTGAAATTCAACTTCACAGCATTTTTGACAGGTCGGACCCAGCAGGCCCCATATCCTTATATAACATGTCGACTCCTTGCCAGGTGTACATCATTTAAAAACTTTTGAAGACAGAGTTTGGCCATTGAGGTGTTTAGTACGTGATTGTTCCCATTATTACAGGAAAAAGAACGAGATTACTGTGTACTTTAGCCATTGGATTTGAGATCGGAGAAATCGGTCACGCTGTTGGGCGAGTCACGAACCCTGAATTATCCACAAGTTGTGTTTGCTGCCAGGACCAAAGGTTATCCAAAATCAGCACAGGGGTTTCAATACTGGTACGATTGATCTTCGGGGCCCCTGTATAGAACAGTACTACAGGGTATCTAGTGCCACCAGGCGCCCATCCGCGGGACGTTGCGACGCTCCACTGCAAACCGTTGCGCTAAACTGCCGTCAGTAAAGGCTTGCGGCCCGGGGCGCTTGGGCGCCAATCTTTCCACTCCGACTGCCGGCCGCCACAGCACATGGCTTGGATGTCGATGGCGAGAGCCAACACCCAGGAAATTACATCCCCAAGGAGATCACCTGAGCACGCGATCATTGTGGGTTTAAGCATTCAGATGGGTGCTGCATCAGGAGGGAGCATATGAACAGCTCCCATTGGTCGCAAAGAGGGGATTGGCCACGCAAGCAGCCAATGGTTCAGATTATCGCAAGCGCGGCATGGGCTATGGAATGTGAAAAGATGCAAATCTCCATGATAGGGAATTTGCTCCACTATCCACGAACCGATGGTCGGTAGGGGGTCCGTCTTTTTCACAATATCTTGAGTTATGATGGAACTCTTGTGCATTTGAGTTCAGAGCCGACACAAATGCAAGCCAAAATCATTTTTTGTTGGATTGACCAACTTGAAATACAGAATTAACTCGACCAGAGTCACAACCACGTTCCGTATAAAATGGCTGCAAGTGAGCACGAGATGTATCCAAAGTCCCTCAGTGCAATGGTAACCTTGTCACATAGGTCGTCAAGCCATATCCTCTTCCAAAGATGAATACCCTCGAGCCGCGGACTTGCTGGCCATGATGGCCGACAGACCTCTGCCGTTGATTGGACCAGAAATACTTGAGACTATCAATGCCGATCAAGCCCCAGCGCACGCAAAACAAGTCCTTGATGAGTTCAATAGGGCTCTGGCTTCAAATGACGTTGGCAGACTTGCGAGCTGTTTCTTTGAGAAGCAATGCTACTGGCGCGACCAGCTTGCCCTTACTTGGCACTTGAGGACAATTGAATCGCCGCGCAACTGTGCGGCAAGTATTTCGGAGACGACGGCCCTCCGCGGTGTACCGGCTGGATTCACTATCAAAGGGGCACCGCAATTTATCCCTGCTGCTCCAACCCTCGTGAGTACAAGCGATCTTCAATGGAATGGATGGGTCGCTAAGCTATGGTGTGCGTTCAGCAATTCATCAATTGCGAGTTCACATTCACCACGTCCTCTCCAGCCGCCTCTTGTCGTGGAAGCATCAAGCTCTTACCCGTGAGACTCAATGGTAGCATTGCATGGAGGATTTGGATTCTAAGCACTTGGATGGAAGACTTGCACGTGCACCCAGAGAACACAGCTTTGCTTGATTTACCACGAAGGAACCTGGACAATCTCGATCAAATTGAGACTGATGTCTTTATCATTGGTGGTGGAAACGCGTAAGTTGGAATCAGTGGCTCTTCTTTTCGTTCTGGCCGGCATGCTCAATATTCACTGGATAGCGCCGTCGCTCTCGCTGCACGACTGAAGACTCTGGGTGTTGAGAGCATCATAGCCGAACAAAATGCTCAGATTGGAGACAACTGGTTACTTCGTTACGACTCTTTACGTTTCCATGTCCCGACATCATTTTGCGAAATGCCTTATATGAGTGAGTGCTTAATTTAGTTGAATTTCTATTTTCTTCTCCCCCGGTTCTAGTTAAAAGTATGCTGATCAAAGTTTGCAGATTACGATGAGAGCCTCCAGACTCCTCATCAACTGTCCAAGGATGACTTGGGCAATCACCTGCGAAAATATGCTGAAAGTTTCAACTTGAACACAATGACTTCTGTGAAGCAGTTTTCGACGACGTACAATTCGAAAGACGAGGTTTGGACAATCTCATTCGAAACTCCGAGCGGGCGCCGGCGCGTCAAGTGCAAACACGTCGTCCAAGCAACAGGCTTTTCGTCCCAAATTCCTTATGTACCAAATATCCCCGGACGCGAGTTCTACCGAGGGCGAGAACTACATTCTGCTAGGTACAAGAACCCCAAACAACTTCAAGACCAGGAAGGCAAGGTAAGCGAGATGACTACTCTAATCGCATCTTTGGTAATAGACCATTTCCTAACCATAACCAAACAATAGTCTGTGCTCGTGGTTGGCTCGGCAAATACTGCTTTTGATGTTATCACCGACTGTTACAATGCTGGTCTTCAAACCACAATGGTTGCCCGGTCGCCAACCTACTTGTGTCCAGTAGAGTACATCTGCGATCACCGAAGCTTGGGTGTCTATGATCCTCTCGGGGTCGAAGCAGCGGACCATCTGCTGATGACTGGACCCGCGCCGGTGGATGCGATTCTGTCCAGCGCCTTCTTTACATCTCAGGCTGCTGAGGAACCTGAACGTTACACCGCCCTTGCCAAGGCGGGTTTTCAAGTAATCGATAGCCGAGATCCGAAGGCTGTGCTCATGTCCAACCTTCTGGAACGAGCTGGGGGTCATTATGTAGATGTTGGCGCTTCCAAACTAATCGCCGAGGGCAAGGTTGCCGTCAAGGGCGGCGCCGAGCCAGTCGCCTACACGGAGCGCGGTCTCCGCTTCTCCGATGGAACCTCGATTGATGCCGATGCGATAATTTGGTGCACCGGTTTCAAGGATGGCAATGCACGTGACACTGCCGCGGAGATACTCGGCGGGGATCGCAGTCCGGTTAATGAAAAGTTCAAGGGGGACCACATACTCTTGCCCCGAGACATTGCCGCTCGACTTGATGCCACCTGGGGAATCGACTCTGAAGGCGAGGTCCGCGGTATGTGGAAGCGCCACCTACGAATGAACAACTACTGGGTCATGGGAGGCTACACGCAACAGCACCGGTGGCACTCGCGAACACTGGCGTTGCAAATCAAGGCTGCGGTTGAGGGAATTCTCCCTCCCGCATATCGTCAGATGGCGGGCAAAATCACAGAGACCGCGCTTTGAGTCGAGTGCATATGGACTAATTCGTCACTACGCTAGCAGTCTCCCTCCAAAATTGAGCGCATCGCCACGTGGACGTTGGGGTGGAGCAGGACTAGTATACCTTTTCCTTCTCGCTTAGGGACCTTTCACTGCAATTTAAGCCTACGGCAGGGGGACAGATCGGATAATGGAACATCGCCACGTGGAGTGTAGGTAGGGATTATTAATGTAGGTACTGCTTCACTGCAATTTTAGCCCACGGCAAGGGGACAGATCAGAAAATGGAACATCGCCACGTGGAGTATAGGTAGGGATTATTAATGTAGGTACTGCTTCACTGCAATTTTAGCCCACAGGGGGACACATAATAAGCATATCCACGGGGATGCTGGAAACCTGTCGTTCAACTGTGACAGTCCAACGTTTGGCGCTGTCGTCCCATGACGATGACTTCATTAGCTGACACCTCAGCTAGTTCCCTTTTTGCTTACGCAAAAAGGAAGGGAAGACGGCAAGATCGAGGAACAGCAAAATCGTCAATTGTAAGAAAAAAGAAAAGGAAAAGAAAACCGTATGCCAGCTACCAAAACAGGCGCCAATACAGGGGCCAGTCCAGTCCCCAGTCCAGTTCTAAGTCCAGTTCTACAGCCAGTTCTACAGCCAGGTCCCAATCCAATTCCCAGTCTAGTTCCATGGCCAGTTCCTCAAGATCAAAAAAGATAAGAGATAATACGATTTGGGACTAAACGTGGCGTAAAAGCAGGTCAGAAAAACACACCTTCGCAACGTTACGAAGGCCTCAAATCGACCCCAAAAGTCTTAAATTTAACGCCGATCCATATCTAACAATATTCTCTATCGTTATACTTATACATCTATATTTGAAGCCATTTAGAAGGCGTAGGAGTGGTTCAAAGTCGAAAAAGGCAAAACGATCGGGTCCAATTTTACTCGAATATAGCCGTGGTTGGTTAGCTACGCCACGCCAAGAAATGTGGCCGTACACCCGGAAAACTATAGTATCAACGGGGATGCTTGAATTGTGCCGCCAGGTATCACTCCCCAGATATTTTTTATCGACCAGTCAGGTCGCTGCGAGCAGAGGGGGGATAGATGCATGTATATCGATGTAACTTGTCATGGTGTACGTACTTGTTGTTACCAAACGGAACTTTTGCGCATTACGTTATATACAAAGATTTTTTCCAGCTGTTTGAAAATGCCTCTGCAAGCTGGGAACGCAAAAAATGACGAGCGCCTTCACTGCATTTTTAACCCACAGCAAGCGGATATAGCTCGTACTACATAATAAGACGCCATATGCAGCACTAGTGCGGGGTATGCATACTGAAATCTACGATGGGATACCCATGTGCATGCTTTCACTGCATTTTTGACCCGCAGCAAGCGGATGGATGGACTGAGACGGCACATGTTGGTTGTTTGTATGCAAGCAATGTACCTAGTACAAGGATTACTCGGCCATGGGTATAAGTAACCCTTATGCCCAGTATAGTACGTAAGGTAGCTTTAATACCTAAGTCACTGTACACACACATTTCAACAGCACATGCAGAGGACCTTACTTCACTAACCCTAGTGCCGGAACGTGCCACAATAATTGCAACAGATATGAAAATACGTACATAAGACACCGGAGTAAGTGATACAGTGACTTGAGGTCTGATTTGCATTATATCATAATGTAAATTGACTTAAATATCAGAACGATGAATCTGCAGATCTAAACACCAACAGTGAGATGATCTAGTAAGCCGGCACCAATTAAGTCCCATACTCGCCAAAGCGGCATCTGCTCGGTGCATTTTCACAGTGTTGCTCTCCGACACGCAAATCAATCAGCGATCATCGCGCATCATTTGCGCGAGGCATTATCTTGAATCTGGTTTCAGATTCTCTAATCATTTTCACTTCGTATTCAGTAGCTCCCCGTAGGAGCAACCGCAAATCCCTGCCTGCATTCCATTCGCCATCATCTAGTGCAGCCTTTAAATCCGCTTCCCAAAAGCCGCTCTTTGGAAAGTAAACAGAGTTGGACTTTGACCATTTCCATATGGGGGTCAATCTATCCTCCAAGAGTGCATCCGGGGATGCGCCAAATACGGGGATAGTGAACACCTCGACAGTACATGCGTTAGGAAATGTCCTCGTGCCAGGCATGTTGAGCACAGCGACTCTGATGTCTGCTGCTGTCTTGACGCCGTTATTCATATTTGAGGCAAGTTGTGATATCATATCGTGCGCTTCTTCACCGCCTGTGGCTGGTAGGTCGAGTCGGCCAACCTCTTCTACACCCTCAACAAGCCGAAGAAGACGGGCGCCATCGTCAACATTGATGCTTTCCGCAAGGTCATGATGATGGATTCGAGCCGTGGACGGCGAGCCAATAACTACACTGGCTATGAATGTGTGGACATGAGTGTGAGTTGACACATCGGAGTCTGGGAGCGTTTGCATCGCGTCCGAGTCGGTCTTTGTGGGAAAATTTGAATCAATCTTGCAACTGATCGTTCCTTGGAAGGACATGGGATGAACGGCCGCAGCGCGAAAGTTGGTTTAGTGTTTATAAAGTTTGATTTGCCTAGTAGTTACAAGAATTCTGACTCAGTGTGGCTGATATCATTGGATCTGTGTCACGCATGTCAATTGAACCAACGCAGGATATGAACAAGAGAAGCTGTTGCCTAGACTAGTCTCGATTTGGTCTTGCCCAATCGGATTTTGAGAGCATTATCTCCGATTCATTACCATGTTCCAGTAGATGCAGCGAGGGACTTGTTTTTATTAGTGCTCGCAGCATCAATTCATGAATGGATCATATTTCAGAATCTATATGACTGATTATTTCGAATTAGAGTCGACAGACCAGCCCACACACCAACCCTAGAGGACAAAACTGCGCCGACGAAATCAAAATATTTTGTGATGATGCAAGAGGATCGTGCCTTGGTTCAAATGATAACGAGCTTCTTGTAATACCCGAGCTATTGTCCCATATTTCTACGATGACAGGAGGCCCTGGGTTTCTTCATTCACATCGCCGACGGCATTGTCACTCACGTCTTTGACCATTTGACTTCGTTCTGGAGGGAAGTTTGACAGGAACAAAACTAGAACAGCAACCAACGCAACAGCCTAGATTGAACTTGAATGTCAGTCATCGACATCTCAAGACTCGAGCATCTGACTTACGGCGTTGCAATAAAAGGTCAAATAGGCTTCCCCTATATCTGAAAAAGCAGAAAATATATAGCCAAATACCCCAAGCGTGGAAAGCATTGCTACATTTTCCACAAGCGTCATGGCTTGCAGTGCATCGGCGCGTTCCGACGGCGAGCACATTTCGGTGATCACGCCTTTGCTGGCTGGAGCCGACCCGGAGGCTAGCGGGAGCAATAGCCCGGCTGTTTCGTATTAGTATTTGGAGCAAGGTCAGGCTGGGGAAAAGGACTTGCCCATGTAGATTTGCCAACTGCTCGAAGCAAAAGCAGTGTAAGCAGTGATCAGCCCATCTGCCACCAGGCTCCATCTCAAGAAGAACAAGTCGAAAGCCTTGCCTGATTTGTCCTCCGCTGATTGCATCGGTGTTGCTGGTTCTTGGGCGGGCATGATGCCTGGTATTGGATCGAATTCTTCTGGAGCAGTGGGTATGACCGGCCCGTCAGGTGGCAAATTCGAGCTCGACATGGATTTTGAATACCATCTTCTGCCCATGGAAATAATTTTTGGAAACAGAAAAATGAGAAACAGGCCACGAATCAAAGCATTGGATGCCATGAGATAGCCGTTGTCGGTGGATCGGAACCCGAATGCTGCTGTAGCATACATCTGGATGAGCAGCGGTGCATATCCCGTTGCGAGAACTCCGAGGAATACACCAAGCGCCAGGAATGTGATTCCAAAATGTTGCACTAATTTACCATTCTCGAGTCGGATCCGCTGGGGCATCAGTACTCTGAATGGCGCAAGCACTGACTTCAGCCCTCCTGTGCTCTGTGACTTGCCGCCTGAAAGTGACTTTGGATCGATGAAAGGTATAAACAGAGCAGAGTATGCGACGGACACGACAAAAAGTATAGTCGAAACTTCAAAAGGCCGCCGGATGCCAAAGGCATCTCCAGTAATCCCACCAAGCAGATATCCTGCTGCCGTGCCAAGCATGACAGCACCTTGAAGCTTTCCAAACATTCCGGTCCTTTCAGCTGGACGAACCACCTCGCCAGCCGCTGTGTTCAAGCAAAGTAAGTGTCCAGCCGACCCCGCCAAGAGGCCGACTATCTGGCTGGACTGTATCGTCATGACGCCCTGCCGAGCCCCAATGGTAACGGCAATGACCTGGATTCCAGTGCGCAGGACCGGGAATGAAGTTTGCAGAATCAGCGCCGTGCGTGGACCCCATTTCTTGACCTGCCAACCTGCGACGAAAAGATTTAAGACGCCAAAGAATATCGTCGTCAATCCAAGCAGTGAAACTTGCGCAGCTGTTGACGCATCAATCTCCTTGCGGCTGCAACGGTTATCGTCTTGGCCCATAAAGGGCTGATGTTGCTTGAAAAACTCTTCACATTCCATAATTCGGATTGCATAAAGAATCCTAGAAAAAAAGGGCAAGAATATCAGAATCTTATAGTGAAAAAGAAAAAAAATCAAATCCAAAGTGGTCTGCTTACGGTACTTGAGTGAAGCTCAATGCTGCAGAAATCAATACACCCGCTACTAGGACCCTATCTGCAGCTGAAAAATAGCTTGATGTTGTCCTGAAACCTGCTCTGCCATTGTCGAGCAATAGTGACTCTTCCGTAAGCGCCATGATTAGGTTGATCAAATAATTTGCCAGATGAGCTGCCCTTCAGCTTTCATAGGTATCATCTAGATGCTGTTTTCTTGGGGCTCAATCGCATAGCTCATGGTCTTGTTTATGATAAATACCAAGCTACAAATAAATGGATAGAGACCGTGTAGCTAAGCGCTAAGCAAAGAGATTATCCATCTCCAACTTTAGACACCCCACCTCCACAACCCACACCCCTCTTTCCTATCTCCGGGTTTCCACTTGCCATGCGCATCTGGTTATCAATTGCCCCGGTCTATGGACTTCCTATCGTCGGTCTTTAGTTGCCGGTAGTGCCCCATGTCCCTTGCGATATGCATGATAAGGAGACTGCTGGAAACAGATACAGCGAAATGTACTACACAGGAACCTTATCTCTACACTGGCCTGATGTCTCGTTGCGGGGATGGACTACTATACTGGCCCAAGACGCATGTAGGGTCAATCAACTGCTGTACATATAGGTGTATGCTGTTAGGCTCATACTGCAACCGTTCTAGACCACCAAGCACAGATCTATAGGTAATTGTTCACGGCAAGGACGAGAAACTATGAGCCCCGAAAAGCAATCGATTTTCAAGACGACTAAAGGTATGTACTTGGGGTGGAACTTTCCGTTCGGACACGACTGATATCCCGTCTAGTGTTGATCTTGGGCGATGAAGCCAAAAGTAAGGAAGAGCGAAAGCTTGTTCAAAAATTGGGTATGGTAACTCTCCTGACATGCGAGTTGTATTGATGATTGACACGTTTCTAGATTTCTTCATCCTGGTCCGTTGATAAGTTGATGCGGAGTGCAATGATTTGAATAGGCACTAACGTCTGTCAAGACATATTGTTGTTTGAGTTTCTTCTTCAACTATCTAGGTCAGCAATTCTTTCTTATCGAATGGGTACGCGACGGTTTTAACCTTTCCCTCGCAGATCGATCCTCGTTTGCCAATGCCTACGTAGCTGGGCTTCAGGAGGCCTTGAGCCTCGAAGGGACAAACTACAATGTACTCCTATCGATGACGACCGCAGGGTAAGCTACCAGACGAGACATTTGATTGCCAATCTGACAGCAGCGATAGCTATACGATCGGCCAGATCCCTCACAGCATTGCCATACAAAAGATTGCTCCGCGCATCTGGTTCCCGAGCATGGTCATCATTTGGGCCGGTCTGACCATGTGCTGCGCTGCATGCAAGACGTACGCTCAACTTTGCGTCGTACGCTTCTTCATGGGCCTCGTTGAAGCCAGCACTTATTGCGGTACCCTCTATGTTATCGGCTCTTGGTAGTAAGTACATGGTGAGCTAGTCAACGCCCGTACCCAGATTAACCATATCAAAGCAAGCCACGCGAGATTGCCAAGCGCACTGCCATTTTCACCGCCTCCGGTCAGGCTGGATCCATGTTTGCTGGCGTGATGATGACTGCCATATACTCTGGCATGAATGGCTATGTATGCAATTCCCGGCGGTTGTGCAAAAATGCACGCTCTGATTAATATTTTTTATAGTCTGGCCTGGCAGGATGGCAGTGGGTCTTTATCATTGACGGCATCATCACTTGCCCTATAGCCATCATGGGCTTCCTCTACTTTCCCGACGTTCCCGAGAACACCAAAGCGCCATACTTGAGCGAGTCGGATAAACAATTGGCTCTCTCTCGACTGCCGCCAAAAAGAGAAGACGGCCACAATATCAATCCATGGTCATTGGCCAAGCGAACGTTTACCTCGCCTGCCTTGTAAGCTTCAACCCGTCTCGTTGGGATGAATATGTTGCGCGTCTAACCCTGTGCATAGCTATATTCTGTCGCTCTTCTCGATGGTTTGCGGCGCCCTCGAAGCATTCTGCGTGCAAGGTTTATACTTGCTATGGCTCAAATACCAATCCACAACGCATGGTTCCTTTAGTCAAGCCCAAATCAACACGTATCCGTTGGGTATTCAAGCCGTCGGCATCGTTTCCAACCTCATGGCTTCTGTATACATTGATGCCACTGGTCGCCGGGTACCCATGGGTATCCTGGCGTGCGGATTACAACTGGCGTCGACCATTATACTAATCATTCCCCACGTCTCCTTTGCAGCCACCATGTTTGCATTTTACTGTGCGGGTACCTCGTACATTGTGAATCCGCTCCTGTTTGGCTGGGCCAACATTATCTGCCAGCGCGGAGGCGACGATGCTCTCCGCTCGGTCATCTTGGCCTCCATGAATGCCGCAAGCCAGATCCTCTACGTCTGGTGGGGAATCGTTTTATATCCTGCTGATGAGGTGCCATACTGGCAAAAAGGCTCGATTGGCATGTTGGTCGTAATCGTCTTGCTGTTGGCACTTTTATGGGCTGTCCATTGGGTAAGTTGGATCTACCAATGTCCCCCACCTGTCTCTCTTCCCCCCCCCCCCCTCTCTATTTTTCTCTCTGTGCTCAACTTCATGTTTGTTAACACCTCTCCTTCTCAGCTCGACGAGTACACATTGGCAAAGTTTCCCGACACTCCCGTGCATGAGTCTGCCGAGTCTGTGGATGGAATTGAAGGAGACTTTTCCGTCAAGGAGAAAGAGAAGGAACTGATCCGGACGGGGGCGCCCGCCAACGGGGCTGGTGCGGAGGTCCCCTGCTAGCGCTATAATATCTGGCGCGAGCGCGTCAAGTGCCCTAGAACAGGGAGAAAAAACCCCGCGACGACAACAAATCAGGGCACCTTCTTAGCGGGCTTGACCATCTGTAAAGTGCTGCGATTGAGATGGGTTACAATGGGGGGTTCTATTTAGCAGAGGCCACTCGTTTTTCCAAGGCCAACGACAAAGCAAATATTAATTGACGTTTCTGGTTCTATTCCAACTTACTAGCTATCAATCACTCAACTTAGATTCCTGTATTTTGTGCAATCTTTTTGGAATCTTATATTAAGTAGGCGTATCATCCCTACTTTCGACTAAACGGGTATTAATGTAATGTCGAAGATGTCGCCTCATGGTTGTACAGTTACCGAAGACACTGGGTGCATGCGGGTTGAAATAAGCCATGATGCTTGTTAAGTCTGTTTAGTGACACAATCTTTCGTAGTTGTAGACCATCTTTAATTTTACTCTTTATTTTTGGATACAGGTCGTATCACCCTGCTAGATCTTGACATCGTAGAGCCAATGGACTTTATTCATGATTATCTTAAGCCCCGCCAGCTGCTAATTCCATTCGCAGTTCCTTTCTGTAGCCAAACCACCAATGCGACTTTTAACAATGCGCCCATCTTTCATCACCAACATCAAGTTTTCGTTGGTCCTATCTAGGCTGGACACGTCCTCTAAAGGATTTTCTTTCAAGAATAAAAGGTCGGCATATGCGCCCTCGATGAGCTCCCCCAATTTACCCTCCATTCCCACCTGCTTGGCCCCATTGATTGTAGCCTGGCGCAAGACGACGGGGCTGGGGAGCAGTTTGGCACGCACCACGAACTCATATGTCTGCATCACCAACGTCGGTCCAGTTGTATCGGTTCCATAGCACACGCATACGCCGGCCTCCTCTGCGTAGCGAATCGCGCGAATGCCTGCATCACCCACAATGGCATTCTTGCGCAATCCCTCTGGCGTCTCAAACTTGTCGTACGGTGGCATAGTCACAAAGGTGTGAAGGGCAAGTGTCGGGGTCAGGAAGACGCCTTTTTCAGCCATGATTTGGGCAGTCTCGGGGTCGAGCATATTTCCATGTTCGATACCCCCGACGCCACCGGCAATCGCATGGCGAATACCCTCGGCCGTGTAACAGTGCGCCGTGACCAGAGTTCCTCCCATGTTTTTCGTCACTGTAGTGATGGCTTGAAGCTCCTCAACAGTAAACTGCAGCGACTCGAGTTTGTCCGTGGCGGACGCGATGCCGCCAGATGTGCATACCTTGATGTGATTTGCGCCTTTTCTCATATTGTCTCTGGCAGCTCTCAGGCAATCGGGTACGCCGTCGCACAAGCGGCCCAGCGCGGAAGAAGCAATTCCGGAACCCTGGCAACAATGTCCGTCTGTCCAGACCTCAGTGTCGTCGCCGTGCCCGCCTGTTTGAGACAGCATCCGTCCTCCCTGAAAGACGCGAGGACCGGGAATCAGAAATTCTTCAGTCGCTTTGGCGTGCGCAATGGTGGCGCCACCCGTGTCCCGTACCGTGGTGAATCCATTCGAAAGTATGCCCCTCAGCGTCCCTGCCGACCTGAAAATCGCCGTCTCATGTGGGAATGTGAATGCGCCATGAAGAGTCTGAAACATGTCAGTCCATACCTGCAAGATTGGTACTAACAGAGAATAACAGGTTTACTGACAGCGCTTCCATGAACAGCCATTAAATGCACATGACCTACGAATTCTGTCAGTATTATATGTCCGCACTAAGGTGAGCAATTCGCTCCTCACAATCAATCAGACCAGGACAGACAAAGTAACCGCTTGCATCGATCTTCTCAACTTTCTTTCCAGCATGATAGACCTCAGAAGACATATCTCTGGCGGTTGTCGGCGAGACACGGATAACTTTGCCTCCTGCGAGCTGCAATGTCATGTTTGGGCGTACCACGCCTGCTCGAGGGTCAACTAATTTGGCATTGGTCAGAAGATAGGCCTTCTGCGGCCCCGGTAGCCACGGCCTTTCTGAAATATCGTACTGGGGATCTGGCGGGTAGACGGCGGCCGTCAGATCAGCAAACGACTTGACGTCCCCTCGTCCCATCTGAGACGCTGAATGAATATTAGAACCGACTTCATGGTTTTCGGGTTCATCAATGTTGATAAACTCGAAGCCAAAAACATCATTAGACGAGGATTGGCCGTGCTTTGGTGAGGACATGCTTCTCATTCTGAGGTTCATTGGTGCATATGACGCAGAAGACAATAAAGTTGTTCGATCTACCTATAAGATTTTCATTTGACATAATACGATAGATTGCACTATTTCAAGCTGAAGCAACAGGTACCAAGGACTCAGAAACAGACTTGGCACGATGAGCATGGATCACTCCGCAATATGCATGTTGGGGGCTTGGCGTTGGAAGAAGTCAACGATAAGGCCGGCCGGAGCCCGGGCCGGATGCTGGGTGGCGGGGAGCGGTAGTATTGGGCCTCTGCTTCCTACGCGGGGAGACATGGTCATGTCCTATTGAACTACGACCACTTCGGTGACCTCAGAGCCGGTGATTAAATAAACGTTGGCGACCGGTGATTTACCTGGTCTTGGCCATGCCATGTAGTGGTATTGTGTCGCCGGTACTCACAACCGTGGTGTCACCAATGATAACATATGAGTCTAGATCTCCGGACCCCCCAGTCTCACCCCGCCTTATCAGCAGAACGCTTTGCTAGGAATGGTCCAGGGAGTGAACAATGCTAGTTACACGCCACAACACTTAAGCATCCTGGCCTTCGTTTTGCTTCATGGTGATGACTTTTTGCGTCGAATAGTCGTTGCGATTTGAGTACCTACCTAGATTGTGCTTATTACACGTAGTACGATGAAAATGCTGCCACAAAAGACGTTGATACCTGCAAGACAACGAGATGGTGGTACTGAATCAAGTCAAAGCTCAATAGTTCTATCACACTTCTGGAAGAACATTTCGTACATTTTAGCCGTGGTGGGCCTCGCACATCTGCTCAATGGAATCTGGCAAACAACAAGAGTGGTTTTCACACCCAAGAACACGGATGAGAGAATTTCGCATTCAGATCCATATCCTGACACAGACTATCCGCTCAGGCCTGCAACCGAGCCTTGGGATATTTCTCAATCGTACGAATATTCAAGAAACTTCACAAAGACTGTTTCGAATGGAACTTGGCTCCGCATCACCACTCATCCGATCAAAGATGAAATTGTTTTCGACATGCTCGGAGATTTATACTGCATGTCATCTGGTGAAACTTCGACGACGTACTCGGCACGAAAGGCGCATGCATTTCTCACCGGAGTTCCTTTTGACAAGGAAGCGGAATTCTCATCTGACGGCACGCAACTTGTATTTATATCAGATGCGGGATTTGGTGTTGACAATATCTGGACGCTGCCCTACACTTCTTGCGACGAGATGGCCCAGGTTGCATCGGATGAGACGAGAAAGTTTACCGTTCAGCAGACCAACTCGACCTTCAGGTTCTTTTCAAGTCCGGCGTTTCACCCTACGGAGCCCAAGATTATTGCTACGAAATGGTACTTGACTGGTCGACCTAATGGGGCCGGCGAGATATGGGAAATTCCTTTGCTCCAACGGACTCCGGAGATACTTCCAAATCATGGCGGCAAGAGACTCATTGCTCGACAGATTCCAGCCTCCTGGCCGCGAGAGAAGTATTTCGAAAGTCAACTTGGAGCTGAGCAAGCGAGGTACTCTGCAGACGGGAGTGCAGTCGTCTTTACTCGCAACTCAAAAGATAAGCAATCTGGGAAATTCTCATACAACAAGGACGTTCATGCCGGTATCAATGCCGTTTATTCCCTGGATCTCTCCAATAGTCATGTCACGGAGCTCGTGGCAGCCGCAGCGAGCGCTCCAAACCAGCCTGCCAGTCCCGGCGGTGCAAGCATGCCACGACTCTCTCATGACGGCAAGACCTTGGCTTTTGTGCGTCGCGTCGACGACAAGAGCGTTTTGGTTTTGAAACATATGGAGAGCGGCACCATTCACTATGCTTGGGATGGATTGACGTACGATCTCAGCATGATCCCGGCATTTATGGGAGCTTACCCGAATTTTGGCTGGGTTGCGAATGATACAGCGCTGGTCATATGGGCCCAAGGCCTCATTTGGCGGGTTCCCGTCGCACTTGACGCCCTGGGCGAGCGAGTTGGAAACGGCGCACCATTTGCTTTACCATTCGAAGCGTCTATTGAGCTTGAGCTTGGTCGGACCAGGTACTCTACCAGAGACATCCGGGAGGCTGAACTAGCTCAGACTGGGACAGTCACGTCGCTACACGGACTTCGAAGTAACGAGGCTGGCGATTCTGTCGTGTTCGAGGCCGCAGGAGATAATTATATGGCATCTCTCGACAGCCAATCAGATCGTCCCACTATCACAGCTCTGGAAAAGCCTAATAAGCATACCTCTTGTTATGCACCCTCTTTTGTACATGGCAGTCCATTCCTACTGCAGGCCTGCTGGAATGCACGAAATCTGACCAGTTTCCATTTGTTACACCACTTGAAAGGTTCTATTATCAAGGTTCACGGACTGCCAAGAGGGAGATATGTATCACCCGTCAGCAATGGCCTTTACATTGCTTACGTGCGTACGGGAAAGGATTACATGTTTGGCGACGTGGAAGAAACCTTTGGCGATGGAGTTTGGATTGGTCGCCTAACACTCCCTGGTGAGACCCTGGCGCGTCCCACCATATCAGACCTGGAGCATATTTCTTCGATTCAAACCAGCCATGAAACGAAGCTGGACATTTCGATGATCAATGGACAACCTACCTTGATTGTACAGAACCCAAACAAAATTGTCCTGCATGGAATACAAACCGGTGTAGAAAGTGTTCTGGTTACAGGGAGAACAACGGTTGAGATGACCGCCTTGCCTGCTACCAAGCAGCACCTGGTCGCCTTTCGAGATTTCCAGCATGTGTGGTTCTCATATGATGGCAATATGCGTTCTCGTGCTATATGGAGCAAACCTGGAGACGTTGATACTCCCAGTGGCCTGGTGCGATTGACAGAGACTGGTGGTCATGATGTGACGATCAGTGGGGACGGGAGAAGGATATTCTGGCTCAATGGCCCCACGCTCGAGTATGTGGACGTTGACAATGTTGCAACAGCATGTAGGATGGCTCCTTCGGAGTTGCGTGACTGTGGTGCATGCAGTCGACCCTGGGTACGCAAACACCATCTGAATATTCGATATCAGACGACCACTGGCGCGCAGGCCATATCGACTCAGGGACGAGCGTTTGCCATTGTCAATGCAACAGTTATTAGCATGAGTACAACGTTCCCAATGATTTTGAAGAATGCAACCATTATTATTCAAGCTGGGCAGATCATCGATGTAGGAGAGAGTATACACACGAGTCTTCCTAAGGAGACAGACTTGCACGATGCAGAAGGTGGCGCGGTTCTGCCCGGCTTCATTGACATGCATGGACATTGGGGTGGCTTCCTTTCACCCTATCCGCAGCCATCATGGGAGATGGAGACATTCCTTGGGTACGGTGTAACAACCATACACAACCCATCGTCCAAAAATGTCAATGGCATGGTCGAGCGTCATCTGATAGAGAAGGGGCGCATGTATGGTCCGCGCGTCTTCCATACGGGCGACGTACTATACGGCTCTACTCAACCGTCCGTTTATACCGAGATCAATTCAAGGTCCGACGCCCGAGATGCTCTCATGCGTGTCAAAGCCGAAGGCGGCAGTTCTTCATTTTCTGTCAAGAACTACCAAATTGCCCCTCGTTCAGCCCGTCAGAGACTTTTGTTCGAAGCAGCTGATCTGGACATGCTGGTGTTGCCCGAGGGCGGCTGGTCTCTCGACTGGGACCTGACGTATTTCATTGACGGCTACACCACGCTCGAGCATCCCGTGCCGGTGCCAGAGCTCTACGACGACGTGATTTCGCTGATTGCAGCCAGTGGAAGTTCCTATACCCCGCTTGCCGTCATGAATTATGGTGGCATCTTTGGGCAGCATTGGGTTCATCAGAACCATGATATTCAACAGGACAAGAAGCTTAGGAATTATGTCAAACATGACATACTTGAGTCTTTGACTGAAGTGAAGAAGGCCCCAATGAGCTCATACCAGTTCTTCAACACCACCAAGTCGACAGCCGAGGTCGCCCGCCGTGGTGTTCGGACAAATGTCGGTTCCCACGGCGAACAGCCGATTGGATATTTGTTTCACTCGGAGATGCACATGATGGCACTTGGTGGCCAGAAGCCATACGACGTCTTGCGTCACGCCACAATGGGTGGCGCAATATCGTTGGGGCTACAAGCGGCCATTGGATCAATTGAGCCGGGAAAGCTGGCAGACTTGGTGATATATCCAGCTGGCGTGTCTACAGTAGAAGCAGTTTTTAACTCGAGCATGCACATGAAAAACGTGATGAGCAGAGGGACCCTTTTTGCCGTCGAAGAGGGGCTAGTGGAAATATGGCCGAGAAAGGGCAGACGACAGACAAGGACAAGACTCAATCCGGACAATGACCTGTAGTCTACCTATCATATATAATAGCATGAGAATAGGTATCTAAGACTTTAGGATTCTTTGCAAGAGATCGAAAGATGGCTTGAAGACCTGTTTTCAATCTACATGGGCACTTTAGGAGCCATGCGCTTCCAAAAGTCGCATCTATTGCCTCTGCCTCCCTCCCAAGTCCTGGCATTGACTTCACGAAAGTCGTTTCTCAGACCTGGATCATGGTAATCGGAAATATTCCCCCGCGGCGAAGCATCACTTGAGAGCACGCCGCCAGTCTGATTATACACGACCATGCGATCGTGTCCCCAGACTGGCCAGTGTGATAGGACATCGGATCCAGAGTTATTGGCAACAGCACTAGGGATATTGGGAGACCCTGTGGTGATGAAAGCGCCCCAGATCGCTCGCAATGCTCGAACAAATGCCGGACCTTGCGATGGCGAAGGCTTATTAAAGTATACCATGGCATCGAATGAATGGAGCGCGAGTTGGTTGGCATAGGTGTGGAGGTAGGACGTCTTGGCGTAATTATCCGTGTACGCTGTAGCGAGCCAGTAGGAAGGGCACGCAAAGTTTGCCTCGGAGAAAATGGCATAGGCACGCTGCTGATTGCCGACCGCATATGGGGAAACCTCGACTGCTGTAGGACCACTGTCTCCTGCTGTAGCAAAGCGAGGGTTTGACGCGTTTCTGCTACAGCTAGTAAGGGGATATGTCTCCAAAAGTGCAGAGATGTCTTCATCGTCGAACCACTGAAATCTTATTCGTATAAAGTCGACCAGGTCAGCTTCTGTAGTGATGTTTGCAGGCACAAAACCAGGTGCCTCGTCAGCGTTGTGGTTGGTCAACATGAACTGCCCATTGACTGCTTTCTTCTCGACCAGTTGGACGGAGGGAGGCCCCGGGATGAGATTCCCGTCTGTCACAGGTGCAAAGCCAAACGTCCCGTTGACTGCAGCAGCTGTGACATTATCGTTGGCTTCCCGGAGGACCTCCATATCCTGCGTACGCAAGCAAGCCATCTTATCTTTAGCATCCCCACAACCACTAAATTGTGCAAATTGGTCATACAGGAAGGTCGGGTAGTCGTCATTGTACCTTGGAATGATTAGCGATACCACAGCACTACATTAATATTCGTAATTTGATAGGTTAAACATACTTGTACTGCTTTGGTAGATAGGGTGAAGCTGCTATAACCTTGTGTGGGGCAGTAATACGTCAGGCCATATTGGTTATCTCAGTAGATAGAGAAAGATGGACGCACCTTTTGGAACAGTCTGTCGCCATCAGCACCACCGTACGCCATTGCATGAAGCATGACTGACCCTCCCCCTGCAGAGTCCCCATAGATGGTCACGTTGGAACAGTCTCCCCCAAATAGGTGGACGTATTTCTGCACCCATTCCAGCGCTAGCCTTTGATCCAGAATACCTGCATTTAGGTCTCCGTTTTGCTTGACATCCTCTGAAGAAAGAAAGCCATAAGCGCCAACCTCAAACAAGTTAGGTAAATTTTCACATAGATTGTCAGATATTCTTACTCGGTAGTTGAATGAGACGGCCATGAACTCCCCGTCGTGGCTGTTTAGAAGCAGAGACAAGTCTGGGTTACCATCTCCGAGCAAATAACCTCCTCCATGGACGTAAAAAAAAACCGGAAGGTTGTTAGCTTCCTCGGGCGCGTATACGTTTAGAAACAAGCAGTCTTGATCCGTCTCCTCGGGGCTGTTGCCGAGTCTCTGAGAGACAGTATAGGCTTGAACGCACGCAGTTCCATAGCTATCTGCTGATATCGTCAAGTTCGTCTTTTCGGGCTCAATTGGAGCCCTGAAGCTGAGATCTCCAATAGGAGGCGCAGCATAGCGCATACTTGAAAGTAATTAGCAATCATCCCCGCTTCATCTCGATTGCCTTACCCTTTCCATGTATTCAAACCTGTAGTCTCGTTGTGAATCCCCACGTATTTGGCGTATCCAAGATCGACGGTCAGACTTGGGTATTCAGCGTGCGCAAGTGTGGCGAGGCCGAGTGCTAGCCAAGTCTGTAGCTGCATGTTGACAGAGTCGTAACAAAAGTTGTGCGCTAACTTTGATGATTCTAAATCCCCAAGGTATCAAGAAATTCAATTGATGTAAATATAAATATGCGGTTAGCTGGGTCCTTTCCTCATAGTTACACATTCCCCTCAATGCTGGACATCACCCGCCTCCTCGCCACCACTAAACCATTGATACGAAGCAACATGCATCCCGTCCGGGATTATGCACTGCACGAATTTATACTCTTCTGTTGTGATACATCAGGTGCGCTAAAATGGGGTCGCGTCAAAGAATTATACTACCTTTTTCTTTCCTCGAGGATTCCCACCCATGTTCTATCAGCATCGGACAAGGATGTGATTCGCGGTAATCCCAGCAATGGCGTAGGACTTGCCCCGTAGCCTCGGAACAGCTGTGCCAGAACAGTGTGCGTGCGGGGCCTTGATGCGATATCGACTATTCGTTTTTTTCTGTTTTCTATAGCACCCCGCAATCTTCGTGCAGCACGTGGCAAGCCGTGGGGTAAGACTGTGCCAAGTCTACAGGCACCATGTTGAGGCTGATTCTCTGCACAAGTAGACATGATTCGACGGTGATTTTCCAGAAGTCACTCCGGATTATGCACCTCCTCGGACTCTAGAAATTGTGCGGCCGTAAGTTTGTGACGGCATTGGCGGTGAAGGAGCCAGCCCGTCTGATCAGGCTGTCCTGTCGGCTTTCATGCAGGCTTTGTCCTTGCATTTCAGACAATTTCCTACTATTTGCTCCTAAGCCTTCTTCCTAGAGGACGTGGCGGTAGGAAAGGTCCGCAATGACAATCACTTTTTCCTAGTAAGAGAACCAAAGTCTCGCATCACGGTTTGATCTTCCAGTCCAGCTTGCCGTGCTTGAAAGGCAAGATATGTGCCTTCGATGCGCCGTGCAAGGACAATAGAATGCCGAGTGCCGGGCTTGGCCAGCGCCCACAGACTCTTGTATATACCCTGCAGTGGGTATGCCCCTATCCCAATGCTTGCTAGAAACAATAGTCAATATTTACGCCTGTACAAGCTGATCAAGTATACGGGGAAGAATCTGACCTGTGAACAATTTGCTGGAAAGTCCGCCAAGGCCTTTGGCAACACCCTTCAGCCCACCGATGGCCCCTTCTTGCTGGGCACCTCTGTATGGTAGCACAAAGATTCCTGCAACGCCATCGACGATCCCGTAAACCAAGATTTTGGCGCCGGCGGCGGTTCCCGATTTCCAATCCCGGATCGTGCCAATGTCGCGCACATCCTCACCCCAAAGCCTAGGAATATTTCGGCAACCTTCCGTGAAAGCATACGGAATGGCGACAAGACTTCCCGAATAAGACTTGAACAAGTCCACAGCAGCCGATGCTGATGCGGCAGTCATCTGCTTTGTGGTACTCATACAGTCTCGTGCCTTGCCTTCCTTCGCATGATCAGCAGTACTTGGTGGACCATCTCGACTGTACCTGATGCCCTCTCTTTCTTGATGCGGCAATTGTTCTTCTACAGATTGAGATGAATCCTTTGAGCGGTCTTTGAAGACCTTGGCTGGTTTCACCACAACATCTGCGGCTGCGGCCATGATATCTCGACTGGTACTAATCGCCGCCGATACTGTTCCAGTAACGGGATCCCATCTGCGGGACTCGATTATAATTGGACGAATCTCGTTTCTATCCCAAAAAGAAGAAGAGTTAGCACGAATATAACAATCCAACCGCTAATGCAAATCTCACACATACATTTTCAATCGTTTATGGTCGATGTGCAAGTGGCTTGCTAAAATCTCTGCAGCAACCTTGGATAACCTGAACGTCCTGCCTGACTTTCGGTAAGACCACGCTGCAGCGTGGCCTTTGATAATATCGCACTCGAGTGTACGTTCGGGCAGGTTGGCATGAAAGGAAGCCACTGCCGCCTTGACTCCCGACTCGCTTCGCATCCTCCTCGCTATCCCTTGTGCTGCGGTCTGTGCTTCTGTTGATAGGCAAAGCCTAATTGCTGCTTCAAGGTTATCTACCGTGAGGAACTTTTGGGGAATGGGCTTTGGTCCAGCCCCGGCGGCGGCAACCATCTCACCCCAAAAAGGCTGACTGTCATCAAGGTCAAGTGTCAGCAACAGAATATTTTCCATCAGAGAAGACAGGAAGCATACTCTCCAAAGAACGGCACAATGGTCGTTGGTCGTCCATTCAAGAGACCACATGCTGTTGTACCTGCTCCACCATGGTGAATGACAGCAGCTACATGCTGAAATAACCATTCGTGAGGGCAGTCTCCCAGGTACATGACATTTTCTGTTGCCGCCCCACCGAGATTACTCCAGCCTCTGGAGATCAAGGCTCGGACACCGCATCGTTGGATTGCCTCGAGGATTCGGCTAGTCATACCCTCAGGATCATCAAGTACGATGCTCCCGAAGCCAATATATATCGGTGGAGGTCCGCCTTGAATGAATTCGACTAGTTCCGGTGGCGGGGAGTAGCTGGGAGGCTCGCGAAAGAAAAAGCCGCACACATCTATATCTTCATTAGAAATGTCAAAATGCAGAAACAAGTACTTCTTACCAATATGCGGACCCCAATCGCTTGGTTTTGGGACCAAGGCAGGAGACCAACAATACGTGAATGGAATCTTTAGTGTCTCTGCCAGGTTAGGTCCATCTGAGAATGCTATTGGCTCCAGATCCAACTTGTCTCTCCATTCGTTGATAACATCCCCAAGGCTGAAGGTTGCAATTGTCAGCTATGCAGCAATGCTAGGGCCGTAGGAGACGATGTTTTCTTACCCTTGCCATGTTAGGAATTCTACCACAGAATATGAAAGCGCATTGGCCGTCCGAGGCTCCGCGCCGGAAGTGGAGGCATTCTTTAGATTGGCCAATGGATGCGGAAAGGCTCGCGTGGTCGACCAGGGCATCGTGAACATGAGGTGAACTGGAATGCTCAATGCTTGTGCACAATGAATGTGGGCGAAGCTTGGGGGGTTGGCAATAATGGCGTCCGCCACAAAAGGAACCGAGGAAATCGGGTCCGGCTCGATACACGACAACCAACAGCCGTTCAACATTTCCTCCATCATTTTTCGTTTCTTTTGGATGTCGCCGGCCCGAAGGCTCTTCATGCTGGGAATCAATGCCGGATTCCGCACCATGTATGCCATTAGTTCGGCCGGATCACCGCCGATGGGAAAGAATTCGAGCCCGGATTCACGCACAAATGCAGCGAATACATCGTGGGTGGCTAGCCGTACGCGATGCCCATGCTTTTGAAGTTCATTGCCCAGAGCAATAAACGGTTGCACGTCGCCACGACTGCCGACGACTTGGATAACGATGTTGAGTCTGACGGGGAATTTGGTCGTTTCGGCTTGTTGGTAGGGCGAGTATGGGGGTAATGAGGATATGGGTCGGTCCTGAAACTCTTCGAGAGCAGGCTTTGACTTTCGTCGAACGTACGATAGGTATTTGACGACCGAAGAGTTGAGGTCAACGTCAAGACGTCCGTCATCTGCATTACATTAGAATTGGCCGCTTGTGCAGCCAGGTAGTAGGCAAGGTAGACGCGCACCTTTGAGCACCGGATTCTTTTGGTCCAGTTCAGTAGGCGGCGGGACTGCGTAACTCAGAGGTATACTGGAAGATTGATTCCGACCATGATTAGACATCCTTAGGGTGGCGAGGCTAGGTGTATCTTGTAGTCTGTCAAATGGATATTGCAGGTTGTATGCCGCGCGTCTAGGAGTCTTGCTTCTGATGGCCGGTTTGCGTGTGTGAGAGGCTCCTATAGATATGTTCTATCGTTTCGATCACTGTGGGTATCAAAGGCGAATTAAGAAAGTTGGTAAAGGGTACGAAACCAAGTAATTTGTATCCGCGGATGAAAATTGTCATGAAGAATCATCGGGCAGTACTGCCAGACACCGTTGCTATGACAGGGAGAGAGTCTTTTGATGAGCCACAAAGTACCTACCGCCTTATTTTAGGTGCTTGGGTAAGGATCTGCAAAGCCCTTTGGTCCCCACTCAAGGCTGACTCCGTACCCAACTCCCCATACTCGGCACAATTCGCATAGCTTTCCTCGGCCTCTGCTCATGACACTTGTTTCCATAGGACTATCTTTATTCCAGGCAGTAGGGCAAGGTGCACAGTGAACAAGATGTCTCAAATACCCTGCTTTAAGCATAATCTTCTCCAGGGTCTTGAGATTCTCTACTGATGAAAACATCCGAGCATCGCCCATGTCGTATTGCCGCGTATTTTAACGCCCAAGATTGGTCGATTATACGCGTATAGAGTGGATCACTAACTATAAGCTTCGAGTGCACTTAGTATGATCGAAGTACGAACCGGAATCGTTAGTCTACTAAAATAGTCTACTCCATTTCCTTTGTCTGGCCCACTTGATGATCGGCCTATGCTTTAGTGTTTCCAGAACACATTGAGAATAACTGGTCATGACTGGGGTCGGGAGGGCGGCACTTGAATTTGTGTTTACACGTGTATCACAAGGATCTTTGAAAGTACACAGCCACGGTTCAAGGGGGTCAGTTAAGTTATCCCTGAAAATAGCCTTACCGGCCGTCAACGGTAATGCATTGGTGCAGCATGGGTGTCCATTGAGAGAACCTTTTTTTTATACTGCCCAAGTCATCATCCAACCAAGTAGACCGCTTAGACCCAGTCAAACAGCTGAAGAAGAAATCTAGTCGTATTGTGGTGCACCCGCGATATGTTCTGCTCAGTTCCCGATTTGCAGTACGCCTCGATCTCCGGAGCCAACCTCAGCCCAGGCCTCAATCTCCACCAGCATGTTGTCACCCACTACGCCGGCACTGATAAGCGTGTTAGCTGGTAGTATATCCGCACACTTCATTCGCCATCCATGAGCGCGGCTGACTTCTTCGCAATCTTCGATGTTTTGAACCATGATGCGAGTTCTAACGATATCTGAAAAAGAAGCCCCGAGGGCTTTCACGGAGCGTTCTATGATGTCAAGTATCCAAACCGTTTGACTGTGAGCAGAGCTACCTCCAACATTCGGCAGTTCCGAGATTGGCGAATTGGCCGTGGTTCCGGACACGTGGATCGAGTTGCCCACGCGGACGGCCCGACAGTAACCCTGTGAGATATGCAGTCAGTAAATGCTTAATACTGATACATATCATGTCATGAAGAGCCATCTCACTATCAGCGCGAAATCAACTGACAATGACTTATGGCTTACAGCGATTGGTTCCCACACACTTCCCGTCCGGTATTCTATGCGCTGTCCTTTCGCAATTGATGCTGCGACGGCTGCAGACTGCTCAGGGTTGGAGAGATGGTGGCTCAAATCTCCCGTGACGGTCAAAAACGGTGGTCGTCGATACTCGTCCCCGCAGTCTCCAGGCACGTCGCTGAGGCCGCGCTGCGCCTCCGAGATCAATGCTCTATCTTCGTCGGTCAACTGGAACGTAAATGCCAAGAGGTTCTTGGCAGCATATTCATCAGTCTTCTCATCGAGTCGGCTTCCCACGATGACTGCTTGAACGGCCGGGACGTCCAGCACCCACCGCGTCGCCACAGCGGCAATGGGCACTTCGTGTCGTGAAGCAATCGTGGCCAGCGCCTGCAATACGACCTGGAACTTATCCCACCCGCCAGCTGCCCATATGAACCGGAGATATTTGCGCAAGCTCCAATTCAGAGATTCGGGGTCGGTCGGCTCCGGTTGACCTACCCACTTCTCGCTCAGGAAGCCACCCAACAAGGACGCATATGCCAGGATGCCGACATTGTTCTTTTGGCACACCTGGGTCAGGCGCCCCGTCATGACACGACGATCAATGACATTAACTGGAACTTGGTTGGTAGCTATACGAAACCCGCTCTCGCAGAGCATCTCAAGGTGTGCGGCATCCGTGTTGGTGAGACCGACATGGCCAATTTTTCCCTTTGTTTGCAAGGATTTGAGGTGATTAAGATTGTGTATATATGTGTCATCTGAATAGTCCCACGCATGGTCTAGATGGGTTTTATGTCAGTTCAGGCTGTGGTGCTCCTTGGATCACAAATCTTTGGAATTGCTCACACTGAAGCAGCTCGATCTTGTCCTGTCTCATCCTTGACAAGGCATGGTCAATGGCGGCCTCGGCATTCGCGAAGGTCTTGATACCGTTTTCGGCGGGGCACCATTTGGTGAAAGCTGTCAATTTAGGACCCGTAGACTTGTTATGATGGCCAACAACGAGCTCTAGACACAGGGTTAGTTTGCACACTTCCAGGTGCCGGGACTAAGCATACCTGCATCACCATAATGGTCTGCCATGTCGAAGGCATACAATCCCCGGTTTATCCTGTTGAATGATATTAGCGGGCACATACGCGGCCATTGCTGTTGATTAGCCCCAAAACTCACAGTTGGTCCATGGCGCTGGATGCAGAGGCAATGTTGACATCTTTATCATGACCGCCAGAAAGCTGCCATAGGCCATTGACTATTCTTGGTATTTCCAAGGAGCCCCCAATGGCGGTCTTCTCCACCTGCACCGCTCCTTTCGTACTCATTATGGCAACTAGGCGGATTATGTGCGCTCCATGCGTTGGTAATGGTTCAAAAATCGGTCAAGGCCAGGGCAAAGCTAAGGCTGCTGCAATATACACGACGGTTGTGGCCGTAGCTTCTTTCGTGATTAAGATTTGTGCCTGAGCTATATAAAGTCACTGGCGAACTTCCAAGTTCTCGCTGTTTTCAGTGCTCACGGCATATCCGTGCATGACCCCGCGCTAACGGAACTTCGGGGCTGCGGGGAGCTGGCACCAGATAAGCCCTGGGGTGATTGACCGGCCGTGGAACCTCGTTATAACTATACCCCGTCGGGTTCGCTCCGCGTGGCCGGATCCACGGATGGGAGAACCTCGTTGATCTTACGTACAATTCTGCCTTCATCCATCTAAGCAAGTGCTTCCACCGACCAGTAATACATGATTAGCTGTTGTGACTCGGAGACTCAATGTCTAGGCTAGTGACTAAAAGAGGAATCCCAACGATCCGAATGCGGCGGCCAAGATTGTTACTACTCCGACAGCTAAACGGGCGGCTACACTCTCATCATCGTCGCAGCCGACTACTTGTGTTGCTCTGCAGGCATTGTGAGCGATAGAGGCAGCAATGCTGGAAGCTGCGACGGCATCGATCTTGACCTCACATGGAGTCGCCGCGGGAGTCGAGTCGGCAAGCACAGCGCACGTATCACCGCCTTCCCAGTTATTCACACCAATCGGGACATCAAGTGTACTTGCTACTTCAATGGCAACTCCCGAGTCGGCGGGACAATTATCGCTCTCTGTACCGGCGACGAGATCTATCGCTTGTCCAGAGGTCTTTGTCGTAAAGGTAAGAGAGGTGGAATAGTCGCTGTAGTTGACTTTTTTATGAGACAAAGATTCCTCGGTACAACCGGTCCAGCCGAAACTCCATGTAAGCCACCAAACATCCTCAGTTTCAAACCCAGCGAACGTGTAATATACAAAGTAAGGGTCGCTGCTGCTGAAGTTTCTCCATCTCAGATCATAAGTGGCCGCGATGGGAAAACGTTCCAGGTTTTCCCATGCGTGCGCCGTGAACGTGATGGAGTTGGAAAGTAGTGGAAGGAGCTCCGGATTCTTGATAGCAAAAACCACGGGAAGTGATGATGTCGGTGCGTAGGTCTCGTTGCGTGGGAACACGAGGTCCACTTCCATGATGCCAGAAGTTATGTTCGTTGCGGCCAGGACGATCCCTACGTAGGCGGTCACGAGCCAGCTAGCCCAGGATGAAAAGCGCATCATTTTAGGCGACACAAGGTGCCACGGAAATGTGAAAGACTGTGCTGGGCAGAAATATATACAGATCAGTGGACGGCGGCGGCGTGTCGAGCAGGTCACGCAGAAGAGTTGCAAACTGAGGGAAGAAGAACAAATTATTTTTGTATGTACGGCCTCTTGAAAAAGTACTGAGAAATTAGAAGGCATGTCCCCCCTGCATGCTATTGCCTTGATGTTGGCAGTATGATCAAAGTTATATACGCTCGAGCTCCATCACTATAGCGCAGGGGTCTTGCTGATTGTCCGGCTTGGCGTTGGATCTAAAGCGACTCTGGCTTGGATTATATATTTGCAAATATAGGTGTTTCCGTCCTTTTTGCCTTCAAATTTAGTCCTCATATTTTTTTTTTTCAACTTTCTGCCTCTTGTCAGAAGAAGAACCCAAATTCAGACCATAACGCTGTTCAATCCTGACCCATGCAGTTGGACATGTCGCCGAGTCTTCTCATTAATCCACCATACGTTCCTTCTCGCTTACTTGGGGAGAGACTAGACGGAATATGACACATGAAATTGGTGTAAAATGAAGCTTTAATCGATGCCTGAAGTAAATCTGATTGTTTGCATTAGATGCCATCTTTGCATATAGACTGGACGATGAACTTGACTCTTGCAAGTCAAATTCCCGTCTTCGCTTCTTTACTGCTGGGATCCTCAGACTTTTCTCCAGTCAATTCTAAGGGGAAGAAAAGAGTCTTCACAGATCCTTGCGTCTCTGCTCGCCTCAACATTGGACGGTGTTGAGGCTGTCGATACTCGTCGTGTTATTCAAAAACCTCACTCTGATGCAAGTGCCATTACGGGTCGAGGATCTCGACCCCCTTGTTTGCTTCCTTGTTTTTTGTACCATTCATCCCAAGCTGCCTGGCGGAGCACCTCGGCTCGGTCCCTATACTGGTCTCTTTCGTCCTCAGACAAGTCATCCCACAATTGGTATAGTTCCCTTCCTACGGGCGCGTACGAGAAAATCCCTTGTTCCTTGAGATCCCTTCCAAAAACTACTGAAGCTGTGGGTGGATACTGCTCAGGAAACCGTCCCGGGCCGAGGGGTGGCCAAGGGCGGTAGTTACCCAAGACGACGTCGTCACGAGAATGTGCAAGGCTGTAACAGTGCTCATTTCTTATTGATGGTTGCGGCGGCAGAGCTTCTGGGTTATCCTTTAGGAATTTGGCCACCCTCTTGGCCACGGCACCATCATCTCCAATGGAAAACTCCGTGAGGCGGTTGAAGAATTCGTCATCGATTCCTTCACAGGCGGAAACCAAGGCTCGTGCCTGGAGATTGCCGGGCACCTGACGCCACATATCGACTCCAGAGGTGCCGGGAGTGGGTGAGCTGAGCTGAAATCGCTTCACGATGAGATCTATTTCGTCCCAAGAAAGGGAGTCGCGAGAGACCTGAGCTTTGGCTAGCAGCTCTGCGGGTGTCTCGAGACCGCTGATCCGCTGGATGGCGGCATGCAAGCTCTCGGGCTCTGTCCACCCCAGGACGTCGTACTTTTCGGCCAGAGTTAGTGATTCTGGGTGAGCAAGCGCCTTGCCAACGACATCGCCACGGCTAATGAGAAGAGCCCGCTAATAATTTGATCAGTCGAGTGGAGACGAGACAGGCTGTACGGCTCACTGCACCTCGTCGTCGTTGAGCTCGTCATTCTGGTTTTTGGCTTTCTGGTACAACTCTGGTGGTATCTCGAATGCTTTCGGCGGACCGAAGTCGCGCGGGCCCATACGATTCCGGCGCCTGGACTCTGTGACTCGGGGCTCGGATGACGACTGGTCCGTGTCCATCTGCTGTGCCTCGCGCGCCCTGTCAAGAGCGCTTACTTATGGGGAGTCGAGAGGTTACCTATGTGAACTTTTCTGGGCTGCGCTGCTGCTTTATATGAGCTAGCGTTACGGCGCAGGCAGCAGGCTACATAATTTCCGCTGATAAATCGCTAGCGAGATAATTTTCAGCTCTTTGAAATCCTGGAATATCTTCCCTATTCCCAGCCCGGTCATATGACTCAGAGTGACACCTGGCTATTGAGTATATCGCATACGACTGGCGGATCTCTGTTGAGCCTTTGTTCCTACTGCGCGTATCGTCAATCGCATCATGGCCAATTGCTGGAGGCTTTACTGATTCCAGGGTCTGCGCATTATGCATACTATGTACCTACCTTAGAAAGAACTTTGAGTTATTAGCGCTAAATCCCCTATTGTCCTAGGCATCCGGATAGCCCCGCAGTCGTTTGCAATGCCCCGCTCCCAACCTTGAACGTGGAAGGTGAGCGTCTTATTCTCCCTTTACTGAACCCTCTTGGTTCCAATGCAAGACGTCGGGATGCCACTACAGAGATCCACGAAGCGCCAACAACAGCCTAGCGAGCCTCGATTACTATGCAAAAAGGTCAAACACGCGACTGTATCAGTCAATCGCCCGAAAACGACCAAGGCCATGTACGCGACTCCGTCAACTGTCCAGCCGAGTACACCCTGGCCTGGGAAGCCCAAGCCGCTAAAAGGATCAAGCGCCGACAATACTGGGCAGACACCAAAAGATGTCTGCATAGATATTGCACCCAGCCGCAACATAAATGCGATATATGTCAAAGTCAGCCACGGTGCCAAGTACAACAAAATAGCCAAACCGTTTATTGAGAAAATTACAGTTGTTTCACCCCAGTACCGTTGTTCCATTTAGCATATTTCCAGCATAATTCTACCAAGAAGATGTGGCGATCCCAAGAAGATGCTGCCCATGCTACCTAGCAGTACACTTGGCTCAGAGGACTGCGACGCCTCCACCAACCAGATAACCCGCTCCCAGTGGATCTCGAGGGTCAACAAATAGACACGACCGAGCTGTCAACCAAGCACTTCCACTTACTCGAGGAATAATACCGTTGGGCACATGAGGGTGCATGGCAGTTACATGACCCCGGTACAATGTACCAAGAATACTTTCGTTAACAAATGTTTCTCCCACTGAGAGCTTCCCTTTCGCCACAAGTACAGCCATGCGAGCGCAAGTGGCCGTGCCGCATGGAGATCTGTCAAAAGATCCCGCCTTTGAGATGGGAACATTTCTTGCGTCTGCATCCTTGCTGTGAGACTCCTGTGTCCAAAGAATATTGCCAATTTCCGGTACTTTTCCAGTGCTCTTGTCCGTAATGCTGAACTGCCTGGCAAGCTCATCGCGCACAGACATGGCAGCCGATATCAGGCCATCTATACTGTCGGGCACAATATCCAGGCCAGCCGCAACAGAAGGAATGAAAGCATAGTATTGGCCTCCATAGGCAACATCGACCTGCGCAAAAACTCCCGTATCTAGCGTAATATCGACAGAGCCGACAAAGTGCGCAAGAGGTGTCTGAAAGCTGACAGACTCGCAGCGGCCGTTGACAATGACTGCCTCCAAATTCAAGCGCCCTGCAGGGGATTCGAGGCCAAAGGAAAATGAGCCGTTTTGGCCATCATGATCACCACTAGGCTGCACAAGCCCAAGCTCGCAAAGTGTGGTCGCAATGCCAATTGTTGCATGACCACACATTTCAGGATATCCATTTGCATCCATGAAAACAACGCCCCAAGGTTGGGAGGCGGGAGGCGCAATGGCGGCCGCGCCAAACATGCTCCGATGGCCCCGGGGCTCCAGAATGGCCGCCCTGCGCACCCAGGGCGCACTATCTTCGAGGTAGCTCTGCGCGTCTCGGGGCGTCATGCCCGGAGCGATGCCCGCCCCACCCAGGATAACACGGGTTGGCTGGCCGCATGTATGAGAGTCGACCACTTCTAATTGCCGCCAGGTAGAGAAATGTTCAGTTTCAAAGAGTTTTGTCGGAAGTGACATTTCTGATGTATCTTGTCTAACAATGGTTCGAGTCGCGGCGATGCACGTCTTGAAGGACCAGCGAATCGAGACAGCTTGGATTGACGCACAGTCAGCAGGCAGTTTGTCGCCTCTTTCCCGCCAACATTATTTACAGAATCAGCTACCAATGTATATCTGAGCAAGTCACGCCCTAGTCACTTTCATTTCTACCTCCGAAGATCTAACGAGAGACGCGTCCTTCCGACGGCATATCATGGGAATTGACTCCAACCAGCAAGGGTACCCTCGTTGCAGGGATTCGATGGATATCTTATCTTCAGGCCAAGGCCGGGGTCGTGGCAAGGGAGTAGGTTCCCCAGATTCGGAACACTCCATGATTGCTCAGAGTGATATCCGAGCCAATTCCTCTCTTCCGTCTACCTACAACACCGCCTCTCATCAGTTGTGGCTTGAAAATACTAATCTATCCGTGTCCGCTAGATTCGGTACGTTATCTATCACTCAAATCGACTCGGACCAATTGTGTCCATCACGCAGAAGATAGTTGGAACTTGTACATGCCCATCGGATGCTAGTATGAGGAGCGTTGCCCTTGCAATTCTTCAAATTTCGTGTCCTCGTCGCCGATTTTGCGTCACTTTCACTTCCCTGCAATACGACGAGGGCCGGTTCAAACCAAGTGCATTGTCACTATATTCGTGGAAAGGACAAATCAAATTACCATGACGGACTCGAAATTGGAAGAGGCAATGACGGCCACACCGAGGTTGAATACTGAATCCGATGTCGACGTCGGCCACGGGACGGTCTCATCAGGGACCAAGGCCCGAATTAATTCTCGGCAGGCTCAGATGATAGCCATAGGCGGCGTGATCGGGACGGGCCTCTTTGTTGGCACTGGAGTCGTCCTGGCGACGGCAGGTCCTGCGCTGCTTTTTGCCGCCTACTTCTTTTGCTGCCTGTTGGCACTGTGCATTGTCACGGCCACTACCGAGTTCAACTCATATCTCCCCGTTCGAGGAGCATCGATCCCGTATTACGCCACCCGCTTCGTGTCGCGGAGTCTGGGATTTGCACTTGGATGGCTCTATTGGTATACTTGGGCGATTGCCGTTGCCTACGAGGTAACGGCTGCGTGTATTGTCATCAACTACTGGCCAAATCCTGTTCCCGAGGCCGCTTGGATCACGATAATGTTGATCGTCATCATTAGTCTCAATATGATGCCGGTCAAGGTTTATGCAGAGTCAGAATTCTGGTAAGAAGTTTTCAAATATTGTTCATGCACTCTCTTCAACGTCCTGGATACTGACTGATTTCACGATTCGACAGGTTCGCATCGCTCAAGGTTTTCACAATCATTGGTCTCTTGCTAGTGTCGCTGGTGCTCTTCTTCGGAGGTGGCCCATCACATGATGCACTATATTTTCGATACTGGTATCAAAACGAACAACCGGCGCACGAGTATCTTGTTGGCGGTTCATCTGGACAACTATGTGCCTTTATATTTGCACTTTGCAATGGTGCATTTGCCTTTTTGTTCGGTCCCGAATACGTTGTCTCTGCCAGTGGTGAAATGGAAAACCCGCGCAAAGATCTGCCAACCACTAGCAAGCATTTCGCCTGGCGTCTGATTTGCTTTTACGGCTTAGGCGCCTTGGCAATCAGTATTATCTGCCCCAGCAGCGAGCCCGGACTGACCTCTGGAGGGTCAGGAGCCGCTGCTTCCCCTTGGGTCTTGGGCATCAAGAACGCCGGTATTCATGGACTGGACAGTGTCATTAACGCGGCAATTATCACGTCGGCATGGTCTGCCGGAAACTCTCTGCTTTACATGTCAAGTCGGTCTCTGTACTCGATGAGTCTAGTGGGCAATGCGCCTCGCATTTTTCAACGATGCAATCGCTGGGGCGTGCCTTATGTCGCGGTCGGCGTGTCATCTGCATTCGGCCTTTTAGCCTACATGAACATTAGTAGCGATGGTGGTACGGTCTTCAACTGGTTGGTCAGTGTTCTCAACGAATCTGGCTTTATCAGCTGGATCGTGTGTTGCATCGTGTACCTGCGTTTCCGTGCCGCCCGCAAAGCGCAAGGCGTCCATGACCTTCCGTACCAGAGTCTTCTGCAGCCCTATGGCGCGTGGTTTGCTCTCGTCATAGTCACGCTTCTAGCTCTGCTGAATGGGTTTGCCTGTTTCTTTCCTGGCAATTTTACTGCCTCTGGATTTTTGACTGCTTACCTTGGTATTCCAGTCTTTGTTGTGCTTTACGCTGGCCACAAAGTCTACACCAGGCACGATCCATGGTATCATCCTGTCATGTCAATCGACCTGACATCGGGACTGGATGACGTGATCGCACAGGAGGCACTCTATCGAGATTCCCAAGGCGAATCTTCAAAGACCAAGGCCAAGCATTTATTGAGCAAGATCAACTCAATATGGGGTTGGAATTGAGTGGCTGAGTTCGGTAGAATACACTCTTAGAAGAAAGCAAATGACAGAATACGTACCCCTGCCGACTTTCTTGTCGTAATTACTGAACTGTATGCATTACCCCCTAATTGAGGTATCGGGCGGCCCGAACTGTGCTACATGGATTACACGCGTATTCAGTGGGTCGCTGTCAACGACCAACCCAGCCGCCCAGGTCTAATGGGGAATCTTTAGCCTCGCTATACCTGTCTGTCTATTGTCCGGCTTGGCCTTGCCGAGTTCCCCAGATATTGACTATAGGCGGTGGGTACCCTGTAATGGTGGTACTTTGAGAGTAGCACGCAGGGCCTCATCAAAAGGTGCAGCTGCCAAGCAAATCATCGATCGTGGAGAGCAAGCAAATTCCCGACGAACCCGAGAGATCCGAATTTTGCGAAATGCAGCATTCAATTCATAAGTCGTGCATGTACCCATCGCTGAAAAGGATTCGTCGACAAGTTTCATATTCGATTACTCTATCTAGGCTCGAGTTAAGAGCTAGCTATTGAGTATGCGCACCTTGCACACAGTCATTGTCACTTTGACGTGCCAATTGGCCCTGTGTTCTCAAATCTTTCCGCGAGTTGAAAATTGTAGGTTGCAAGATCTCTTGTTCCCTACATTGATACTAACAAGCCTACAGCTTGGTCCGATGCATCGATCAAGGCCAGCGAGTTTGTCGCCAACTTGACGCTGACGGAAAAGATTGGCATCGTGTCCGGAGGATACCTGAGTCCGGCGCCAGCTTGTGTCGGTTCGATAGGGCCCATCTCGCGCCTTAACTTTTCCGGCCTCTGTTTCTCTGATGGGCCAAGTGGTTACGCACGTTCCGATGGCGTCAGTGTATTTCCGTCTGGTATTACAATTGCTGCAACATGGGATCGTGATCTTGCGTATCAGCGAGGCGTAGCACTAGGTGAAGAATTCCGAGCCAAGGGTTCTCATGTCTATTTAGGGTGCGTCATTCTTCCCTGACTCAATTCATCTCAACTAACCAAGAAGCAGGCCTTCCACTGGTGCGATGGGTCGTCACGCCCGTGGTGGGAGAAACTGGGAAGGCTTTGGTCCGGATCCTTACCTCGCGGGCGTAATTACGAATACCTCCGTCCTAGGCGTTCAATCAACTGGTGTCCAAGCATGCACCAAGCATCTCGCGGGCAATGAGCAAGAAACTCAGAGAACCTCGACAACCGATTCAAACGGCACGGTTACGGAAGCGATCTCGTCCAACATTGATGACCGAACTTTGCACGAACTGTATCTTTGGCCATTTGCGAATGCAGTCAAGGCAGGCACATCTTCGATTATGTGCTCCTACAATCGTCTTAATGGAAACTATACGTGTGCAAACTCTGACCTACTTACCACTTTTCTCAAAGACGAATTAGCATTCCCTGGTTATGTCACGTCCGATTGGTACGCCACCCACGGGACAGAGGATTTCGCCAATGCCGGACTTGACATGGAACAGCCAGGAAACGTCAGCTCTCTGGCCGGTCCGTCCTACTTTGGCGGTTTGCTACTTGATGCAATCAATAACGGCTCTGTATCAGAAGATCGGCTCAATGACATGGCTGAGAGGGTAATGACTCCTTACTTTCTTCTTGGCCAGGACCAGGATTTCCCATCGGTCGATCCTTCTGCCGGTGCAGTTTTCTTGACGTATCAATACGGCCAAAACTCCCCACTCGCTGCCTACTACCCAGCAGTTGAAGCGCGGGATGTGCGAGGGGATCACGCCAGCTTGATTCGCAAAATTGGCGCCGCAGGGACAGTGCTATTAAAAAATGTCAATAACACGCTACCGCTGAAGAACGTGTCCAATATTGGTATCTTTGGAAATGGCGCCGGTTACCCCATCGACGGCTCAGTGTTCCTCGACTATGGCGATCATCCAGAAGGCTTCGAGTACGGCACTTTGGATATCGGCGGAGGTTCGGGGACCGTGCGACATACCAACCTCGTCACCCCTCTACAAGCTGTGCAAAGTCACGTCGCATCTATTGGCGGCCGTACCCAGGTCATTCTCAACAACGATGTACTGGCCGAGGGACTCTTCAAGACGATCTATCCTGTCCCTCAAGCGTGTCTCGTCTTTCTCAAGGCTTACGCCACAGAAGGATCAGACAGGTCCTCGATCGACTTGCCGTGGAACTCCACAGCGGCAGTAGAGAAAACGGCTGCCATGTGCTCAAACACGATTGTCGTCATTCATGGGCCCGGTGTGGTTCTCATGCCGTGGGCTGACAACGAGAACGTGACGGCCATCTTGTCGGCGCATTACCCCGGAGAAGAAATCGGCAATTCCCTAGTCGATGTTCTTTGGGGCGCCGCCGAGCCGTCTGGAAGGCTTCCTTATACCATACCGAGGAACTTGTCAGATTACGGGCCCGATATTGTAGAATCGCCAGCAGAAGACAGCACATGGCAAGCAGATTTCAACGAGGGCCAGTTGATCGACTACCGCCATTTTGATGCTGATAATGTCGATCCCCATTTTGAATTTGGCTTTGGTCTATCTTACACCTCGTTTGAGATGGTTGATGGACTACAAGTCAACGTAAATGAAAATGTATCAGCACTTGCGGACGAATCTATGGGAACGCAGCCCGGTGGCCTCGTCGATTTGTGGACTCTTGTCGCACAAGCAGCTGTTGAAATAACAAATACCGGCACTATTACAGGTATCGCTGTCCCACAACTATACATTTCATTCCCTCAAGACACGACGCCAGCAGGAACTCCGGTCAAGGTGCTCAGGGGCTTTACTAAAGTTGCCTTGGATGCCGGAGAGACCACGACAATCAATTTCGAACTGACGAGAAGGGACTTGAGCTTTTGGGACTCTGACACGAAGCAGTGGGTCATACCTCAAGGAGAATTTGTCTTCATGGCGGGTTTTAGTTCGAGAGATATCAAGAGCACAATTCAAACAGCGATGTTGAGTTAGTTGCTCTGTGATCTGTTTATTTCCAGGACTGCAATAAGCAAACTACAATGCGCCCAAATCTATCATTAGAATGCAATCAGAACCCACTTCCATCTCTCACTGATTTAATTTTCCACAAGTACTTCGTTGAAACAAGTATAGCAACTAAAGACAAACTTCTATACACTATACTAATCAATCGTTGCATTATTTAGGTTGACCATGCTTGTTAGAAAAAGGAGAAAAGGAAAACAATTACACGGTTACTGGTTAGACAGACACACGACTGAAGTCGTACAGAGTTTAACTGCCTAGCCAAGGTTTGGGGAGAATGAAGTAAAAGGCATTGTGTTTCATCATCCAGGGACCTACTACAACCATCTAACATGCAGCTCTGGTCGAGCAAGAGGCAAATTATGACACTGATCGCATGGCCTTGAGATGTTGCAGCCCCTGCATGGCAGAACTTCTGATGAGGCGTTGGGTCGTGCGAGGTCAAAGAACTGCAATGCCTTCTAGAATTTTGGTTTACAATCTTTCTCGCGATAAGAAAAGCTCATCGCGTTCAATACGGAATACGCGTATAATCCCTGCAATGCGGGAGTACTAGGGGCGGAAATCCCGAGACGGGTCAAACACTAAAAGTCATCGTGTAGATTGTTTGGGGCTGATACTGGCCCCACCGGCTACGCGTATGGTATGGGGAATTGTTCATTCAGTAACAGTCACACCAGAGCCGTTGCACCAAAAAAATCGTTCCCATTTTAATAATCTAGTATGGTATCGGGCACAGCCTCACGCTTAGATTCAAACTGCAGAGCCTCTAGAATCGAACCTGCAAAGATGAATCCTCTACAAGGCCCAAGTATATCAATCATGGGCGCGGCCTGTCCAAAAACCAGATCCAACATTCAACAGCAGTCCTGCGCCGTTCTTTTCAACATCCTTTCGTATTTCTTATTTCACAATGGCTGGTTTCAAATACTATCACTATGATCCCTCGTTTGCAGCAGCTGTCATTTTCGCATTACTCTTTTGCGTAGCAACTTTCCGACACTCGCAGCTTCTTTTCAAGAATAAAACTTGGTATTTTATTCCATTCTTGATAGGGTGCATCTGTAAGCTCACCCACTAATCGACATTTGCTTTTCAATTTCATTTGCTCCTCACTAACCCTGCTTGTTCTCTGTTTGGTAGTTGAAGCTGCTGGATATGTAGCTCGTGCCATGTCGGTCCGGCAAACGCCCGACTGGACTTTGATGCCGTACATTATACAGAGTCTACTGACACTGCTCGGGCCGACGTTTTTCGCCGCCTCGATATACATGATTCTCGGTCGGCTGATTCAGTTTCTCGAAGCCGACACGTATTCCATGATTCGGACTCGCTGGCTCACGAAGTTCTTTCTATTGGGGGACATCTTCTCCTTCTTCGGCCAAGGTGGTGGTAAGTAAGAAGTAGGAATAATGCCATGATCTCGAGAAACTAATGAGGGGTCTTAGGCGGCGGTATCCTCGCCACGGCAAAGACGGAATCGTCACAAAGTCTCGGAAACAAGGTCATTTTGCTCGGACTGGCCATCCAAGTTATCTTTTTCGGACTCTTCATTGTCGTCACCGTCGTGTTCCACCGTCGCGTTCACCGTGCACCCACCCCAAAATCTCTCACTACTTCGGCGCCGTGGCACAAGCTCCTGTGGGTGCTCTATGGCACCAGCGTGCTCATCATGGTTCGGTCCGTGTTTCGCATGATTGAGTATGCCCAGGGCAATGATGGCGCATTGTTGCAAAAGGAGGCGTATTCTTACGTTTTGGATGCTCTCCTCATGATCATTGTTACCGGATGCTTTGCCTGGTTTCATCCCAGCAATGTACTAAAGAGGGAGACTGTTGTGTCTGAAGATGAGATTTTGCATGGAAGTGGAGAGACATTTGTCATGGGAAAGGGAAATGGTTTTACAAGGATGTAGAGATTGGTTCATCATGGAGCCCATGAAAAGTTATCAAGGATTAAGGTTTAAGATCTCATGCGGTATTTGACAATAGAATTCCTTTGTTAGGTTAAGAATCCACAGAAAGCCAAGTCATAAAGGCGCGAGGATCAACTTGATTCGTGTTGTGATGAGAGCAACCCGCTGGGTGGCGCAAGAAGTTGACCAAATCAGGAGGCGTTTTCCTATTCAATGTCTTTCATCACAGATTGAAATCGGTTTGAGTAATACTTCTTTTTGAATATCAATTCGATGATTTAAAGAATTACAGCAAACAATTTAACGATATAGCCTATTCCTCTGCAGCTTTCGTGCATTGGCAGTCATTGTGAATGCAATGTAACCATCCTTGGATCTACTACCAACGTCTCCAATGGTGACTTCCAAGCTTCTCAATGCTCTTGCCCTTTCTAGCCCATCCAGATGCGACCCTTCGGCACACGGTATAAAGGGATTGTCTCTCGTGAGTGAAGAAACGTGGCCAAGAAAGTCCGGGGCAAGAGTCCAACCTGCTAGGGCGAGGGATGTAGCGCTAATGAGAAGCAGGATAGTAGATATGATGATTAGCATTGCAGCAAATGTCATGTTACAAGTATACTGCTTGCCCCTGGCTGCAGAAATAGTGACCTGGCTGGTATTGAAGTCGATGACTGGTGCACTGCCTTCAGCATCTGAAATGTTGTTGTATAAAATCATGTCCGTACTGAGATTGCCGAACAGATACTGGGTGCCAATACTGGATTGCCAATAGGTATTGATCAAGACTTCGACGTTCTTGCTCAAGACTGACTTTGGAACTGCCGAAAGATTGACATAGCCTTTCTGGCCGTGTTCATAATAAGAAGAATCAGGGTTCTGAAGCCACCGCTCTATCAAGGAGCTTCTGAGCAGGGTGTCATTAATAATGGTTGCTTTGGCCACACGCGGCAGCAGATCAAGGGCGTGATTGAGGGCCTCCAAATTGTCTTCCACCCAAGACTTATCGATCGTCAGCTTTCTCACGGCTGTAACTTGGCATGTATGATCTCTGCAAGAAATGGTTGATTGCAAGTCCCTAGGTTCCATCGAACAAGTGACCACACTGATGCCATCTTCGAATCGCCAGCTATTGGCCGAGATGATGTTGAAACGATGAGAAGCCTCGTCTTCTGGTTCGTAGCCTGGTTGAACAATGAAGCTTTGGCCGTTATCCCATGTGTATTCCTTGGTGTCATTTTCCTGGTATATAAAACTGTTTGGAACATACTCTAGGGTTGGGCAGTCAATCGCCATGTATCTGCTTACAATATCGAATGACAGATTTCCACTGGAAGGTATTCCTACGACAGGAATGCCAAGTAATGAGGAGTACGGAATGTCTTGACTGTGATCAAGCTTCATCCATTCATTCGGTGCCATGGACAATCCCCCTTCCAATCGGTCGACACTTGGTACTTTCACATTGCCAAACAGATCCTGGCTCGACTTGTACTGGTGCGAGGTAATCAGGCAAGCCATGAATATCGGGTCATAGGAAGGTCGAAATTCCAAAGATAAGTCGTAGGATTTCAAAAGCGAGTTATGCGAAGCAGCGATCGGGAGGTACCGAATTGTGGAGTTCGTAGAAATGTAGTGAGGGATAACCTGGATGAGTCGAAGTGCTGACTGGCCGCCCAAAGGTGAAAGTGCCCAGAGTAGAATGATGGTCCCTCCAACCAGAATCTGACGTCGTAATACGACTTGCTTTTCAATGGCACTGAAGAGCGTTTGCGACCCGATCAGGCTCTCCAGGGTCTGTCAGGATTAGCACCAGATATCAAGCTCAGCATGAGCACAAAGAGAGACTTGCTCCTAGTGTTGTCCCTCTTTCAGCTAAGAACACAGCCAGTGTTCTCAAGAACTTCCCTACGATTGCAGCAAATACAATTGGGAAAACAGTTGGCGATAGTGAAATCGCGCGTTGTGTTTGCTCTCCAGTCCGAGAAGTTTGCTTCTTATCTAGGTGAATTGCCGTTGAAGCAAGTGCTATATATAAAGGGATTGGTAGTTAGTCACAAGTACGAAGAACTACTCGGCTCTGATCTAGCTACTCACCAATGAAGAGGACAGGAAAAATGGTAAGGAGAACCTGTGTGATTGAAGACCCATATTGAATGCGCCCAATCCTCCCAGGCAACTTCTCGGCAGACTCAGCGATACGGCTTGTCTTATTGCTGGTTGTCTTCAAAAGCACGTCAGTTTGTGCATCGCATAGCTCCTCTACTACAATTGGAGCCGGCTGTTCAACCTTTCCGCGCACAGTATTGGTCAGTTGCATTGTCTTGGTTCCGTGATGATCGACGTGTAGATGACAACGAGAATGGATATGGACAATATGCGCAAATTCCAGGCAGAATTGTGCAAATCACGGAGTTTAAATGCTGAGTTAGGCTTTCATGTTCACGGGGGCTGAGAATGAATTCCAGTCCAGCTGAGCTCAAAGTTGGAACTATTTCATCCGATTGCAACCTTTCCGTGAGCTTTCACCATGGATCTCAAGACGATACACATGAAGGCCGAGTCATTATCATGATCGAAGTATACCTCTACATAAGCTGCGACTCGTTAGCATGGGACCAAATCTTGATAACCCACGACATCGACAAAAGGACGCGCCAGCGGCGGGACAGTACATTCCGCATCATACAATGTCTATTATTATTCTACGGAAACTAGATACTCGTCAGCCCCGTAACACAAATTGAGCCCCTCCCACGTTTTCAAGCGGCTCCTCTCGCCCCCCCTTTCAACGCTCCGAGTACCCCTAGGTACAATTGACTTTGAACCCACAGACTGGCGCCTTGGCAGACAATTTTGTCACTTGCTCGACCCCATTCAACACGAATCCAAGACAACACGGCTCTGAATTCAAATGGGAAAAGCCAAAGTCAATTCTGAATAGGCCCGCACTAATAAAACCGTTCAAAGTACCGATGCACCGTTTTGACCGCAGAGCGATTCGGATCCAACGGACATCGTGCAAAGCATTCTAGCGGAGTCTGCTTTGGCTTCTAGCCGCATCGGCGGAAGCTGCGGCTCTTTCACTGGGTAGGTAACAATCAACATTGGGCCAGTATAGCAAGCCCAACGATCATGGTCAAGTCCTCCCGAACCAAGTTGTTGGGACGAATGCACAGTGGTGTAAAAAGATGATTGACATTCCTGCAGTACTTGCATCTTCAAACTTGTAGTGTCATTGTACTGGATTGGCCGCTCGTCAATGAGATCTTGTAAAATCATGCGAATTAAAACGCTGGTTCAATTGAGTAGGTAGGCATCAACGCTTGATTGCCCGGATATATATAAAACAACAGCTGAATGACAGATGAAACTCCATAAGGCCGAGTGCCTATATTCCTCGCCTTGTAAACGCCATAATTCTAATTTCAGCTCACGCCATCTCCTTTGGCTTTGTAGGCTCCTTGTCGAATACCGTAGAGTTCGATCGGGAGCGGTCTTGCATATGTTGCAGCTCAAGTGCAGGAGCCTTGTCCCAGGGACTCTCATCCTTGGTCGCTTTGAACGGCTCGGTAGTAACGCTCGTGGCGGTTGTCTTCCACACGTCATGGTTGCCCGACGCCTCAAGATGTGACTTCATGGCGCGACTCGCCGATGGACTGCCAGATTGGTTGTAATACTCTGAACGGCTTGGACGTGTCGAACCAAAGACTGTTGGCCAATAGACCTTGAGAACGGCCCGAACGGCTGGAAGACATGCGCAAATCACGCCTACCGGGACCTCAACGGTTGTCCAGATACCGACAATGACATAATCCTCTGGTTTATACTTGTCAGACATGATTGTTGTGCACAAGTTGCGGGCAAAACTTGATTCATTGATCGAAAGGATTGCGTGCGCGAGAAAGGGTAAAAGAACTCACGGGTAAGATTTGTGGTGTTTCCAAAAGCCACTAGAGAGTGAAGGCGGAGAATGCTGACAATCGTGACACTGCAGCATGGTCAGCTTCAATACAAGGCAAGATGATAATCGGGTGCAAGACTTACAGAAAGCCAAGACTGAACATGAGCATGACCTGGATCTTCTTGGTATTGGAGAGAGATAACTGCCAGAGCTCAGGCAGTGGTAGGATGACCATTGCCAGGTCCAGCACAATGTTGATCCCCGCAGATGCCCAACCTTGGGCGTTGATATTCCGACAGGTTACTTGGTGTTGATCGTCCCAGAAAAGCCACGCGCCTTGGACTGGTGTGCACTGGAATATTGACACAAAGTCAAAGATGAGGGCGTATAGAACGTTGAGAACAATCAAAGCATATATGGCTGGTTGGACTCCGGCAATGGATCGCTTGAACACCTCGAGGTAAAAGAGAAGGATCGATATCTTCGTCAGTGCGGTGGAGGGAAAATAAACGATTTCATCCCAGTAGTACAACTAATGACGGCACGTTAGACAGCGAACCATATGGCAAAAATTGGGTTATACACACGTAGAGAACTTCGGTGATGTTGCTTGACGGGATATTCCAGATATCCTTTCCCAGGCCGTACTGCGCCACTGTGATGGTGATTAGACAATGACATATGGCATGGTTTGGGTTGAGTTCGTACAAGGTATACTGAGGATGAGGAGAGGAATCATGAAGATCTAGAACGTTAGCTATAGTCCATCTGACGTAGCAGTGGTAGTGGCTCTTACAGTGGCAGCAGTGATTGCCCAGTCACCCATGCCCCAGGTGCCGTGTCCAAGGTGACATCTTGACATTACACGTACGCCAAAAGCCAGTAGAGCAAGGGCGCCAAAGACCATGGGCACGATCACCACCTGCGCTGTGCGGTCTACTGGCTCGACGCCGCATGAGTCCTTGGAGTACTTGGTAGTAGCTAAGATATTGTGAGCTTGTCAACTTCTCGAAACATGCAATACACAAAAGTCTTACCAAGCTGCTCGACGACAGTACAGTTGCTCAGCACACATGATGTTATAGCTGCTGTCAAGTCTTCGTTGGTGCAGATGCAAGTGGTATTCGTAAGCGAGCACACGGACTCCAAAGTCAGGGTCGTAATGCATTTGAGCTTCTAGAAGTCAGTTTGGGGAACAACAGTACCAGGGGGGACCCGTGCCGCTTACACCGCAGACAGGAACCTCTGTCGCCCTCTGCACAAGGGCCTCATGGATATCAGACGCGAAGTCCATGATGGAAGATGTGTGAGTTATTCGACCAAAAGGCTGAGACGTCTCGGGGGTCTGCAACTTCGGGTGAAGGTGTTATAATATGAACTCCTTGATATCCATTTGGACCCCCATTCCGTTCCAGTGACTGCAAGTGCCTGCATGTCATCCCTAGAACGATTCCGCGATGTATCGATAAGTTTGGTATTAAGATGGGGATACCCTACATGGTCTGCCAAGTTATTGGGATCGTCTGTGAGAGTTTAAACTGCAAAGTCCCCTGCAACTCTAGACTCGTACATGCCTTGTCGGACTAGTGACCGGCGGCATGGGTACGGCTAAACTAGGGACCTGACGATGATCCCGTCAACGTGGTTGTCTAGCATTCCAGTCGTACGACTTGCTGTATGTAGCGTTATTGTTAAGGCTTACGGCTTACAAGTCGGTAGTTTTTTTGGTATTATCGTTTTATGCCAAAGTACAGTTGATTTGGTTGAAAATTAGTCACTTGGTTGTCACTCTGGGGCTTGCTTAGGACGGATATCGTACGAATGACTGAATCATTTCCCCTTGCGCTTGAGCGTTTTCGGCCGATATCGTGTGGGCGGTAAACAGTGGGGTGCTACCCCTGCTAGATGACAGGGCTGATTAGCAAACCAGCCAGGGTACCAAAGGCCTGGCAACCCGGGTCGGCAGTTTTTTTTTTATGTGTTTGTTGTTTGGTTCTGGGTTGATCTTCCGCGGAAGCAAGTTAGAACAGGTCCAGAGAGTCCATTCAGCCCAGTTGGTCTGACATATCGATCAAACACCGCTCTTCGTCCTGTAGCACCGCTTTTCGTCCCGTTCAAAAATTACTTCATCTTGTGTGATATTGGTGTTTGCTTATCTTACAAGAGCCCTAATCATTGCCTGCGGTACTAATCCCTTTCTTTCAATGCTTTACGTACTTTCGTTTGGTTTCTTCGCTAGTCGTGCCACGTAGATACAATCCCCTGAGAAGTGCTTTGCCGCGACTCGTAGTCAAGTGATCGGCATTGAAATATTTTTCCCCGGCTCTCGGGTTAGCTTGATGGGGCTAGGGTATGGAGATGCGTAAGCAGGTTATACTCTATATTCTCTAGACCGACTTGGCTGGCTCGCGGATAGTCGACCCTGGCAACTTTATGTTGTGGCTCAGCAAATCATTCTTCTAGGGGCATGGGGTCATATGGGGAAGCGGGGACAGTGGCTGCAAGGGACTAGTAATAACAATACGCAGTGGGAAAGTTATTCAATTCATTCGCCCTTGCACAAACAATTTCTACTCCTTTCTCGGCGGACAAGCAAATGTGTAATCTTTGAGACGTGGATTTTTTTTTATTCCACTACAGAAATGCATGCAAGCACGAATCCACCCAAAATTACCCGATATATTACCTGGTATGACGGCTGGCGGAACCGGGCACCCGCCCAACGTACGCCATTTTCCTCACCTTCGACTAGCTCCATGGCTAATCTCTAGTTACTCTTAGCTACACTCTTTTGATGTCGGCCTGCTTTTGCAATTAGTCCATGATCCTTGGTCTACGTTGCCAAACCCTTGATACTCCGTCTGTGATCATTTCACCCAACTCGGGCAAAGATTGTCATTCGCACAATGGCACGCACCATGGGTTCCTGCTCAGGAGTGCACCTCATATACGATCCATCACCGACCCGCCGGACTGGATTGCCATGTCTTCTGGAAACCTCTCCCTGGATGTGAATATCGTGCCGCAAAAGGGGTTGCGTCTTGTTAATAGATGCATCTGTCCGTGTCAGATCTCTTGGATATCGGGATCAGTTCTATTGCACCCTAGCGGCTAGTGATTCACAATGAGGGCAACTTCACTCTTTGTCAGCCTTCCCGCTGCTCTGGGATACTTTTTACTCACGTAAGCTTGTTTATAAGAAGTGGCCAGCCTTTACTAATTGTTCCCCCAGAGCAAGTACCGGAAGCGCCAAGCACCACCATCACCCGAGATATCAATCCTTCGTCAATGAGCGTGACACTACTACCTCGTCGAGTGCGTACGACTATGTTGTCGTTGGCTCTGGGCCGGGCGGTGGTCCATTGGCCGCCAACCTCGCTATCGCCGGCTATAGCGTCTTGTTGATCGATGCTGGCGGTGACTCTGGCACTGACTATACCGAGTCGCTTCCTGCCCTTCACCTATTCGCAACCGAGTACGAGGAACAGAAGTGGGACTTTTTTGTGAACCACTACACAGATCTCGAGCGCCAGAAGAGGGATTCCAAGATGTCGTATCGCAAAACGGACGGCGACTTATATGTCGGTCTAGATCCTCCAGAGGGTGCTGAGCCACTTGGTATTCTCTATCCCCGCTCTGGTGCTCTCGGAGGCTGTACTCGCCATAACGCACTCATCACTATCGGTGCGCAAGATAGCGACTGGAACTACATCGCCAATCTCACTGGTGATGATTCGTGGGCGTCGAGCAATATGCTTCAGTATTTTGAGAAGATTGAGAATGCCAGGTATCTCCCGAGTAGCGTTGTTGGCCATGGCTACAATGGCTGGCTTTCGACTGAGCTGACATCTCTGTCCCTCGTTGTCGAAGACCAGAAGCTCCTCTCTCTGATCATTGCTGCTGCCACTGGCATGGGCAAACATCTTCTCACCGCTCTTGTGAGCACAGTTGTTGGTCTTGGCCAAGTGCTCCTTCGTGATATCAACGCTCCAGGCCAGGCCAGCCAAACTGGTCTGTATCAGGTGCCTCTTTCAATGAAGAACAATGTGCGAGGTGGACCAAGGGAGTTCATTTTGGACACTGCCAACGCAGTAAACTCGGACGGTTCACGCAAGTACAAACTTGATATCAAGCTCAACACTCTGGTAGGGACTCCTTTATCATCCTACTAGGGTCTTCACTCATGCTAATGTGTCGCAAATTAGGTTACCAAGGTCCGCTTCGATGAAAGTGGTACAGTCCCGAAGGCTGTAGGCGTCGACTACCTTGAGGGCGCGTCCTTGTACCGTGCAGACCCCCGTTCCAGCGGCGCCTCGCAGACGGGTTCGGGAAGCGTGAACGCCACACATGAAGTCATTCTCGCAGCCGGTGCGTTCAACACACCCCAGCTCCTAAAGCTGAGCGGAGTTGGCCCACGCGACGAGCTGGAGTCCTTTGATATTCCTGTAGTTGTGGACCTTCCAGGTGTCGGTGGCAACATGCAAGACCGCTACGAAGCTACCTTGGTTGGAAAGACAGATAGCGACTTTGTGATTACCTCCAAGTGCACATTCTTGCAGTCCATGCCGGATCCTTGTCTCGATGCCTACACTAGCGGAATCGACCCCATCACCAAAGGCGTGTATGGAACCAACGGCATCGCCATTGCAATTGTTCAAAAGTCATCCGTTGCCGAGGACGAACCCGACCTGCTCATTTCGGGTGCCCCCGCCAACTTCCGCGGCTACTTCCCGGGATATGCCAATGACTCCCTGTCCGACGCCCAGCACTGGGCCTGGATCGTCCTCAAGGCCCACAGTCGCAACAACGCCGGCACAGTCAAGCTTCAGTCTACCGACCCCCGTGACATGCCCTTGATCAACTTCAACTCTTTCGATACTGGCGTCAACGGTAATGGCGAAGGCGACAAAGATCTTCAGGCTGTTTACGAGGGCTTTGAGTTTGGTCGCCGGGCATTTGCCGACCTGATTCCTCTCGACGGGTCTTTCCCCGAGACATGGCCAGGCGCCGCCACTTCTGATGAAGACGATGTCAAGCAGTTCCTAAAGGATGAGGCTTGGGGCCACCACGCATCGTGCACGTGCGCAATCGGCGCCGACGGTGACCCAAATGCCGTCCTAGACAGCAACTTCAAGGTTAGAGGTGTCGAGGGTCTCCGAGTTGTGGACGCCAGCGTCTTCCCCAAGATTCCTGGATTCTACATTGCACTTCCCTTGTACATGGTCTCGCAAAAGGCCAGCACCGTTATCATTAATGACGCCAAGTCGTCGTAATTTAGACTTGGACCTTTAGATTCAGCAATTCTCTGTTATAATAGTTGCCATTGTATATAATTCCAATTATTAATCAAGACACAATCTTCATTCAATTCGATTTCGATACCGCCTCAAAACTGAGAGAATCAGAGTTGCCCGCCAAGTCGTTTAGATCTGCCCCTGACGAAATCGGATAACAGACTGCCGATAGTTCTAGAACAAGGACCCCTGCTCTCTATAGCCCACCAGCCGCGGATTTGAATTCCACATGGGGACAAGCTACGCTTTCAGCTCACAGTGACGTCTTTCCACAGGGACTTATACTATATAATATCCGTGTCATGATCCATGGCGATCTGCAGCACTAAACATGGTCATGGAATTTCGTTCTTCCAAATCGCATTCTATGCCATGTCGAGCAGCACGCGACTAGGTCAAACCCCATGTCTCTGCAGAAAGTCCATCATGATACCCTTGCACTTCCCAGCGGACTCTCCTTGATAACCCATGACTAGTCGCTTACGGCACTTGTGCCAAGGTGTCTGCCAAGGTGTCTACCGAGCCTGAGGAAGAAGCCTTGTCACAAACGCAGAATACTCCTAATTTTGCTGTAAAAGGGCATGAGTTGCATTTCTGATGTCCTTGCCTAGCCACCTTCCAGATCATCATCGGTTGATGACAGCCGCTCAGAAATCTGGGACGGTCCATATTGCACATCTCTCAGTACGGTCATCACCGGAATCGTACTCTTGTGGGCGAACCCTGATATGTACCGAATGAGCACGGCATTTGACAAACGACAACTTGTTATTGATCTCTGTAATTTCAGGGCTAATTTCCTTCAACAGCTCAAGTGGCCCGATTTGTTGTCCAAATATCGGTCAGCTCCGGCGGGAGCCATCAGACAGCATCTGTTGTGCTTGCGAATTGTCGACTGCTCAAGTCAATCGAACACAAAGGGATCAAGAACCTGTCAAAGATGATCAACCTCGATGCAAGCCATGTAGGGTATTCCACAAGCCTGCTGGGTTTCCAGAGCCACACTCAGCACTGCTAGATCACAAGTCACATTCATAGGGTTTGTATACATTATTCTCCTTCTATCACATCATGATGCGTGCCGCGCTTTAGAAGAATCATCTAATGAAATCCGTACGCGCAAAGAACTCATCCATCCGCCTACCGGCTCTTGCTGTTTCCAACGACTCGGGCGGGTCGCCCTCCCGTACTTCTGCCAGATACTGTTCAAACTTGTTCGCCAGAATGATGGATCGCTGCAGATGCGCAAAAGTCATCCTAGTGTTCTTGTACAGAGCAAGTTGTCGTGCCGTACTAATCGAGTTTCGTATCTGTCGTCCGTTCATGGGATAGACCGCCAGCTCGTCGATGTGCAGCTTTAGATCCTCTAGATCCACACTATCCTGCTCTCCCAGGTCCTCCAATCTTCGAATAAAATTCCACCAAACCTGTTTGCGCTGGACCTGAGTAAGTTTCTCGTATCGTAATGCTAGTGAAATACGAGACTTGAACGCTTCGTCAAACGTGCCGACTCTGTTGGTGGTGAGGATCAAGATGCCTTCATAATACTCGAGGGTACGTAGGAACACAGACACCAATGCGTTGCGTTTCAGGTCGTTGAGGGTGCGCTGCTCGAGAAAAACTTCCGCTTCATCCAGGAGTACGACGCAGTCCCAGATCTTGCCTAGATGGAAAACCGAGTCGAGGTATTTCTCCACAGCTTCGGGCTCCGTTCCGATGTCCCCGCAGGTGACTGGATAAAGAGGCTTTCTTGCAATCTCAGCTACAGACTCGGCGGTATAAGTTTTGCCAGTGCCCGGTGGTCCATGAAGCAGTAGAATCAGGCCGTTGCCTTTACTCTCAATAAGATCCGTTCCTTTCTGAGTGGTCAACTGATTGGTAACGAGAGCCTGTATCATTTCTTTTGTGTCATCATCTGCTACAAGACTTCCGAAAGCTTCGTCATTCCAATTTATTTCTTGGATGAGGTCAACCTCAAGTGTGGCTGCCCATGGCGTTAGTATTGCACTTTTCCAGAAAAGCGATATCACAAGTTACCTACTCCATTTCTTCGTTCGAAAGTTGAACCCAGGGATCTCGCTGGGGAATACGTATACGTCCAGAGATTCGGGTACTCCATTGTTTGGACTGTATGGCTTGTTCTTTTTGGTCATCAGTTTGTCCAGGTTCTGGAATAGCTTGGCTTCCGGATGCAGTTCTTTATAGGTGTGGAAGTCAATCATGAACCGTTGACCCTATTTGAATCAGATGTTGCAATCGAAAAGTTTTCTGAGGGGTGACTCGACAAGGGCATGACTTACAATCGATTTCTTATCGTCAGACCTGGCTTTATAAGAAACAAGGTGACCCTTTTGACTACACCAGAAGGCCTGTTTCCCACGAGACTCCAGTAGTTGACGCACTTCATTGCTTGAATACTCAAGCGGGATCAGGTCCAAACCTGTGATTGCCATCTCCATATCTCCATCTTCAACGTTCAACTCTATTTCGAGGTCTTCGTCTGACCACACCAACTCTCCATTGTAGCGCAACGAACATGCTGGTATCCGCCATGACGATATTAATGCTCTATGTTCATCCCCTGCCTGGGGAGTAGCCGGCACCGGATGGGACTTGGCCAAGTAGCCTTGAGGCAGATTGCCATGGTTCGATACAAGAACACTTCCTGGACGTATAAGATACTGGAAGTTGGAAGGTGAGACCAGACCTTTACGGAACTGTGAATCGATTTCATCATAAAGTAATCCGTACGTTGAATCAATCCACGAAGTCAACTCCATAACAAGTTGGCGTTGCCGGGGTTGCAGTTGGCTAGCATCGAGTGTGTTTCGATAATGATACCACCAGATGAACGGCGAACCCATTCGCTTCCTTTCATTAATGGAAGGAAACTCTTTTCTAAACGTCGGGTCCTGGTCGAAGAATGCTCCAACAGCTTGGATCATTTCTGGGGAAACGAGTTGTAGCTCTTCACTTTTAGGCGAGGGCTTCGGAATAGCTTCATTGTTCCTTATAGCCTCGTCGACTTCGGATCGCTGATGCTCCATGTAGTAGCGCTTTTGAATGACGAAGGATATATCTCCTTTCTTCTCCACATACCCCTGAGGATCTAGAACACGGAACTCACCCTTGAGTATCGCTGTTCCATTATAAACCTCAAAGTGGGGTTGGGAGAGATATGTTTCGAGAGTGTTGTTCTTCATGGCATGCATTCCCATTGCGAACTGCCTGTGATCGGGTTGATTGTGGTGCACCAATGTATGAAAGACCTGAACATTTATCTTCGGCTTCTTCAATTTTTTACCACGTCGCAGTTGATTATTCTCCGTCTCCAGTTCCTGAAGCCGATCAAGCAACTCTTCAACGACAACAGGATCATTCGTGACACGGGGATACTGTCTCCTGCTCTCATCTATCCCTTGAGGCTGGTTTGTCACGGGGTATCTATTATTGCTAGACAAAGCAGAAGCTGGGCCAACATTCTGGTCAACCACTCGCGGGCGGCCATCGCTGTCGAAATACCTGCCCGATGGTGCAAAGAAATTTCCGCCCGGTGGTGCAAAGGGATTTAAGCTTGATGGTGCAAACGGATTTGCGCCTTGCGGTATTTCTGGTATTACTTGACCACCATTGTAGCCCGTGTACGTATTATTGGCGTACCCCCTCCCGTAATCGTATGAATCGTTGGAACTTACTGAAGCAACCGGAGATCCCGTTCGCTCCACCAAATTGTTTCCTTGCTCTCCTGGCGTACTCGCCGCTCCGTCAGTCTTCGATGTCGGGGCTGAGTCCACCTTTTTCGCTAGAGCATAGAATTTATGTACCGAGTCAGACGCTGTCTCGTCTTTGGAAATGGTAGATGGAGTTGGGGCAGGATCGTTTACAGAGCTTAGAGGTCGGAGCGCTGGTTGTGTTGGGAGAGTCGGGACAGGAATGATCGTCGGTTGCTGTCTGACCGGTTGAGGAGGTGGAGGTGGGTGTGGGCGGCCGTAGTGATACCCCGACCCGGAATAGCCGAACGGGTAATCGTCAGAGGAATCCATCAATGAATCGTGATACCCAAGAACACGTCGGCTTCCGTTGGCGACAGAAGAATGATGAACACAACAATTTTCAATACTTTGTGAAGTTCTGCTTCTGTAAGTTTGCCAAATGACTCGGACTCAATTGCATACCGATGCCTTTGATTGACGTCAAAGTCTGGAAAGAGGGGAAGATGAGGCTGCGCAGGCGAACATGGGGGCGTGTGGTGGCGATAAATGAGCGTTTGGATTGGTCGGCTATCCCTGTCAGTGCTACATGCATTGAGCGATACGACGTGCAAATGATAGCAAGAAGCTGATGTGCACAGCCCCCAAGGCAGAGCACCTGCCTTCGACGTCGTGCAAAACCTGACGCAAGTTATCTCCTTGCTTCTTCGATCTCTTCAACAAAGCACCCAGCCATCCGGCTGATATTGTCATCCTTTTACATTCAAAAGACATCGACCTGATATCGTGGCCGACTCTGTCCTGAGATTGAAGATGGATGCGACGGACGCATTTGGCCATTATTACCGTGGCGACGTACAAAGTGGGCAATTTCGAGTATATCAAACGGCATTTGGAGGCTAATGTTGAATGCATAGATCGAGAAGAGATAGCGAAGAACGCCTACAGCATCGCAAAAGCGCATCTTGAGCAGACCACTAGTCTCAAGAATCATGAGAAAGCGTGGTTGTTTGGCGCGCCCAGTATTGAAGATGCACAACGAGCAGTAGCCGAGTCCATGGCAAACTGCGAGGCCAAGCATGACTCTTCGAAAGTGCGCAAGTGGCTACATAGAGCGTCTGAGTTGATTTGCCACTATGGAACCGTTCTGGATGTCTTTGTTCAACATCATCCCGAATATGTGTCTTTGGTTTGGGGATTGTGGAAGCTTATTTTCACAGTGAGTACAAAGATAATTCCAACTGAGAGAGGCTCGTAAATTGACCCATGGCTAAAATTGTAGAGCATTCTAAATCATGGCGAGACCCTCAGGGTCTTGGCCAAGTCTATCACGCAGATCGGAGAACGGCTCCCGCGCATTCGAATTGCATCGGAGCTATATCCAACAGGTCAAATGAGAATAGCAATGGAAAGCCTCTACGTCGAGATCCTGGGATTTCTCATGAAGGCATATGGATGGTGCAATGAATCTATACTCAAGCGTGTTTATCATAGCGTCGCGCGGCCTCCGGCATTGCAATACGGCGATACATTGGAGAGAATCGAAATCTGTTCGAACAGCATTGCCGAGATCGCTACTCTTGCCTCTCAAGCAGAGCTTCGAGTCATGCACACTTCTCAAGACGGAAAGTTGGCGGATATAATATCCAAGCTCGAGACTGCAGACCGAGAGCGAGAAGCCGAGTTTAGAGGTCTCCACCACCTTGTTTCTACTCTCAGCATTTCACACGAGCAGCTCGAACAGAAGGTCGATCTTGTGTTATCGCTACTACACGCTACAGGACTGACAATCAACGATCTGCTTGTCAAGACGACTTGTGAGAGCCAAAGTCATAATGGCCACGAAGGGTGCATGTTGCTAACAATTGATCAGCATACCACAGTATCCAGATGAACGCTCATGTCAACACAAATGAGCGACTATCAGATATGCAAGTGTCTCAAGCATTAGCCGCATTGTCGTCTTCGTTTCAAGATCCTTACACATGCTACCAACAACAACTCTTGCTGCGCAAGCGGAGGGCAGCGGGGATTGCGCCAGGTGCCGCGACTAATGAGTTCTGGCTGTCTCCAGAACTCAGAGCGTTTGCTTCCAACCGTGACTCTGACATGATCATTCTTGCTGGCGCATTCAACATCCGTGCTGCAATTAAAGATTTTGGAGTTGATGTGATTAGCTCGCTGACGCGATCAAAAATCAATACTGTTTGGGCGCTGGATGGCGCAAACAACGAGGGAACACAATGGAGCAGTGCAGATCTCCTCAGATATCTCACGTGGCAAGTATTACGAGCATGCAACTTCACAGAAAAGCAAATGTCGGTGCGCTTCTCTCAGTTTCAAACCTCGCAAACTCCACAACAGTGGATGCAGCTCTTCAAAGAAGCTGTCAAGCATGTCGGTGACCAATTGTACTTGGTCGTGGATCTAGTCGTCATACAAGCTTCCTTGGCAACCGCAGACGGATTCAATATTGTCGAAGAGTTAAACAAAATGATGAAATCAGAGAGCAAAGGGGCAACCACTTTGTTGAAAATTATCGTCATAAGTTACAACGCAGATTGGCATCGAAATTTACCATCCGAAATTGCCGGTTCAGTGATTCCAGTGACAAAGGCTGCTTCAAGAAAGGTGACAAGAACATGGAGCAGGACTGCAACAGGGTGGTCACTCCGCTCCAAGAAAATACCGTTGTTGCAGAACCGAAAGGCCCCTCTCATAGCTTCCTCGTACAATGACTGAGTGCACCGGTCATATACGACGAGTGAAATGAGCGAAATCACAGGGCCGGATGCTTGTACTCGTCCACGCTTACATCGCGAATAGTGACACCCTCTTGCACATGCGAATTTTCCAAAACATCAATGAGCCACTTCATGGCACGTTCTTGGCCATTCACAATCTCGGGGACATGGCCACCAGCCGTGTTGCGCTCGTACAGAATGGATGCCCCAAAGCGCTTATAGAGCGCAACATGCTCATCCGTATCGGCAATCGGCGTCATCTCGTCAGCAACGGCCTTGTAGATGTAGAGAGGCATGGTCGGGCAGCCATGGAAACCCAAGGTCCACTCGGTGTGGCGGATTCTGCGGTACACTTCGGAACTCTCAATGGCCTCTCGCCCGCCGACAAAGTACTCGTAAATATCCTGATTCGCATAGGCCTGGAAGGCCAGAAGGGAATTCATCTTGAGACCCTCGAGGAACCCATCTGCATTTCGAGGACCCTCGGTCTTGAGGCGGCTACGAACGTGGGCATCGAACTCGGGGTACTCATTCATAGTACCGAGCAAGATGAGGACCAAATTCCCCGCATAGAGCGTCTTGTTAGTGGCCTCCCACACGGACGCGGCGCTGCTCACCAGGCCCCCGAGCGCGGCGCCGACGAACCCCGATGTCATTTCGGGCGCGTACTGGACTTGCAGCTCGGCAGCTTTCTCGGATGCCAGTGAGCCGCCGCTGTATCCCCACATGGCATACCTGATCTTGTCCGCGGAATCGGGGAGTGGATACTCGGGGTGTCCGGCTAGGGAGAGCACAGCGCGGATGCCGTCAATTGTGGCGTGGCCGGCCTGCACGGTTGCGCCAAAGGCCGCGCGGGGTCCCTCAAAGTCGGGTATCGTCACAAACCACCCGCGTTCCAGCATAGCATTAAGCTTTTCATGGCCAGTCGGAATGCCATAGCGGTTTGGCTCTGGTGGCTGGAACATGCTATATGAGGGCCCGAAATCAATGTTGGGCGTGTTGTACGTGGGCTGGTTAGACAGCAAAGCACTGAAGCCATTGGAACAAACAAAAGTGTGCTTGGGTATCAACAACGACCTGCAGTATCAGCTAACAATTAGATATCAAAGCCATATTAAAATCTATCATTTGACAGTATTATTAAAAAATTAAAAACAAGGATCTAGGAGTACTTGCGTGACTGCCCATGTTGGCTGGTAGCGAGAACCAGTGGTGCGATATAAAATGTGATAAGCCGTAGATGCACTGGAGAATGGCCCTACCCCGCCAGGCACAGCACGAATTCGGAGCACTGTTCCGGGTGCGGACGCTGCTAGATTTGGTGGAGCAGTGGTGTACCAAGGGTCTTGGCTGGGAGGGATCAACTGATCTGCCTCCGTGGCTGCACTAAGCGGTGGTAGTGCCATGATGGTTTGGGGATCTTGTAAGTCAAGATTATAGGGTATAGTTGCTTGGATGAATCTGAAAGCCAAAGCTACAAGTATGAATTGTCACATTAAGATAGAGGCGTATGTTTGCATTTATCTTGGCTTCGGCATTGAGGCCGGAGTTTGGCAAACCCCATCTAACGTCACATTCAATCCAGGTGAGAAACCTCCAACATGTCAGCAATTAGCGCCAACAACCATGCTGCAGGTCATGCTGTATTCCAAGTTGTTGCCGCTGTCCTCTTCGTGCAGGGATTTAGCCAACAATACAATACGAGTTATGACTATAGAACTTATCTTTCAGACGATTGAATCAGCTTGAGTGTTGCGACAATACTGGAGTCTCATTGTGACAAGGCATAAAAGGCGAGATTTGCCGTCTGTGGTTGATGGCAGCGATATAACCTAGCGCCTAACCACGATCCCTGAGCTACCATTCGGCTACCACGCCGAGCACACGCAACGCGGGGCACGGCAAGCAGCGTTGCTGTGTAGCCTGAGACGATGAATGCAAGGCTAGTTTCAATTGTTTGAAGCCCAATTCTCGGTCGCAGTCTTGCAAGGAGAAACTTTTCTAGAAAACGTTGCCACGATCCTCCTTCTCCTCTTTTTGCATATCCTTGACGTTGATGTTCCTCCACAGCAAGACGGTGATGATCATCAAAGGGGTGAGAGCGGATCCCACAATGACCATTTTCCGACCCACATCACCATAGGCCGCAATAACGGCATCGCGAATGGGGGTACCAATTGGGTCTTGCATCTGATTTTGGAATACTTGTTAGCAATCACATTACTGTCCAAGCCAAATACTATTGACCACCACGTACCTGCAATGTAATATCACCAAAGATTGTCCATGCTTGGTCCTTGGCGTCCTCGGGCAGGTACTCGGCAAGCTTGTACGGTAGCATATTGGTCCACATGCCACCAGCAATGGCATAGCCAATCGCCGATCCGATGGATGTAAACAGGCTGTGGATCACCAGCGACAGCGCGACATCCTTGTGCGGCACGGCGGCCATGACTGCAAGTCTTGAAGTGTCCGTCAACAACGCAGAGCCGAATCCGATCAAGATCTGGCACATGGTGACGTAGCCGACGTAGGCTGAAGGTGTTCTAAAGTAGGCAATGAGAGCTGTTCCTAGTAGATACACGGGAATTGATGCAAGGCTGGATATTTGACGTGACCGGTTTGGCGGATGTACCTATTCACGGGTCAGCAGACCTGGAGTTTAGAGGCGAATGAAAGGGAAATTATCTAACAATCCAACAAATGGCCCAATAAAGTATGATGTGAGGGCCAAACCATTAAGTACGTAGTTTGAGTCGCGAATATTCAGGCCATGTACAACTTGGAGATATGAGCTGTAGTATGCGTTCCAGATAAAGATTGTCATGAACATGAGGGCGTGGGTAAGTGCCGCATTGATGACAGTCCTGTCGTTGAGGAGCTCAAATGGAAAGAAGTTGACAGGTGTGAGATACTTTTCCCATGCAAGGAAAACTCCCAGGCAGATGATGCCCAGGATAATCATGACGATGATGTGTGCGCTTTCCCACCCTGCCTTGGAGTAGGAGACCAAGGAAAAAGGCAGAAGGAACAAGATGAAGCCGGCTGCGATAAGAACCATGCCAATAACTAGTATCGAGTCAGTAAAGCACGATACAGAACAAAGACACATTCATGTAAACTTACCATCGAAATGGATAAAATAGTACTTGACAGATTGGATAAAGGTACGTCCAGATCGTTTACGCACGATTCCAGCCTTCTTTACCTTGCGTTCTTGGAAGAAGAGAATGCCAATCACGGGCCCAGAGAAGCCCACCAAGATGATGGCCCATGCTCCAAATGCCCATCTAAAGTTCGAATAGGTATAGAAAAGCTGAGCAATCTCGGGGCCGGCAAAGGTAGTCGCCAGGGTGGGAGTAGCATTCAGGGTCAACATGATCATCCTGTTTCTGAGTGTTGTGATGTCGGCGACAAAGACGGTCAAGACAAAGCCAAGAGCCGCTTTGCCAACCCAGTAAAAGACCTGGGCCGCAACATATGTCTCGACATTGGTGCAAGCCGCCTTCATTATCATTCCCACGACAATGAGGACTACTGAACCAATGAAGCCTTCTGTGCGACCTCGGAGATCAATAATTTTGCTCACAGGCAGCAAAACCACACCACCAATGATTCGAGAGGGGATGTTGATGTTTGCGAGTAATCCGTGTTTTGAGAAATAGGATGTGATGTAAGGCGAAAGCGAGTCTTGGACCGAAGAGAGCATATCCACTACAAAGTTTAGGAACCAGATTCTAAAAGTATTCCATATAGGTTAGCTATAAGCTCAACTGCAAGAAGCCGATACTGGCTTGTTGGAGACACGAGTTCATGCTGACTTACAAAACAAACGTAATCCAAAGCCACTTCTTTGTCCAGAGTTTAGTAATTGCTTCCACTTGTTCAACACCCTCGGGCTTCTGATCATCAAGCGAGGGCTCCTTCGACTCTTCCGCCGGCATCTGAGCAACATTTTGGCCGATTTCAACATCTCTCTTGGGTTCGACCTCGGGTTCGGTTGTGACTGGTTCTGACGCGGGTTGTGCCATTTTGGCCTTTGATGAAAGAGGCAACCTGTGTCTTCGAAATCGACAGCGAACACCACTTCGAGAGGAGCGAGAGGTTATTTCCCACGCAGAATGGTTCGGCAATGAGAGCGAGAGAACGAACATACTGATCCAAGATTGCCTGTTCCCCTCTTAAATACACGACAACTTGGCGTCTTGCCGGTACCATCCGCAGTTGCACACCTGCATACAACCTCATCGTAAACCCGTAGCGCCAAGCATATTGGACCACAGAAGAAATTCCATCAGCATCGCCAAGGCCGATGATCGCTCTTGCGCAGACAGCACATGTCGTTTGTAGCAGGCTGTTGGCAGGACATTAGTCACATGCATCAGAATCGCACTGGGATACCCAAGAACCTACGAACCCCGGAAATAACGCAGTCCAATGAGGTTTCTCAGTCTGGCTGATCTCCTCGTACAGAAATGCATGCCGGCGCGACGCGGCACGCTTGCCGTTCTGGCTTGGGATGGTATGATGGGGGAGTGATCTGCAAGCCAGGACCCATAGAGTAGGATTAAGACCCTGCTTAGCACCATCAGATAACTTTAAAACGAGCCACCCTGCGAAGAATTTTACCGCGCCCCTCACACCCTAAGCTTGTGCTTATCTGATCTTTTCGTGACCGTCCCATACTGGACCCATTATAGAACGTGCCAAGCTTGCAGTAGAGCAAGGCTCTCCGGAGCCTTTCAGGCCGTGAATCATCGTTTACGACAACCGTAGGTTTTCTACCGTAACCCACCAAGTTAATTCCTTTGCTGCTTCACTCCTTTGTCAAAGATTATCGTCAGTTTCTCACATAGTGCGCCAGAGCTAAGTTTGTGGTTCAGTTGAACTTTCCACGGTCAACAACCCAGCGCCTAGGAATTATTGACAGACATTCAATATTTGAGCGGACAAAATAACCTCCACAGAATTGATGAAATGGTAGCCTAGACGGGCTGCATCCGTCCCTGGGCGTCTCGTGCATCCACAACCCCATTATTATAGTCTGCTTGGCACCCGCACCGTCCCCTATTCTTCCGATTCTCATTCGGCCGATTCTTCCCACTGCGCTGACACTTTGATCCCGGGTCGTCGACAATACGACTTGTCACCCCCGACCGTTCTAGCCCGTCCCGGCGGATTGCCTCGGTTGCCTCCCGGAGCATTGCAAATTCCATCATGAAACGTTACCACTGATTTCCCAAATTTCGTAATTCTCTCAGCTTTCGGAATGAAGAATGGAGACACGCCAGGCAACTAGGCAAACCTTGATTATTGACTGTGGCTCTTTCACCTTGTCGTAGCAATCTCTTCATCTCGAGGCTCAGAGTCACCGATCACCAAAGCTGGGTCAGTGCCGTCGTACCGTTGGTGCAACGACTGCAGCAATTTGCATCCCACAACGGCCAAACCGCCGAACAGGATCAGTACTTGGTATCCGTATGCATACTTGGGAGCATCATTGGTAGGGAATAATGCCACTGTATTGGATCAGTCATGTCTTGCATGTCCGTATTAATGCAATGGTGGACGTACATGGAAGCCAGGACGAGAAACAATAGGTGAAAATATTGCCCGTCGCAACAAGCAGTTGCTTGAGGTTTGGATCCGCCCGATTGAGCTCATTTCCCCAGGCCTGGCACATTGTCAGTCTGTAGAGCGAAATGTGCCGCATTGTGGTAGACACTAACTATAACAATGGGCTGTGCGGCTGCGCCCATATAGGCCAGGTAGTTGGCAAAGAGAATCACTCCTTTTGGCAGGTACCAAACGGAAAGCAAAATATTGGCGAGCATCACGACGCTCTCCACGGCAATGATGGTGGGGAGGCGCTTCCCGGTGGCGTCTGCAATCATGCCAAATATGAATGCAGAGACGATACTGAGTGCGCTACCTGCAGTGGGTAGGACGTTGGTATCTACGATGCTATACCCGATGGCCTTGAGCCAGAGATTAAAGTAGTTTGTGCCGCTTCCAGCTTGCGCAACCATGCTGGAAATGAGTTAGTCAGAAAGTTGTTGATGTGTCTGAGGGGAACATGAGGGCGTACGTATAGGGAAGGATAAAAGCCCAAAGGCGCCAGTTCGTATACACCTTTTTGATTACGTTGAGGCTGAGGCGTTGAGGAGGTCTCTGACCCAATGCCTCGATTCTTTTAACACCGTATTCCTTATCCTGTTGACTCATGGTCAGATTCGCCTTTTGCAGGCACTAACCTTGACTTACCTCGCTTGTCCAATAGAAAGCTCGTGTCGTGTGTGGCAAGTCTGGTATTGCCCACAGACCCCAGGCTGCAATAGGGAGTGAGATGATTCCATCAAATATGAAAAGCCCTGCTTATTTCAGTACGAAGGTCCCTTGAGTTACATGAAACTCAATTTATGAACTTACATCTCCATCCTGCAAGACCCAATTTGCCGTTCATGCCTGAATAGAGTGCAGCCTGCAGATAGCCACTAAACATGCTCGCAATGGCACTCGTCTGCTCGAAAATGGCCATCCTCTTTGACAATTGTTTTGGACCATACCACCCGCCAAGCAAGGCCGCATATCCTGGGAATGCGCATGCTTCCAGGAGTCCTACGAGGAATCGCAGAGCATACATGGTCTGAATGTTTCTTGTCGCGGCCATGATCATGACCAAAATGGACCACAGAATCTCGCAAGTTGGAATCCAGATTGACGGCCGGATGAACCGAAGTTGAATCATTTGAGAGGGTATGGTTCCAATGATGATGCCGATGTTGAAGAACGTATTGAGCAGGTTTCGCTCATTGCCGTATAATGAGAGCTAACAAATACATCAGTATGTTTATCGTTTCTAGTATAGCTGTATAAGACACTCACATCCTGTTGCATCCCGCTCACAAAAGCATTGCCTGGGATGGTCAGCATGATCCAGGGGACGGCGGACCCAATCTTGCATACTGTAATTTGTCTGATCCAGATACTTGATGAAATAACCTAGGCAAATGTACGAGCTTGCCTAGTCGTCAGTGAATTTGATCCATTTTGAACCTTACTAGAGGTAAACCACACTTACAACAAGTAGCTATCGAGTTTGTGCATGTATCTACGTTCCCTGGGGTCTCCATCGAGAGTGTCCCAAAAGAAACCTGCCCAACGGCGCCATGAAGGTGAACTGGGTGACTTTTGATTATCGGTCGTGATTACAGTGTGCTCTCCGTGATTCGACGGCGCTGCGCTCAGTGAGGTTATATGAGACTTGGACTTTGAGTCGGCCATTCTGAGTCTGGATGCACGGATCGAACTCCATTTGAAATGCAGCAATGTCGAATCATGTACGGCGTGTACGCATCCTTATTTAATATCAGCCGACATGACACATCTCTTCCAGTCGCATACGTTATCTCTTCAAAGCCCTCGGCTGCTATTGGCAATAACGCAATCTGGGTGCCGCTATGGCGACTGAGTCGCAAGAGTTCAATTGTCGATTTGCATGATGTAGTGAACATCATTCCCTGCCGATTGCTGATTTCATCGGGACTTTCTGAGGTCTCGGCCGACAAATGGGGGTTTGTTCGGAAGTCATCCGACGGTGCATCATGGTGTGCGTCAAGGATGATATGGCGTCACTCAGATTATGAGGTGCTTACTCTGAACGAATGCATAGGAAGATGTTTACCCCACACATGTTGATGCGACTCTCCAATATCCTGTTCAGCCCTATATATGAGCAACAAGAGGATGGGAAGTTTTTGAAGCACTTATTTACAGCTTTATTTGCATTCCAAGCAACACTTCAGTGCTACCATTCACCCATTGCAACCAGAAATTATGAGTAGTACTGAGACAGTTGAGACCGGCGTCGAAGCCGAGAAGGAAGTTCGCTTCGAGACATCCATTGATTATGAAAAATCTGAAGTCAGTTCGCTTACAGGCATAGCTTGTTTCCCAGTCCACTTCTAATGCAGTTGTTTTAGTACAAATACTCCTCGTACCTACCTCATTACACCCCCGGAAAACAGGAACCGCTTGAGGAATTTGTGCATCATGATGTAGGATTGCGCGCGGATCCCGAGAAGAAGGCCCTCTTGACAGCACCCGGCTCAAGCTTCGAAGAGATCACACCAGCCATCGGCACAGAAGTGCGTGGTCTCCAGCTAAGCGCCCTGACAAGTCAACAGAGAGACGAGCTGGCCCTGCTGGCCGCAGAGCGCGGTGTTGTCGTGTTCAAGGACCAGGACTTTGCCGATATTGGACCCGACCGCCAGAGAGAGTTTGGTGAGCACTTTGGTCCTCTCCACATCCATCAACACGGTGGGCAGATTAAGGGCTATCCAGAGCTTTTGCCAGTGTACCGCGACTTCAAAAGCGGAGCTGTCGACAATGAGATCAAAAATAATGTCAGCAGTATCAAGTGGCACACTGACATGAGCTATGAGATGTCAGTTCAATCATACTCAGTACAATCTAATTGTGAGGGAGGGATACTAAAAGTGCGCAGCAATGGTATGGGAACGACTATTTTCTTTCCTCTAGAAACCCCAAAGTCGGGAGGCGACACACTGTACCTTTCGACCACGGCCGCATACAACAATTTGTCAGAAGGCTATCGCGAGCGCCTCCATGGTTTGTATGCTACACACTCTGGATCTGAACAGGCAAAAGTTACGGACCATAAAGAAAGATACATTCGTGAGCCGATCGAGACGGTCCATCCCGTCGTGCGAACGCATCCGGTACGTTTCTTTGACAACGAATTTTCCATCTGAGTGGGTACTCATTATGTGATTCAGGTCACGAAGGAAAAGTCACTGTATGTCAACAGGCTTTACACGCGAAGAATCCAGGGTTTCAAGGAAGAGGAGAGCGGCAAGTCGACCCCACTGGCAATCTAAATGTGATCCCTTTGACACTAACCACCGGCACTTACCAGCTAATATCCTCAACTTTTTGTACAATCACATTGAACATGGGCAAGATTGGCACATTCGGATTCACTGGACCCTAGGGACAGTGTTGGTTTACGATAATCGCAACACTCAGCAGTGAGTACACCCAACTGCGTCCGAGTCAACTGCGAGGACCGCGCTAAAGACGATGCATAGTTCGGCACTGCGTGATTTCAAGGTTAGAGAGGGCGAGACGAGACGGCACATGCTTCGAATTACACCTCAGGCTGAGAAGCCGTTTTTTGACGCGGGGGAGCAGCCGGCAGACGGCAGCCATAAGTCCAACAAAGGATGACAAGGAGGCAATTGATATATAGTGTGTTTTCAACCCTTGAACATGTGCTAGTTAGGTATGTTCCTTCTTTTTGTTATATATCTTCCGCAATGGAAAGCCGTGAAATGATGGCTCATCTGTCAGGATTCCTCGAAACTGACTTTCTACAGTTGAATGGAAGTTTTTCAATGCTCGCATCGCATAGCAGTAGTCTTAAGCTGGCATCGGTGTGCGAGCGAGTCTGCGAGCTAGAAAGCCGAGACATAAAATAAAATCGAAGTTGTTGGATGATGCATCACTAGCAATAGTGGGGACACATTCAAGCATCATTACAAGTCACATTCGTTCAATGGCAAGCACCGCAACTTCACAAAGTCTCACTACGATCGATCACCATCAAATAACATTAGCGTGAGATCCTCAGTTATCGAGAATTAGATGCAAAGTCACAACCTAGTCACAACTTTAGTCACAAGAGTATTACGGCTGAAACTCGGTTGCTACAATTTCGCATGCAGCAAAATAATACGTCATTTGTGGCTGGTCAGTGCAGTTACCCGTGTACGGCCTCGTGGAGGCTCTTGGTTACACAGAATTACGTACGGGAAGGGCTTTTAGTGCGGCGCCCGTTTGTGCGCACATTAATTTTTGACTTGAAAGAAGCATCTTCCATAATTACTTCTTTTTACTTGATATGGTGGTTTCGATAGAATATGGTCCCATATTTAAAAGCGCGGACAGACGCAACTTCCTGCGACGTCTCATTTGGCAACGACATGGCAGCAACAGATATTGTGTCGGTTGACCCAAAGGGAGATGTCATTCTTCAGGTCAACGCCTCGCCACAATCAACGGCAAGAAGCTTTCTTGTTTCTTCGAAAGTCCTATGCCTCGCCTCCGATTACTTTGTCGCGATGTTCAACTCTCGATTTGCAGAAGGGCGTCGACTTCAAGAGGAAGCTTGTCCAACCATCACGTTAGAGGAGGATGATCCTAATGCGATGCACATCATCCTTAGACTTCTACACCACCAGCACCATAATATTGAGCTACAGATGGATCCCGAGCTCCTTGCCAGCGTGGCCATCCATTGTGACAAGTATCAATGCCATCAAACATTGAGACCTTGGGCAGTCCACTGGTGTGCAAGCTGTTCCAAAGTTTCTGCATCAGAGGATCTGGGCTATCTTCTCCTGGCGGCACACTTGTTCCGTGTTCCAAACTTCTCTCAGATATCAGCGCAGGCTTCCAGACATCTACAGCCCGAGTTTGGGCGGGTTTGGAAACAGCACAATGTTCTTCAGCGCTTGCCCGACACTTTGATAGGTATTTACTTGACTAACACCTATTACATGCCACAAATTCTTACGAATCTACAGATGCATTGACGGAGCAAATTACCGTTTTGCTGAATGAACTGCACCGGAGGCTTCAAGCTTTGGAGGCTGATTTACGTCAAGACAAGGCGGGTTATCCAATGCCAGGTCTTTCTTGTATCCCTTGCGGTAGAACTCATCCCGACAATGCCAGGAAGTGTCATCCATGTCATAATGAGAACCTCACGAGACGCCACTGCACCAGCGATTTCAGGATTGCGGAGTATTTCAGCATACTCGTTCAATGCGACTTGTGGCCTTCTCACGAACCATTTGCGACCTGCAGCTTGTCAGAAATCGTCTTGCGTTTTTCACGCACTCAAAAGAAGAACAAACACCAATGTGGGCCTCCATATGATTGTCCCTTGAGTGCCAGATTAGACTACACCACCGTTACGATGCGGTCGCTGCTGAATGGTATTAAAGGAATACGTAATCAAGGCGATGAAAATCTGTGAGGCTACATGTTTCAATGTGGACGCGTGGTTAAAATCGAACCTTGCTGCACTCATGTAGATAGTACCCAGAGCAATTCACATGTTCGGGCGGGTTAGGATGGCTCTTGATCACCTCTCCTTCGTAGCTCTCTCAGATGGGCTCGGACATCTTCCAGACGCTGCTCCGTTCGAATCCTGAAATTTAGTTATCCATTGGCTTAGCTGAGAAAAGCTTTCTACTTCGGTATTCCTGGAATAATCTAAATTTGCTCTCAAGGGGAATAGCGTAGACCAAAACTACTGCGTACATTTGAGTCCTGGACCCTTCGTGCATAGTCCCACCCTACGGAGCTGACTTTTGACAGGGTACGGAGCAAAAGGAACAGGGGTAGCATGCGCTTACACACGAGCCGAGCATAATGCGTACCTAGGTAGATAAGGCCGCCAACATTTGTCACACGTTGACTTTTGTTTCCTGGCTTGCTTCTCGTCTTGCTTGTCTTCATTCCATTTCTCAGATAAAAAGATTCTGCAAATCTAGACTGTGTATATCGTCAATATGAGTATCGACACGTCGTGCGAGGCCTCGGCAGGCATACTTGCTTTTGTCGAGCTCGCAGGCAAGCTCATGACCAGCTTGGCAACAATGCACAGCGAAGCATCTGAGAATCGGCGATCTGATCTGAAATTGATGTGCGAAGAACTCATCAAATTGCGGGGTTTAATGGATCATGTTGTCAAACAGCCAGTTGATCCCAAAGCACATCATCAGTCCATCAACGTGCTCGACCTTAATCGTTTGGCGGTCTTGAGCATCCGCGATATCGATATCGTTCTTGAAGAACTCAAAGAAATGATGACACCGGATTTTGGGAGCAGCACAGAGCAAGAAAGGTTACAATCACCCAACAACTGGGCAAGTCCCTTGATTCTCTCCACCTTGCAACATGAGAAAATGAAGCGTCTTTCCGAAACAGTTTCTAGCCACATTCACTCAATCATCCGGTAAGCAAGTTAACCTATGAAAAAGTGTGGCAAACATTCAAATACTGAAACTTGGTTAAGATCTAGGGTAGATCAAGTCAGCAACACTATCAAATCATTGAGTGTCGAGACTCAGCGCTTGCGTCCAGAATTTGAGTCCCGTGCTGATTCACTAACACAAAGTCTTGCGTCTCTTGGTGCTATGCTACAAAGAGGGTCGACTAATGCAAATTGGCAAGGTGCTAAGACCGTGTTCAGTCAGCAAAACATGTACGAAATGCAGTCTATTTTGCGTCAATTGACTCAATCAGAAGACCACATGATTGCAGAGAAGATAGTTGCCAGCCTCAACTATGATAGTAGGCCCGTTCGTCATGATTCTGTTCCCCAGGCGCACAGAGATACCTTTCGTTGGGCGTTCGAATCGCGACTCGCAGAATGGTTTCTGTCAGGCAGTAGTACATTTTGGATCTCTGGCAAGCCTGGATCTGGCAAATCGACTTTCATGAAATTCATATCGAATCATCAACAGACAAAAGATTTGCTTGGCTCCTGGGCGGGCGCCAAAGAAAACCTTGCGATCGCGGCCCATTTCTTCTGGATTGCAGGGACCCCGATTCAAAAGTCATGGCAGGGACTTTTCCAGTCGTTGTTATTCGACACATTCAACAAGCAGCCTGCCGTGATTGAACTCATAAGTCCGAGGCGATGGAACGCTGCCAAGGAAGGCAAGTGGCAAGAAGCTACGGAGCCTTGGTCAGTAACCGAGCTTGGTGTCGCTCTTCGGTCATTGGCGACTACTCCAAATTTCCCACTGAAGCTGTGCTTCTTCATTGACGGATTGGATGAGTACGATAGCAATCATGAAGAGCTCTGCAACATACTTCATGACATGGCTCAATCTCCACACATTAAAATGTGTCTTTCAAGTCGCCCTTGGCCAGTGTTTGAGCAAAGATTCGGCACCGACCCTGCCAAGAAGATGGATATCCACGAGCTGACAAGAGACGATATTCGCAATTTTGTCCATGATCAGCTACAATTGGCTGCTGGAAACGAAATTCGCATGACCGAAGAAGACAAGGATGAAATTTGCCGGGAGATTGCTTCCAAGGCAGACGGTGTCTTTCTTTGGGCTTTCTTCGTCACAAAGACTTTGAGAGAAGCCAACGCTCGTGGAGACACCTTTGCGGATCTACATCATCACTTGAATGGGCTACCAAGAGACTTGGAGCAACTATTCAGGACGATGCTTGAGAGTGTGGATGTATCTTCGCACCCAAAAATGGCAGGTATCCTGCAAGCAGCTTCTCACGCTCTAGAGCCACTCCATATCGACTTGTACGCAGTTTTGGAGAAGGAATTTGATACCCCCAAGTATGCACAATCCTGTCAAATACAGGGCATGACGTACGGGCAACTATCCATGCAGAGAGAACAGACTGCTCGGAGCGTCAACGACAAGACTAAAGGGCTCCTCAAAGTTGTTCATCAGCGATTCGAGTTTCTACATCGAACAGTTAAAGACTTTGTCTTGACAAAAGACATGGGCGATTACTTGAAACAAAAGCTGCCACCGTCCTACAATGGATACAAGGCTATTGCCACTGCTTATCTCGGATTCCTCAAGACCACGAGCCTGGACGGTTCCATCGTCGCAGGAATCGTCAAGCTGGGTCAAGGACGGAACTCCGGAATATTCACTTCTCACTTGAATCAAGCATTGATCTATGCAGCCGAGGCCATTAAAACCGATCACTCGAGGGAAAGCTTGAGTTTGCTAGATGATTACGATCATTCTGTCGAGATGATGATTCGCATTGGCCATGTCACCGTGCGTGGTATTGCTGCATCAGGAAGCAACCCCAAGCTGCTTTTCCGCGAGGAGCTCCTTCGACATAACCTAGCTCCTTACATCACACAAAAGCTGCGGGATGATCCCGACTTCTTGGAGCTGCTTGAGGACCCTCCGCTCTATTTTGCATTGATTCCCATGTCGCTGAGCAGTGGAGAAAGCCCTGCTCCCGTGCCAGAGGTCCTCGAGATTTTGCTGCGCATGGGAGAAAATCCAAACTTTACAACCAAACGGACGCTCTCGACAGAAGTAACAAACAGTCTTTCGACACAACCTTCCCCGTGGGTGCTTTTTGCCAGGGAAATAATGTCCGTCTTCAACATGCTGTCAATAGCGTGTACGTTTCCCGCGATGCGCTTCAATGATTCTCTCGACAAGAACTTGTTCGTGCTTCTACTTTCCCACGGTGCCGATCCCAACGCAAGCCTCTTGCCCGAACGCCCTAAGGGTTCTCATACGGTCTTTTCGCACTTTTTGAAGATATCCGTGTCAAAGTTTCTCGGCAGCGAGTGTTATGAAGGCTATCTCAGGACCCTGAGGGCATTCCTACGTGCGGGAGCGACCTTGGGCATTCCAGCATATGAAGAAACGGCTACCAAGTCTGGCGACATGGGCGAGCGAAATCATGGAGCCCAAGAAGAGGCGGCGTATGGAAATTTGGCTCGAGATCGGCCGTCTGAACTAATCCTAACATCATTCTGCACTTCATTGAAGGGTCTGTTCACGAGTCTGTCGGCTGATCCAGAGCGTACCAAGTTCATACAATCCGTTACAGCAGAGCTGATATCCCACTGTTCTGGGAAAAGGGAAGCACTGGAAGAAATATCTTCTACACTTTCGGAGGGATGTCCAGACCAGATGATGGGAGCGCTACGGTCGATGATTGATGGTGAGTTGATGGGCGTGAATCGAGGTCTCAAAAGATATCGGGGCAGCTGGGATCAGGATTCTCTAGAATCAGCGGTCAAGCAGTCAAAACAGTGAATCCCGGGTTTTCACTTCAATCAGAAGTTTGCGTTTTTCCAGATACCTGTCACGATGTGAAAATTCAGTGTTGCAATCGTTGTCATTTGAAACAATTCCTGAACAAGTCGCCGATAGATATTTAAAATGAAGCATAACATGTCTATTAACGCGCCAGATCTATCCCAGAATGCTTGTCCAAGCAGGACTAGTTGTCCCAGTTCCATCAAATCTGACAAGATAATAGCATACTGTTGTGACAATATTGAATATGGTGATTGCAACGATATTGCTCGCCAGCGAGTTCATGCGAACAAAGCTCATGACCCGATGATCGAGGCCAGAATTGACAACGTGCGCGCTGTATAGTACCGAGAATATGGGGCGCATCAATACTGCCTTGATCCTCTGGGCCAGAGATCGATCGGCAGTGTCGCTCTCCTGCGCTACATGTGCCGCCGTGTCCGTCGTCTGTCCTGTTAGAGCAACGTCCGTCTCTTGTGAGGTCCCGGGAGCAGTATCATCGCCGCCGAGATATGTGTCCTCGGCATAATTCCTCTCGGCTATCTTCCTCCCCAGGAGATCCAACAGTCCCGCCGCCACAAAGCTCGCGGATGCAGCGCAAAATGCCAAGAATGCGGCATACAAAATTCTATCCGAGATCGCATTTGCCTTGATCACAAAGGAAGGCACGGATGTTGACGCGGCTTGGTTAATCGGCGATGTCAGAATATGGACTGACACTGGCAACAAGACGCCAACCGCGGATAGAATCCGAGGCGGCGCTGGGTCTCCCTGACTCCAATGTACGACAATCCCCCTGGCCCATAGTATTCCTTGAGCAATCGCAGCAATTTTCGTGATGAGTTCGATTGACGTGAACGCGAGCCTCACATAAATGTACTCGGATATATCGATTTTCAACAAAAATCCAATATTGTACCATATCCATAGCCAGCTATAAATTTGACTCATGACGATCAAGTAAAACAGGACGAATGACGGATTCTTCCAATGGGCACGCTCGGGTAGAATGACGGGAAGATTTCGATACGTTTCCAATCCAGTTAATTCTACGATGAGTCTGGTGGCCGATGCAAAGAAGAAGATGGAGGCGGCGAATTGGGTCCCGGGGATTCCGCGCATGCTGAGTATCTTGATAGTCTGGGGCAAGACGGCAATGAGAGCAATCGCCAGTTTGACCATAACCACGTTTGGTTTCAGCCGTGCTCGGATCCTTTTCGCGGCAGTATGCCTTGGTAGAGTGACTGGGGCGACGTCTTGACCAGAAGTGCGCCGTCCCTCGCGGATGGCTTTGCATAATGCGTAAACATCCACGATGCCGTCCCACAGACAAATGCTAGGAAGAGCTCTCGTTAAGCTGATGTTGCCGCCGAAGAAGACGGTGTCCAATCTTGTATGTGTGGGTTGACATACTGCCGCTCCGGCCAAAGTGATGAGAACCCAAAAGGCAGATTGGCCGGTGACCTCCTGGGTTGTTGACTGTGTAACCAAGGTCGAACTGTTCATGGTATGATATACAGCATAAATGATCACGCAAAGAGGTTGGAATCTTGGGATGACCGGACCATGAGAATCAATATCATCGCGCGGAGGTGCTGCGCCGCAATGCGAGGCTCTCTAGGCCGCCTATCGTGGCAGTGCCCACCAGGTACTTAAGCGAGGACACGAGACCTAAACCACCTAACTACATCTGGACGACTATCTGCATGAATCCCCCGCTGCGCAAAATACGCCCATGCAATCATGGAGATTCAAGGCCAATCACTTGTTTCAAAATTGTTCGACAGAGATTTGTTGGAAATTTTGTGTGAGGAAACATGGTCATGGCAACTTTTAATGACAAAAGCCGTATCGTCATTTCATAGTAAGACACTCAAGGAACGTAAAAGGCTATATCGTTCCCCTGGTCAAATCTTTATCTGAGCCATGGATACTCAATCCTTCCTCATTATCCCTTTTCGACTCTACCACAGTCGCACTCATCTCGGTCGACGACTCCTTGGTAGCATATGACTTTCTTCGGCTCATGTAGTACGAGTTATCCTTGATCGTACTGCTGACCCGGCGCGTGACTCGGACCAGTATCAGGCGCAAAGTCGGCATGCACGTGCACATGATGCCAATCATGATCTCGAGCGTCGACCAGAAACAGACGTTAAAGTAGTCCCACGTCAAGTTGATGGAGCCCTTCATGAGCACGAGAAATACCAGTCGAATGACACTAATGACGGTTACACTGAGAGATGCGATTACATTAGCATTCGACATGGGGTCAGCAGCTGGGGTTTGTTAGGATAAAACTTACAATGATCCGACAACAAACATGGCGCCGACTCCTATCTTCTTCCATTTGCTCAGCTGTAGCTTCCGGAGCTGGTAGATTGGTATAGTGATGAGCCAGAGATCGATGGCGATGCTTATGGACCCGTTTGCCCAGGCCAAGGCATTGAAATCGATGCACGTTCCTTGGCTGCCTTGGAATTGATTCCAAAAGTGAGAAAGCGGTACGCATTGACCAAATGGGACCAGGACAAAGGTGATGCCATAGAGGAGGTCAAACAGTCCCGTCAGGAGCAGTATGCGTCGCACATTTCTCCCCGGAAAGATGGTCAGGTAGAATGCAATCATGGATAGCTTGAGCATAAAGGACTCAAAAAAGTAGAGGAGCTCCATGAGCCAGAACCCAATGGCAAAACGTGTCAAGGTGTCTGGAGCTAGAGTCCATATATCCCGGCCCAGGCCGTTGGCCATGAGAAAGACATGGTTGACCACGGCCGAGGGAATACAGGCAACCCATGTGGCGAGTATAAACCAGTCGTCGGCGCGCAGACCAGTGGTAGTATAGAAGAATTTGTATATCAATCGGCTCCATACCGAAATGGTGGCGAAAACCATTAATATTACAGACATTTCTAGGTAGTCGACTCTCGCCTCCCTTGGTGCTGCTCCACAGGTCGTTTGTGTGACATTTTTGGTGACTAGACATGTCAGTCAGTAATTGGAATTATGACGGTTTTCTTCAAGACTTTACGAACCCAGTGCTTCCGGTATTGTACAATGGCTCATTACACAGTCTTCCACATTGGATTGCAGCGCCATGTTTGTGCATTGGCAAGCAAGGTCCGTTATGCTGCATGTCGACACTTGAATAGCAGTCAATAGACAGCTGAGCTACGGTCCGTTAGCCTGTGTGCGTGAGAATACAAAGACATGCTGATTCCTACCGCACACTTTGGAAGCTGGTCCATGGTTACCGAAACGCGAACTGCCGCTGAATATCACGAAAATGCGCTGATGATAGATCGGCAGAGCGAAGCAGGCTTCGAGCCGTGCTCAAGAACCAGTGCTTGTTCTGTAAAACTGAGCTCGAAATCCAATAACTCGATACATGTAGTTTGACAAGCCCGCAAAGTGTATAAAGAGAACAGGGGTTGGGTAGACATTTATCTCTGCAATGAAGTGCAAGGACCTCTGTCCGCAGCCCTGGCACGTGGAGAGAGAGAATTCCGCATCATGGCGGACCACTTCCACCGGGAGATCGACACTAGGATGCGCTCCATATAAGATATGTACACGCTCATGCCTTTTCTATAGTGTAGCCAGTTTCCGGTGTACCCTATGGGATCTTCTGGTACTATCAAACAGGTATGTCAAACCCACTTGCATGAATCACGCATTCCTGAACTCTTACTTAGTACACTATTGAGTGGTGCTCTGTTCGCTCTGTGCCGGGTGCCAGTGCATCCCTAGCCCATCTGAGATAGGTTGGGGGGTTGTGATGCATGGTCGACATGTCGATCCTATACGGATTCGCGCGAACTCCCTGATCTTGGCATCGCTCAAGGTTTGGCGCATGGACCCGTTGCAGCGCTATAACCGGGCGGCGTCGCTTGTCAGTTTTAAGGTACTAGGTTAGTGGCTTGGGAAATTCCCAACTTTTGCGACCCCCGGATATAAGCACATTTGGAACTTATGCACGGTGATGGTCCCCAAAAGCCAATCTCGTTGAGAATTAAGGAACTTCTGTTTCGTGTGGCAAACAGCTGTCAAAAGGAAAAGATGCATTAGTCGAGTCAGATGTTTTGCGCTCGGGTCCCCTCCAAGCTGGGCAGCCATGTACTGAACATGACTATAGCAACGCACACATCAATGCGTGCTTCAAGTCACAACCTTGACAGGGTGACAATAAGACTGTGGGTTTTACCCGGCTCATCAGCCGAAACTTAAAACCCCAAGTATCGCAGGATTGTGACTATGTATGAATACAATGCATTCAATCCTTCTACCAGTAACAAGTCACATCAAAGTAAGGCCCTCGCTAAACAGGTTGTCAACCAGTAACTACCTGGGTTAGGTATGTACTGATAGTTTTAATGCTGAGTACTTGATGTTCAGGGTTCTACTTGCGATTGGTGGGCCTTGAAATTGTAACAATAGCTTGGAATTGTGTCGCATCCGTCAGTCAAGATTTCAGGCAAGGCAAACTAGATGAATCCTTCAGTTGGCATTAGGTTTCTAGTGATTTCATACCCATTTTTCGCGATTGCCAATATCATAGTGCTGTGTAGATCGATAATTCCGACGAGTCCGTCAGTTAAGCATTGCAAATTCTATCCTCTACCAATGAGCAATGACATGGTTCGATAAAAATATGTCTATTCGCTTTTCTGGTATTTTTGCTCAGGTAGAGATTGTGGTTCACTGTCTTGCGAAACCGAGTCTATTTTCTGAGAGCTAAAATACCCAAGTTTGGCCCCTGGATCTAGCTCACCCTCCTCTTCGTCCGATCCCACTTCGTAGGTAACTAGCCCGACTGTTCGTGGCAGGCTAATAACACACACCGTCTTGCAACCGTTGGCTTCCTAGCCGCCATTATTTCGAGGGAGCGTTGTGGGCTTTTGCCGTATCCGAATGGGTCTGCTAGTATATTCTGCAGTGTCTGAAGTGTTTCGCAACAATATTAAAGTCCACTATGTAACATGCACCAGCATTTTGATGTCTTGAGTTGAACCGACGATATGGACAAGTATTATCAAAAATACAAGATGTAAGAGCCTTCAGATAAGTAATTGAAGGCAGCGAACAGTTACAAAAACCTAATAAGCCACTACGGTCCAACTGTCTTTGCCCTATGTGCGGGTCCTTAAAATTGCGTTGTTTTAGTGTATGAGCAGGACCATTGGCGTTCGGGTCTTGTACAAAGTACTTGTCCCGTTGATCATGGACCTCCAGCCGAGCATGAAAGAGACAATCTGCTAAGGTAAGAATAGGTCTTGGGCACAGAGTTGGGTTCAAGGCCGTTGTCACCAGCGCTCGCTTCAATCTTGACAAAGACAAAGTCGATCAAAATAACAACACGCCTTGTGACCATCAGCGCTCTGCCATCAACCGGTGAGCAAAGGTTCAAAGTGACATAAAACCGTTGCGGGAACTATAAGCGGGTAAACGGACGCTTTGGTGCTTGTCGCTGCTTATTCTTTGGGTCTTTTGCAAAGAGAAATGCGCTCTGATGAAAGGAACTGATCCATAGTTTATACGGATGTTTGGCCAGAAAAGGTGTTGAAGCACCGAAAATGGAAGACTTGCGTTGGTACTAGACTCGATTTGTCCCAATGTCCGTGACGCGTCTTAGTCTAGGCCGTCTGTGCGAGAGTTCTCAGAGCTTGCTATAACATGGAGGCGTACCATGAGAGTGTGTTTGATTTGAATTTGGTTATCAGATGTATCGCCTTTGTCACGTAGTAAAGATCTGTACTTTAAGTTTGGCACAGACTCTTTGTACGGCACATGTGTCCGGTCGATCACATCGGGACCACACTAGTTTTTTGGGTTTTAGTAGGGAGCATGTGCAAGAGGTACGCTGGAAGATATTCACTCAATGATTGGATCTGACAAGATGCTTCTGGATCCATGATTGGTGAGATATTGTGTATTTAGCGAGAACGAGCCTTGAGTGCTATGCTTTTCTCAGCAAGAATGCCCAACTGTACTTCCCTCAGACTAACAGAATTATGTAGGAACTCTGACAAGAAATTAAAATCGTCCATGCGCTGTGCAGCCTGCTCACTATCGAGGGGGGGAACATGGATAATGACATCGGCGAGTGAATTTGTAATTTCAAACAGTTTTCTGAGAATCCCCGAGCCATGTCTCTCGATGCTCGGCCTCCCAAGGAACACGACGACTTGTCGCAATTGTTGCGAGAGCATAACTGGAAATTGCAGTGACATTGCGTTTGCCTCGAGCGATGCCGATTCCGAGGACAGGAGAAAATTCGATATCGCGAGCTGCCAAAGAAGCATGAGGAGCCATTGTCTTGTTATGATGATGTCTGCCTTTTGCAGAGTTGACAAACAAGTAACGCCAGGTGGTGATGGGTCAGTATGCGTGTGTGATGCTGTCTCAATCCCTGCTACATTCTCTTGTCGATAGGCGTCACATTGTAGTTCTAGATCAATATCGTACAGACCATTCAAGTAATGCATCTTGGCCTCAATCCAAGCAGCTGTCACTGGTTCAGGAGTGTGCTTGTTGGAACTACGCCAATGTCGGACAAAATCGTCATCCAAAACGCTGAATAGCTTGATTAGATACTGCCATCCCACGTGAATGTTGATTGGAATCGAGGCATCCTCTCGTGGCAAGGACACGTCGGGTGGAAGTGGCGGTAAAGCGGGTGGGTAATCAGCCATGATGGTCAAGAAGCGTTCGTGTATGAAAGCTTCCCAATATAGCCGAATACGTCTAGTCTTTTCAGAGAGGCTCAGTGTGCTTTTGTGCTTTGTGCCATGCTCGGCATTCACTGTGCAGAGTTCGGAGCTGGTGACCAGACGGTCAACTCCGAGAAGTTGTATCATGCCTATTGCTTCTCGCAAGATCAGGAAAGCCTCGGCAAACTTATCAACAGCCATGAGACAAATCTCAATGAATATTGCCGTCATGATAAGATGTGCCGATAGATATGGGTGCAAGCTTGATGAGACGACGCTCATTGCTTGTGTCATGACAGCACTGCGCGCGGTCATGGCAATCCCCAGAAGCTGGTGTATCAGGTGTGACTTGTCATGGTCAGCCTGCCAATCTGGCGTTGTGAGGTTGACTGTCACAGCGGCATATGCGTGTACGAGAGCATAATCGACTGGGTTCTCGGCCTGATCCATGCGGTCAATAGACTCTAGCATCTCTGGCGGCGATATGATGGGGTTCACTTCGTAGACGTAAAGAGTATAGTCGCCAATGAGCCCTCTGAAGAAGTCTCTCGAGAATGAAGCCGGCAGTGTCCCATCACTACCACCATTACCGCCACTCAATTGCGGTGTTACACTGGCTGGGCTGTTGCCACTAACCGAATGGTGGTTCAGTGTCGCTCCAGGGCTACTCCGCGGGGCATTGCCCACTGTAAGCGACGTGGGATTTCCTTTGAGCTGCGCTATCACAGAGCCTCGAGTGACCCCGCTGCGCGAGCTCTTTGACCTTTGTGCCGAGTAGACGCACCGCAAGCCTAAATGACTGCATTGCTGACAGCGATTGGTGTCGCCATTGCATTTGACTCTACGAGCGCGACAACCATCGCAGGCCCGGCGTATCCGTCGAAGCGAGGGGACCGAATCTCCCTGTTGCTGTGCTTGTCCATCGGCCATCAAGTTGAAGTGCACTGATCTATGTCAAGGATGAGAGGATCGGCAAATCAGGGAGGGAGGGAGAGGAGAAAACAAAAGGCTGCTTACCCCAACTCAGCGTTGTGCCGACGCCTGAGCGCACACACCATTGAGAATTTAGCGGTCTTGGAAGTGCCTGGGTTAGCACACATGTTAGCGTCTACAGGTACCCGCATCTCGGCAGTCAACCGCAGATCTCATCATCGCTTCAGAGCTTCTCGTGTTGTACCAGCGCGCCCGCCATCTTCGCAAGCTATTACTTTACTGGTGTCGAAGAATTAATCGCAGTGCGCAGCAGTCAGATGACACATTCAAGTATTAAATTTATTGCCTCTAGATTCAAGCATATGCTCTTTTCCCCTTCACTAGGTTACTAAGCTGATCGTCTCACAGACGTCATTGCACGTCTTTATGCTACTTCCACCTTTTCCGTATTTTCTACGTGTACCATGACCGACTTCTCCTCTAGACTTTCTGGGTTCAACTCATCGACAGCCGTCGACTTGAACTTTCTGGCCGGCGTCTTTCTCTCAAAGAGCGCATCAATTTCTGCAAAGGTTCTGTCTTTGGGCTCAGGTAGTCGGAAAAATGTCCAAATAAAGCATAGAAAACATGTCCCTGCCCAGAAGAAGCCACACTTGGCACCCCAGTTCCAGGCTGTGGGATTCAGCATGGATGGCGTAATGATGGTTGCCACGATGCTAATCAGGTTGTACATGTTCCTTGCCAGAACAACCGACTTGGTCCTCAGTCGAGAGGAGGGCAGCTCAGCCACCAGAGTGTAACAGACGGGTCCGACCGTGCAATCGTAAACAAAGGTAAACACCAGCAGGAGAGACCCAATGGCCCATTGCGCCGCCGTGTTGGACCGGCCGGCCAGCGAGGTAAAGCCAATGGCCAAGAGGGCGACCACCATACACCCTTGGCCGTACAAGTAAATCGTGCGACGGCCAGCTCGGCCCATGAGGAACCACGAGCAGATGGTGCCGACTCCGCCGAGGCAAAATTGGGCAATAGTCATGGTGAAGGCGTTGCTGACGTCTAGGCCGGCTTGCTGATAGAAGTAGCTCGAATAACCCATCAACGGGGATCCAGAGAGCACTTGAGAGACCCAGCACATGCAGACTATTTCGGTGCGACGCAAGTCGAATCCCTTGAAGCAATCAAGATAGGATGTTCCCGCTGAGATTGCCTTGTTATGTTCGTCCGTGTAAATTATCATGGCGACTGTCTCATCGACACTAAAGGACGAGTCCGTCTTGCATGTCAGGCGCTCCAGCGATCGTTTCGCGTCTTCGATTCTTCCTTGCCGAACAAGCCACCATGGTGACTCTGGAATGAACAAACAGCCGATGAATAGGGGAATGGGCCAGAACCTGTGAGTCTTGGGATTAGCCATCTTGTACATTATCACATGCGATGCGAATATAGTGCTAAGCATCTGCATTTGTCGCGGGCTGGCGCGGGAATATTGCTTGCAACAAAAGGAAAGCACAATCATAACTTACCATTGTACTGCCACAGGAATTCTGTAGCCCCAGCTATCTGCACGGTTGACGAGAGCTCGCAGCAGGCCCGAAGCAATGATTTGGCCAAAAACCCAGCACAAGTTAACCTGAGGAGACCCAAACGTGTTAGCTTCTCGATCTTCGCTCGATCGTGTAGAAATTCCCACCAAGCACAATAAAGGTGTGGAAGAGGTATTTCCTGGGACAAAGATGCAGGACCGGGAAACACCTTCTCAGAGGGAGATGATCCCTGGGAGACATGCAATAAAGGGAAGAACACCAAAAGTTTGTAGTACTTACATAGGTGGTGAGATACGCTCGGAGTTGTGTCGGGACAACTTCTGATGCATATGTGCACGCCAGAGTCTGGAAACATCCGAACGGAATGCCGAGAAGGATTTGACCGCATAGAAACATGGCGATGCTATTTGAGAAAAATGGGATAAAGATGAATGAAACAATCAGGGTGAGTCCGCCCATCATGGTGTATCTGTAACCAAATCGATCCGCAATGTAGCCATTGAGGAAGAGACCAATGATCTGGCCTACCAGCGATCCCATGTTCAAGGCCGTCTGCCATGTAGCTGATAGTTCGTACGTCCCGTCTGGTTGTAGATCGCCGAACCGTTCTTCGAATGGCGGAAAGCCAATGAGACCGCCGAGAAGGATAAGATCGAATCCCTCCATAACAATGGCCGTGGACAGCATGATGGACCAGGCTACACCTTTGCGATACACCTTGAGAGATTCAAGAAATCCCATTTCGTGCTCGGCTTGTGTAGCTTTGGCCGCATCTCGAATGCTGTTGAAGGCTGCATTGTCGACGGCAGACTGTTTGGGATCGTTGAGATCAGCCATGTTACCGGCTCGGAGAGGTGATTTCAGAAGAGCAATATGAACAAGTTGTAAAGATTTGTGCTCAAGAGTCAGGACGCAAGACTCATGATATGCTCATGGTAAATGCTTCGATCGACGTGGCGGAGCCATCCCTTCATATAGTGAGGCTCTCCTGAGAGAAAACCCGCGATATTTGTGCTTATACAAATCATGGCGTTTCCAGGATTTCCCAACTTTCAATACAGGAATTGGAGCTGAAAAAACTCGGATCGAGATTGACCCAATCAAATATGCCATTCGGCGATACCATCGGCCGCTAAGCGGCAAGTCCGGGGACGGCGAAATCTGGGGACCCCAAGCGCTAATGCATTTTCCCCATCATATGAGTGACATTGGTGTCTGGGCTTTCTAAATCGACATGGGGCCTCTGCGCCGTGAAAAGTTGATGCGAGAATTGAGCGGAGTTTAAAAAAGGTAGCCAAGATGCCCAGAGAGTGGAAGAAGTCCCGATGAAACCCGTCATCTGCGGTGATGACGTTCAAGTGATTGCTCGAAGACAAGATAGGAATATAGCGATTGGTTAGGATAGGTCTCAAATGCCTCTCTCCATGCAAAGGCGGAGATCATTCACCTTACTGCTTCTTGTCGCATTTCGATCGGACCTCATAAACACAAACATCAAGGCTTGGTGTGTATATATCGATCCAATACCTCCAATGTCGATGTGTTTGTTGCACGTTTGTTGCTTTTACCATCACCCCATGACATGGATAATGATTATTTGCGACGCGCAATCATGCGCGAAATATGAGCGAGATATCGTCCATTATTGAACCATTATGGTCTTTCATCCATGGTGACCGTCAGTCTGGGCAGTATTCAATCATTCGATTTTCTGGGGTGCATGTATGTAGGTGTATGCAACCCCCGCATATATGCTTAGCTCGCTTGGGTGCTGCCAACATGCCGCAAGCGGTAAATGGCATTGGAGCAGATACTCGCTGAATTGCTCGTGGAAATGCGCGAGGATTGACCTCGGGGCGACATTGGACCAATCAAAATTATAGCTGAGCAGCGAGACCCTATCGCTGGAGTGGCGCACTATAGCGCATGGTCTACACCTCGGACCGAGATATCGCCAATGAGAAACCAACGTGCCGTGCGGAGTATTCTGCGTTTGGAGCCCTCAAATGAATCGCCCAACGGTTGTTTCGTCAGTATAAGATTACATTGCCATGTGGTTCGCAGTTCTATTCATGTCTTTTTTACTATACCTTGAACATACAAATCTGAGAAAACAAAACACCACTCCTGAACGCATCTTCCCCGACTTTAAAGTGTGTGTGGCTGTAGCTACTCTTTTCATTCGTGTTGAGTTATTGAACAAATCCTGTGCCACTTGGTCATATTTCTCCCAACTTGTAAAATGCCTTCTGCTGAATCTGCAGCAATGCTGGTGCCCAGCGCCAGCTCGCAGAAATGGTGGAAAGAGGCCGTCGTCTATCAGGTATACCCGGCCAGCTTCATGGACTCCAACGGCGACGGACTAGGAGATATCCGTGGCATCGCTTCCAAGCTCGACTATATCAAATCGCTTGGTGCGACCACAATATGGGTCTGCCCGCATTATGACAGTCCTCAAATCGACTTGGGTTATGACATTTCCGACTATGAGTCGGTTTTCCCACCCTATGGCACGCTGCAGGATATGCAGGACCTCATAGACGGGTGCCATTCCCGGGGGCTCAAGATCATTGTCGACCTCGTCATCAACCATACTTCAGATCTACACAAGTGGTTCCAGGAGTCTAGATCGTCCAAGACAAACCCAAAGCGCGACTGGTACATCTGGCGCCCCGCCAAGTATGATGCCGACGGCAAACGTCAGCCTCCCAACAATTGGCGTTCAAATTTTAGCACCAGCGCGTGGACCTGGGACGAAGCCACGCAAGAATACTATCTGCATCTCTTCTGTCCAGAGCAGCCCGACTTGAATTGGGAGAACCCAAATACCCGTAAGGCCATATACTCCTCCGCCATAGAGTTCTGGCTCAAGCGCGGTGTCGATGGCTTCCGCGTTGATACCGTCAACATGTACAGCAAACCGCAAGGTCTCCCCGACGCACCAGTCATCAACCCAAAGGCAGAGCACCAGGTGGCTTCCACCTTGTACTGCAACGGACCGCGGATGACCGAGTATCTCTCTGAGATGAACGCCATCATGGCGCCATACGATACCATGACGGTCGGAGAGTGCCCGTGCACACCAGACCGCTCGCGTGTCCTGCAATACGTATCAGCCGCCGCCAAGCAGCTGGACATGGTCTTTCAATTCGACGTTGTAGACGTGGGCCAAGGAACAGAAGCCAAATATGACACGACGCCGTTCAACTGGAAGCTTCCCGACCTCAAGCGGGCCATCAACAATAGTCAAAGCCTCATTGTCGGCACCGATGCCTGGACCACATCGTTCATGGAGAACCACGACCAGGCGCGGTCCGTCAGCCGCTTCGCATCCGACGCCCCCGAGTTCCGCGTCGCCTCGGGCAAGATGCTCGCCCTGCTCAACACGACACTATCCGGCACGCTGTTCGTGTACCAGGGGCAGGAGATTGGCATGGTCAACATGCCCAAGGACTGGCCGATTGAGGAGTACAAGGACGTCGAGTCGGGCAACTTTTACCGCTACGTGGCCGAGGCCACCAACAATGACCCCAAGGCCCTGGCCAGGGCCAAGACGGCCATTCAGCACCTGTCGCGCGACCACGCCCGCTACCCCATGGCCTGGGACGCCTCCCCCCAGGGCGGCTTCTCGACCAACCCGGCCACGTGGATGCGCGTGCACGATCTCGCAGGCGAGATCAATGTCGCGGCGCAGCAGGACGACGAGCACAGTGTTTTGGGCTTTTGGCGGCAGATGCTGCGGACCCGTCAGGACCTCGCGCGGCTGTTGGTGTATGGGTACTATGAGATTATCGACGAGGAGAACGAAAAGGTGTTTTCGTATTGGAAGACCAATGGTGGCGACAAGGCCTTGGTCGTGCTCAATTTCACGTCGGAGGAGCATGTGTTGAGTCTGCCGGACACGGTGACCGCGGATCAACTCAAGCTGGTCGTGTCGACGTATGGGACACCGCAGAGTGCTGTCACGACATTGAAACCATACGAAGGCCGCCTTTATGTATTGGATCAATCGGTCTAGTTGAAGACATGTTATTTTGATTACAAAATACCCGAGATATCTGTAGGTAGATGGCACAATTTTCAGGACTAGCAAATTGTCGATGAACTTTCTAGCCAGGAGTTACGATACTATCTTGCGGGCCACCTGCAATTGTTTCTTCAACTTGTGATGAGTTTGTTTGAAGGAGATTGACAAGAAATTTATTACCCAGCAAAGGTCTCATGCGCCTGCAGCTTTGTCCCTTGATCTTGAACCGTGATTTGTAACCTCTTGCGAGTTGCGCATGTCGGGTCCTTTGTATCATATTCACCGGTCGATGTGTATTGATAATAGGTGTCCATGTAAGCAGTGAGAAGCTCATCAACGGTCGTGTTCGAGGTCCCTGGCTTCTGGAGGAGTGGAGAGCCAAAGGTCATTACAATCTCAATCGGACTAAGCGAGACTGGAAGCCCGAGGGCATGGAAACCCAGATCCATTCCAAACGACTGCCATCGCCACCAAGACGGCTATGGCCAGCACCCCCACCCCCACATGTAATCGTACCAGGATTCATATATGAAGACTGGTCATTGAGCGATGAACTGGGTCAGCGGGCTTGAAGCGTTCGGCGCTGCCAAGGCGATACGGACAACGATCTCGTTGGGCTTTGCTAGAATGTCCTCGATAGGGTCACTATGGCCAACGGGACCGGTACCATCACCACCGCCGCGAGCCAGGTATGTGGCGGTGAACGGTCCACTGGTGTCAAACGCCCATCCATGTGCGTATGGTCGCTTCTCTCCCGACGGGTTGAAAAAGCTCTCGCCAAAAATGCTCAAGCCTCCAAAGATGGGTTCACAGCCACCTGGTGTAGGGGCGGTTCGGAGCGTAGGCACAACAGAAATGATTCTGGCGCGTGCTCTTTGGGTTTCCAGGTTGATGACTTTATTTCTCACGGAAAAGGGGTAAGTAATCACTGCGTGGTGGAGAACACATGTAACCATTGTTGATACTCCGCGGCATGATTTTCGTTTTATGTCATCAGAATGGTCGTCGTTGTCACCTATGTTAGTCTCTGCATAAAATATCATCAATTTGAAGTCACTAGAGCTGCTGCCGTCCACTCTGTTCGTGCCCGTTCTAAAAACTACAGTGGCATCTCCATCACCGTGTCCAAAGTTGGCATAAAAGCGTATGTTGCGACGGAGCTGATGTATCGGAATTCCGAAGAAAATCGGATAGCTATAGGGCTGGAAGAGTTTGGCGCCATACCGGCACTTGAGAGGCTTACGAATAACGTATCTGCTGTACTTTTCAACTTTGATAACAAAGGTATGTCGCATCTCCATCACGAAAACTGGACATTGAATTCAAAAGGACGCAAGATCTTGGGGGAAAGAGCTTGTCATATTATGAACAGCCAGGCTGGGCGAGAAATCCAACACGGGTTAAAATGATTGCTTATAAAATGCAGTGTCGCTTACAAAAGCGGAATTGATTAGGGTGAAGATTAATTGGTTTTGACTGAAATTAATGAATATATTGCAATTGCACACCACTAGTGTGCAAAGTATCGTGTAAAGCGTGGTAACTTGTGATGCACAGCACGATATGCCACAGAGCATTTGTCAATATATCCGTGCCCAGCAAACTAGAAGGTAAAGCTGTATGTATGTATGTAGCTCTGTGGTGCTTAGCCATGACCGTGGGCTTGGGGGACTTGAACTGGGCTCATGCTCACCGAGAGACTTGACATCTGTCCGGGCTTTAGAGCTACGCATTTTCTTTGTGTATACATACCTACACGGCGAGCCTGGCGATAAACGCACACAGCTGCATTACTCTTGTGCTTTGCAAAAAGGCCAGATGAGATTGCTTGATGCATTCGAGAATGTCAGCTTCACATCCCTGGGCTGGCACATTTCTAACTATGGACGTCGACCACTTGAGTGCCTCCATCATGTTCTGACAATAACCACCGTCATAACACAACGTGCCCCACGTATCTCACATGTGAACAAGATCACGACCCAACTTTCAAGTCTTGATATGATAAACCAGAAGTGTGTATGAATTATAAGTATAACCGGTGAAAACCGTATGTAATCGAAAGAATTTAACCTGTCTGGTCTATGTAGTATGTGCCCATTTTGGTCCCTCTACAGAAAGTTCTATCGCTTTACGCATATATAGAAACAAAACCCATGTCATTCCAGGTCATAAAAAAATGGTATTTTCGTTTTCTTTACAAATATCGTTGTTTTTGTTGTTGAGGGCTTATACCGCTTGCGAGGCTCCACTTCTGATGGAAGTCCGAGCCGACTGGACATCTACCACGACCGTCTCGTCGATTGCATTGGCGATATCCCGCCAGGAAAAGTTGTCGTTGAGCCAGCCAACGTTGATCTCTCCGCAGCATATGACAAAGACCGTCTGCTTGCCATCCGTTTCCGGACCCAGCTCAACAACGGTCGGGTTGATGAGCATGTTCATTGCTATTGAGCACGTCGAGGCACCCACGTCTGATTTTTCAATATCGGTGCGCATGAGGGTTCCGTCGTCTGAATTTACTGTAAGGGCAAGGCTTCCATCTGATTTAACCTGGAACCCGTCGCATTGGTCGAGGCCTTCGGCTACCAACTCTACTGGGCCAGTAATCCGTACGGGCTTTTCTGCGTTGCTCTCGTCCAGCTCGAATGGCACCCGATATATTGCGCCTTGGCTGTAATTGCAGAACCAAATGTGATCATTGACAACGGATATCCGATTGATGCCGAAAAAGTCTTCGTTGCTCTTGGCATTCATTGATTTTGCGTCGGCAAGCAGGATTGAGCTCTTGGCTGTTGTGACGTCCAGAACTTGTAGGCAGCTTTGTGCCGAGTCGGCCACGAGGAGGAATCGGTCCGTCACTGGCCACAGTCCGAGGGGCAGCACAATGTCTGTGATATCGCCCTTCTTGGTGGCCTTGGGCTCGCCCTCTGTGCTGAGATCTAGGTGCCATATTGCGAAGACCTCCCACCGTGTGTGTGCCAGGTCACTCACTTCACACGTCATGACGCTATATTCGTCGGGTCTGCCAGGAATGCGCGCCAGATTCATTGCGGCCGCCACGCCTGGGAATTCGAATACTGGCTGTGGTTCGGCATCTGGGTCCGCTGCGTCTATGTCGTAAACGACCGGCGCGTCGAGCCGCGCCGCTAAAATATGGTTGTTGGGCCGGATGGCAAAGCCCTCGAACCAAGAATCCGGGGGCAGCTGCGTCACCAGAACGACATCCAGGTCGTCTATGCTCCCGGCCATCGTTTCCTCTCTCTCTTGCAAGTCGGCTCGGTCTTTTTGGGGGGAGGGTTAAAAAAGAATGATGGTTTGTCGATGAATGCCAAAGAATAAGTTTTTGAGTAGTAGTAGTAAAAAAAATGAAAATGCGACAGACAAGCAATCAGAAATTGGAAACCGAGTGAGGGGAGGTCCAGGGATTGAAGTGCAGGGCAGAGTTCATGCTAAGAGGCGGAATACTGTCCGGAAGGCTCCCGACGAGTCAGACACGGTTACATGCCATTAGTGTTCAACTATCAGGTCTAGCGTGTCTCTAGTCGGCGCTGTCCGCCAGGATTCACGCCAGAAACCTGCAGATTTCAGCTTAAAAGGTTGGTCCAACTTCAGACAGGGGTGGCTTGCAAGATGAATCAGCTGAATAGCACATGCTATTGCTATCAAGGGTAACCTGGGGGGAGGTGGAGGAGATGGGCACTGGATGGGCAAGACAGCCAGACAGCTCATGGCCGGTGGGGGGAGAGGGATGGGGACCTATCGCAAGCTCGACTGCTGGATTGGCTGGTCTCCAGGTGCTGTGGGTTGACTGGTTGACTGCTCTTCACCTGAATATGCTTGTCAGTTTGTTTACTGTGTACTACAATACATGAGCTCAGACTCACGTGATCTTCGTTCAAGAGGAGTCTCAATCCACTCACCCACGATAGTTTTTGAGTTGCGAGTTCTAGTCTCTTGTGGCCACTTTTGTTTATGCAAAACCGCTGCTGCTATGCGAACAAGGCACATTCAAGGTTGCGGATCCCCCAAGGATGCTGCGCGTTGCTGCGCATATGCATGGTAAATTTGTCGTGCTTGTGTCCTCCTCGCAAGGCCTCGTCGTACGTACTTTGTTCGCGGCATTCCCTTTGGCCGGTAGCTTCAACGTGTCAAGCTCTTTTTGATCGTCGCGGGGTCCGCAGATCGATAGCTTGAACCGGATCGCCGCATCTCGGTTCAGGTACGGCGAAGATCTCCATTGCCCAAAGACCGATGGATGCAAAAGCCCGCACAAAAGCCTCTCAAGGCCTCGTGTACACCATGGTAAAGGCCCCGCCAGGAGTCGCGGGACTCGGAACCCAACTAATCCTCCCCTGTTGTTTGCTGGTAGTGCTGGTGAGATGGGCTCTTTGATAGGCAATGAAAGCGGTCGGAGCCCGACATTATGTGGTTGGTTAATTGTAGCATAGTACGCAGCTACAGGCATCCATGATCCAGCAGCTAGATACCCTGCTATTGCGGACGGCTTGCATTTTGACCCTGAGATACTGCACTGCTGCAGTTGGCACCCAACAAGATGCACTGCCTACTACCATGTTTCTTGTCTAGTCGTTCGAGGTGCTGCGCACAAGACCCGAGGAGATAGCGTTTCAAGCCAGGACACGGCAAATCCCATATTCAGCTACTACTCCGTATTGTGGCTTTTGTGTCGTCGACTCGCCGGTTCAGTTCCCATTCGATGAGATCTTGGGGAACGACCAGACCTGTGTCTCTGTACCCGGCGCAACTTCGGTTTAGCTCCGCACCTCCTCGAAAAAATCCCAGTCCTGGTTTAGCTCATGCTGAAGGCGTGGGGACCCCTTACTTCAGAACTGGCTTAGCTCAACTTACCATCTGTCGGTGCTAGTCGGTGCTGTATGCGTAGCGTACGGAGCACCTAAGCGACACTTGGTAGAAGCCCAAACAAACCACATGGCCCGTCACAACGTCTTTCATTTTCAAAGGTAGGCAGCGGCAGAGAGTCATGTTCCCCGATCTTGACCGTGAGCCATGACTTGTTACTTTCCAGGCGTCATTGGGCGGCCTCCGTACCCCAAAGGCACATTGAGGATATCCCGAACATAAATGCCGGAAGCCAGAACACTGGACAAAAACTATATTGCCAAAAACAAGAGATCGGTCGAGGCTTTGCATCATCCCATGCATATACAAACGGTCCGTATACGCCAGGGAAGAGGACGCGGCTGAACGGCCTTGAATCAGGTCCCTGTCGGCCAAGACTTGGAGAACCCGCAGACGGACCAGGTTGGATGCAACAGCATATTTTTCACATTGTGGGGGTGAATGGGCAGCAGTTTAGCAACCTCCCACCATCCAAATGGTACAAGAATTTCGGTGTTTGATCTCACCAAGCTCCCAGATCGGCTCTAGAAGGAAAACCTGAAGCTGCTGACGTGCCTGACGACTTGCTAGCCATCACTAAAGTTGCCACGAACTGCACGCTTGAACTAGCCTCCGGGACAAGTCCCGGCATCTGGGCCTGGGGAACGTGACTGGTCCGTATTCAATTCACTCAGATATGTGCGTAGCTATGACAGATGACAGACGCCCGCATTTTTCAACGTTGCATTATGTGGAGAGAGAATTGAGCCAGATCACGGTCTGGAAGCAGGCCCGCGTATTTCTTTGCTTCTTTGCTTGAGCGGCAGTTATTATATCATACGATTAGAGGTTGCATCTGTACAGATACCCATGGGGGTGCATGTGAATCGGCTACCGCTACTACATGTTTGGGACACTGGTGTGCATCATACACGTGGATGGTAAATGTATCCGATATCTGTATGAGAGTGGATACGCATCATAATCTGATAACCTTTAGACAGGTTACCATGTACACCGTATTACCTAACCAAGGTGTGGCATTGGATCGCCTCCATCGCACCCACTGGCCAGTGACTAGGTCAACCCCGGAACAACTTCACCATTGGCGTCGGGCAAAGACGGAGAGACTAGGACTGCACTTTTTCAATTCCCGCAGTGATGTGTCGGACTGCTGGATATCATCGCCTATCGCCTATCGCTACCGTGCTAAACATGTTTGTACATATCGCAACTACCCAACGACATGGAAATGGAACACTTATTGTGGTATTCTGTGCAATTGACTATTGTGGTGGATGACTGCCAAACCGCCCGCGTCGGACCGGACTCCCGTGATACTTGATCTTCATCACAGGTATCGAAAGGTTGGAGTGGTAATGGCGGTTACTCACTGCAACGTGGATAAAAAGAGGTTATTGCATGGATTTGGTGGTTGATTACGACATTCGAATAGCATTCACGAGATTTGCTGAAACTGGCATTGCACACTCCGTGATTTCCTTGTAGATATGAACTAATCTGATGGTTCGATTGTCCATGCACAGACTGTGTCGCCTCGAGCAACTAAACTACGGATGTTTGTGTCGCAGACTTTGTGGTTGTCGCGGGTACCTACAGGTCAGGAGGTAGGTGTTCTTTGTTTGCCAATCTGATGACACAGCAACATCATCACAGCTCTTGCGCGGGTCACGTCAGCTGTTGCTCGAGGAATGCTTTGAAAATTATAACAAGCTTGTCTTGAGATGACGCTCTCGCAACTTTTGCAATTGACGGCGCTTGCTGTTTGACCAATACTTTTCCGCCTCTGCAATCATATTTCGGTTTCTTGATTTGCAGCACGTACTGCCAAAGGGCTCAACCCCGAACAAAGAAAGTCTTCACAATGGGTTGTTTCGGATCCAAGCAACGGCAACAAAAGCCTGGACTGTTCGACCAGACTGCCCAAGAGCACGCGATGGATCTTGATTCGCCAACCCAGCCTTCGCGACCTGTCATGCAAGCTACTTCTCGACCAGCCCGACAAACAAACAGCGCAGCTGCAGCCATCCATCAGCAACTTCATAGAGGAGCAAGTCCCATTTCAACAACCCAGGCAGGTACGGATATGACACAACCAGCATCAATTCGAAGGAAGCCGGTCGCTGGTCGTGGACAGGAAGGCGTACGCGGGGCAGATACGGAGGAAGACCCGTTCGAATTCCTCAAGTATTTCGACACTGTTTTCCTCATTGACGACTCGAAAGCCATGGCCCCCTACTGGGAAGAAGTCACCGACTTGATTCGCGCCATAGTGCCACTGTGTATGGAACGGGACACGGACGGCATCGACATTTACTTTGGCAATCACTCGCGTCGCTGGCATGCAAATGTTCACGAGAGGGGCTACCGCCACATTGGACTGCTGACGGGCCACCCCGGCATGCACGACAATGTCGAGGGCATCTTCAACGACGTCAAGCCCAAGGGCAAGCACGATGTCACCGATCGCCTACTGGATCTGCTCAATAAACACACCTACGACCTGATGGGACTGGAAGGACAACCCAAGCCGAAACCCATGAATATCATTGTGGTTACTGCGCAGCCTTTTTCCAACCGGATAGCGCGCGTGCACGAGACGGCCGAGGAGCTGGACAAGATGAAGGCTCCAGCCTACCAGGTGGGCATCCAGTTCTTTCAAATCGGCGACGACGAGACGGCGAGCTGGCAGATGGCATCTCTGGATGATCTCGTCCACCAAAAGTATGGCACTAGAGATATCATGGACACTGCGACGTGGACAGATGGCCCGGGCAAGCTTTCGGCGGAAGGCGTGCTCAAGGTTGTGGGCGGTGCTGTAGAACGCTCACTCGACAACACCAAACTCGAGCAATTGAGAATGCCTGAGATGCCACCTGATCAATGGTAGATTCTGCACAACCATTATATACAAAGTACTCAGATTGCCAGCTCAATACAACACGGCTCAGAGCCCTCAAACAGCGATAGTGAGCCCAAGAATTCACTAGCACCTAAAAACACTACAATATTGATGATGCCAGTAATCAATACAGGTGATAATGAAACAGAGAGCAGAACAAAAGTTCTTGAGTTCTTGGGAAATCTCTGCTCTGGCTTCCTTCTAGGCGTCCTTCCGTTCCCTTTCAATTTTTTCCCTTGCCTCCATCTCGGCCATTAATTTGGCCTCGGTTTCGAGAAGCATTTACCATTCTGCTTCCTCATCCATCTCTTTCTTGGCTAATGCTTCAGCTTCAGCTTCCTCCTTTGCCTTGATTGCTGCCATGAGCTTGACCATAGGAGCCTCTGCAGCGGCTGCGAGCTCGGTCTCCATTTTTCTGCGATCTTCGTCCCGCCTGTTTTTTTCCAGCGCCTCTCTCCTGTTTCGAACGGCCCTTTCAACTGCTTCCCTTGCCTCCTTGTCCTTTTTCCTAAACTCTTCTCTTTTTTTGGCCAATAGCGCGTCTTGTTTATCACTTTTTTCCATCTTTTGCCTTCCAACTGCAGCTTCAAAGTCGTCAGACGCTTCCAACCTATCCTGCGGGCTGATAGACCCAAGTATTTGTTCTGGTTCAGCTTCAAGCAATGTGTTTGAATCTGCAGCGGAACTCGAAGAGTCATCATGATGCTCAGCCCTATCGTCAGGCATAGTCTCATGACTGAAAACTACCTCGTCATCAATTTCGTCTTTTCCATCTATGCTGGGCAGCGAGAAGAGGGCCAGTAATTCCAAATGATGGCCAATATGAGAACTGTACTGCCTTGGGCCTTCAATATCCACGGACATGCAAAAAGGACAATTCCCAACAGATTTGTCCAGAGATTGATGGATACTCTCTTCTTCCAGTATCTTGAGTTCCTGTTCAGTTACTTCTTTGCGATGAGTACTCGTATAATGCTCGCGCCATGTCTCTCGTGTGGGAAATATCCTAAGACAACCAAATAAGCAGTACCACATTTTCCAATGGTCTTGGTTCATATGACGATTCCATTCACTGCGTCGAGCATATTGACGATTGGGCGTGGGACATGTTTTGTCAATGCAAACATAGGGCCGAAGGTCTCTAAATACATGCTCCCTAGCACACAAATCAACTGGTGATCTCCACTGATGAATTCAGATAAACAAGATTAACTTACTTCCATTCTCGTCTTGTGTCAATCTGTATGATCATTTTGCAAAATGGGCATAGAAATGGTCCTTCCAGGTGTTCCTGGGGTATGGGCGGCACTGCAAGCTGGTCTGGCTCGGCGCTTGAAGGTGCATACGAAGTTACGGAAAACTCCGACTGGTTGTCAAGATAAATTGAGGAGCTGATTCCTGGAAGATCCTTCAAGTGCTCGGGTATCGAAGAAGCAACGGTGGTCTCATCCCCTCCGGCGACATTGTCATCTTCAAGTCCTTCGGAAAGTTTATGATGGTGCTCTTCTCGATATCTGAAATAATGCCGCCTCATGGTCACGGCTTTTCCAAGACGCTCTGCGATGGCTGGATCAAGATCTTTGAACTTTTCTTGAACATGCCTCACGTCCCACGGCTCAAAATAGCCGCTGATTCCAGCTCCAACTCTCGACTGAAACTGGTCGTGAGGTGCTGGATTATTAATGGTAGCGGACAAGCGTAACAGACAGTCCACGATGTGTCCTATTTCTGCAACTGAGTGATCAAGCGGTGACTGTGTTGCACTATCCCCCGCGAGGAAGTAAGCCTCGATTTCATCGTAGGCCGGGTCGTCATGCGACGGATCAGATTGTCCACGGGCTGATGCTTGAGCTGGAGATATCGTCAGCGGCGGCATGTACACTCGAATCCGCCCCTGCTGCATACTCACCTTGGTCGATCACAGTAGAGAGGTCCCGTAGTAATGACAGAATTTGATTCTTGACCGACGAAGCATCGCGGAGACGGTACTCCAGGGCACGTTTGCCTGCGGCACGGTGTGCTGCAAAGCTTGCTGACCAGAGGTTGAAACGTGCCAAATGAGAACCGACTTTTGATTTGGATTCTAGGACTGGTTCTAGATTCTCAACAAGCGACACCAATGCTTTCCTGCCACGAATGACAAGAGAAGCGATTTCAGGTTCGCCTTTTGCCTTTGCTGGTCTCATTGTCTTGAGACAGTTTTGATGATGTTCAGGAAGAGTTGCTACTGGCTGCAAATTGCCCAGTGGACCTTGGTACGATATCTGACTGGCTGGGCGGGCGTGAGGGGTATCTATGTGCACACTGCATAAGCGAATGCCCGAAAGAATCATTGCTCCTCCTGCACGTGATCGATGAGGCTGAGGCTCTCAAGTGGGACATGCAACGCTGCATCCATTCGATCAACATCACCCGTAAGGATCATTATTCGATGATTGTTGGAGGCGGTCATGTCTGGCTTCGAGGTCGCGGGCATAGTACTAGGCGTCTTGCCGCTCGCTATAAACACCATCAACTCTTATCGGACCACCCTTTCATCGATCAAAACGGCACAGAATGACCTTAATTGGCTGCGGCGAGATCTCGAAACAGAGCAGGTTCGCCTGCAGAACACCTGTGAACTTCTTTTGCACGATCTTGTGCCCCTTTCCATGGTTGATACCATGTTAAAGGATCCATTTGGGGCCGACTGGGCAAAATATGACGATAAACTTCGAGAACGACTTTGGCTTTCATGGGGAACGTTCCAGGCGCAGGTTCAACTCTTATCCACTGCGGCGACAGAGTTAGAAAAGAAGTTATGTGTAGAAAGAAATGGTGCGGTACGTTTGGTAACTCGGAAATTTTGTTCTATTGCTGCTCCTGCTACTGTGTGTCATAAATATTGACAATGCGCATAGATCAGACTCAATGACTACAAGAAGATACTACGAGAGCTCCGTCATAAGACGTCCTTCACGCTGAAGAAGGGAGACTACGAAGCTCTGCTTTCAAAGATCAAGTCAAGCAATACTGTACTCCACGGGCTCGCACAACAAGATATCAACATGAAGTCGAATAGACAGCATCGATCTCAAGCACGTGTCATAAAGCTTCTACGTGGGCTGTCGGAAAGTATTTTCAACGCAATGCGTAGTGCCGTAACTTGTGACTGCGCCGACGCCCACAAAATCGGTATTGAATTGGCTACGCGACATGCGGTTCTATTGCCAGACGATGAGGAAGAGGAAGTTGCGGCGAAATTTCTCTACAACGTTGCAATCGACTCAGTCAAGGCGCCTACCGAATGGAACCGGGCCAAGCTTCAACTTGACAAGTCCACCCCAGTACCAGAGATCATAGCAGCTCTGCCCGACCCTGTCTTCATGGCACCCGAAAAGAAGCGAAAGAAAGTTGCTTGGCGTGCTGTCATCAGCTCTTTCGAATCGCAACCGCAAACGGTGCCTGTTCAAATCCAAATGAAAACGTCTGAGACGATCTCGACGTTGAGAGTCGACAGTCCATGCCAATCCCAGGCCACGTCGTTGATCTCGAATTTGTGTAAAGTTTTTCACGGGAAACGCAAGGCGCTTTCACAATCTGAAAGCTACGGACATATATCGACTGGGCAGCGTTGCTTCCGGCTATCGCCCCCAGTTGAAGAACCCTCCAAGTTCAGCCACACCGTCACCTTGCGTGATATTCTTTCTGGCCTGACTGGTCTTTCAGAGAAGACAATAGTACCTTTCGGCTACGAGGAGAGGCTTCAATTGGTACGTATTCTAGTCGTAGATTATCTCTTATCCTCAGAATTATTCCAGCACTTCTTTGAGTCCTCCATACTCTTTCTAAAACAACTCTCAAGGAAAAGTCTGGTTCGGAGATACTGGAGACTTGGCAGCACATCAAGGGATTCAGCTAACATATTGCTACTTACAAGGCATTGACTCTGTCCAACAGCGTTTTGCACACGTACAATACACCATGGCTTGCCAAGATGTTGACTCTCGATGATATTTCTTTCCTTTGGGGCGCTGAAGCACAGATCCATCAAGAATGGTGGAAGAACCCTTATCGACCCTTCGTGACACAAGCCATACCTCTTTCAAGCTGGGAGGCATCATTCATTCGAGTAGTGGATTGTCCACGCATGATCAACACAACTATTCTCTCCCTCGGTGCGCTACTTGTACAGATCATCACAGGGAGTGTGGAGGAAAGCCTCGAGCTACCTACTACCATGAAAATGGAAGACTTCTACGCCCGGCGTGAAAGTGCCAGCCGCCTAGAAGCAAAGGTGATTGAGAACGGCGGGCCAAACTACGCCGAAGCCGTAAGCTGGTGCTTTGATCATGCGATTGGTCCGTCAGGATTTCAAAATGAAAAGTTTTGTCAGGAGTTTTATGAGGTTGTCATTGCGAAATTGGAAGAGGACGCTGCCCTTCTAGAGGAACAGAGCCGTCTATGAGATCCATCAGGAGGATGTAAGGTTGCAAAACATCAGCGAGAGCCATCACTCATTCAGTATAACGGCTCATATCAAGGGTCACTTCCAATACAGATTCCACGCATATTTCATAACCTTGGAAGGATGTCGTAATAGCTCAATATGTAAACGCCAATAACAGGATTCCGCTAACAAACGACGAATGTGGGCAAAGCAATAGCCTGCGCTTAGTCAACTATTAAACAGCATTCTAGACTCACACTAGAACCAGTGGCTGAAGACTCTAATCTCTACATGATCTCAAGTCATGCATGCACCTGCTCATGCCCGGCCGAGAATGATTCCGGAGTTAACAATACTACCCATAGACTCGGATTTCTAGGTAGGCACAAGTGCATGCAGCCCGGAAACCTACGGGACGTCCTATCAACCATCGAGGGCATGAATTATATCTCGGGGAATACATCCCGTCATCCACGATGGGACCACGTGGGTGTCTGCAGGCTCGGAAGTCCCAGTGTCCATGCTCATATTCTACTCATCCGCATCGAGCATGTCGGCACCGGATTTGATTGCAGACCAGGACAATTCCTGGGGAAGAAAGTGATAAAGCCGCTGAGTCAGCATATCCGGAGATTAAGCTACGGGACCACCCGTATGACTTCCGAAAGGGTTGGAAGGTGACTGAAATGGCCGCTATGCCTTGATTTGAAGTGGCGCACGACGGAATCACGGATAGTTGCGCTACGTTGACATGAACGGAGAATGTTGAGGGCAAAATAATCAAACAATGGCTTCATGATCATTGGTGGCGGGGAGTCGTGATTGTTGGGCGGACGTCTGCGCAGGCCTCGTCCCCTAGGATTTCCACAGGGCCTAGATCTTCCTGTCATCTCCACATGTCAAGAATTTGAATTCATCAGGGTGAAGGCATACGCGGCAGGCACCTTGCAAGGCATGGTCAACTCAGTCGGCGGGCCAGACCGCTTAAAATTCCGAATAAGGCGTTTTCGTCTCTGGCCATCCTTTTTCAGCTTCAGTTTCTCTGTCGCGGGAGACTCCGTCGACGAAATGACAGGGACCTTAGAGCTATTGGGCCTAAAGGCCAATTTCGTGTTAGGAGTGTTTAAGAATGGTATCGTGGGCTGAAGGGGGCCCCATTATATAGGTGCGGAAATGCTCCAGCCCAGTGCCGCTCGGCAGGGAGGGCTGAGCTTGATAAAAATCATACGATGAGGACCCTTGGATAGTTTATCGCACTTGCGCATAAGAACACGAAGTGATTGTGCATCATTTTTTTTTTTTTTATAACCAGGACCATGGCTCTTCGAGTCGGCTAGCTATGCGCTATCTCTTCCATGTTGTAGTAACAGATATCAAGGTCACAGCGATGAAGTCGTAGAAGTAATATACGAGAGCCAACCGAATAGACGGGGGTTCCGTGAATATAGTAGGTCAATTTGCGAGAGCCGAAGCTGCTTGCGCTGCAGAAATGCAGGGGTCTTACATAATATAGCCCAAAGACAGGAGTTTTTTTTTGTTTTTCTCTTTTCCAAAAAGTTTGACACTTGACTTTCCAGCATCCCTCACCATCTAGATTGCGCTTTAAGCAGTTGTCAATGCTAATCTTAAAAAAGGATGGCGGACCAGTGGAAGCAGGTTTGCGAGACAATGGGATTCCTGGAAAACACCAAGCCGAGAGCCTGTCCTAGATATAAGTAGTAAGCGGCCCTGATCCACTCTAATGGGTCGCAGTATACCCGTTTGGGCGTGGTGACAGAAAGCTTTGGCTGGATCACTCTATTAGTGTAGGACAGCCGCAGTGTTCCACAAAACCCCGTCAACCGACCGCCCTAGAACACTAGCATAAATCTCTACATTAGAGGCTTGGCTGGGGTGAATGCAACCGAGGCTATTTGGTAATGGAACCAAGCTGGAGCCCTCCCCAGACACATCGTACCATAATCCGGAGGTTGGCAGGGTTATGGCTCAATAGTCAAAATAGGCTTCTGAGGAGAGTTTGTGCTTGAAAGTCCCCTATGCTTCTGACCTCGAGGGATACAATGAGTGTCTTTGTTGGGCATTTCTACTCTCTGCTTGTTACAACGTGCACTATACGAGTTGGGCGTTCGTTAGACCTGTTACTTTACTATACCATTCCTAGTTTGTGTAGCGAAAAGTTGGGACACTGATTTTAAGGTTCGGTAGGTTGACTTTTCAAAACCGGCCACCGCCGAATGAGGGGAGAGAGTTGGGGGAGTTCGGATGGATTTCCGGCCCCTATCATTTAGTCAGAGCCGACGGGTTGCTCCCCAAGTGGGCTCTCAGCCAATTTTCCTGAATATTTCACCCTAAACACTGCTATTTGGGAAAATTTCGGTCGCCTCCCGCTCTTAAGGAATAGTGTCAACGGCTTAAACTATGTACGGACACTAGAATCCCCGGACGCCCATGTCAATATGTGGGATCTCGGGTCGCTCAATCTACTGCGTAGTTGGCAACGTCGCGGGCGTTTCAAGTTGGCAATGACTCGAGGGGGTGGCAGACCTGACCAAGCCCCCCCTCGTCGATCCCTAGTCCAAGCCGAAATCAGATCATGGTTGCGACTTGTTCCAAAGTTCCACGGCGACGGGATCGATGATGAATAAGATGCGAGGTGAACGCTGATCGCAACTGCATCGGGAACGAGGTATTCCCACTTCGAGGTCCATATTATACGGCAAGTTGCCTCTGCGCGTGCGTGCCCTCGTGGTCATACCCAACAAGCTTCAGCCTTAAGTGACCAAGACACCCTTGATCAGATCTCGAGGAGATCCGCCCTACCGAGTTCTTGGGTCACTCGAACAATGCAGATCTCTCTTTGAGAATCTTCGGGAAAACAAGACATGGACAGCGACGACAGAAGTGGCCGGCTTTTGGCCTCATGTTGGTCGTTGGTGGGAGCCAGTGCGGTGTTCTTGTCGTTGAGGATTTACTGCAAATTATGGCGAGGAAAAGGTCTGTGGTGGGACGACCACACAATGATCATGAGCTGGGTATGTTGTGACACGACCTCTCAGGACGATGGACAGTCTCATTTTTTCTAACCTTGGGTTTTGTGCATGGCAGTTTTCATTGACAGTTGCCGTCTCGATTCTGAGCTATATTGTCACTTTGGGTTTCGGCAAGCATCAGTCCACCATCGACCATGAAGACCTCAAAAAGATCAACCTCAACACAATATTGGTCGCAGCCTTTGGCATCATATCGACATGCGTCAGCAAAACCTCATTCGCGCTTACTCTGTACCGAATCATTATCAACAAGTGGATGCGTTGGTTTCTTCTCTTTGTTATTATTACCATCAACGTATCAATGAACCTTGTTTGGATTTTTGGATTCGCGAAATGTACTCCCGTACAAAAGGTTTGGGACAGCAGTGTCGAGGGCAAATGCTGGGATAAGCAGGCCCTGTTGAAATACCAGCTTTTTGCTGCTTGTGAGTTGCACGAGTGTCTTTGAATGTTGTATCAGAATCTGACCACTACTGTAGACTACTCGTCCATCTTGGATTTTGTGTTGGCGTTCCTCCCATGGAGGATTCTCATGTCCATGTCAATGCTTCTTCGAGAGAAGATTGGAGTGGCTGTAGCAATGAGCTTGGGTGCCATGTAAGAAGCAAATGACACTCAATTGGTGCCTGACTCGAGACTAATAATCACTTGCAGCGCCGGTATTTGCGGAATTGTCAAGGCAGTCATGGTGGTCAGCATGACCAGTACAGATATTACCTACGATCGTGTCGACCTCACAATCTGGACCCTTACCGAACCTGCCGTCACTATTATGGCAGCCTGTATTCCAGTGTTGTAAGTTGCAACCTCAAGTGTCTCTTGCGAAGCGCAATCATCGAGTTTACTAACAAAATGGCAGGCGAATGCTCTATCGCGAACTCAAATCCAGTCACCGCAGCTATATGCAACAACGATCCACCGGAAATCGATATCACAATGGCACCGATGTCACGAATGCAGACAAGTCGAAGCGAAGCACAAAATATCGACACGATGGCTACGGCCGAAACTCGGTACTCATCATGTCAACAAACGGATGGCAGGAATCACAAGAAGCTCTACAGGATCTGCCGTCAAGCCACGGCGAGAGACCTCCCAAGCCGGCAGGTATAGTCAAGACGGCAGAAATCAACATCACGAGTCATCGCGTGAGCAAGGTAACCGACGAAGATTCATTTGAGCTGGCATCCATGGAATCAGCCTACACAAAATCAAGCGGACGTAATGCCGAAGTTCCCGAGGCTGGTTTTTACACTGCGCATTAGTTATAGTACAAAATATGATACCAATTTGATTTTTCTTGCGTTTAAACAAAGTACATTTTTTTTTTCATTTTATCGACTGTATCTTTAAAATATCACGATCCCTAGAATTCCGGATTTCCAGATATCCGACAAATGTGGGCAACTAGAATACGAGCGAGTACGAGTAAGCTGATGGAATAGCTGAAAAGAGAAAAAGAAAAAGAAAAAATCCCTCAAGACACTTCCGATTTCCGACGATTCATGACCTAGTGATTAAGGACAATATGACAGGCCTGTCACCATACTATGTAAAGTAGCAGTGGGGGTGGCTTGCAACTACAGGGGGTAAAAGAAAGATAGACGAGAAAACCCCCTGGAACTTGTCAGGTATATTGCCCCGTCCTCTTATTTTACTATGAACCCTGAATCCCACAATATACTTGGCTGCGGGAACAAATAGCATGATATCACGTCAGGTTACGTGGCGCCCAATAGCATCGGTGAAGCCGCCGAATCAGCTGTCAGTATCGGAGCTCGTAAACTCCCCGAAGCCACACCGTTGAACCTGGGCAGTCGTGACTATTAATGACTAAGGCTTTCGACGGACCGATGCAATATCGGCTACGAGGCTGTACGGCAAACATCCACGATCAATAACAGGGGAAAGATGAAGCTATTGATTTTGCATGTCTAGATCTTTTATGCTGCAATGTTACCACATGCCGTACCTGCATTGGCATCTTCAACCTTGTCCCAGAGACCAAATTCCGTCAACCAGGTTTGCCAAGCTGGGCGCCCACGTGGCTACGCGTGGTTTTTTGTCCTCTTGGCTCTTGGGTGAGCGATCGGGGGAACGATCAGCGAGCAGATCGGCAGGTTTATTGAAGGTTGTTCTGTGCTGCCGAGGGAAGGGAAAGAAGCATACCGACCTGACTAAAGAATAGCCCGCTGCCAATGCGACTAGGATCTCGGCTTGCAGATGTGGGTGTGTCTAGTTGTGCACCATCGCATTAACTAGCCCCATCTCCGGGCAGGTTTAAAATTAGGGGAGTTGACTAAACCTCTTTGTACCAGGCCGTAATTGGCTCCGTGGCAAATCTGTTGAAGGGACTCCATAACGAATGTTATGGTGGAACTGAGGAGGATCTTGCGAGAAAAGATGGGGAGGACAGAATTATATACCTCTCTGGCTGACCGTTGATGGTCAAAGTATAAGGTAGTGATCGGCAGCCTCTCATTCCGTTGACAACTGCGCTTTCACAGGTAGCATCAACCATCTCTCATCTATCTCTTACATTAGTTTGAGATTTTAACTTTATTGAAGATGCCTGGGTTCAAGTCAAACTTCCTCTTGGCCGCATTAGCTGGTGTGTCCCTGGCTAGCAGCAGCGGTCACGTCTCGCAGTCGACAAAGACCGGTTGCTCTTTGCCTACAGCACACCTGAGGAATGGAACATACATTGGTGTCACGGACTCTGTCCACGACCAAGAATACTTCTTGGGCATGCCCTATGCCCAACCTCCCACGGGCTCGCTTCGATTCGCCGCACCTCAGCCATTGAAGACTTCATTCTCAGAGCCCAAGTATGCCACTCAGTACGGCTACGCTTGTATTGGATATGGCTCCGACACAACGAACTTGGGAACCAACGTCACTTCTGAGGACTGTCTGACCATTAATGTCGTTCGTCCGGCCGGAACACAGCCTGGCGATGACCTTCCCGTTGGTGTCTGGGTCCACGGTGGTGTAAGTCATTCCAACCCAATACAAAATATGGCCGCAGGTTTAGATTGCTAACACACTGTTACCAGAGCTACGTGATGGGTAGCTCGCGTGACACGAGATACAACCTGACCTGGATCGTGGAGCAGTCGGTCAAGGAGGGCAAGCCCATCATTGCTGCGTCCATCAACTACCGTGTCTCTTACTGGGGCTTCCTCTTCAGTGAGGAGATGCAAAATGCCGGAGCTGGCAATGTTGCTTTCCGTGACCAGCGCATGGCTCTGCAGTGGGTGCAGGACAACATTCAGGAGTTTGGTGGTTCCGCCAAGGACGTCACGATCTGGGGCGAGTCTGCCGGTGCTCGCTCGCTCGGCATGCAGCTCGTTGCACACGACGGTAACCACGGCTCTCTCTTCAGCCGCGCCATCCTCGAGAGTGGTAGCCCCGTCGCAAAGTTTGCCAACGCTACCACTTGGCAGTCTTACTTTGACGCCCTCGTCTCCAAGACCGGATGCTCCAGCTCCACGGATGCCCTGAAGTGTCTGCGCAAGCTGGACTGGCAGGTTCTGAACAGCTTCTTCAATGGCTCTGTTTCTCTCGGCGTCACTGCCCCGACACTCAGTGCTGTCGTGGACGGCGACTTTATGAGTGCCCAGGGTGCCGTTCTCCTGAACGAGGGCAAGTTTGCACGTGTTCCTCTTCTCCTGGGTAACAACTTTGATGAGGGCACTGCCTACGCCAAGACTGGCATCAACACGACTGAGCAGTTCCAGTCCTACCTTTCCAGCCTGGGCCTCAGCGCCGACCAGGTTTCCAGCGTCACGGATCTGTACCCCGATGACCCCTCTGTCGGTATCCCGGCCTCTTACCCCGACAGGCCCGCTGCCTACCCCTACGGTCTGCAGTACAAGCGAGTCGCTGCTTTTGCTGGTGACTACCAGCAGCACGCCGGAAGACGCCACCTGGCCGAGTCCTACGCCGGCGCCGGCCTGTCCGTCTACTCGTACCTGTGGAACGTGTACGTCAACGGCATCGCCGCCATCTACGGCGCCACTCACTTCCAGGAGGTGGCCTTTGTGTTTGACAACACCGACGGCCTGGGCTACTCGACCAACCCATTCGCGGGCAAGCCCGAGACCTTCAAGACCCTGGCCGACCTCATGAGCAAGATGTGGGTGTCGTTTATGAACGACTGCGACCCCAACCTCGACGCTAGCCAGGACCTGCAGAGCGTCGCCTGGCCGCGGTACACGCTCGACGCGCCCAACAACCTCGTCTTTGACGTCAATGTTACCGGCCTGTCCTACGTCTCCGAGGACAACTACCGCAAGGCCAACATTGCCTACCTGCTTGACAGCGTCTTTGTTTGAAAAAGACAGCCACAGAAATGCAGGCAGACACCTAGCGACTCCTCGATGAACTGCGAGAGCTAGCGCAATGATTACAAAAAGCCCCTACGTGACGACAGATGCACCTTGAAAAGGGGTATCTAATACCAAATCCTAGCAAGGCAGTCATCTGTCACTCGACGGGTTAAAATGTGTTTTTTTTTTCTTCCTATTCTTGTACATAGATTATAGAATATAGACTTGGCATAATTGATACCAAAAAGCACATGTTTGCTTATTAACACGACGTTTTCTCCACTTGCATGAGCATATGCGGTGATACATGAAGTAAACACAAGGAGTATGAATGTGAAATTAACCATTGCACAATACGATCTACTGCGCATCAGCAATCTGCACGTCTATTGGTCATGAACCACATTTGGAAAACAAGATCAAATTTCCGAGAAGCAAAAATAATTGACTACAAGAGCTTCAGTCATCATCACTCCCAAGATAACCTTGTAGGATAACTCTATTATTATGACGGTAAAACTCACGATGGTTTATTTATCCCCGCGATTTATTTCCCCAGCCTCGGCAAAGGCGCCGAAGCCAAAGTGTGGATATGTTTTTCGTCCCTCATGAACCCCACCAGGGAACCCCCGATTTCGTTCCCTTTACCCCATTTCTGCCAGGGACAGGCGCCCGCATCTCACTCACCACCTGGGAAAGTTTACGCAAGTCTTGTCTCTCTCTCTCCTTCTTGCAACACACCATATGCAGGGGCGGCCCTCGTTTTCTTTCAACTTTTGGCCAAATATAGAGTTTTGGCCTTGATCACAGTTCAAACAAGTTTGTCTATCATTGAAACGTCAGTCCTCCTGTTATCCGTCGGGAAAGAAGGATCAGAAAAGAAACCAGCCAGTCCCCATCCCGCTACGGTAGCCGATTCGGACATCCGGTGGCTGAACCCACCCACGCCCAAGCTACGACGTCAGCGCAAGATTCCGCGAGCGTGGTTTCATTTTGGCGCTGGAATTAGACCGGGGTCACACGGTCAAAAGTCGACTTTGTAAACCAAAGCAAAAGCAGTGTGTGTGACACTAAAGGGACAAGGAGAGAAAAGCAAACAAAGGGGTGTGGTGTGCTCTTGTTTCCTTGAAAAAGCGTGGGGAGAAGGGGGGAAAATAAAAGAGAAAATGTATTCTCACACCTTATGCCGCCGTGCTGTCTCATCAGCTGTTTCTGCTGCAATCCGACAGCCCAAGAGACATGGAAAGTTTGCTACCGCTGCCGCTGCCATTGCGACCAACGCCCGTCGCTGCTACTCCATGGCCGTCGATGATGGGATCTCGAATCTGCCTTTGGCGGGCTATCGCGTCTTGGATATGACACGGGTTTTGGCTGGGGTGAGTTGTTTTCTTATCTCCGGACAACTGCCTGCGTGCTCTTATCTGAATTGCTATTTCTTCTTGTTATATTGAAGAGTGCAGTTTCAAATTGCTCAAGAGACGGCTCAGTCTCTATGCCCTGAAAAGCGCATGAGCTAGAGCAGTAAAAAGCAACGACATCAGCATATAACCTTCATCGCTGACGTGGACCATCTTTAGCCATACTGCACGCAGATCCTGGGAGACCTTGGGTAAGTTGCGCATCACAGCTGTCAGGTACTTCCGCCGAGCAAAGTTCATCATTTATTTTTTGCTCACACGTCCAAACAAAAAAAAGTGCAGAGGTTATCAAAATTGAGCATCCGACGCGCGGGGACGACACACGTGCATGGGGGCCACCGTATGCGCCTTACACTTCAGACTCACAGCTACAGGGACCAGGCGAGTCGGCATACTTCCTCGCTGTGAACCGCAACAAGAAGTCTCTGGGGCTCTCGTTTCAACACCCCGAGGGCGTCGAAATTTTGCACAAGCTCGCCGCAAAATGCGACGTTCTCGTTGAGAATTATCTACCCGGCAGTCTGGCCAAGTACAATATGGACTATGCTGCGCTGCGCAAAATCAATCCAGGTCTCATTTACGCGAGTATTACGGGATATGGCCAGACTGGGCCGTACTCTAGCCGGGCAGGCTACGACGTCATGGTCGAGGCCGAGTTTGGCCTGATGCACATTACTGGAAGTCGAGATGGGCCACCCGTCAAGGTGGGTGTGGCTGTCACGGATCTGACCACGGGACTGTATACGTCCAATTCCATCATGGCCGCCCTGCTCGCGAGAGCAAAGACGGGAAGAGGGCAGCACATTGATGTGGCGCTCAGCGATTGCCAAACCGCGACGTTGGCCAACATTGCGAGCAGCTGTCTAATCAGCGGGAAGAAGGACTCTGGAAGGTGGGGGACGGCACATCGTGAGTAGACAGCATCCCCCCATTCGCAAGCTTTCTTTTTTGGGCTTGCGCGTACTCCGAAGGCTCTCGAGTAAGACACTGACTGAGACACAAGCCTCGATTGTACCCTACAAGTCGTTCAAGACAAAAGATGGGGATATCTTACTTGGGGGTGGCAATGACCGCCTCTTTGGCATTCTGTGCGACGGCGTGGGACGCCCAGAGTGGAAGACGGACCCCAAGTACGCCGTCAATGCCCAGAGGGTGGCCAACCGGGTCGAACTCGAGGGACAGATTGAGGCGATCACTGCCCAGCGCACGACGCAGGAATGGCTCGATGTGTTTGAAGGCTCAGGTATGCCGTATGCGGCCGTGAATGACGTACAAGGGACGCTCCAGCACGAACACACCATTGCTAGAAACATGGTGGTCGAGATGGAACACGACCAGTGCGGTACCATAAAAATGGTCAACACGCCGGTCAAGTATAGCGAGAGTGAGCCAAGAATCCGGAGTCCTCCTCCAACGTTGGGTCAACATACAGACGAGGTTCTGCGCAATGTTTTAGGTTTCGAGCAGGACAAGATTGCCGGATTGAAGGACAAAGGCGCCATCCGGTGATTGATAGACATATCTAGACATCTAGACCTTGACCTCGTCTGTGCGTCGACGGCCGACCGAGCAGATGATGTTCAGCCATTAAATGTTTGACGCAATAAATGACCGTGGATATTTTGCATCTTGTAATACCAATCATCAGTGAATCCTTCTGCTCGTGGCGATGATATGATCCTGCTGCAAGTGATTTGCATTGAAGATGACGTCGAGTTTTGCGAGGTCATGGATCCTCTCGATGCACATCACACATGATAGGAATGGTTGTCGCAGGTGCAAAATGCAGGGCCGAGCGCATAGGCAGAGACAAACGGCAGGGGGGAAAGACTAAAAAAAGCCTTGGCGATCTGCATTCTGTAGCCCACCCCTACCAAAACGGAAGCCATCGTGGGAGTTTTGCCCTGCGCCGCTGTCGAATTCTTTGTTTCTTGCATACGTGATTTAATACAGAAAAAAGTGTAAACGATGAAAGTTGATTGCGCTTGAATACTTTTTTTCTTTTGGTTGCGGTGAGGCGTCGTCGTTTGCCTGAGAATGTAAGAGCCCTGTAGGCTGTGTGTACCTGAAGCCAAAGCTTGACCTGAACCAATCAAAGCGCAGTGGGCATGACTTGCATCAACGATAGCTGTATGCAACGACGGCAAGATATTTCCAATTAGCCTTTGGTATATCCTTCTTCCTGACTAACATTCTGCACAAAGAAGCAAAGCCCCAAAGGATAACGCAGATATGATGTTGGTCTGATTGTCGTAGGCTCACACACAGCCTCACGCAAGAGGCATCCTCCCTCTCCACCTACTAGACCTTTTTTGCCGGCTAAGGATTCCTTCCCTTCCCGCAACCTAAGTACCGGCCTGCTCTAGGCACATAACATGCGGGAGGGTCATGCGCCTCTATTCTTGACAGCAACGTGCTGCTTGGCGATCAATTATTTGTGTCTAGGTGTAGCATTGCAGATTCTGTTGGAGGGGCTGTTTGTCCCTTGTTGGTCTCTTGTCACTGGTAACTGGCACGCCGCGAGATCCCTTCATTGGCAGGGTGTACGTAATGCGCCCTGTCCCACATGAAATAGAGAGCATCGCCCCCAATCAGTGCCCGCAAGCGCGTTTACCTTTTCTTTAGCCCTCCCGTTGCAAGCCCCCCAGTGGTCTGCAGGTGGGTTGGTTGGTTGTTGCACACTTGGTTGCAATCTCTTGGGGTCTGACCGAGCATTTTCGTTGTAAGAAGCACAAGAATCGGCTTCATGCCGCTTGTCCGTCAGACTTGTCATACGCTTCTTTTTTGACTTTGAGTCTATGACAAGGTTCGCCCTTTTCATAAGCAGGGCATAGCAAGCAGGCAGAGAAGAAGAGGTGCTAGAGTACGGTTTCCGTAGTGCGCACCAGTGATCTTCATGCTCTCCATTCCCGAACCAATTATAGCAACCACATGCCCCGTAAAAAACACGAGCAAATGATGCCTTGTGGAGCCATTTTGTGTGCGGCCTGTTACACTTGGGAATCGCCCCTCTCTCCAACAAAGGGTTCTGGGTCCTATTATTTTCTTTTTCCATGACTTGAGTTTTTCCCAGCTTTCTTCAGTGCTTACCTTTGACAAACGTTCCAAACTTTGACTCCCCGACTGATCCATTGCCCCTCCAAAAGACATGGGCGCCCCGGCTGCCGCACCGAGACACACATGAGCAAATACATGTTCTCATGTGCGTCTCTTTCCGCTTAGGATTCGCGTCTCCCGAGGGATTGATCCAGATTGGGCTTGCTGGGGGGAGGGGAGGGAGCCACATTTGGGATGCTGTACCCGGCCGGGGATTGGCGGTTTGGCGGGGGCCACACGCTCGTTGGTTTCGTCAATGGGCTGTCTCGTATGCCCAGCTTATTATTATGCATGCAATGCGATAAGTTACTGCTAGTCGTCAATCGCTTCTCAGTCAGCCCATGTACCCCAGGGCCAATAATGTCGTGCGACCACTATACGGTACAAACCGCCCGTGTTGTATGGTAGGTTAAAGAGTGGGCCCGGGCTCGCTGACAGGCGTCGTGAGTATTATTCATAAGCTGCCTACATCTCCCGCTCCCTCGTTCGAGGTCCGTATGTCACCCACCCTGCCGGAAATCATTTATTCTCAGCCTTGGTTTTATTTCCATTTTCATGATATGGTGATCCATGTCACGACGTGAACTGCTATATATACTTGATATATAACTACCATTCACGTTTGTCTCAACCACCACCGCCTCGACAATGGCGCCCCAACCACATTCCAATGGGAACTTGCTATCCAGCGAGGACCATGGCGTACAGAAACGGGGCGAGGATCTAGCCCTGTCGCCATGGACAATTGTCGCCATCATCATTGCCTTGCTGGTCGTCATGTCAACAATAGCCTTTACAGCATTATACATTATGAGGCGGCGGCGGGTTATCAAGGAGAGTCAAGGCTTGCCCGCCATCAGCGGGCGCCACGAGGTCATGCGGAGGAGAAAGGGCATGACGGCAGCCGAGAGGCGAGCGGCCGAAGAGACGGAGCGGAGCCTCATGATTCGCAAGTCCCTCGCCAGCCGGTCGACGCTGCACAGTGTTGCGTCGCGAGATACCCACATTCTCGACACGGCCCGCAGCTCGCGCGTTGTCGACGACGACGGGGATGAGCACCAACACGACGACGAGATACCAGAGCTTCCCACCTCTACCGGCGACTGGAAAGAATGGGAGGCGCACACCCAGGCGGAGCGGCGGCATTCGAGACTGAGAGAGCTCTCGGCTGGGAGAGAATCGCACCCGGCCTTTGCACAGGAGCTGGAGGACTTGCCAGTGCCCGCACAAACGAGATCACCATCGCCATCACGAGAACTCAAGGGACCGAGACAGCTGTTGCCTCTACCATCTCTACCATCGTCAGCGCCGCCGTCACATGCACTCTAAATGTGGATTTGAGAAGAAGAGGACCTTTGTTCTTAGGCATTTCGGTCTATGGTTCGGTTCATGGTTCACGAGCGCAAAAAGCACAAATATTTGATTGTTTCTATTCCTGTCTGGAGCATGGGCCCTGGAGTATAGTGGGCACTTAGTGGTGGAGTGGGCATGGCGTTTACATGGATACATTATCATGTCCCGGCAAGCGTGGACTTTGAAGCGATGCAGTGGGAGCAATGACTTGCAGCGGCAATGTATTGGAATTCCAGATGAAAGGCGCACACTAACAGCGCCTGGTCACCTTGTTTTAATGTTAGTTTTGAATGAGGATACCCATATTACAGCCTTTCTCTCGCATGAATCATTGCCAACGTGATAGGTGGCCTACATTAGAATATTTGCGTCCGGGTTTGTCGCATATCAGGTCCTCGGATGTAGTATACATACACCTTATTCAGGTACAAGTCAAGTCAAGGTGCGCAGTTGCAATTTGCGCCGCTTGACGAACTCAAGACTTGGAGGGGAAATAGATGCATGAATAATGTACAGCTCTCGGTCACTTTACTGTTCGGCGCTTTGAGTGGCAGCGTTTAAGCACTGTAAGCTTTTGTGTCCTTGCATTGTCCAAGCCTTGAAGAAGCTTTGATTGTTCCCCGTGGCTTGGCTGCCTATTGTTGTTCCAGCTCACCAAAGAAATCCGGCCAGCGGCCTTCAGCTTCTTTCAGCTCAAGCCAATAAATCCTTCGACTGTCGCCACAAATCCTCGTCCCTTCCAACTCGGTAACTGCATCTCTTCAATATAGCGCCAGATACAGCACTCTCAACACTGCGAGTTCAGATCCCACAGAATATTCAACAGCCACAAGTAAGTACCTACAGTCAAGTAAGCAAGCTCGCCAAGGTGTATTGCTAAGCCACCTGGCACCCAGCCTTGATTCCCCAACCCATTTTATTAGTGCCCACGCCCGTGCCCGTGCCCCACCTTCCAGATCATTCTCCGCCTTGACACTTGAGCGTGGCTGCCAACCAGCAACCAGCTGACTCATCAAACCTTCAACTTCAGGCTTCTGCTCGCTCATTTGAGGATCATCAGCCTCGACCTTTGAAACCAACCTTTGTTCCCTTCTACCACGCTGCTCTCCAGTCCTTCAACCCTCGCCAGCGCATCCCCTACAACCGTCGCGATCATCTTCTAGGCATCGAGCGACAATCCAGAGTGTTTCAGCTCGATTCTCTGTCCTTTCCCTACTTCCTAGAACCCCTGGTCGCGACCACGCTAGACACAACTTCAACCTCGACTGCAACAGTGCAATTGCGACAATGGCCACCTCCATGCAGGACCCGTTTGCTGCCTACAAGCAGCAGCAGGATCAATTGAAGGATGGCCAGAAACAGACCGAGTACCGCGAGAACCTCAACTCGCGCTTGATGTGCTCCGAGTGCAGAGAGGACCCCCCGAACTTGACGTAAGTTTTGTGACTTTTCTGCGCGCCTGCCGCAACATTCCTAGCTAACTCGAATCGCGACAGCGAGGAGTTCTCCAGCGGCGACGTTGTTTGCGCCACTTGCGGCTTGGTCCTGGGCGACCGAATCATCGATACCCGATCAGAGTGGCGTACCTTTGCCAATGACGAGAATAATGATGACCCCTCGCGTGTTGGTGACGCCATGAACCCTTTGCTCAACGGTTCTCAGCTCGAGACCAGCATCGCCTTTGGCGAGGGCGGTCGTGCCCGAGAGCTGCACCGTGCTCAGAATCGATCACAGCTCGACAAGGCAACCAAGGGTCTACTCGCTGCCTACGGAGACATCAGCTCTCTCTGCGATGCTGTACACATTCCAAAGACCGTACAAGAGAGCGCCAAGCACATCTACAAGATGACGGATGATGCCAAGCTCTTCAAGGGCAAGTCGCAAGAGTCCATCATTGCGGGCTGCATCTTCATTGCCTGTCGCCAGGCCCGCCTCGGTCGTACCTTCAAGGAAATCCACGGCTTGACCAACGTGTCCAAGAAGGAGATTGGCAGAACATTCAAGCAGCTGGAAAAGTTCTTGATGACTCAGCGCGAACACGACGCAGCCAACGCCAACCTCTACTCCCTTGATACTTACGAAAACACCAATTCCACTGGCGCCGAGGAGCTTTGTGGTCGTTACTGCAGTCAGCTCAACTTGCGCAACCCTCACCAGGTGGAGAAGTATTCGAGACTGCTGGCATCCAAGAGCTCCACGGTCAAGGACTTGGCTGGTCGTTCTCCACTTTCGGTGGCAGCAGCTTGTATCTACATGATCTGTGCCTTGCTGGATGATCCTCGCCCGTCGCGTGATATTGCCACTGCCGCGGGCGTCAGTGACGGTACAATCAAGACGGCATACAAGTTCCTGTACCAGGCCAAGGGCGATCTTATTGAGAAGTCCTGGCTCAAGCCCGATGGCCCGGGCAACCTGGCCAAACTCCCCACCAACTAGAAGTTGGCTGGAGATCTGGTCAGTGAATCCTCTGACTTGGAGGATGAGAACCTTCGCCGACGGGTGTGGCAATTCATTCATATTGATTCTCGTTCAATGTCGGTACTTAGGGGCAGTGGCTGAACGAGAATCGATATTTCCTATCAAAGGCTACACGAGTACGAAGCTGCAGAACCATTAGGGTGATTCCACTGGTTTTGGGCCATGACTCTTTGAGCCAGTCTCTTTGCAGCCTTTTTCTTTTGCTCATCAACGAGCTCATTTCATTATTGCAGTCGAGTCATATATTCTTGAGAACAGAGCAGACTCTGACTACGCAACCCCGTTGCTCGACGTAAAAGTCCAGCACATTCACAATTCAGCGAGCAAGAAGTCATGACACGACAAAAGACTGAAGTGTCCATTTTGCACTGGTTGATCTGGAAAGACACCCTCAAGTGCACATAAATGCGTTTCTTTTCTTGCAAGACTGGCACTGCTGGTAATTAGAGGGAAAGGGGATTCATGGTTTACGGCAGGCGTTGGTTCACACCCTGTCACTTGAGCGATATTGACCATAGACACAATACAGCGCATTTAGAAAATTCATCTTGATGCCTTGTTGTGCTCAGTGATCTTTTCATCGTGAAATCGTAAGTTGTGATGTGCATCGCTAGGTGACAGAACCTGGTTCACGGCATGATCTACCATTTGCTTGAGCAAACAAATCGGACCACTCGTAAGTATGCGGAATTATATACATACATCCATTGTAGACAGCCATGAATCAAGACCACTCCTTTCTCGTGACTTTGGGCGTGATCAGATTGCCCACCCTCTGTGCAGTGCTCTAAACTGATAGACATTCTTCTCAAGGGGGGGGGGTACGGGGGGGGGGGGGTAGGGGGGGGGTTAG